AATTAGTAAAAGAATTATTTAATATTTAATTTTATATTTTATATGAATAAATATTTAAAATATATTTATTTGTAAAAAAATAATTTGTAAATAATATTTATGCAACAGAAATTATGTCTTAAGCAGAAATATTTTAAACAATGAAAAATTATTATGCTCAGATTTACACTATTTAACAGCTTTTTGCCAAAATCTTGTGGTGTTTTAATTAAGTAAATAATAGTAAGTTAAAAAACAAATAATAGGAATAAAACAACAAGAGATTTACAAAAAATCAAGTTTATATTAGATATAATTAATCAAAATAATTTAGGGTAAAAAAAAAAAACCTTATTTAAGTAACCTTAGATAATAACAATTTAGTAAATAAATTAGTATCAGAAATAAGATTTGATGACAACTACAAAATAAATATCAATCAATAGATCATCCTAAATTATGAAATTGGTTTTGTTATATGCTAAAAGTAATAACCTGAAATACAAGATTTTTTTTTAATCAAAGAATATTAATAAATTTTTCATTCATTCATAGATTAATTTTGATTTTAAAAAATAACTAATGTTTTAAAGTATATTAACTAATAAAAAATATCACAAACATTTAATTTAATTCTTAGCTAGAAACTTAACAAAAAATTGGTAAAAAACATCTTCCAAATAAAAATAATTGAGATAATTAGATTTCGAAACAAAAGAATTAGGTTTAAATAAATATCAGTTTATTTAAGTAACTTTATTAGTATTTAATAATCTCTACCCAATTTCTAATAAAAGATTATATGAAATAATAATATAAAAAATTGCAATAAAACAAATGATTCTTTGATAAAAAGAATATCAATTTAATAATCATATTCAAACTACCTATTTAATATTCATTTTTTTATTAATAGATTCAATCCGACGCTATAATCCCATTTTATTTTCTCTATTAGATAGAACTAGAATATAAAAGTATACAAAGTTCTAAAGTAATAATACTAAAATACATTAAAATTTTATTTACATACAATAATATTTTTATTTTGTAAATTGTTTATTTTTATCTAAATAATTATTGATCTATTTATAATTGAGTAGTACAAATCAAATTAGATTTAAAAACACAAAAATTATCCATCAAATTAATTTAATTTTAAGTAAAGTAAAAAAATTTATTGGATATATTTTTAAATAATAAGAATTGGTCTTTAGCTTAACTCTAATATAATATCCTTTAGCTTTTATCCATTTATTTATTTCAATATATATATATATATTTACTTACTTTTTAATTTTGCAAATTATTTTTACTCTTTCCATCCAATATAATAAAACTTCTAGTTAAATCATTATTAGCTTCCATCTCATATATTAAACTGCTATTAATTAAGTTGAAATTTTAATTAAAGTGCAAAATATTAAAGGGAGGGGGGGAAAAAAATAAATAGGCTTTTATTTTTATCTTTAAGTAGTGGTTATATATGGGTAAATATTTTTATAAGTAAAGAACTTATGGATTCTACCTCCCACCTAATTTTTTTAAATATCATAACTTTTAATAATTAAATCAAATATTAACCATTTATAGTTTGAATAAATTAACTGTTATATTTTAATTTTTATACTTAAATTATTTATACTGAAAAAGATATTAAAATTATTATTATTTTTCCAATTAACTATTTCATTAACTTCTATTATTTAATACTTTTAAAAATTTTATTTAGGCATATTATTATAATGAATAAAGCTAACAAAACCTTCAGTTAATAAAAAAATATAAAACATTTAAAGATAAATGTAAAATACATATCACCTACATTAGTTAATTACTAATATTTTAATTACTTATAATAACTTTTAATTATATATTTGATAAAAATATCTAATATTTTAATTTTTTTTGTTTCAATTAAAATAATTAATAGTATTTATTGATTATTTATTATGTAATTTATTTGAAGTTGTTATTTAATTAAAAAAATATTCGTGTATTATTGATTATTACGTAATTTAATTGAAGTTGTTATTTAATAAAAAAAAATATTCAAGATGTTAAATAAAGTTTTTTATTTTTTTTAAAACGTGCTTATTTATTTATAATGGTGAACAAATCTTATTTTTAGGCAAATTAACTTGAATAATTAATAATCAATGTATTTTTTAATAGAATTTGATTTATTATTTCAATAAATTTGTATAAGAATTCTGCAGAATTTTGTTTAAATTATTTGGATTTATTCACAAACAAAAACGAAAAAAAAAAATTAGATTTGCAAATTTTAGAAAATTAATTAACTAATTTTTTTGTTTAAATTAAAAAAGTATATCAAATAAACAAATGTAGGATTTTTACCCTAAAAAGAAGGAAGAATAGGTTGACACTCTTTTTAAATTCATAATAGTAGGAAATGCTTCATCAGGAAAGACATGCTTGTTACATTATTTTATAGAAGGAAAGCGTAATTAATTACAAAATTTAAAGCAGACAATAATAAAATATGAATTTTAATTTGCCATTTAATTGAAACAATAGATAGATTGATTAATATATGTTTATTTAGATTAAGCAAAACGCTAAAAAAATTAAAATATTTATATATTTTAACAGCAAAATAAAATTCAACTTATACTATTGGTGTTGAATTTGGGTCTAAAATTGAAAAGGTTGGATCAAAGCTAGTTAAATTTTAAATTTGGGATACTGCAGGATAGGAAAGATTTAGATCAGTAGCACGCACATATTATAGGGGAGCAGTAGGAGCAGTAATCGTTTTTGATCTGACAAAGTAAAATATTAGTTAGAAATCAATAAATATTTTGAAAATACAAGAAGAAATTATTTACATTTCATTCTAACCTTATTTTTTAATACTTATTTCACAGCATAGATTCATTTCACTCACTTTAAAATTGGGTCAATGATGTTAGAGAATTAGCAAATAAGGAAGTATGTATTGTAGTTTGTGGAAATAAATCTGATTTGACAGATGAACGTGCAGTTTAAAGTCATGAAGCAAAACGTTAATGTGAAAGTCTAGATGTAGAATACATCGAAACAAGCGCATTAACTGGTGAAAATGTAAATGAAGCATTTTCTATTATAACTAAGACTATTTTGCAAAAAATAGAAAATAATTAAATGGGTAATAAATACTATTTAAAATAAATATTAATTGTTAGATTTTATGAAATATTTTTTTTAAAATTAAATAATTTTATCTTTTATCATTTTTATTAAAAGAGCCTATTTTTTAACCGCGTCCATTTACACCTAAGCCTGATTAATTTGATATTGATAAACCTACAAAATGCAATTGTTGATCATAAAATCTAATAAAATAATAATAAGCTATGATATTATAATCCAAATCATTAAAATATTAAAAAAATTTCAATAAATTAGTTTGAAAATATAAAAAATAATTAACTTAATAATAAATAAATATAATTCTCATATAATTATCATATTCTAGAACTATCTATCTCTCTATATTTTATACAATAAAAATTAAATAATTATTAATCACATTTATTTATTTATTATTTCCTTCATTATTATATATTCAATAAAAATATTCTAAAAATGTATCTAACTAAAAAATTAAAAAATGAATGAAAGAATTTAATCATTAAATTTAAAACATAAAAAATTCAGAAATAATATATTGTTGATAGACATAATTTATACCCCTCCACAGCATAAAATTTTATTTAAGGAGTGAAATATAATTATTTAATAACACACTGATTGATAGATATTAAAAGCGTTTATTATAAAATATTAATTTATTTTATGAACATTTAAGTCTCAAATTTAAAAACTTTATTTGAACAAGTTTTTTTAACACTTTTTTCAAAAAATAAAAACCTTTAATAATTCTAACTTTTAATTAAAAAATGTGTTAGAGTTCAAGATATATAGGATAAAGTTATTAAAAACAGAAATATATATAATAACATGTTCAAATTTTAATTTAGTATAGCAATATACCTGCCAATGAAAAATTTAGTAGTTTAAATACCACTAAAAACATAATTAGAAACCTATTCAACTTTAATTCATATTTGGTTATCTTAAATTGAAAATTTATCATATTTGAATAAACTTGTAAGTAACATTTTGATGATTTAATTTATTTATGTTTTAATCAGAAAATAATTAATTAAAAAAGAACTAATCAGATGATGATATCAGTTAAAATTCTTTATTAATTAATTAGTTAATTCAATCTTGCTGAAGCCATAGAAAAGTGCCAATTTAAAATCATTATATAGTTTAAATATTTATTTTTTTTTCCATAAATCCTTAAATATTTATTTTTTTTTTCCATAAATCCTTATATGTTAAAACCATACCCTTTATTTGGATTTTTTTTTTTTTGAAAATTTCTAGACACATTTGTTGACTCATTTTTTTTATTTTATCAAAATGGAATATTTTTTTCTTTCTTTTTTCTGAGTCACTTCTAAAAATATTAATAAAAAAAAAATTTAGTATATTCTTTAAGCTTTAATCCTTGTTTTTAGCATTAGATTGAAAAAATTACTTTTAGTCATATTTTTAAAATTAAAAATGTTTCTTTCTAATTCAAAAAGTAATATATTTAAATATAATAATGAGAAATACTCAAAATTGCAGTTAAAATGAAGGAGTTAAAATAGTTTAATTTAATTTATAATAAATAACTTACTAAGAAATTTTTAATAATTTACAAGTAAGTTTTATATGAAATAAAAATAAGAAATGTAATAAATATAAATATTTCAATTTAAATTAATTAAATATTAATTTTAAATTAAGTTGATTAGCTTTAATTTTTTATTCATAAATTAAAATTGATTTTTTAGTTTTTGGATAGAAATAATCAATACAGAGCAACAGCTCTGCACATTGGACATTTTTAATTTACTTTGAACCATTCTATTATACAGCCTTTATGAAAACACCTTTTACAGCAATCAGATAAGTAAACTTAATCTTTCTCTTCAAATTCAACTAAGCAAATGATACAGCAAAGCTCTGATAATTCCTATTCAGTATACTTTTTAGTAGATTAAAGTGTGTTTTTAATGTCGTTGAGAGAGTGAGTTTTTAATTCTTTTTTACTCTTACAAGCTAATAATTAGAAAAAGAGATAGAAAATGAGAGCTATCAGCATGAAAATTAGAGCAACAGTCACAATTATAATCTATAACCAATTTACTATTGAGTAATAAAAGCTAAATACTATTGCAACATTTATTTCAGATGGGTAACAAAAAGAAAAAGTGAATTCAAGCAAGTTGTATATTACCAAATAGTATTCTTCAAGAAATGAATAGACTCTCATTATTTTAGACAGCAAAAGCCTGTCTTTGTACTTTATTATAACTTCAATTTCTCTTTAAATTAAGTTTGAATTAATTTGGTAGAGCATTTGCTAATTATTATCTAATAAATAATCAGTATCTTTTATATTAGAACGGTTTATGTGATTTATTTAAAGTAAATGCTTCTGATAATAATCATAGCTCACCCTATTTTCTCTGATATTAGGAGAGTTTAGTAATATATTTTATAAAATATTAGTGTCCTTAATAATTTTGATTGTTAAATTAAAAACTTGAATCAAGTAATAGTTTTCTATAGCTGAAATATTTTATTTGCTTTATTTATTTTAGTTAGCTTCATTGACATTTTAAGCATTTTATTCACATTATGCTTCAATTAAATTAGGATTATCAATATTGTTGTTACTGTTTGAAGTATTACTATTTATTTATCCATTAGAATTAACTTGGAGGTTTTAAATATTGTTATTACTATTTTGATTATTGTTATTATTTATTTAATTATTAAAAACTACATTATTATTATTGTTGAAACCTTAAAATGAAATTTAATTTTAATTGCTATTACTATTATTATTGGAATATTACTAATTATTAGAATTATTATTTGCTCTATTTTAATTAACAATATTATTTACTTGAGATTACTATTGTTGTAAGCTTTACTAATATTTTATTGCAGTCATAATTAATTATACATACTCTTCGGGGATTGCTTGATCAATTTAATGCATTGATATATTGTTATTTGCAACATATTAATTGTTTTATATTTAAACATTTTACTATGCTAACATATAATTATTTTAAGGAATATTAATGACCTAATTGTTTTGAATACTAGCATTATTTATATTATTATTGTTGTTGCTGATATTGTCATTTTAATTAGCTTATTCCTAATCTTAAGGCTGTTAAATACTTATTTATTCTATCTTGTTCTGTAAATCTTTTTACTTTTTGTATTAAATTTATAAATCAGAAATCAGGTAAAAGAAAAGATCATGACTGAGAATGTTAACTTCATATAGATTCAAAGTACTTAGATGTTGCTATGATTTCATATATACATAAATATTTAAAAGAAAATTTCTAAACGAGAAGAGCGTATAAAGACAGAAGTGCGCAAGTATTGTAGCATTACAAAATTAAGATGCATTCCTGATCATAAGATATAAGAATCCTATACAGAGAGGAAAATAATATATAATCAATTGAATTTTCTTGAATTTCAGTTTTTAACATAAAATGCTATTCAAGGAATTAATTGATTGTGTTCTAAGCTCTAGTCTATACCTCAATGAAGAGATATATGCCTAAGTTTATTACAACTAGAATGAATATTCATCACTTTAGTTTTGTGGAGCTACAACAGCCTAATCTTAAGGTTAGTTTTAATTATTATTTTATTACAATTGAATTTCTTACTGACTCGCATTCTAAGCTTAGTTTTCTTAATTTATTATCTGATTGGCTTCCTATAAAGGAGCAATTTATTCTACATTTCTCAAATTTTGATTCTCATCATCCACTTACTATCCTTTAGATTCCTACACTTTTAACTCCTGATTTTGAATTATATCTTGATTGATGTCTAGATTTTCTTTTGAATCGTCTTTTAGGATAGTAGTTGCTTTTGTAAATATTTAATTTGTAGATTGATCCAGATCAATAATATCGTTAGCAGATAACATTCTCTTTTAATTTTTATTTTAATCATAATTATTTTTTTAATTGGGCTCGTTTGAAATATATAATTCAGAATTAGATCTCTTTAGCAAAAACTTTCCCTTATTTAAAACCACGCCTTCTCCTTTGAAAGAATTCATTAGGATTTTATTAAGATTTTCTTCTTATTTGTTCTCTTTGATTTAAATATCAAGGTTATTTGATCTTTCTATCAAGTATTGAACAGAATTTTCTAACTTTTATTTGTTCTCCTATTTTTCAGAGTAATTCCCAAATTGCTCTATCTGATCATTCTCCATTTTTTAAAATATTTAATCTCCTTTAATATTTTCAAAATTTAATGCTAGCTATTCTATCTCTATTTTTTTTTTAGAATTTTGCGAGTTTTGAATTACTTTTATTTACTCATTATTCTAAAACTCGTTTGTTTACTAGAAAGATATCTATTCTTCTATGTTATTAAATACAATTAAACCTTCATCCCATTCTTTGTTTTCATGTTGAATTTTTTCCTGATCATTATTTATTTATGAATTATCCGCAGCCACTTTGACAAAATTTTGTATGTCTTTTGATATAAATTGTAAATCTTCAACATCTTCATTTTAGTTGAACTCTATGTTATTTTAAATAAAATTAGCTTTGCAATACTCTATCTAATTCTTAGATGAATTTAAGCTCTAGTTAGCGAGTATATTCTACTAAAGTTCATCTCTTGTATCTTAGAAGGAACTTTATATTTTTATATCTGGCTAATTTATTTGCATGTTCGCTCTTTTTTAAATTATAAAAATTAGATTCTTTTGTTTGATTTCAATAGAATTAAACTTTTTGAAAATTTATATTTATTAGTGATATGAATGAAAGTAGGTTTTGCAAAAAAAACAAATAATAAACCATTTAAATTCTTGTTAAACTATAAAGAAAGATTAAATAATAATTAATTAAATGAATTAATGAATGATTTAATTTGCTTTTTAGATTATTTAATTTATCTTTCTATCTAATAACTAAGTAAATAATTAGATTTTAAAAATCAACTCTTTCAAAAGTTTAATTGTAAAATAAAAACAGTACATAAAAAAATATTTATAATAAATTAATTGCTCTTAGCTAGCAATTGATTATTCTTTTATATACTTTAACTTTAAAAATAAGCTCATATAATTATACTAGGAATATAATAGAAGAGCTTGTGGCAATTAAATTTTTATTAGGTAGACAACTATGCTTTTTTTTTATTTTAAATTATTTTTTAAAAATTAATCTTTTTAATTTTAAAGATTACTTACTAAAACATTTATTTAGAGCAAATTTATTTACAAAAATTTTAGAGGGAATTTAATTTTAGTATAGTCAAAAGTTTAAGCAAAATTTGGTAAATTTAAATTTGAGAAATTATTTATTTTAAAAAATTATATAATATTCAATCCAACATTAAAATATTTTAAATTAAATTTTCTTTTTTTCTATTATTAGTTTGATGAGTTTTAAAAAAATAAACAAATATATCAATCGAATTTATTTAATTTAATTGCTATTATAATATAAAAAATGCACCGACCGGGAATCGAACCCGGGTCAAAGCGATGGCAACGCTCTATTCTACCACTAAACCATCGGTGCTTTCGGTGAAAAACTTCATTTCAAATTGATGAAATCAAAACTCTTTTTCTAAATTTAAATTTCTTTTTAATAAATCAATAATTGTGTTGAGTATTAAATACTTATATATTAATAAATTATTTGATTTAATATGTTTTTAAAAAATAAAGAATGAAATTTATTTATTTGGAACTTGTAGATTTTAACTGAAAAAAATTAAATATTATTAAATTACTTTTTAATCTAAATAAATATTTATAAAAAATGCACCGACCGGGAATCGAACCCGGGTCAAAGCGATGGCAACGCTCTATTCTACCACTAAACCATCGGTGCTTTCGGTGATAGTCTATTTTGTAAGTATTTCTTCTAGAGTGCTTTAATTTTAAGATAAATTTAATGAATTATTAAATATTCACTTTTATTAAAGCTAAATATATAACTAAAATTAATAATAAATAAATGAAAACTAACAACTGTATTAATTTATCTTTTTTTATTTCATTTTATTTATCTCTCTATCAAATATGTAATTTATTTATTAATTTAAAAATTTATAAAAAGCCTTTGAAAATTTTTAGATAAATAATTCATATGTTTAAATTTGAGCTTTTATAATTTTTATAAATAAAAATTAATTTATACATCTAAAAGTATAAACTTTTGAAAATATAATATAATTTCTTAAAAATTAAGGGTATTAGATATAATTTAATATTTTTAAATAAAGCTGCTTTTTAGGTTCGTTCATCATTAATTTAATTTAATTTTTTGTTTGGATGAGTATTGAAAATTTATGCTTCATATAAGATATTTATATATTAATTTAAATATTAAATAATAATTTTTATTAGAGTGAAATTTATTTTGCAAGAAAATATATTACAATATTTATGTATTTATATAAACTCTATTTAAGTTAAATTAATACTATTAAAGTAACTTAAATAGGAAAAAAAGGTAATTCTAAACTTAATATTAATCTAAACAAATATTAGTTAGATCAAATTAATTTTTCACTAACCTTATTAGTATTCTTCATCATTAGCACCTTCCTAGTTTCTTTCTTCTTCCTCTTCTTCACCTTGATCATCGCCTTCTTACTATTATTATTACTATTGCTCATCATCTTAATCTTATTCAGCTTCGTTTTCTCTATCTTATTAATCATCATATTCTTCCTATCTTTCAGCGACTTCTCCATCTCCTTCTTCATCCTTCTTTCCACCTGAACTGTAAACCATCAATTTAGTAATATAACTTTTGTATTATTCCTATTCATTAAAGTTATTAAAATAAAAGTTTAATTTTAATTTTCTATTTTACAAGTTCATCATTTAATCTATCGTTTTCAGCAGTTAAGATTTCTTTTTCTTCATTCATATGAGAGAAAAGTGCTTTGAATTTTTCTATTAACTCTTCCATTTTTTTAATTTCCAAATCCTTTAACTCATTGTTTCTAGATACTATAAATAATAAGTATTTAATAAATAGTTAGAAGATAAAAAATTTAAATACGCTCTTTGATGATTTCTTCTTTTCTTTCAAGTAGCTTTTCAAGACTTGCAACTCTCTTAACTATTTAAGGATCTTATGATTATCCTTCTTCTTCATTTAATTTTTCTGTGATCAAATCTAAAATCTAAGGATTTTCCTTAATTGCTTTAATTAGGGGATCGTCTAAATATTGAGTTTGTAAATTTTAAATTTTAGAGTTTGATTCAGACAAAAGGGATTCGAATTATTTTAGTTTTTCTTTATAACTTAATTCAATTTATTTAAGAGATTAAGACATTTCTTCATTTTGCTATTTGATGTTGGTTTCAAACTTTTGGCATTAAACTAATAAAGCTTCATTCTTCTTCTTTTCTGCTTCATATGCTAATTTGTACTAATCAGCCTCTTTAGAATTTTATTCTTTTAACTTTTGCACTATTTCATCATGATTTTTTTCTAATTAATCAAGCTATTTATATTAATAAATAAAAATGAATACTTTCTCTACCATATAATATTTAAATTATTTATTTATTTGATTTTGAATTTACCTTTTATTTTAATGAGGAATTATCGCTTTCTAATCTATGAATTTCTTATTTATATTTCTAATCAGAAATGCTATTTGCAGGTAAAGTAGCATTATTTGAACTAGTTAAATTGCTTTATTCATTTTTAGGAGAGGTTTCAGATCTTAAGTTACTAGAAAGTTAAGCCCCATGAGGAGAAATTGGGGAAGTAATAGTATTTAAATTTGAAACATTTTCTGGAGCAGGCTAGCTTTCAAGCTTAGGGGAAGTTCTTTCAGCTACTTGATCAGATTTCTACTATTATTGCTATTATTGTTCATACTTTGTGAGATAGTAAGAAGGCTGATTCAATTACTAGATGTGAGATCCACCAATAGATGAATTAGAGGTGATAATTTTTTCATATCTAGAAGCAGGAGATGTGTAGCTGTTTTAAGTGTGTAAATTATTTTGGGAAGTGCTTACACCAAGATTTGAAGTATAAGCATTTGCATGAGAAACATAAGATGATTCAGATTATAATTTATTATTTAATTCATTTATTTTATTCATTATATCTCTCTTACGTTACTCTCTTTGCTTTCTTTCCATATCAAATTATAAAAATGTTTCAACATTTCTTTGATAGTCAGGATTGTTGCTAGTAGTAGAAGCAACCTTATTAGGGCTTTAGTAAAGAGAATATCCTTTTTAATGTGCATTTAATCTCTTAATTGAATCACCCAAAAATTAATTATTTCCTTTTAGATAATAATAATCAAAATAAATAATAAATAAATAAATGAGTATTACTGAACAACAAATAAACAAATATTTAAAAATATGGAATAAAAAAGAAAATTTTCTATTAAAAATTTAATTTAAATTGAAAACTCAAATAATTATTTGGTTTTGTTAGCTAAAATAAATTCATTTTATTCATTTATTTTTTACGTTTCATTTTTGTAATTCTTTTTTTTTGTAGATATTAGCATTAATGCATTAAGGTAGGTAATAAAAATTGTTCATTAATAAATAATTACTCTGAATATTTGAGATACTGTAATTAGAAAGTAATCTTTCATGAATTGTGCTTGGAGATAAATATCTTCTATTGTCATCTCTAACGGGTGATCTATATTGTTCACGATCTCTTTCAGGGGAACTTATGAATCTGCTGTTAATTTAACCTAAATTAATTCATTTATTAAAAGATTATGAGCAAATCTTAGAATTAGATGGAGTTCTTTCAAAGGATTAGCAAATAAATCAAAATATCTTCATACATTTATATATCTGATAATTGTAAAATGAAATTTGATGAATAAATTACTATCTATCTTTTATCTAAGATATTGCTTTTCTAATCTTTCGCTAAGAAGCTTGGATTCATAATTTAATCTCCTTGAGTCAGAGAAATCTATTCATTTTTTAATTTAAAAAGATTGTTATATTTTGTTTGTATTTAAATTTTTGGTGCTGTTAAGCATCCATCGTCTGTCTCAAAATTATATTTTTTTGTGAGACTTTGCAATAAAAGAGAGAATAAATCTAATACGGCTAACTTCAGACATTTTATTTTTTGATAGTAATTTTATTTTGCTTTATTGGAAACAATATATCTTTCTAATTTGAATAAAATCTTAAAATATTCCTAACAAAGAAATCAATTAGTTTATTTATTTATTTATATTTCAGTCAATATATATCATTTAATCAATAAATTATTAGATAGAGAAATTAATGAATGAAATAAATTATTTAATTTAATTTATAGGGTTTTTAATTTTAGAACAGTTATCCAGCAAAAATTAAAAGGATTACCATAGAGAGAGAATCTTATTTTACTTTTTCTTTTTTATTTTCTTTTTATTAAATTAATTCCAACTGGCTCTTTTTGAATTATTAAATACTTCAAAATTAAATTCATTTTTTATAAATTTAAATAAAGCATTCAAAAAATATTAAATCAAGGCCAAAAAAAATATTTTTACTTGAAAGCCTTTATTTAAAATATTTTCAATCATTAGAAGCATTTTTAAATGAATGAATAAATAAATTATTTTTTTATTAAAAATTTTGAAAATGAAGAAGAAAAAATCAATAAAATATAAAAAAATAGAAATTAATTTTTTTATTTGATTTTAAATTTAAAATATTTTTTTAGTTTGATTTATTCTTTAATATTTTATTTTGTAAAAATTAATTATTAAAAAAAAAATAATTGAAGATAGGATCATATAAAAATAAATTTCATCACCTATTGTATATATTTAGTAGGACTATTTTTAGTAAGATTGATTTGAATAGAATATTATACTTAGAAATAGCTGAGGATGATTGATTGAATAGATCAAAATGTATTTATATAAAATTTAAATAAATAAAATCGTTTTATTGCAAATATAATGAATTTATTTGTTAATAGCTCAAGATTAATTGATAACAATTTTTATTTTATCTGCACTTTGATGTTTATTATTATTTTTAGTAATAAAAATTTTTTGGTATTTTAAATTGCTGAACTAAAGATGAAGAATTTATTTATAAAATACTTTCAAAATCATCACTTCTTAAAGATAAATTTAGGTTGGCTTTCTACTTCAATATATTTAAAGATTTTAAACTATGCTAACTTGTGAAGGTGATTTTGGTGAAGTAATTGTTAAAAAACTATGCAAGCATTTTTTAAAAAATTTCAAATTTAAATTTTATTTCCCTTAGAGCGAATGAAACAAGTTATATTTACTACTTACTTTATAAAGTGTTAATTAATGTTTTTAATTATTTTCCTTATTTCTTGCCCAAAAGCTGCTTTTGCTTTATTTACTTTTTCTTTTTCGCAATTTTTTAAGTCGAGGGATCGAAAACCTTGAACGAACTAAGATTTTTTTGTTTGCAATTTATCATTTGAATGAAAAAATAATAGCAAATTATAATCTTAATTTTTTTGATGCACAAAAAATCAAACAAAAAAATTATACAAAATCAGGATATTTTCTTAATTGAAAAGTCTTTTATAACAAGTACATGTAATTTTCTTCAGTAGCAAACAACTAATTTCTTTAATTATTCAACCTAACATTTGTTTGTTTTTAACAGACATAAATGCCTTTTTTAATGTCTTCAAATATTAGTTTTTGAAGACTAATTTGAGCAAAGAATAAAGAAAATGATCATTTAAATTAAATATTTTAAAATTATCTTCAAATTAAAAATTTGTAGTGTTTTTATGTGTTAGTTTTAAAAGGGTATTATCAAGCTTTTTATTCATAAATACATAGTAAATTTTGATTAAGGAATGCTTGCTTATTTTGATCGATTGATATATAGTTCCTATTATCTATCAGAGTTAAGCTCTTTACTTTTAATATTTTTGACTACACATAAGATTGATTTATGGATACAAATTTATTTCTTTCTTAAATATTTGTGAATTTTGCCAATTATTTATCAAAAATTTTCAATAACAACAAATACTATTATAAATTATAGCGTCTTCCAAACTGCTCTTCTATCATCTTTTAAAAAGGCAAAATTTTATCAAACAATTACTTGATATCAAAAATTTAACAATAATATTTTTTATAATCTTTTTTTTTTCTACCTCTTCTTCATTCCCTATAAGTTAAGGGACTAATGAAGAATGAGGAAGTGTAAGTTTATAAGAATTAGTGTCTAACTATTCCCAAATTATTTTTACCTTATATCATATTTGCGTCAACTCTTTTACAAGCATCAGCTTTATGAGCTTCAAAAACTTTCATACTTTGTCTGTTAAAAAAACGGGTCTGACTAAAATTGCAAATGAAATAGAGTTCAGGGATTGTTCATAATCAGTTACTTCACACTTTTGAGTGCACCCCACCGTTTTTTAAATGTAAACAGACAAAAAGAAAATAGAATATTTTAAAGTCCGAAATGTAGCTTTGAACACTTGAAATTGACGCACTTTCTAAATCAAAAGGATTTTTTATTTTCTACAGCAATTGGCTGCTTGGGTATATAAATGAAAAACGTTAAAAAGCAATCATAGATACCCTTAAATATGTGTTAAGTTGTCTATTAAAGAGATTTATATAAATTAAATAGATATTCTATTATCTGGTGAAATGTAGTTTAGTACATTTTGTAGAAAAAAATAAGTAGTGAATGAGTGAGTGAGTAGATGAAGGAGTAAAAAAAGAATAGAGGAAATATATATATATTATAATAAGATATTTAAATGTATGTTTCAATTATTGCAGCAAGTGAGCCTATGGGTGTTTTTACATTGATAATTACTTTATTATTTGTAGATGAAAGAAAATAGCTCTTGCTTTGCTCTATCACAGACAAAGAGACAAGAACTAATTATAATTATAAGTTTCCCTACAAGCAGAATCTAATTTTTGAAGCCTTTCTTTGTTAATAAAATACTAATCTGAAAATGCTAATACAGTAAATGTTAGTAAATAGAAAATAAATTGGATAATATGAAAAATAAATATTCAATCGAAGTTGGAGATTAAAAGAAAGAGGTAGAACAAACATGCTACTCAATTAAGGGATAACTACTAATATTAGCTTTTATTAACGAATTTGGCATGAGTAAGAGAAATGTTTGTAAAAACAAAGAAAAAAGCATTAATCAAAAGATGCTCGCAAGTGAAAGTTTTCAACTGTAATCTTTATATTAAAAAAGAAAGAGAGTGATTGACTGAGTCAGTCAGAGATAAATAAATAGCTAAAGAGATGGGGGGTTTCGATAAGGAGTGCACATCAAAAGATTTAACTTGATAAAATATTAATTGAAGGAACAAATCAATCGATCGATCGATCGACCAATCGATCAGTCATACAGACAGACAATGAGTCTATCTATAATATTAATATAATCAAACAATCCACCAAAGTTTGTTAACTGTTTTTGAAAATGGGAAGTGATTCAAAGTAAAGTGGAAGGAAAATAAAAAGGAAATCAAACAATCAAATTATCAAAAACAAAAAATAATTGCTTCTTTGTTCAATCAAAAAAATCAAATATTAGAAGAAATTAAAAAAAAAAATTAATTAATTAAGTTATTAATTTGTTTGTGCAAATGAATGAATGAATTATTAATTAATTAATAATATATAATGCTTTATGAGATGGGGAATAGATAGATAATCTTGAGTCGGTTGAAATAATCAATATGATGATTATATATAAAATTATATAAATAATTAATTACTCGATAAAATTTAAAAATTAAATTTTTAGATAAAAAAGGGCGTTTAAAAAAAAAATGTTATGATAATACATATAGCTTGAGCTAGATGTGAACTGATAGCGAGCTAAAATTTCATGGATTTCTACTGATTTTTTAATACCTACCTTGGAAAGCACTTTCTATATATAATAAAGTGAGAAATGAATTTCTATTTATGTTATTTTTATTATTCGCCATTTTATATTTCTTTTTCATATATATTAATTTTTATATATTCTTTTTTTTTTTTTTGAAGGAAGAGTGGTTGTGTGTAGTTCGTTCATGTCTTCTTTGATCAACTGATTATGATTGATTGATTAACTTTAATGAATCTCAGATTTATTATTAATTAATTAAAATTACTTTCTTTCAAGAGAGTGGGAGGGATTAGTTAGTTGATTCAAATGAAAAAATGAATAAATGATCAATTGATTAATTCGTAGATCAAGTCAGCTAATTAACTATTATTTTGTTAGCTAGCTTGAGATCAATATTTGATAGATCATTTAAAAAATATAATAGACGATTTTGGAGAAAATAAAAGGTAAAGTGTCTCTCTCAACCTATATATTATTATCTGATCTCCTTCTTTTTTTTACTTACTTTTTGTTAATGTTCTGTTCTATATATTTTTGTACAAATAAACAAGAAAATGCAAAGAAAACTATTTTTTAAATAGCATTGATTGATTGATATTGAATTCCCCTTTAATAATTTAATGTATTTTGAGAGAAGAAAGGTTTATTAATTAATTAAAGAAGAGGAAAAAAGAAGAAGAAGAAAAAGCAAATTAATTATTAGAGTGACTATATAAATAAAGAAAAAATTTTAATTTGTTAGGGAATTATAATCATAACTAATTAATTATTCTTTTTTTTTCAAAAAAAGAAGAAAAACATCAAATCAAACATATTGTTCATTTTTTTTGACTTCAGTATTTGTTTTAGGGAAGATAATCGTACGAAAAATGTCGTTTAATACTTCTTAAACTGTTTAACATTCCTAACAAAGTCAAAAACAAAGTATTTGTAGCGAAAATGATATCAACGTTCTCGCAAATATTTTTGAACAAAAAGGCAATCTGCTTTTCTCTGATTAAGGCAAGCTCGTTTATTAATGCGGGTTATATGTCCTCAAGGAGGTTTACTTGCCTTAGATTCAACAATAATCCTAGCAAAAGGATAATCATAGCGTTTCTGATCAGTAGTAACAGGCTCCTTCCTCTTCAGCTAGCAGTCAACCTGTTGTTTCTGCTGTTTATCCTCCTTCTCCTATCCAATCATAGCAAAATGAGATCGACCTAAAGCTAATTTTAGAAAAAAGAATCAAAGATTGCTTGCTTTTATAGAACGAATTTGTGATTACCCAGAATATAAGCTGCAAAAATGCTAACATCGCTAAGCCCATCGACTTCAAGGCTACTCCTGCTAGATGTATGCTATTCTCTCCTTATATGAGCGAAAAAGACGCTTTTACTCACTTGATACAAAAAAACGCGGGTATTTTTTAAAAAATAAACTATTTCTCCCTCGAAAATAGAAGCAACGAACAAGATGAATTATTACATAGAGTTCGTGGAATTCTTTTCGGTGCTATGAAGTTAGCATTCGAAATAGGCACTGCTTTAAAGTACCTGCACGAAGAACTCAATATTGCTCACAATGACATCAAGCCTGATAACTTTTTCGCTCACTTTGGCTAGCATCCTCTAATTGAAAGTAGCTAAGTTTACGACTACACCAACAAAGTCACTCGTGATGATGACGGTGTTTAATACTATCTTGGTGACTTCGCCTACTCCAAGGAGTGCGGATTCACTTCTTAGAAAGAAGCCAAGAGATTCTTCTAATAGAAAGTTTAATCCTACTTTTCACCTGAAATCTTTGCTTTGATAGAAGGTGGACAAATTGATCTTCAGAACTTCGAAAAGCAGTACGATGTATTTGCTTTTGGCATCAGTCTCTTCTAGATCCTTTTCCAAATGAACCCCTTTCAATCCAATGGCTGCCATCTCAGCGATACCTCATTTAACCTTCTCCACACTAACCCTGAAAAGTTTTGGAGCTAATTGTGGTAACCGCTGAGCGTCTACGGGTAGATGACTAATATTGACCTGATGAAAGATCTCTTGACCAAAATGCTTGAAAGAGATCCTTCTAAGAGACCCAATATTAGCCAAATCCTATAGCACCCATGGCTCGCTAACATCTAAAACTATTTTTTATAATTAACTCACTGAAAAACAAACAAACAACCAAACAAACAAACAACCAACCAACCCCAACCACAAACAAAAAAACATACACAAATCTTAATAATTTATGAATTAACCTAACCATTTTCTTTGAAACGATTTTGAGATCGTGATACTATGATTAGCCTGCAATCATTTCAAGTTACTATTCAAACCAAAATGCAAACACCCACCTACTCTTTATAAACCACTTACTTTTATTTTTTATAATCGCAAGTTAACTTTTGTTCACTTGCAAACAAACCCCCTACCAACAAACCACCCATAAAAACAAAAAATAAACAACCAAATCTAATAACTTAATTAAAAAACAACAAGAAAACAAAAAAAGCAACCAAACAAATCAAAACAAACACAATAATAATAATTTATAAATGCTTAATGTATTATTTCTCTCATCTATCTTTCTACTTTTAAAACAATTCTTTAATAAAATATTAATTTAATAATTAATAAATAAATAAATCAATACCTAATTTAAATATCCAAACTCCTACGAATTTTATTAATTAAAAATAAATTTAGTTAAAGATAGCTTTATCTATGAACGAAAGAAAATAGTTAATGTGCAAAAATAAAAATAATGCAACCAAGAACTAATAAATTAATAACCAATAAATACAATAATAACTAACTTGATTGCATTTGCAGCCGTCACATAAGTAATATTTTAGCGAAAGCTAATCTGCATGCATGTTAACAATTTTCAGCTATTTTTAACAATCGAGTCCAAAAATCCTTATTTCCAATGGTAAGAAGGTTTCTGTGAACAAATCTTCCACTTCATTTACCATAACTTGCTACTGGAAAAAGGAAACAATAAATAAATAAATAAAATAAACATAACCTACTTCTTAAAACTACTATTAAATAATAAATATTTAAATAAAATCACTTTATAATTGTGCTTTATCAATTGTTTTAAAAATAATTGATTAGCACTTTTCCTTACTTCTATTTAAAGAGAGTGAACTCTCACTTAGAATAAATAAATCTTAACGTGTATTCTATCTATATTTTTTATTATGTTAGTGTGTATTAATAAAAACAAATAAAAAATGATAACTTGCATTTTTGTGACTAATTTGATCACAATTCAAACATAAAACATTTAATCTTCTTTTCATTTCTTTTTACTTAAATTTCTTTGATAATTATTAAATTTTCTATTATTAAACATAAAATTAATCTTTTAATTTAAAAGATTTATTGAATTAATTTGTTTTTTTATATTTTACAAATTCAAAATTTTTCTAAATCTTATTATTTTAACTTTTTTAAATTATTTTTATTAAATATATTTAATAATTATTTATTGGATATAATAAATCATCTTACTTACATTTAAAGCTCTTATTTTAATTTAAGTAATTTTTTAAACAAAAATTAAATAATTAATATTAAGTTATCTCTTAAAATAACTGTTTGTTTTCAACTAAAAATTATTTCAAATAATTAAAATAAATTGTAATAAAAGAAATTAATTAATTAATTAGCTTTTTTGTGTAATTAAAAAAATCAAAGTTTGATTAAAATATTTTTTTAATTTAAATATTATATTTTATTTAACCAAATTTGATAAATTATTTCTGTTATTTATAAAAATTTTTAGCTAATTTTTAAAATATTAAAGTTGTAATTATAATTTTATTTAAGTTGATATAATGTCTAAAATTAAAATGAATAATTTGTTCTTTTTACTCAGTAAATTTATATAAAATTAATCAAGATGATTGAAACAATTTTCAAAGTGAGTTATTTTATTTAATTGGATTTTCAAAAATAAATTCACTAATTTAAAATTTAATTTAAATGATATGGAAAAATATTGTTTTATTTTAAAATTTATTGAAACACAAAATAGATAAAAAAGTTGAGATAAAAAAATATCTTAAAATATCTTCTCAAGATTTCTGATTTCTTAGAAGAAAATTTATTGATAAAATTTTGTTAATGAATAATTAAAAATATTTACTAACTTATTACTTGATTATAATTTTTTGTAATGAATGGCTTAAAAATGTATTTATACTTTGATTAGCTTACTGATGTATTGTTCAAAGGCTGCTTTGTTTATTCTTAAAAAGTAGCGATTCAGTGCTTAAAGATTTTTTACCATTCTTCCAATAAATTTATAAAGTAATAAATATAAGGCTATTATCAAACAAATAAAAAATAACACACCTGCTTCATTCAATAAGGCAATTCGACAAAAGAAAAAGAAAACTACACAGAAACACTTTTTAGTAAAAAAAAAAAAAAAGTAATATTAAAAATAGCTAATTTCTAAGAGATTAATTTCATTAAATTTATTAAATAGAAAGGATATATAAAATAGATTAAGCAAGGTTGCACTAAATAGTAATAATTATATAAATAGATAAATGTAGGTTATAAGCAATCCAAATGGAATAGACAGCTAGCACTAGATGTTGCTCAACTTGTTCTAAAATTTTATTGAAATTCATTCTGAAGATTACGAAAATTAATCGAATCTTTCTTAGTTGCGGAAGTAAATGAATTAAAATATCAAAAGAGAGTGGAACTATTTCAAGTGCTAAATTAACGTAAACCCACTGAACACTGACAAGATCACCACTTATTTTCATCTTTTAGAGAAGAGTTTATTAGAAAATAATAGTCTTGATAATTCTCCTTCTCATTCACCTACAATAAGACCTTCATAGCATTAAAAAGATATGAGTGAATCAAGTAAATCTCCAAACACAAGATTTCTTACCATCAATCCGAATGATGTACCTAAAGATGCATTCAAAAAAAATTGTTTCAAAAGAAGTACCAATGCTGCATAAAACAGAATTAACCTTAATAGCAACAGCAATGACGAAACAGCAGTACCTTCGAATAGGATTTAATAGACTCATGGATATTTTTCTCCTCAAATACAACCTAGTTCTGACAGATAATTTAGTTAAATGTTACAATAATTTGAGCAGAATACGATGAAAAATGCACGAAGCCCTTATTACAATTAAAGTAGTTAAGTAAACTAGCATAATTTCACGAGTGCAGTTTAATCAAGCAATTAAGATCCTTTTTAATAATAAAAAAATAATTTTATCAAACCATCTTAATTTTAATAGCAATAAGGATATCAAAATAATTATCAAATTTAAATTAACTCTAGCAGCAATACCACCTCAGAAAATAATGCCATAAATTAATAAAGAGGGTTAATCAAAGTGGATGAAAGCAACTTTAATAGTCCTCCTATATTTCCTCTTGAAACAGTAAATAATCAATAACAATTACAATTACAACAACAATAGCAAGTGCTATCAAAATTAGATAGTGAAGAAAACAGTGCAAGTAACAGTGAAAGTAGTAGCACAAGAAACAGCTAAGATATCATCAATAATGTTTCAAATAGTTAGCCAAATAATAATCCAAACGGGAATATGTTAAATGCTAACTAATCTCCTACATTGAACAACACGCAAAGCAATACATCTTTGCAGATAGAAAACCTTAAAAATTAAGCATAATAATTTTATAAGGAATACAAAAGCCAGCAAATAGATTCTTAAAGATCAACATAGCAAGATACTTCTAAGAATATAGTTTAAAATGTTAATTTAATCAATCCTCAATCATAGCAAATAGGAAATTAGAAAGACAGTTCATCAATTTAGTAACAATTTTAATAGCCAATCTAATAAGTTTAATCTCCGATTATTCCAATCAGCTATAATATTTCTTACGATTAAGAGAAATATATAGCTACAAACCCATAAATATAGGTAAATATCCAAGGGAATAACCAAGGATAGTAGCATTCGCACTCGTTAGATTATAACCAATAAAATCTAAATAAGTTAGCTTTTAACAATTTTCACTAGTATAGGGCACTTTCTCCAAATCCTCAATCAACATAAAATAATAATTTATAATTCGAAAATAGAACTTACAGTCCAAACAGTAGACTTTATCACAATCCTTAAATGTAAAATTTCTCTTAATAATAGTAGCAATTATAACCTCCCTAGAAACAAACTAAAAATGCTTTAAATTATAAAAATAAGCTGCTTTAAGCAGCAAATCAGGCCGTTCCTTTAAATTAATATCAAGTTGGATAATAGTAAAAGAGCGATTAAAGTATAAACTCAAATTCTTCAAGTAATTTGAGTATGACCACTAATAACCTGACTTAGCCTTAGAGTTTGGCTTAGCAATATGGAATGTAAGAAAACCAATCAACTGCAACTGTATAGAGATACTAATCTCCATTACGCCAAATAAGCTCTATAAATTCTCTCTAGCAGATAAATCAAAATTAATAACAATAAACCTAATAATAACCAGTAAACAACATCGCAGAATAATAGTCAATAATTGATGAAATGTTGAGGTACTAATTCAAAATAAAGCAAGTCCTCGAAAAAACTCAACTGCTTGAAACTTACATGAAAAATAATTCAAGTGCAATAAATTCTTTATTTAACTAATGAACTGAGTGAGAAAAGCATATTTATAAAGATAGAATTTAAGTTAATTCAATTAAGAAAAATAATCCAACCTTGTGTCTGTTTTCAGTTTTAAAAAATTAAAATATCTTCTTTAATTTTAATACAATCTAAATAAATAAATAAAAAAATAACAAAAATAAAATTAAAGTTTAAAAAAATTATAGTAACAATTAAAAAATAAATAATAACTCCTTATTCATTAACTTTTATATGAATTAATTTCTTCAAGTTCTCAATCATTATCTATTCAACAAATAAATACTTATTATTTTCTTTACTTCTTAGTTAGGTATTTATTTAATTTTACAAATTCTTCTATATTATTTATAAACATGTAAATCATTTCAAAACCTTTTAATTTAATCTCAAAAAAGTTTGCATACTTTATTTTTACTTATTAAATGAATAAATCAGTAAATAAATTCATTTAGTTATTCTTAAATTTTTACAATAAATTAATCAATTATGTTTATAAACAAATATCTTTCTTTTTATTTTTAATCATCATTTTTTACTATTCAAAAATAAATCAATTTTTTAATATTAAATTTTTATTTTTGATCATAATAATTATTTTAAATTTTTTAGTAAATTTATTTTGTTATTTGTAAATTTTAAAATATTCCAATTTTATAAATTTTATAGAAACAAACTTTATATTTTAGATTTTAAATAAAAGAAATTTTTTTTAGAATCTTAGATTTTAAGTAATAAGGAAGTTGTGATGAATGTAATTTGTTGATTTAATAGAATAATATCTAATTAAATATGTTTTTTTTTTGAATTTCTATTTAAATATATTGAATTCAAGCATTTTTAAGGTGTAAGCTAAAAAGTTTTAGTGGAAAAAAATCAAATATTTTTTATCAGATTTAAATAAATTTGATGAAAAGAATTCGTTTTTGTTAAATTCAAAATTTTAGAATTATTTTATAAAAGCATTTGTTTTAATAAACATTTTAAATATAAAAATTTAATTTATTTAATAAAATGTATATGAAATGATTAAATAAATTTGTTTATTTTTACTTTTGAGAAATTCTAGATCATGTTTTTTTTTAAAAGTTTAGAATAGAATATTAGAATTGTTAGAAAAAAATTGATAAATATAAATTCTATAATTAGAAAAGCATTTAGGTTCACATTACCTTGTTTAGATATTTAAATATTTAATCTGCTTATATATTAGAAAAAAAGTATAATTGCTAATCATTAATAATTTGTAAGTTAATAAGGATTTTATCAATAAAGACCAAAATGAGTCACATTTAATCAGAAAATAGTGTAAAATTTATGCGAGAGTTAGTTTTGATTATTTTACAAAGAGCAAAGATTTATTACAATAAGGTTTGCCAAGTAGTATTTGAAATGTTAATAAAGTTTTGGAAAAATAATCAGATTTTAAAAAAGTAATATTGCTGGATAGAATAGGGAAAGTACACTTGATCAACAAATATTTGGGATAAAATTTATTAGAAATAATAAACGGTGATCTTAATTATTTCCTCTGAATTTGTGAATGAATGTTTATATGTAATTTGATAAAATATCAATATCAATTACAAATTAAAATTATTCAAGATAAAATATTGGTAAAATTAAGAAAAAAAAAAAAAAACTTTTAATAAACTAAAATTTAAAATAATAAAATAGTTTATAATAAGGCTATTAAGCTTTAAGGATATAAGATATCTTTAAAAATTTGACAGTTTAACAATGTAAACTGAAGACAACTACAAAAAATCTCTTAAAAAGCAGGGTAAAATTGGTAAATCAATGATCTCAGCTATACACTCATTTTTCAATGATGAAAACAGTAAATATGAATAAGAGTAGGAGTAATTTTTTTTATCACATATGAACAAGTACACACTCAAATTCTTTAACAGAAATCTTGAAAAATAATATCAGAAGATAGAGTTTAAAAATCATTTTGCTTTTATCAAAAAAATGATGTGGATAATATGGTTGGTTTGCGGTTTTGCTATTTTAAAGCTCCTCATTAGAAAAGAAACTGAATGGAGAGGATATGCCTATTTTATAGCATGGCCATTATCAACTTTAATAACTTATTTCTTTTTGAAGATAAAATTGAATTAATTCACTTTGATTCATACAATCAATATTTTTATAGTGATATCATTAATCAATTGGACTTTACATGATCCCGATTGCAAAAGAGTCGTACATGCTGACACAATGTCTCCGTTTGTGAGAGGGTTTATGTTCGCTTAAGGTGCTTACTAATACATTACTGGTACTCACTTTCCCTCTATGGCAGCCATGGTCTTATATATTTATTTCTCTTTTATCTTTAGCTCATCATCTGAAACTTATTTATCTAACATTATTTCACTGTTTCCCTACTCTCTGTTATTGATATACAAAATTTATTACATCGAGAAGTAGAAAAGAATTACTTTTTTATTATAAGTATAAGAAAGGAATTGGTCTAATATCATGCACAAAGTCCTACCTACAAGCTTAATGATTCTAAGAGATAATGAAAAGGAAGAAAGAATAGAATTACATAAGGCTAACAACAGAGCAGTGAAAGAATTTAAAGTAGGAGGCCATCAACATTTTAAAAATATTTCAGAAAGAATGTACATTTTGTAGGATTAAGTTGGTTAGCCTTTGACATTAAATAATTAACCAGATTCAAATCAATAACATCTATAAAAACATAAGCTAACTTATAAAGAAAGTTGGGACAATACCCTTTATGCAAAACTTAAAAAAAATGCAATTATACTCCGACCAATATTCAATCCAGGGTAGAACTAGAATGCCAAAAAAAAGCAACAAGAAGAAAGCTTAAGAGTATTTCGTTAGCTATATCAAAATTCATTAGAAGTAAATGCTGCAACTCCTCTTCCTTAGTAATAAAATGAAGTAAAAGAAACTTTTGGAAATTCTCAAGATTAAGACCAAAACTAGTCTGAAAAAAATGTAAAGCAGAATTTTGGATATGAAAATTAAGTAAGTCAAGTGGCTCAATCAAGTCTGCTTTTAAAGGATAGTGATACCTTAATTGAAAATATAAAAGTAATCTTTAAAGAAGAAGGAGTAAGCGATGAAAAAGAATAATAAATTCTAAGTATAAGAATCAATTATTTTTACTTGAATGATTTATATATAGCAATAACGATTAAGGATTAATCTTACAAAGACAAATTTAAAGCTTAGGAAAGAGAAACTTAATTCATTTAAAATTTTGCAAGACAATCAATAAACAAAACCATAAATTTTATAAAATACCCACCTGTGACTCCTGATTTAAATAAGGTTTAAAAATTCATAAACTGTATTTTGATTAATTAGTTATCAAATTAGCTTGAATTCGTAAAAAGTATTCAATCTTTTCCTCAAACACAATCTCAAAAAAATGTAATAAACAAAAGTAGCTTCGATCTCTAAAATCTCATTTTAAGTATTTTTGAGATACTTTCACCTTATGCAAGGGAAAAATAAATACAATTACTATTAAAAAACGAAGATTCAATAAATATAATTAACTAAGATAAATACAAGCTTTGCTAAGTTTTAACAAGTCTCATTTTCAATTCTCTTCTTTACGTAAATAATTTTTATTTTTAAAATATTTTAAATTACTGAGAGATATCTAATAATAAACCTATTATCTATCCATCCATTTATCTGTCAACATACCACTAGTTATAAATCTAATTTTTCTCTTACAAATTTACTTAATAATTATTGAAAATTTACTTAATAAAGAATTACTTTTTAATTTTTCTCATCAAAAATGATGTAATTCATTTTGAATTAATTCAACAAAATTCATGTTAAAAAAAACAGAGTTATAACTTACAGTCTGCTGCTATTCTTATTAGCCTTAATTTTTTTCTAATTATTTTTGATGATCAATAATTTAAGATAAAAGCAATTAACAGATTTAATATAAGCACAATTAACAAATTTAAGATAAGCGCAATTAAGAAAAAAACTCTACATTTTAAATAGAGCTTGAAAAATTGAGAATGTATATGAATATTTTTTATAAATTAGTCAAAAGGAAAAGGCTCTGTAGCAATTGAAATAAACAAAGACTAGAACGATGAAAAAATAATTTAATTTAAAATCAGAAATGAATAGAGTTAGAAAGAGGAAATATCTCCAAGATTAAATGACTCTGTTGAACAACCAAACTTCCCACCACCATTTCCTCCAGTTATATTTTCTCCAATATCTTCTGAATTATCAAATATTAATGTAACCAACCAAACACATGAGAGTGCTTTTGAATCTAAATTAAGTATGAATCTTAAATAAAATTCATAAATGGAACTAAACACTCCATACAACTAGCTAAAACCAACTATCTAAAGATTTTCTTAAACCAGTTAGTATACTTAAAATTTTATAGAAATTGAAGCTTCAGAAAATCCAAACATATAAAATAAAGAAAATTTAATTGATGGAAAAATAAAAGCACCTTCTTTTATTTCTTCAAGCTCTACCTCTCAAAATAGTTAAAAATTTGTATAAAATGTAAGGTTTACGAAAGATTCCATCTTCAAGGAAACCATAAAAGGAGATGGAGCTAAATTAGGATAAAAAATATCTACCAAGCTTATTTAAATTATAGGACCTTCAAACACAATTAGAGTTGAGTCTTCAAATGATTAATATTCAGTGACATTTAAAATTTATCAGGACATAGGAATATTAACTTAAATCCTCCATAATCCAAGAAATAGTAAAAAATAATTTTCTCTTATCTAGATTCCTTAATCTCTTCCAAGATCATTTTCTTTAATTAATCAAAAAAAAAATAATACACCAAATAAATGAAACTCAACTAATCTAAATATAAATTAATTAATCAATCAATCTCTGCCTCACTCCTATATAAATACTCAAAAGGATAAAAGACAAATACCAAATATAAATAAATTCTGTTTTAAATTTCAAAATAATCTGCTTTTAAAAATTTTTGTAAAAAAAATGTATATATTAATTAAATAAATTATAACTACCTTCTTAATTCAATAAATAATCATTTATTTTTTTCTATTAATAAAATTAAATGTTGGATTCAATCTTTACTGGTTAAATGTTTTTTATAAATTTTAAATTTTTGTTAATCAGAGTTTTATCTTTATTTATTTATTATTCTGTTTTTTTTTAGTGCTACATTGTTTTAGTAATTTATTTTTATTTTGTTTTTCTGATTATTTGAATATTTAAAACAAATTCGCCTTAAACTCCAAAAAGTATTTATTAAGCATTTTTCAATCTAAAAATCAAGCTAAGCCTTAACTCTTAAAAAAATTCATTTTAAAAGGTTTTAATTAAAAAATAAATTAAACTTAAAAATTTGATTAATTTAAAAAAATCCAAATAAAAATGAAAAATTACAGTAAATATTTTTTATTTAAATTCTAATTTTTTATAATGTAAATAATTAGCTGTTCAATTCAATTATTTTTGTGAATTTTCAAAGCTAATTTTTATATTTAGAGTTTATTACTTTGCTTATTTAGTTACATAACATATTTTATATTTCTGTATCAAGAAATATCAAAATTATAAAATTTTTAAAAAAACACTGAATAGTAAAATTGCTTTTATGTAAACTTCTAGTTATTTATTTTTTGTATTCGCTGATAAAAAAACACCATTCTTTTAGATAATAAGAAATATTGTATTGATAATGCGAATGGGAATGGTTGACAAAAATCCTAGATAAATTTTTGGCAATCAATCATAAAAATAACATTCAATTACAAAAACAGAAGATATATTCTTTATAAGTCATAAGTAAATATAAACCAATAACAATCAATTAATAAAAATAATTTAAGTTAATTAAATGTAAGTCTAAAGAAGCAGATAAAAAGCACAAACTCTCGTACTTAGAAGTGAGTTTGATCCATAGAATTTCAATCTACTACCCTAAAAAGCAGTCGATGATAATAAGCAAGCATTCCGTTAAATAAGTGATCATGGATAGGAATAACATAGTCCTAGTATTGAGTTAAATAAATCAGTTAAGAGAGATACTTTTTAGGCTGAAAATGATTAAAATAATGTTATAATAAATAATTACAGTAGTCCTTTTCAAAAGCTATAGTCATAAATTATACATTAGCAGGTTCCAGCTAAAAAGTTAATGTCCTTAAACGTAACTCCAATAGGATCGTAATAAAGCATTAACTTGAGTGCGATAAAAAAACATTCTACAATAGGGAATATATTTTAATTAGGATACAAAGTACCATAAAGTCAATCAACTAATTTGCTTGAATTAAAAGATAATAGTCCTATTAGAAATAAGAATGCAAGCTAAAGTAGAGGAAGTGATAATATTCTTAGAACTTCTGAGATATTTTCACCTGAAAAGCCTGCTTTACCTAATTTGAATAAAAGCATAATCCTCAAACAAGGTGCTTTACCAACAGTGAATAGTAATAATATAAATTAGAATAATGTCAGCAACCCAAACATAAACATTTCAAAAAGTAATATATTTAACGCAACTTTAAACGGCAGTCACCTGTTCAACAAGTTACCTTCTAAATTGAATTAAAAGAGCCATATAAATCTTCCTAATTAAAATAATTCAAGTAAATTGAGCTAAATAGTTTTTAATCCAAATGACTTCCTTATCCAAAAAACACATACCAATTTCAATCTACATAATCACCATTAATCAAATCATTTATCTACTACAAATAACTAAATAAAAATTGATCTAAGAGAAGCTTTAAAGTAAAATGTAAGAAAAAGCTTGAACGATTTTAGTCCTATGAGGAACTAGGATGGTGCAGCAAATGAGTAAAAAGTAGATACTTATATTTCTTTACGTCACTCTTCTCTTGTTCACTTAGATGAGGACGCTAAATCTCCTATACTGAATGGAAATCATAAAAAGATTATTCCACTATAAACAAGCAATGCTATGCTTCCTTAAAGTGTAGTGAATTCAATGAAGGTTCTCAAGCGCCCCTAATCCAGATAAGCTTAATCTCAAGATGCTCTAGGTTCCCCTCTAAGTAAATAAATGCTTAATATTTTATTTTTTTTAGCATATCCATGCATAAGAACTAATTTAATATTTAAATAAGTAAAAAGCTACAACTTTTGAAATGTATTTCTAATAAATATTTAAAATTTTTTTTAGAAATAATGTAATTCGAAAGAAAAACAAATCATTAAAGCATCAAAAAAATCAAAATAAGTCTTTTAATCAAAAAAGAATTACTCAAATTATTTCTTAAAATTTTGAGAATAATAACAATAATTATTTTTATTCTACCTACTTAAATCAATTTATAAACAAATGATACAATTTTAAAACAAAATCTTATTTTTATCTCTTGATAAATAAATACAAATGACTAATTTCAAAAGATATTCATTTATTAAAAAAACAAATAATACCTCCAAATTAGGAAAATCAATAAACTAATTAAATAGACTTAAAAAATAAAAACAAAAACTAATTCACTTTTTTTTAAATTAAAAAACTTTTTTATGTTCAAAAGAAAAGCTTTTAATTTTTATGAATTTTTTTTATTTCTAGTTTCATAATTTATTTATTATATAATTAGGTGATTCAAAATATAATCAATAGTTTAATCAGAGAATGAAATAGCTGAATCAGCTGATACAGTAGCAAAAAGATTAATCAAGCTTTGAAGATTCAAGCAGAATTTCTTCAAAGAGGACTATTAAAGATATCAAAGATATCTAGGCTGACAAATTTTAATTTATTTCTAATGAGAATCAAAAACAATATAATTAGTAATAATCTCTCGCTTATGATAATGAGAGGTAAGAGAAACCAAACAAGTTAAATGAGTTTGAATAAACAGAAGAATAAAAGAATTTCTAAATAGAATTTTTAAGGAAAATAAGAAGAAAATAGACTATGCGTTTTACTTAAAAAATACAAAGCTTGCAAGAAAAACTGAATGATGAAGAAGAAGAACTTGGATTTAAGGGTAAAGACAGTTCTGAAAGTGGTGATAGAGCAAAAAAGTAAAATAATAGGAACTTTAAAGAAATTTTTGAAAAATCTCTTGAAACGAAAGAGCTGTGTAATGATGATGATACTAGTACGTTAAATAGAGCTAAGAAGGTATTAGAAATTTCTGAAGATTTCCGTAAATTATTGAGATATGAAATTAGTAGACCTCAAACAGCAATTTATAAAAGCTACATATTTTTTTTGAGTGATATAGACCCAAAAGTATTTATTGAAGGTGTTGTTTTTTTATTCTAAAATGCCCTCACTATTTCTTTGACAAATAATTACGATGTAAAAAAGAGAAAATATTCATATAAAATTCCTGAGAAATTTTTTTCTCTACTGAACAAAGTATACAAAGTCAAAATCCTTGAAGAAAGATACTAATTTAACGAAGCTTAAATTGATAGATTTTCTTATCTTATAATCCGTTAATACGAAGAATAGTAACTAAAACCATAAAATTTACTTGAAGAGCTAGGTGGTGCCAAAAAATGCTAATAATTGATAACAGATTTCTTCTCTCAAGTCTCAGCACGACTGGATTCAAAAGATTAATTTACAGATAAACAAATTTAAGAAATAGGTATTTCTTTCCTCACAAACAAGGAAGAGGGAATCTCAAATTTTATCAACTATATGAAGAGGACAAAAAGAATATTGGAAGGTAGCATCTATCAAGTAAAGCATGCTTTGTACTAATTTTTGTATGTGGAAAAAAATTAATTCTTTGAAGATGAAATAAAAAAGTCATTCTTATATGCTTTTGAAAAAATTAGATACAAGTATTTTACAACTTACGCTGCTATTGATACAGAATAGATTTCTAAAGACATATTGAAGTATTTCTTAACAAAGAAACCAATTTTAGAATACTTTAAAGAAGAAAATAGATCAGAAAAAATACACTTTTTAATTATTTAAGTAGTGGAATGCTTTATTTACTAAAATAAAACAACAAATATTATTAATTATTTATAAGAAGCCACTATAAAACCAATAGATGAGTCTTTCTTTTTAATGCTTGAACCTCTTTTCTTAGAGCCTTTTAAAAGACTTAAACTTGGATAAATCTTTACAAGAAATACTGAAATGAAATTTAGCTGGATGAAAATTGGATTTAACATACTTTAAGGTCCCGACTAACTTTTAGAAAGAATTGAAGAGTTATTGCTTAATATGAAAAATTGGATTGATGGAATGATTCAATAAAAATAGCTTAACAAATAGCAATTAAGTAAGATTAATCACATTTAAAATCTATCATTCTTAAAGTATTTCATTTATCATGCTATAACACCTGACTTATTCAACAATTCTGATATCTACTTTATGATCAACACATTCTAAACATCATAAGAAGCTGTTTTATTCTAATTAAAAGGCCTTAAAAGAATTCTTCTCCACATGAGATTTAAACCAAATGAAGCTTATGATGTGGCAGAATATTTAATTAAAACGTTCAATGAAGCATTTTTATGTGCTCCACCTTAAATATGAAAATTATTTAAATAGTAAATATATCTATACAAAAAGAAACAAGGTTAATATTATAAATAATACAATAATTCTAACATACATTATGAAATATATTACATTTAAATAAATCAAATAAACTTTAATCAAATTAAATATAAATTAAAATGAATGATTATGATTTAATATTAAAGTAAATATAATTTATATTAAATTTCTCTTATAAAATCCTATTTATCTCAAAAAAAAATCTTAAAAATAATTTAGTATTGATTTAATTGTTTATTTATCAAATAATTTAAATCAAATTTGCAAATAAAAATTTTCTATCGTCTTCAATAAGTGTAGAATATTGAATAAATCAAAAATTTATCTATCATATAATTAAAGAGTGCTAAACAAAATGTTGTAATAGTATATATTTAAAAATTAGAGGCACCTCCTCTCTCTAAATATATATAAAATATGGTAGAATTTTATTTTTATTACCATAAATCCTCTATAAGGTTTGCAATCGAGTTCTCAAAAACTCACTTTTAAAAATATTTTTGTGAGTTCTCTATGATCGGTTTACAAATTTCATTATACTTACTGAGGTTAACTTTTAAAAAATTAGTTAATTATAAATTTGATATACTGTAATTTCTCATTAATTAAAGCAACCTTATATTGAGGCCATTTTAGAAAATTTTTGGAAGTTAACTCGACGGTTTTTCGCGATTTTTCATGAATTATGAAACACAAGGAAAAACTTTTTACGGTATTATTATTATGATTTCTTTTAAAAAAACATCTATTCCAAACTTTTTGAGCCAGAAAATATAAAGAAAATTTTTCATTCTGTAAATATTTATGATGAATAAAAATTAAATAGTTATTAAATTTATTTTAATTATTTTGTTTAAATACAAAGTAAAAATATTTTATTGTAAGGATGTGAATTTTATTTTTAAGGTAAAAGTAACAATTAATGATTGTTCTTATTTTTAGATAATAAATAAATTTAAAAATGAACAAAAAGAATATAGAAGAATAGATGATTATAAACAATTATATATAAATATTAAAATAGTTAATTAATTATTATTTATTTATTTACAAATTTTGTTAACAGGTTTTATCAAAAAATAGTGCAATTATCTTTTTCTATAGATTTAGAACTACTTATGTAAGGCATATTGTTGTTATTGAAGTCCATAACACTTTTCAATCTTTATCTTTCTTGATTAGATAAATTTAACAAAGGTTACCCATTTTAACCGTAAATCACTCTCGGCTCTGTTTGAGTATAAGAAGGAGCTTAAATAACATTTCTTCTATTTAAATTATCATCAAAGCTACTGGCTTGGCTTTAAATGCTTCCATTTTGGCTGTTATTAGATGGATTCGTGCTTGCAGAAGAGGTATATGGCATTTTTTAACCAACACTATTGGTATATAATTATTTCACTTTCATGTTTGCCTATTCTTGTTTTAGTTTCATGAATTACTAATTTATTTCGAATTCTTTTTGCCTTAACTCTTCCATTTAAGCTTTGATTGCATTCTAAATCTTTTGAATCTCACTCTTAAATCCTAATTTTAAATACAATAAATATTTATTTATTAATAAATTAAATTATAATATTAATATAAATTCACCTGGATGATGCTCTTAATTAAATAACCAATCTAGGAAATTTTATTTGAAATCTTTTCTATTTTGATTTTTATAAAATTGAGCATAGTCGTAATGGTTTCTTCCTTTTTAAAGAGGAACAATTTTTTCTTGATACATCTCAAATCTTTAATTTAATTCTTTTCTAATCATGCTTTAAAAATACTTATTTCTTTTTATAGCGTTATGATCTCTTGCTAAATTGAGCATCTAATCTAAGTCTAAATAGCTAAATCTAACTCCATGTAATAATAGATCTATTTCAATATCGCTCTAACAAAATAAACGAAATTAATTAATATTGTTGAACACTTAATTGATATAAGATTATTTACTTTATTTAAACAAACTCGGTAAATAAGATGAATTGCATATTTTTCGTGATTTATGTTGAGATTATCACAAGTTAATATGTAATAAGCCTCAAATACAGGCAAAGAAAATATGTTTAGCTCTTTAGTCTTTTACTAAAAGTTATCCTTTGCAATTCTATTAACACTCATTCCTTTTTAAAAAGTAAAAATTTAATAATTTAAGAAAGATAAATTTTTTATTAATGAATTTCTAAATAAAATAATTTTTATATGATTGATTTTAAATGCAATTTGAATTCATCATTCAATTACTTGATTTAATAGGAGATAAGATTTTTCCTTCTTCGTCCATTTAAGCTGTAATTTTATCCCATTCTTTGTCAAGCAAGGCTTCCATAACTCTATCAGACTATCTTCTATTCGATACAGGCTCATTGTTGATCATTCTTTTTTTATTAGATTACTCTATTTCACTTTCAGCAAGTTTCTTTTGATCTTCATTAAATCCGTTTCCTATTAATTAGACTAGTTTCTAGGAAATGTAATGCATTAACCCACTATGACATTTCAACTCTTCAACCCAAACATTTATTTTAATATTATGAGTTTATGCATCTGCTATTCTTTTAGCCTGACAAAATTTATTTCTTCCAACAGTCATATTTTGATTGTTGGCAAATGAGTAAAACATATCAAAAGCACATGATTTTCTATCTTGAAATTCTACTCTGATTAAAGTACTTGAGAACAGAATTCTTTCGCTATAGAGATTCACATCTAACTCCTTCTAAGACCTTTAACCACTTTCTCTTACGAATACAGAAATGCTTTATTTATAAGAAAGGTAATTTATTTAAAATTTAAGAGAATTAATTAATTTACTTTTAGTCTTCTCCTCCATCTACAATTAAAATAATTCTCCATTTCCTTGAATATGAGTAAAATTCTTCACTAATAAACACTGTTGGAATATCAGGTCTTTTAAATTAGAAAGTAAAGTCGCAAGCTCTACTGAATATTGCATCCCTTTATTTACCATATTCTTCTTTCAATGACTATTTTATAAGATTAGAACTAGGCCACTCTTTTTTAGAAAGCTCAATATTTTCAATTTCAGTGAAAACAATATCGTCTTCATCAAACATTCCTTCATTTTACACCCTAAATATATTTAAATTACTTTAACATATATCCCATTTTAAATGTATTTTACTTCTAAGCGCTCTTAGTTGGAGTTTCTTTCATCAAATTTGGAGTTTTATCAAAGTAAGGAGTTGTGTAGGCTAGATGGCTCTTTAGAGATTTTATTTCTTTATCAAAAGGCATATAAATTTTATCAAATTATTGTATACTCAGATACTGGCTCTCAAAAAATGAGCACAATTCGACTATGTTTCTCCCGAAGTAAACTGGAGCTTATTTGCTTAGCCAGATAAATAGTCTCTCTAAATGATCTAATGTGTCAAATTTTAAGCAAGTTTCATTAACAAGAGTAAAAATTAAGTCTGAATTCAATTCAACCAATTCTATTAAAGAAAGAAAAGTTTTTTTAATTTAAAATCTAAAATAAAAAAATATTTTAATCAATTTACATTGTATTTTTAGATCTTCTGTTTTTTCTATTATTTCAATAGAGTTATTAGAGAAATATAAAATGCAATAGTTTTATAATAGCTTTAAAACTCCAAACAGCAAGCTTAAAGACTCATCATCTTTCCTATTAGCAAAGTAATTTGGTAAATACTCGCTTAAAATCAAGAAATCAATTAATTTTTCACTCGTCATCTTTGGAATTATGACTTTGATGATCTTTATTTTTATAAAAAAATAGCCTTAAAAAAAATACTTTTTAAATAAAATAAGAAGCTAGTTTTACAACTTAAACAAGGAATTCCCATGTTTTAGTGTAGAGAGCGCAATTAAGTGTTTATTAAGCTTGTTTAAATGACATTTCTTCCCATTCATGAGCAGGAAGCTCATTAAAATACATCCACTTAAACATAAGTCTGACAGCTTCGTTATTGAAATTATTTTATTTTAAAGTAAAATGAGTAAATTTTTGCTCATTAAACAGTTTTCTAAAATATTCAGAGTAATGGCTAACAACTACTTTGTGCAATTTATAAAAGGCATCTTAATCCTAAGTTTTATTGAAAACAAATTTAACAAGGCCTGGTCTAAAATATTTAATTTGATTACATTTTCTAGCGAAAGAGTAAAATCACAGTGCTCTCCAGTGTTCCAATATTTTTAATAATCTGATTTAAATGGTTCTTTGCAGCATTTATAAATTTTTTCTATTTCTTTTAACTTTTGAGCTCTTTTGTTTGGATCTTTGAAATTTCTTGAATCCAGCAATATTTTTTAAACCTAAATAAAAATTTTAATTTTAATTTTATTTTACAAAATTAAAAAAAATCTCACTCTTAACCTGTTAGATGGAAGCTTGCTTTCTTGATTTTAAGGAAGTTTTGCTAAATTTTCATACTGAGCAAATGTATGCTTTACTCCTTTGAAATAAAACCTTTCTTATTGAGAAAAAGGGTTGTTGTTAACTCCAATTGAGTTATTAGAAAAACTACCGTTTAGCAAAGTAGTTTGAGAAACTATATTATTACTTTATTATTATAAAGACATTTTTTCTAAATTTTGATTGTCTAATAAAGCTATATTTTAATTATTCAAAGTTATGGGATTTTGAACTAAATTTTGAATAGGGTTTTAAATCAAATTTTAAATTTGGTTTTGAGCTAAATTTTATATTGGGTTTTATATAATATTATTATTGTTGTTTATTGTAAGTGGTTATTGTGGTATGATAGATTAAATGGAATTATTATTAAAGTTACAAGAAGCATTTTGAAATAAATTAAGTGGTTCAGAAGAGGTATTCATTTATTGAATAGATGGAAAAATTTGATTTTGTTAGTTAGAACTTGCAAGACTTTAATTTATTTAATTAAAATTATTAATGCTATTATTCGTATTTTTGATAGAGTTGTTGTTATTTATTGCATAGGTATTCTCATTATTCTACTAAAATAAGTTTGTGCTTAGTAAGATTGGATTTTACAATGATTTATTTTCTGGTTTTCCTTCATATTAGAAAAGATCTTTTTTACCTGTATTCCAAATATCTTTAGCTTTGTTATTTTTATTGAAAATATTTTTATCACTATTAGAGGTTGTAGCAAATATGCTACCAGCTTAAAGAGTGTTGTCAGCTTAATTGCAAAATAAATTAGATGGTTTGGTATTTCCATTGAAAATCGTTTGTTGTTAGTTTTGACTTTAGTTAGTTTGAATTATAATTGGATTCGGAGTTTATTTAAAAATATTATTTTGTGGGTTTTAAAACAAATTTTGAGATGGTTTATCAGGAATTATTTATTTTACAGGCTATCTATCAGTAAAAAAAATGTCTTTAGTTTCAGTAAAGTTATTACTTGGTCCAAATTATCTACTTTTATTTCCACTATCAGCGAAAAACGATTGATCTTATTCTCCAAAAGAAAATATTTACTTCTATTTTTGCGAAGATCCAAAATTTTATCTTCTATGTTCACTTCTAAAATTATCATCTTTGTATATAGAGAAATCTTTTTCATTAGCCTCCCATATTGAATCCATGTGCTACTGATGCTAACCCTTACTTCTTTTTTCAGAGTAGTAGCTATAAGGTTGATTTTAGTTTACTTGCTAAGAAAAAAAATTATCTTATCCACTACTATTCTAACTATATTATGCAGAAGACATTGTTCTTTTATCGTTGCTATTAGGAATTCTATTTTCTTTGTTGCAAGAAGAACTTAGTCTATTTTTAAACAAGCTATTGCTTCTTCTCACATCTGGACTATCCCTCCTAGATTTTCTTATTTATTTTTAAAATAAAAGAATAAATTATTTATTTTTTTTAATATGGACTTTAAAATTTAAAATATAAAAAAAGCTATTTAAAAAGTATTCTCTGTCTTTTCTTCTATGATCTTTTAGAATAATTTGTTTTGCTTTTTTTGTAAATTTTAATTAAATTTATTTTGTTTACTTAGCACTTGCCCTGCCATTTTGAACTGGATGAAAAGATTGTCTCATAATCAATGAATATGTGTGGTCTATATCCACAAAATTAAATCCGAAATGGTTATAATGAGAGATATCAGCCTCTATTTTGTGAAAGAATTCAATCTCACATTTATTGTTTGATGGTTAAATGCCAGAATCCTTTAAGAGCTGATATGGTATTTTAAATTTGAAATTCAACTTTTCATCAATCTGTCCTCTACCAGGACCAATTACAATTTCCTAATTTAGTCATTTATTTATTTAAAAATATTTTTAAATTTTGCTATAAAGTAATTATTTTACCTTCATATTAAATTAATCAATTATTTTTAAAGCATATAAATTAATAGGCTCTTAAGATATATATCTATTGAGTCTTCCTTAAATTAAATAAGATTCCATTAAGGTATCATAAGAAAATTCAATTATTTGAAGAGGTTTTGCAGAGAGCATAAAGCAAGACCTTAAAACATCAGTATGTGTCTTAATTAAGTGGATTTTCATATGAGTTAGTTTTTTATTATACTAAATTTCCTTTTTATTGTCCAAATAAATCTAGTTAAAAAGATAGTGAATTGCTTCTTCTACTTCAGAGCGATTTGTAGAATATTAATTCATTTACATTTCTTACTTGCAAAAAATAATATCTTCTTCACCACAAAACATCTCACATTTTTTGTAAAGAGCTCTTTTGTCTTCTTGCTCTTTTTAATTTCCTTTGAGAATCTAATCAAGAATTTAAATTGAAATTTATTGGTCTTCACTCAGTATTTCCTATGCATATTCTTTCCTCTATCTGTTGATGCCTTAATAAAAAATATCCAAAAAATCCTTAAACTCGCATTCTTATATCATTTCTATATAATCAATCAGTCTTCTGTTATTAAATATGTTTGTCTGTTATAAATTGTTGATTGGCTTTAAGTTAAAGAAGACCTATTTATGTATTTATTTGTATATTTATTTATTATCAATTGCTCAAATAAGTGTTTTCAAATATTATTAAAAACAGTACTTAATTAATTAAAGTATTTGTTTACAAATCAATTTATCAAAAATCAAAAATAATGAAATATTTATTTATTTATCTTTAATAACAATCATTCTAAATAGTAAACACAATACCAAATTTTTCAATTTTGAATTTGATTTGGATTTCTCCCGCAATTATATTCAACTTCAATATATTCACAAAATCAAAAATTTATTATATTATAATCAAATTACTTCATGAAGCATCCAAGTTAAAAACACTCTGTATTGTCAGAATTCATTAAGTTACCTCATACTAGCTAATAAATAAATAAAACTAATTGTAAAATAATTTTAAAAAAAACTTTAAACATCAAATATAAAATAAGTAAGTTATTTTATTTCACAATAATAAATAATTTAATAAATTCAAAAATATTAAGAAAATACAAACAATTAAAATAAAATAATAATTTTGCTTCTTTTTGTAATTTAACAGAAAAGTTATCAAGCAATAAAAAAATAATTGTAAGTAAATATTTTAGATATCAAATTAATATATTAATTTCTTAAAAAATAATTTAATTTTAAAAAAATATAATCATTGAAAATATTTCTAAATGTTAAATAAAAATCATTTAATTTTGTAGAAAAATTAAAAAATTAATTTAAATTTCATCTAATTTATTATAATTTAATTGATTTAAATCTCAAATTAAAAAAAAATTTAATTTTGTTAATTTACTTTAAATTAAAAATAAATTGAATTTTTTAATTGTCTAATTTTCAAAAAGTAATTTAATCAAACAAAATTTGTTAATGCATTTTATATAAAATTATTTATTTCAAATTTATATTTTCTTTTACATTAATAAAAGAAAGAATAAATAAAATATTTAGAATTTATTTCTATTCTAAATTGTTTAGCTGCTTTTATCATTTTTTTTTACTAGCTTATGCTTTCGATTGAGTCGCTGGGTGATTAGGTTTAGTACTTGAGTTCTGATTTTCTGCTTTATGGATGAATACTGGATGAGTGGATATACTTTTATTTTGGTTATTTGTGCTAGTTTAATCATGATTTTAGTGGTTGTTGTTATTAAATGTATTTTAATTGTTATTGTTATGAAGAATCTGATTTGATTTATTCAAATATGCTGATGATTGATCGTGAGGCATTTCTAACTTTTTATTAACTAAATGAGTTGTATCTTTGAGATCTTCATGAATATGTTAATAATGACTATTATTTGCTTAATGATTATTATTATTTAATTAGATTGATGGTTTAAAATGACTTATGCCGTGAGTATTTTTATTTTATTTATCTTCTTTTTCTAATTAGGTTTATGAAGTAATTTCATTATTTAATAGATTTTCATATTTTTATTTGAATTCTTCTAGCTACTCCTGTTTATCGATAAATATTTTGTTTTAAAAGAAATAATCAATCAAATCCAAATTATGCTAAAATCTTCTTAAATCTTTAGCTACCTGAATCTCTTTATGGATGTCAGATATTGAGTTAAAATTTTTCTCTAGGATACTTTTGTAGTAAAGAGTTGACTTTATGCATTTCAGCTACTCTACTAAATTATACTTAAGAAGATTAGACTCATACTCTTATAGCTTCTTTTGATATACAGGGAGTACTTAATTTCTCTTTTTTGTGTTTAATGCATTAAAGTCTTCTTAGCCCAGACGAGATGGAACTACTGTGAGGAATTTATAAAGATTTATCACAAACATCAAACAAGAAGTTATAATAGAAAACAAAACGTTAATTGTGATAGTATTGTTTTTAGCTAAATAAATTATTTGAATGATGATTTAAGGAATATTTTCAAATAAGATGCCTATAAATGTGCTTACTATTTTTTAATTGTACATCCTTTTTTTGTAAGTTATTGAATTTGATGGAGAAATAATATTTAAAACTTCTGCAACTGCTTAAAATTAGACTAAATTGCAAATCTGATAGAGTTTATCTATACGACCAGTAACTAATTTTCCATATGTCGATTCACCTGAAAATGTTAATATGTACAAAATCACATTGAATAATAAGTGAATAGATAGAGCTGTAAAAGAAATCCAAAAAAGAACTCGCTCATCGCATGTGTACAAAGAATACAAAAAAGAAATATCTGTAAAATAGTCGAATCTGGTTATTTAACTTTATATGAAAGAAATTGAGTAATTCAAGTACCAAGTGTTTAGCCAATTCAAATCAATCAAAAATTATTTTGTGGAGTTTATGTAATTATTTGGAAATGCGGTTTAACAATCAGGTTTGAATTCAGGGATAAGGTGATTGACAAATTCAAGGCAGAGGACGAATAAATCTGCTTCAATAATAAATGTAAGCAATCCATATACACCGTACATTATATAAGAATACCAAGAGATACCTTAATGGCAAGCTATTTAATTGTAAGTTGAAAAGAAAATGACTCCAAATATGCAGACAAACTGATAAATAGGAAAGAGGAATCTAAGTAAATTAAACCTTGCTTATTGTATTGAGCCAAACTGTCTCTCAAGTAAGATAACAGAATGATCAAATCTGAATTGCATGGGCTGAGTTTGGAATATACTAAAGATGAAGTATCCTATTTGACCTATGAAATATTTAATGTAGCTTGAGAAAGACTTCTCACGATAATTCTGAACTATCATTTTATAGCTATTGAGTGTCAAATAATTTCCTATAGAAGTATTCTCAATCAATTCAAAATCTACTTCTATTTATGTATTATATGAAAGAGGTGCATAGTAATTTATGACGTACCAACTTTTTACAAACTAAATGCTCATGTTTTTAAGTAAGATTGCTGATGGTGGAACTCTATTTAAATAATAAAGTAATGTAAATTCATCCAAGTTTTTTTATTTTAAAATATCGTCTGAGATAGTTATCTTCAATGGTAAAAAAGCTTGTTCTACTTATTTGATTTCAATTAATTAGTTCATATTTTCTAAAAAAAGGACATCTCCACTCACACCATTTTCTCCTAATTATTCGCTTTTAAAATCCTAGAAATAAAACTCATTAAAGTGAGGAAAGTAAAATTTATCATAACTAAATATGTAATTCATTCCATGCTCTACCAGATCTAAATCGAAGAAGGCAAGATTATATGAATCAAAATTCAGTGCCTTTCCTTTTAATTAGTTAATTACCTTATCTTTCTTAATTTTACTTTTTTAAAACATTGAGTAAGGTGAGAAAATAAAGAATTTTTCTTGCTTTTCTTTGATTTTAAGCTTTTCTTCGTTAAACAACAAAAAGAAAAAGTGAAGTAAAACTTATAAATTTTAATTTTTAGACTGAATTAGCAACATCTATTACAAAAAAAGCTTAAAAAGACTCCAAAACTTATCTTCACTTCCATCACTATTTCCTATAAAATAATTAATTAATTAATATTCAAAATACTCTAACTATTTATTTAAATTAAATATATTATGAAACTTCATATTGAATAAGAAAAAATTTCAATCTTAAAAAATTAACCTATATTTAAGAAAAACCTCGATAAATCAAAGATTTTTTGAATTTGTGGGTTGCGAGTTAACGAGGTTTTACGGTAATAAATAAAAATTAAAGATTTAATCCAAATTTTTATTAAAAATCAATTTAAATATTACTGTTTAATGTAATAAAAAGTATTATTTTAAATTTGAATAAAGGTAAAAAGAAAATTTATTACTTAGTATTTCATTTCTTCTTTTAAATGCATTTTGAAGAAATCTGATGAATTTAATTATGTTGATATTAGCAACGTACTTTTCTTAAGTGAAAAAATTGTATTTGTATTTTATATGCTCACACTCCAGTTTTTCAACATATTGCAATTAACTTCCTTACTCAAAATCATGAGAAAAAGTATCTAGCTTAACCTTTTGAAGTTTTACAGAGGAATCGTTAAAAAATTTAAGCATGAAATCTATCTGTTTTAAATTTGGATTCTTCGAAAAGTCAATATACTCAATTGATTCCACCAATATTTCAAAGTTAATATTTTATAATTGTTTCTCATCTAGATTCATTTGTGACATGTATAAATTTTTAAGAGTTTTTTTTGTTCTTTCAAACATTTTGTTTAAGAATTCGAAATTATTTATGAACTCATTTCCACTTATATCAAAATTTTCTAACGTTAAAGGTGTCTAGGAAAAATCTATTTGACCTATCATTTCTTAAGTGGCCTACATATACGATATATTTAAGCTTTTTAGATTTATTGCTATCTTGAATAAGTCGTTAAAAAAGCTATAATCTAATATGCTTAAGTTGTAAGCAAAATCCAGTTTCTGTAAATTAGTAAATATAGCTTGTTTGTCTAGCTAGCTGATTAAATAATTATTTAAACAAGTATTTCTAGCAATCAAACTTTTAAATTCTGCCTTTTTATTTAACTAATTTAAATTTGTCAAATCTGTTATAACATTATTGTTAGATATATCAAGTTCTTCAATTTTTTCTGTTACTTTTTCATCAAAAAGAGAGTTTAAACGTTGGTAATTTAAATTGAAATCCTATACTAATAATCCCACAAAGCAAGAACTTTAAGTAATTATTTCAGGAGCATATTAAAAGCTATCGTGAACCAAATTTCCGCTGATATTCAGATACTTTAGCTTATTCGCTGGAATATTTACAGGCTCTGACTGATAAGAATTTATGTGTTGTTAGTAACTTAAATCTAATTTTTCTAAATGAGGCGATGCTTTGAATATACTTGTTAAAAATCCCATGAAATACACAATTGAGTTCCTAGATAGATTTATTTCTCTTAAATGAGATGAAAGCTCAGAAAATTTAATTAGGTTTTGCTTAATATAATTATGATGAATTCCAAAATTAGAGACATTCACAATTTGAAGTTTTTTGCATTTCGTAAAAATACTGGATAAAATATGACCAGCAACTTGTTTTTGATTATTATCAGATAAGTTTAGAATTTCTAATTCAGAACTTATTTCATTAAAGTGAACCTCTTCAAATTTTTTATCATCTAAATTCATATTGGAAAGATTTAAGTTTTTTAGCTTTGTGCATATTTTAAATATATTATTCAAAAATGCTATGCTTTGGAAGTTCTAATTATTAGATAAATTAAGATCAATTAATGATATTGGAAGAAGATCTACTTTAAACATAGTATTGTTGTTTAGATTGCTGTTAGAAAGATTCAATATTTTTAAATGAGGAGCATTCAACAAAATTGCATTTATTAATTTAGATAAATTCACTTAATTATCTGATAAGTTCACTTCTTCTAACATTTCAAAACTACATAAATGAATATGCATTTATTCTTCGAACATAACCTATTCAAAAAATTCTTATACCTGCAACTACATCTTTTGCAAGCACATTTTTTGAATTAATTTGCATTTTGTGAAGGTGAAAATAATAAAAGCATTTTAAAAATACTTCCTATTACTTAAATCTAGTACTTTTATAAACTGTATTAGATTTTCAGGCTCGAGAGTATCTAAATCTAAATTTAATTGTTCTAACATTTTTTTATCATTAATGTAATGAAGTAAAAGATATTTGACATCGATATACACGTTTTAATCCTCAATTACTTAGTCAAAAAAAAAGTTCCACTATTCTTTTGATTTAATTTGTGGTTTTGGACTAGAATCAGATTCATTTTCCTCCTTCCCTTACTTAACAAGGCTGTTTTCTTAGTTTATCATCTACTCAAATTTCTTGAAAAAAGAATAAAAATAAAATATGTTAACTGCCTCACTAAGGTGAATTCTCTATTCTTGGTTGAAAGTATATTGTTATTTTTTTTGCTGAATGCTCTAGTTTAGTAGACTCATTCTTTTCTCTTATTTTTATTTGATAAATAAGTCAATGTGGACTATATTTGTAAGCGATAATGGTATAACCTACTAGGTCTTATTTTCTTACTTATCTTCTTCTTTGATTGTTTTGTTATGCTTAAAGTTAATCTCTTCCTTTGACATTCTGTACTAAGTAAGATTGAATGATTAGCAGATACCAAAATAATTAAGATAAGGAAATAAATCTGCATTAGCATGGCGTTTTTAAAAGCGATAAATATTTAGATATCTATTTAGCTTCTTTATCAGCCAATCTGTTAAACTCCTTTTGTTTCCTTCATTTCCTTCTTAAATTCTAAAAATCTCTAATTCTGGAGAAACGTTATCAAATGAAATATTATCTATCTAAACTTCGTTTAAAGTTATTCCTTGCAAATTTATTATTTTTAAAGTTTTTGCTTTCCTCATAATTTCATTCAAAAAGTAAAAACGGGTCAGCTAACCACTGTTATCATTACTCGATAAGCTTACCTTTTCAAGGAAAGGACTTATTAATGAAAAGTCTACATTTTTTAACTTTTCATCAGTCAATTTCATTTAATCAAGACTCAATATTTTAAGTTTTTAGCATTTCTTCATCAAATCATTGAGTAAACCTAAGTTAGAAATATCAGGGTTTCCAGACAAGTCAAATTCTTCAAGTCCCTCACTTATCAAAGAAAAATTAACATTTTTTATTTTTTCTTATGTTAAAGAGCAATATCTCATGATGAATTACTTCAAATTGACAAGCTATTCAAACAATTTATTTAAAAAATCACATTTCTTTATTTAATAATTATTTGAAATGTCAATTTTGATCAACTTATCATACAAGTGATCAAGTTTCAATAAGCTAATCTGCTAATCATCTATCTCTTAATAAGAAATCGTAAATTTTTTCATATTTTTGCAAATGATCAGTATTTCATTCACCTTCGACACCTCTGAGATTTTATTTTGATGAAAAATTATTTCTTCAATTTTCATATATTTTTCACTAGAAGAAGAATGCTTCAATACAATAGAAGGATTCGAAGGATGATTAGAATGAATTTAAGAATTATTTTAAGAGTGAGTAGCTATATCACCTTCCTCTATGTTGTTCAAAGATGACTAACTTTGTTTAATTTACGTTTGGGATTTCTCGCTTTTCAAATTGATGTTTAAATCTTTGAGCTCCAAATAAGTCAAATTCGGTTGATTTATTGTAGGAAGAATATCAATAAAATCCCCAAATTCTAAATTGTAATTTTAACTTATATTTAAATATTCTATTGAAACAGGAAACTTGATTTTCTTCAAATGATGATTGGTAAGCTAGCACTAAGCCAAGTTGATTATTTTTAAAGAAGAAGTCTCGGTAATCAAAGAAGCAACTATTTCTATGCAGTCTGTTAGATTGTTATTACTTAAATTAAGATTTTCCAAAGATTTGCTGAGCAAAGAAAAATTCACATTCTTTAATCTTGATTAGTTTATTTACATATCTTATAGAGCAAGTTTCTTTAGAAAGGTAGCCTTTGCCATAATATTGTTGAGAAGCGAAAAATCATCAATTTCTCTGTTTTTAGATAAATCTAATTCTTGAAGCTCCTTGGAAACTAAGCCAAAATTAATTGAACTGATTTTTTTCATATTAAGCAAGCATTCTCTCATTGTAAGTACCCTCAAATTTATAGCTGCTTAAAACACATCAGATAAATAAGAGTATGTGGTGTTTTCACGGATTCCATCTAAATTTAAATGAGTTAATTTATTAAAATCAATGATTTAAGTTAAATTCCCAACTAGCTAAGCATTTAATCCTATTTTTACTGATTCCTTAATAATTAAAGAATATTCTTCAGTTTCAAAATTAGAAAAATCCCATCTATTTTCACAGAGTGATCTGTGCAGTTCATCATTGTTGATGAAAAAATACAATGACTGTCCTTTGATCTTTGTAAAACCCCTTAAATATGCAACAGCTGTTTGCAAATAATATTTTTAACTGTATCTAATATTCTCAACGATGCTAATAGGATACTTGCTTTAGAGAATTTTGTATGACTTTTATTGCCTGTATAGTTGCTAATACTCAATTTTTAATTCTTTTTCCTAAATAAATCCTATCAAAATATTTATTAAGCTACAATTTACAACATTTAAGTCATCTTGATTAATAAATTTATCCAAGTCATTTATTAACTCATCTTATTTTATATCAAGCTTGGCCTTTTTTATTTAATCAATTTCTTATTTGCTATTCGCTTTCTTTACAAATATCCAGTACCTTTTTCAAAATAATTTCAACTTAAAAAATATAACATAAAGGAAAAATAATAATTTTAAAAGGTTTATCATTAACTAAAAATCAAAAATTTCAAAACTTAATAATAAAATTTTGCTAAGATCAAATTTTAAGCTTTTTTGGAAAAATGAAAATCAAATATCTTTCACTAAAAAAACTAATTAATTAATTAGTAGTAGTGAGTGATTAATTAAGTGAGTAATTTAAACCTTATTTGATTAATTGAGTGAGTAATTTAAACATTATTTGATTAATTGAGTGAGTGATCAATGTATAAAATTTGTGAATATGTGTTTTACAAAAATTAACAATTATTTTTATATTCAATATTAATTTATAGCTTTTCATGGAAGAATAAAGTAAAAATGTTTAAATAATTAAAAAATTTTACTTAAATAGTATTTTTTCACTAACATTCTTGCCGATAATCGAAAGGTTTTTTCCTTGGTAAAATATAATTCTATTATAAATAAGTTTTGGATAATCTTGCTAACGCTCATAAAGCTTTTCAGCTTCCATCATTTAAGAGTAAGCTCTATTATATTCTATAGCTGTCTAAAAGTTATCTTAATTGTTAGTGATGATTTTTTCTAGTTCAGATTTACTTAAAAAGTCTGAAGCAAAACTTGATTAGAAAGCATAAGGAGTAAATTCGTAATAAGTTTTAGAAAATAGATCCAATATGGTATATCTATAATGATTGATGTTAACATCATGCATCAAGGGAGTTTTTTTTGTTGCATGCATTTAAAAGAGGTGATAAATTTCTGAAGCAAGGAAATGAGATCTATAGATTATCATAAATTAAACTTTTTTAGATCCAATCAAATATTGCAAGTCTTTGAAACTTTCTTCTTCTACTACTGAAGCTAAAAATGAAATTTCATCAATTTTCTCTATAATAAAAAGCTGATTCATCAAATCGCTAAATGATTTACTTGGAATTCTACCAGTATCTTTGAAAATGATACTATTTATGCTCATGTAATTCAGCTAAATTAAATTATATAGTTATTATTGAGAAACATTGTTGTATAGCACATCACCCAAAATCAATAACTTATTATCCATCAAAGCATACTTTGTGTAAGTTTTATAGAAACTTAAGTTTTACTAAATCTCTGAGATTTTGTTAATGTTTAATTAGTCATCCATTTTTAAAGGATTTATCAAATCTCCCCAAATTAAATCTTAAGCAAATTTTTTTTAGTCACCATGTTGAAAAGATTTGATGAATGAAGGTTTTTCTATCTACTCATAATTAATTAGTCTGCATTCCTTTTCACAACCAAATTATTCACTATTTTAATTAAGAAAAGTTAAATACGAATGAATGATAAATTAAATAATTACTTCAAAAAATTGTTACCAAAATATTAATATTGCAAAATAATGCAAATAGTTGATTTTTATGATTAAATAAATAGCTTAAATCTTGCTTAAAATTAAGTAAGTGTTGAGGATATTTTTAAATCAACAAACAAATATAAATAAATAAATTGGTAAATTCATTTTAATATTTAAATTCAACCGACAGCAAATTAATAAATTTAAAAAGTTTACATTAAATCTTGCTCTGACATTGTATTTTCTGTGTAGTGATGATGATGATGCTCTTTTTCTTTATCAGCTTCGAAATTGATAACTTCGTGTCCTTAGTTCATTTCTATTTATACTTATGATGATGCTGGGACAAGCTCTACTAATTATGGAAGGACAATTTTTTTATCTCTGATGTCTTTCAATTAAACCTTTTAAGCATATTATTCATTAATAAATTTTATTTACTATTCTTTGGTCAAATTTAACTCTATCTCTTCAATATCAAAGAATTGAAATGTCTGAATCAAATAGACGAAATCAATCTCTTAGAGCATACGACCATTACTTACAGGGTTTTTAAATTCGTTTGCATCTCCATCTGATAAATGAAATATGCATCTGTTAATTTTTATTGACCTTAAGCTTTTTAAATTCCATTTAATTATTTTTTTAAGTGCAAAAATATTTATATTGCAGAATTCAAACTAGATGTTCGTGTAGTAATTTTCAATAAGCAAGATGTTTTCCTTTAGCTCAGGGTTATCTGAAAGCACCTAATACTACTATTCTATAATTCTTTTACTAAAATTTTCTACTAAATCTGACATTAGTAATGCTTTCCTCACAATATTTATTTCATTTACTTTTACTCCTCTTTGTAAATCTACTTTTTATGTCTGCCTTTAATTCAACATATAAATTGAAAATTGTAAAGCCCTACTAAATTTGTTTATTTAAAATTGTTATATTTATTAATACTATATTACTCCATAAATCAATTAAGTTATTTAAAATAACTAGGTTTTTAATATATATATTCCAAGAGTTCAATATGATATTAATAATTGCTAACCGAATTACATAAATATCTAAATCATTTAAGGATCTATGAATGGATTTATTTTTTTTCACAAACAAAGCTATAACAATTAATTTACTTCACATATTTTCTTAATTGCCATAAATATAAACTATAAAATTTAATACCTTTCACAATTAACCAAAAATTTATTTTCTTCATTTTTAAAGGCAGATCTGTGTTTTTACTTCTTGATAACATAAATAAATAAATAATTAATATCTATGAATTTAAATATAACAAAATCTTTTTCTATAATTGAAGATAATAAATTTGATTATTCTGACATGTATTTATTAGTGTGTGTATATTTTTAAAACTGATTTCAGATATAAAATTAAAAAAATGATTTTAGTAAGAAAAAGTATAATAAATATTAAGAAAGAAAAAATATATTATTACTTAATCCCATGATTTAAATTTTATTAAAAAAATATATTGTAATATAAATTCATTAAAATATTCAAAATAGCTTTATTAAGATATACATACTGCTGTTCTATAAAATGATTAAAACAAATACTTTTCTAAAAATACTATGTTTTTATTTAAAATTTATCTGAAAAATTTTTTTTAAATTGTATTTTCCTTTAATTTAATTCTAATTTATCTTATATAAACTCTCTTATCATATTTTTGAAGAATTTTTTTTCAATGTTTGAATTATTATTATTTAAAGTAGAGTTAAATAAGAATTATTTAAAACACAATTTTAATCTTAAGTTTTAAGAAATAAATATATTATTAAAAATAAATGAAATAATTTATGTGTTCATAGCATAATGTTAGAATTTAGTGAAAGGAAATAAATCAATGACTTAACATGTGAATAGTAGTAGAAATTGAAAAGAAAAAGCCAAAAAATTGCATATTTTTGTAATAATAGATATGAAAATTTATGTGAAATAGATAGTGGTTAATACATAATAAATTGACCTCACATAGTAATTAGATGGGATCTACAAATATTTTATTTTGATTGATTAGATATTTTTGATCATTAAATTAAGATACACAAAATTTGATTTTTTATAGTAATTAATTTTAAAAATTTACATAAATTTATATTATAAAAAGAGAGTGTGAAATTTAGTAATTAGCAAGTTAAAATGGATTAAGAAATCAATAAAAAGCATGTACTTCTTTTGATAGGCAATATATGCTTAGGTAGTTTATATTTCGGATATAATATGGGTGTTTACAACACTCTTTCGACAGGTAAAGCTTAGATTTATTTAGAATATATGTTAATGCTTTATTTTAACATTATAGTTATGGTTTACTTGAATGGATGGAAAGGCGGATTTGAGGAGACTTTATACCCAACTCTCATAACAATTTCTGCTTCTGTAGGTTGTATTGTATCTTCTCCTTTGGGTGTGTAAGCTCTTCAATATACTTAAGGAAACTTAAGAAAGGCTTGCATTTATTTAGATTTAATAGGAATTGCTAGTGTTTTGTTTTAAATTTTAGATTCTAGCTTCATATTTTTACTTTTAGGTAGATTTGTTTCAGGATTAGTTATTGGCTTGAATTGTTCTTACATATCCACATATATTACTGAATTTTCTCCTGTTTCAATGAGAGGTATTACAGGTTGTATGAACTAAATATTCATTTGTAGTGGTCTCTTTTTAAGTTTTTTTATTGGAGCATTTTTGCCAAGCAAATAAGATCTCGCTTAAATGGAATCCTATACTGATTAAGTAAATAAAAAAAGAAATTTTATTCAAAATTTCAAAATAAAATTCAGAATTTTAAAGAATCATTTTACTAAAAATAAAATATTTATTTATTTATTTGACAATTCATAAAAAATGTTATTATTAATTTTTAATTTAATTAAAAAGTCATAATGGAGATTCAATTTAGGTTATTCTATAATTTTCGGTATAGCTAGAGCTTATTTTTTATCTACAACTTTTAGTTATGATACTCCTAGCTACATGCATAAGAATGGAAATATTGCTGACTTAAAAGCAGCTCTCTAAGCAATTTATACTAGATAAGAAGATGTTAAGAATATTATTAAATAGTTAGATGATGCTTAAGATGAAATAAACAAACCAGTTTCAAAGCATTTTGATACTCCTGTCACTGAATTAGGATAGAATCCTATCCCATTTGATAATAGAAATACAAAGTCTTACAAAAGAAGATTTTATCTTGGTTTGTTTTTCTCCATATCCAATCAATTAACTGGAATTAATGCTGTTATGTTTTACTCCAATAAGATATTTGAAGATTCTCATTAAGAAGCTTATGCAGGCATTTTCACTAGCTTTTTAGGTATAGTTTTAATATTATCAACAGTGTATGGTGCTATAATCAGTGAAAAGTATGGTAGAAGATAAATGATCATGAAAGGTAGCTTTTTGTTTTGTAACTTATGTATATATATTTTTTTAATTGTTTAAAAAAAGGTGTAAGTGCAATGACTGGATGCCTTTTCTTAATGTCATACTTTAGCTCTTCAGATAATTTTGTACTTAGTTTTGGATCTATTTGTGCTTATCTTTTCTTGTAATTTTTTAATTTATATAAAGCGTATTAATATCATATCTTACTTTTAATAGCTTCTCTATTAGTTAGGGACCTCTTGTTTGGGCTTACTAAGCAGAAATTCTTGATTAAGTTGGACTCTCTATCAGTACTTGTGTTATATGGATCTTTACTTTGCTCGTGGGTTTAGTTTTCCCTTATTTAGTTTTAGGTTTTGGAGTAGGAGGAGCATTTATTTTCTTTGCTTTCTGCTCACTTACATCTCTATTTTATTTTAATAAAGAATTAATAGAAACTAAAGGCAAAACAAAAGAGTAAATTGCATTAGAATTTGAAGGTATTACTGCAGATTAAGCAGTAAGAAGAGCTAAAAAAATGGAAAAACCTTTACTTGATGATAATTAATTGTGATTTAAAATATTTGTTTGTCTGTCTTTACTAATTTATTAAATTAATTAATTTTGTAGATTAATAAAATTTAAATAATAAATTCAAAATAAAAGCAAATTATTATTTTTTAATTTATATTATTAAATTATTTTCAAGATATTTTTATAACAGACAGAATTATTAAATAAAAATATCCTTGACAAAAAGATATTAATTAATATGTTCAAACCATGAAAAATTTTAAAAATGTCATTTTGATGAATAATTAATTTCGATAAAATATAAAGTGTCTATTTTGGAGTAAATAAAGAAAATTAATAAGAGTAAAATTAATTTCTCTAAGTTTTAAAACTGATAGTTATTGCTATCAAAATACACAAACACCTACTTCTATATGACATTTTTTCAAATAAACTGCAATTGAAAAATAAAAACTTTTATTTTAGTCAATTGTATAAGAAAAAAATTATTTAATATTAATGTTCAAGCTTATAATAAAACTCTAATTGTTACATAAAAAATTTTTTTTATTCTACTTATATTTTTTACTTATTTTCTTGAATTTTCTTTATTTTATGATTGCTCAAAATCAATAAGAATAAAATAAATCAGACTTTTATAAATTAAATTAAAAAAAAATGATAATTCGTAAATTTTTAATTTTTTATCTCAATCATAAGAGAAAGTTTTAGACTTGTAAAGAACTAATAATTTTGGAACTCGATTATATCAAGTTTTTTAAATTATAAATGAATTTAAAAAATATTTCTTATTTTTCTTATGGAAGTTAAAAAAATTGGAGGTAAAGTATTAAAGTTTAAGGTTGACTCTCAAATTTTAAAGCATATAAATAAACTTCTTATTTTAACCTTACATGTATTGAAAGAACCTTAAAAAATATTTGATTTTCCTTGTTATTTTATTTTCATAAAAAGAAAGAATATTTAAAAAAAAATATAGATTTAATAAAAAAAAACAAACATCATTTAAAATTAATAATAACTTTTAAATATAAATATTTATGTTATTTTATTTATTTATTTCAAATAATTTTTTTATTTCTCTTAGAATTCCTAATTTTCTTTTTAATGTATCTATTATACCTGAATATCTGCAGTTTTAAATTTCCTTGAGAATAGTAGAATTTGAAATTTTGTGGCTTTTCAAAATTATAATCATAAAAGTTGTTCTATGGTATGGAGTTATTATTGCAGTTATTTAAATAGATTTAATTTTGCACATCTTGCTCATTTATAGTTTCTTATTTGTTAATTTTACTGTTACTTTTTTTAATTGTTGGGGTTAAACTGCTTTGATTTTCATTTTATTGTAATTTAGATTCCTCAACAGATGAAATTTAACCATGAAAATTTGTCCTTAAACTGCTACTGCTTTTTAGGTAGTTTCTCATATAACTTTTTTTTCTCGAAAGCTCACCTTCATATGCCCCTTATAAAATATCTCTTGAATTTTTTCTAATCATTTCTTACTATCGTTTTATACTTCTCTAACTATCACCATTGCTTATTTCATATGAGTGCTAAAGCTCTGAGCGAAGTGAATTAAACTAGCTCTTCTAGTAATCGTTTACCTAAGCTAGTGAATGTTCCTAGATTTTAGAAATATAAAGTATTTTAGAGAAATAAATAAAAATTTACCTCTAAATCGCTTAAACTCTTTTAATTTTTTGTGGTATTTGAGTATCTATGAATTTTAATGCTCGAATCCAATTAAACTTAAACTTAATCGTATTTACATTTTTAAAAAGAATTATCTTCCTAAGAATTATTTTTATTGATATCTTGGCTTTCGTTAGTTAGTGATTGATTGATTTGGCTTTTAACAAATTCATCCTCTTCATCAGAAAAAAACTGAGCTTCAAGTTTTTAGTATGTTGAAATACTCTAATTTAAAATTTTAATATTATTTATTAAAACTTTAATATCCTTTTAAGTATCTCTCATGTTATTTAGACTATTTATTTTCTTTTCTTTTCTTCTACTAAATTTGAGTCTTTTTTATTTTTGATTATACAGCTTAGCAGTCTTAAAAATGAAAGGTTCTCTATCAAGGCTAATAAGTGGACACTAAAGTTAAAAATGATTTTATTTTCTACAAATTGAGCAATTATAATTTTTTATAATATCTGAAAAATCTAATTATAATTTTATTTTATCATTTATTTAGCAGAATATTTCATAATCCATTTCGTTTGATTTTATTATTTCAATAAAATTATTTCTCTATATCCTTAAAACCTTTGTAAACCCACTAGATCTGATACAAGGTGTTTGCTGAAGGCCAGTAAAAAAATTAATTTCTCCTACTATATCTCCTTTTTTTACTTTGTTTAAGGGCGTTTATAAACACTGTTCTTTGTAAAAACTACCAATTAATTCAACTAGATATTTAATTAAATAAAAAATTATTTAATCTTATAAAAAATAATAAAATCTTTTATTTTATCTCTTACAAAAAATTCTAATTTTTTTTATTTTTATTTTATTAAATATATTTAAAATTTTTTTAAATATTCTATTCATTTTTAATTTTATCAAAAATATATCTTTTACTGTTTATAGTGTGAATATCTTAAATAAAAATAATTTGATTTGAAATAAGGTATTTTTGATTTAGATATTTAATAGATTGGATTTTAAGTCAAATTATGCAAAGTTTATTTTATTTTGGAAAAAAACTACTTTAAATAACTTAGATTTGAAAAATAAATGTAGCAAAAAAATTACTTTATCCAGAAATAATGTAAAACATAGATCCATCATATTATTCATCTGAATTAATTATTACTTGATTTGGCATGTAATATTCTTCTTTAACTCTTAGCGATAACTCTTCAATCGATTTTAAGCTAAAGTTATTTTTCAAGCATTGAATTTTGTTTAATATTTGTATATTTTATTCTTTCAAAACAGATTTTTGAAGATCTAATGAAATCTTTCCTAAAATTTTGAAATTTTCCTCTGAGATTTTTTAATAGTTCTTTCGATAGTAGTTTTGTAAACTGAAATTAACTTATTATTACAAGGTCCTTGATTAATTTTTATAGAAGTCGTCATAAAAAAAAATAAATAAAAAAATTAATTCACTTAGATATGTTCCTTTTCCTCATATATTGATTGATGATGCTCAAATCACTTTTTACTGCTGAGTTTTATTGGTCTATCTCAGAAAGTATAATACCTATTGCATTCAAAAAATATCCAAAGATTATTGTTGTAAAGAGCATAATGAAACATGTAAAATAAGCTTCTGATGCTGTTTTTATTTGATTTGAGCCTGTTGTCATCAAAGTTAGAGACCAATATAATGACCAAATGTAATTTCTCCACCAAATTAAATCTTATATTGCTAAATCTTCTTACCAAGTTTGCTATTCTCCAAAATAGTCTGCTTGAATCGATTGTAGTGCTTTCCATAAACAACTTACCACATGGGCTATTAGAAAGAGCTGCATTATTAAATAAAATAGTTAAATGATATAATGCCTTTTTAGAATCATACAAAGTCTTTATTAAATATCCTAAAGATCATTCAATACATTATATGCTTTCATTAAAACAACTACCTCAAAGTATAATTTGTGATGCTAAAATGATAAGGATATAAAACTTGTGACTAAAGGAATTACATCTGAAAAAGATTGCTGTTTTATGTAATATTTGAGTAATTGTTTTCGTTGATCTATTTAATTAATTATTTTTTATGGATGCATATTTAATTTAAATAAAATCTCTATTATCCACAAAGGAATAATTAGTCTTAGCGCTACTTCTAATTATTAGCTTTAATCTGAAAAGACTAGAAAAAGGGAATATGTATATAGAAATAAGCAGTTAATAATAGAAAAGAATATCTTGATGAATAGTCCTACTATGCTGAAGTTGGTTATTATTGGGAAACTGTATTTTCCTATCAGCTTTTCAAGACTAGGTAAATAATTTACTATCAACTATTAGTAATACTAAATTTAATTTTAACGAGTACCATCACTCAAGTCTTCAATATGAGTTCTTATGTCCTAATTAAGTAATGATGTTCTGCCACTTAGTGTGTACTTTTAGTGAAAATATGAGATTTTCTATTTAATTTTTGTTAGTAATTTCATATTAACAATACTGTTTTTTCTTACTAATTTTTCTCTCTTCATGCTTAAGCCTACTTTCACTCTAGCTTTGCTTGATTTTTGGCACAATTAGCTCTTTTCTTTGCTTTCTTAATACTAGCTGCTCCTATATTCTACTGATTGTTTTTTAATATAAGAAGAGTTATCTATTTAAAAATCGGATTTTATATGTTTCAAGTCAGAATTTGATATATTAATAATATTATTTTAAGTTCCCGTGACATTTAAATGGTTATATTTCTACTTTTGAGAGTATTCCAATTTATCCAGGCAATTTACTGATTTATTTTAACTGCATATTTCCTATTACTTGCAATGTATATTAAAATCCCCATAATTCTACTATTATTTCTCATCTATAAATGAAGAAAAAGACTAAGTAAGCTTCATTCTTTAACTATCGCTCCAACATGAGCTTTCATCTAATTTATTTAAAACGCTAAGCTTTATATCGCAGAGTTAATTTTAATTTTTAAGCTATTGCTTTTATTTATCATGTAATTTCAGTTGATTTTCTTCCATCACTTTTAAAAATTAAACTATTTACTCTTTATTATTGATTATTCTTAATTTATTTAAGAGCTTTTGTATTTCAATTAATAATTTATATTTGATTAATAGGTTTATTAAAAGTGAACCAAACATTTTAATAATAAATAAATTGATTATTTTTTTATAAACAAAGTAACTATTTAAATCTAAATAAGTGTTTTAATAAAAATTATTATTTTCATTCAAAATTTAATGTTAAATCATTATTGCACATCTATCTCTTGTCCATGTTTTGAAACAAAAGATTTACTTATATTTTATACTAAATGTATAGCTCATATATTAAATTAAAAAATATAAACATATATATTTTAAAGAAAAATAAATACAGAATTTTATTTTACATAATTATTAAAGATAGATGTATCAAAATCATTTATTGATAAAACATAAAACTTATTAATTAATTAAAGGTATTTAAATAAAAAATGTATTTTTCATCTTCAAAAATTAAAAGAAGTTTAAATGCTAATATTTTATTTAATTTAAGACTTATTGGGTAAGGATTTACAGTAAGTAATATAAATATATAAATAAAGAAAGTAATTCCATAATCAATTCTTTAAAATTTACAATTGCAATTTTTGATTTTTAAGATTTCTTTTATTTAATAGATTTGTCTTTAATATTTAATCCTTGTAATTTCCATATTTAAAGTAAAACTTAAAATTCTCCATAAAATCAAAGTCTTTCAGCTGAATGAAATCTATACATTAATTTGAACTATTTTACATTAATAAATTTATTTGGTTAATTTTATTTTTTTATTCCACCTAGCTCTCATCCTCGATAAGATACTCAGTATTTTATTAAAAGACTCTCAAACTAAAAGGATTTTCAAATTTTTATGCTTCTAAGATTGGACCTTTGATTTTTGAATTATTTCTCTTTAAATTGTGCTTTTTTATGAAAATATTATTTAATAGCTTTTGATAAGCCAAATCATTTTCGTATTGATCAAAGTTGTTGTTAATATCAGAATATATTAAAGGATTTGAGTTTTCTTAGCTTTCTTTGATAAAGGATTTCGTATGCTCAGAATTTAATCTCTAACTGTCCTATCCTGTCTAGTTTTTGCTAAAAATCGTTATATTCTCATTACTTCCCTTTTAGATATGTTTTAGTGTCTCTGTATTCTTTATGAATACATAAATAATTTAGTTAATTTAAGAATATGTTAAATAATAAAGTAATATTTTAATTAAAATTTGTATGATAATAAAATAATATACTTCTATTTCATTAAACAAAGAAGGCTTTAGTTGAATTTAGCTTTAATCACCTGCTGTAATATTATCTTGAATATATAAACTTTTTGTTTTAACCGAATACTATTCAGTTTCTTACTAATCTAGTGAATTTTTTATTGTTTCAGTTTATAGGGTTTTTTAAATAGAAACAGAATTCATGGGGTGCAAAAGGTCATACTCAGAAGGAGAATACTCTTAGCATTCTATACTTGATTAAGAATATTTTTCTATTCCCACTTAATTATTACTTTCATTTCCTGTGTCATAAAGTTTTGTTTACTCTTTTCTAATTTGAGTTGATATTTACTTAAGAAACTTTTATAAAAAAAGTGCCTTTGAATATTTTCCAGGTTTCCTTTCTTTTTTGACTCTTTAACAAGTAGAATTTTATTGTATCTTTGATCTCTATTAAGCTTACTGCTTGTTAAAGTGTACATACTGACAATTTTTTAAGGTGTGATTCTATGAATTACAGCATTAACAAAATAATTTTAGGTTTCTAAAATCCTAATTATAAAGTAATTTATCTTTTATGCAATTAAAAACTTCAAAATCCTAGCTGTTATTTTGTAAAATTTTTAAAAACTAATTTCTTTCTAGCTTAATTGCATTGCAAAACGAAGATGCTTTCAAATGAAAAGATTGAGGTTCTCCTGTAAAAAAATTAATTTCTCCAAAAAGTTGACTTTCATATGATAATTAATTATTTTTATTTGAAAACTATTGATCAATAGATTCAACAACTTAAACTTTATTTAAAAATAAAACAAATAATTTATTTTTCACAGTAAGAAAAATTTGAATACCTTTTCCACTTATGATGTAAACTAGATATACAGCTGAGTTTTCTTTCTAACAAATGATTTAATTTGGAGAATACACTTCTTCTTAGAAGCACTATGCTAACTGATCCATTAAATTTTAGCTAAAATTATTTGCTAAAAATTCTATTTTGTTTAGAATTTATAAGTTTTATTCAATTTATAGTGAATTTTATAGATCAACAGATAATTTTTTAAGGACCTTGTTCTTTTCTTCTAATTCTTATTTATAATTTCTTTCACAATATCTTTCTAAATCATTTATCACCTTTCCTTGTAATTTACTAATAAATTTTAAAAATTAACAAAAATAAAATTATTCAATATTTCTATATAAAATAACTCAATTAATCTAAATGTTATTAAATACTTTTTTTAAATTAAAAATAATGGAAATAGATTATAAGTAGTTAGTTTTAGAAAAATATTTGTCTTTAATTATTACTTAGAAATGTTATTTGAGGCCATAAACTTATTTATGATACATGTTTCTTTTATTTATTATTATTAATTCTTATAAATTGTTGTTACCAACATTTTGAAAGAGTAAAAATAATAACCTAAGAAAAATATAACAAATAATAAAGCAAACACAGTAAAAGTTGCTTCGTAGATGTTAGTTGCATAGTCAGATATTGTAGTCATTTTACAGAAAGCCCAATAGAGAGACCAAACATAATTATGAAACCAATCAATATTTTTATCTTGTACTAAATCAAACCAGGTTTTATCTATTTTAAAATAGCTTTATTATATCCTATATAAAGAAAACCATAAGCATGAGATGATATGTCCTATTAAAAACATTTAAAATAGCAAACAACAAATTTATATTTTTAAATAACTCTATTAGTACTAAAACTGCATAATTTTCTAAATCATATTTAAGTCTCTGTTGACGTTGATAGATTTTAAAAAAACCAATAAGTACACAAATATTTTTTAGATTAGACCCATTTAAGAAAAATCTACAAGGATCAGAGGTAATATATCATAAATCATTCTTTATCTTATATATGAATAAAATATAGACATTCTATTAATATTTTAATCATATAGTTAGTGAGGGATTGAGTTTAAATGAATTATTATTTCATTTATCCAAAAAATTCTCAGAAACGAGTAGAAGTATTCACTATAATCTTAGAAAGCTTCATAAAAGTAATTTAAGCTGAGCAAATACAAGCTTAAGCAATTGATTAAAACAAGAACTACAACAATAGATTTACCTAAACTAGATTATGAGTCTAAAAGAGGTAAATTTTAAAAGCAATTCTAATATTTAATCAAATTTTTATGAAAATTGCTTTTTGGTAATTTTTTGGTTTATATTGATGGCTTAAAGCAATCACTATTATCACTTACTAATTTTCTTATTCTACTATTCAATAGTAATGTTTTACCACTTATTGTGTATTTTTTATAAAATTAGCTAATAAAAAACTTTATTTTTTTGGCAACTGAAGCCTTTAGAGGGGGAGAAGAACCTAATTTGAGCAATTACAGATCATTTTATTGAGGAATATTCATTTAAGGATCATTTGAAGATTTTATGTTTGCTACATGTTCCTAATTTTTCATTTTATTAATTTATAAGCAAGAAAAGATTGTTTATGACCTTGGAGAAAAGTTGTTGAGTGTTTCTTCGATATAAGAATTAGAGACATGTAAATCCTCATTAGCTATTTGTTAATTTATTTGGTTAAAATTTTCACCCTAATTCTTCTTATTCATGATATTTTATTCTGAGCTTATTTTATTTATTTTACTATCTTGTTAAAATATTGCAGTTTATGAATCTTTATTTTTAGAATTTAAGCTTGGAATTTTTCTTATTGTTTCGACGCATTAAGAAATTTCGTCTTCTTATTTCATTTTCTGTTTTTAGAGCTCTACATTTTAACTAAAATATTGCTTTATTTTGCTTTACCTGTTTTTAGAATTCTAAATAATCTGATCCATAAAATAGTTGGTTAGTTAGTTAGTTATATTAGTTCTACTTTGTTTAGTTTTTTATTATTAGTAATTTTTATTGATATAAAAAGAATTTTTAAATCTTCTGTAGAAAAAACTTTCCAATTTTCCTTTGAATAATTAAGAAATAAATATATTTTTCTTGCCTTATTAATTTTGGAATGTTTTCTTGTAAATATAGTGGAAAAAACATATTTTATTTTATTTTTGTGATTAAAAAAAAAATTGGAAAAAACAAAAGCAGAGAGATGTTAAAGTAATGCATAGTGAAATCACTAATTTAATAAAAAATTTATAAAAAAATTATTTGGCTTTCTTATTGAATTTTGGTATGCATGTTTTCGAATTTCGTGAATAAAAATAAATTTAATTTTATTAGCTGTATGTTTAAGTAAGAAAATCGTAAAATAAAAAAAGAGAAATCAAAATTAATTAAATTAAAAAATACAGAGTGAAATCCCTTTTTCATCAAAAATCAGTAGATTTAGCTACAAATAAAAAATTAATTGACTTTGTTTAAAGAGCAGATTTATTTTGATTTGAATAAATTTATTAATATTTAATCAATAATTAATTTAAATATTGAATTATAATTTTCATAAGAAAAATAAAGATAGATTAACTTTCATTCAGTAAAACTGATTTTTGAAATTTTGAGAATAATTTTTTTTTCAAAGTTAAACATAAAAAAATAATTAAAAAAACAAATGTGTATAAATAAATTTAAATAGTTTAAAATACTTTTAAATTTTTATTTTATCATGAGTTATTTTACTTTAAAATCTTAAAATACTAAATTTGAAAAATTTAGTTTAAAGAGTTTATTTTAATTTTAATAACAAGTAAATATTAATTTTAAAAAAATAATTTATTAAAATTGAAATAATGAGAATAAAATAATTAATTAATTAATTTATTATCTTATCATTTAAATTCATTAAATTAATATTTATGTAAATTCATTTAAAATTTTATTATTTTTAAACAGTTTTAAATTTTGGAAATTTTACTTAACTTAAAAAAATAAATGGTTTCCTTTGTGTGATTGATTGTATTATCGTTCCAAATAATTTATCACCAAATTATGAAATGTTAATTTCCTAATTAATTATTTTTTAATTAAAGCCATATAAATTTATTTTACATCATTGAGAAAAAAAGAAAATAGTTTCAAAATAATAATTAAATTTTACTAATATATATCATTTAAATCAAAAAATTGATACAAAAATCTAAAAATAATTTATATCTATTTATTTAATTAATTAATTTATATTTTTTATAATATCTTTAAGAAAATAAAACCTGCTTAAAAAACAAAAGAAAAATGTTATAAAGTTAGAAGGCAAACAAACTTCTCATTTTTGCTCTTCCTATTTATGTTCTTATTCTTCTTTTTTATTTGAATGTTCTTCTTCTTTTTTGTGTTCATTGTCTTATTTTTCATTTTAGTTATCAATTTTTTCTATCAGCTCTTCTAATTATGCATTGCTATTTTCTTATTAAGTATTTTATTTGTTGTCTTTATTATTATCATTATCTTGCTTATTTAAATTTTCACTTTCTTCTGCATCTTCAATTAATTGTTCAAGCAACTTTTAAGTGTAAGTCTTTTGGTCTTTGTTTGATTGCACAGAACCTCCATCGCTTTTAACATCATTTTCTTTCAAAGACATCTTACTCATATTGTTTTCTTGATTTATATTGTTGGACTTCTCTTCTTGTTCAATTTATGGAGACTTACACAATAAGTTATCAGTTTCTTATACTTTCTCTTCATTAATTGTTTCTTTTTATAAATCACTGTCTTTTTAATTCTATTCTACTGCTGAGTTTTTAGCTTCATCTTCTAAATTCAAATCAGCTAGGTGGGCTAATTGCATTAGAGTTGATTACTTTTCAAGATTTTAATAATTTTTATCAACCTTTGAACTACTGTTTGGAGCTGGAGTTATATTAATTTTATTCATAGAAGTAGAATGAGAGTTAGCCATTTCTTTGTGCTCTTTTTCTTAAATATTGATTGATTTCTTTGCTAAAAGCTCCTTCTGACTTGTGTGAGATAAAATACTATCCTTTTTGCTAAATTAAGAAGATTTTCTTCTTTGTTGATCAGCCTACTAATTAGACTAAGACTTTTTAGATAACATTTTTGTTTTTCTCCTTTCTTCTAAAATTCTATACACAGGAGAGTCATTTGAGTTGATGGACATGTCGTTGTATTATTCATTTCCAAAAATGTCTTAAATGAAATCTTTATTTGACTAAAATGAACGAAGATCTTTTATCATTTACAGCTAATCTTTGATTTCTCTTACTGTAAATTCTCCATTACCTAGGAGCTTTTAGAAGTATTTGGTAGATTTTATACACTTGAGCATCTCATACTGGTTATATTTAACTAATTAAGATTCATACTAAGAAAGCTTGCTTAGATAGTTAGGAAGCACTCTCAATTTCTTGATATTATTGAGTTCATTAAAATCTTCTTATCCTAAACGTGATGGAGTGATAGTCAAGAATTTATTTAAAGAAACTAAAAACATAAGACCTGATGATGTTAATGAAAAAATCATTGTCTAATGCCATTCATCTTTCTAAATTAGATAAAAGGCTTAAATGATGATAAATGGTATATCTTAGCACAAGATTCTGATAAAGTTATTAATGATACGCTGATTGAACATTTTGCCAAAAAGAATTACAGAGTTGGAAGGTGATATAATATCTAAAACATCAGCAACAGCCTAGAATTCTAACAAATTGCAAAGCTAATAGAGTTTATCTATTTATCCAGTAACAAGACGACCATACGAATCTGCTCCCATAAAGTTCATAATGAAGAAGATTATACCTGAGAATGTTGTTATAGATAGAGATATCAGTGCTAAGGTAAAAATGAGATAATCTTCACACATGTAAGTTTAATAAAGAAATCCGATGTTTGTAAAGAAATCAAAACGCGAAAGTTAACTCAAAAAGAAAGCTACGACGTAGTTCACATACCATTAATTAATCCAATTGACATCCATGATGAATAGCTTTATGCTATTTACTAGAGGATAAGGGAACGACATACGGCAGTCAGGTTTCAATTCAGGAATTAAATGAGATACGTATTTCAGACATGTGTTAAAAATGAAAGCCTCCAAAAAGAAAGTGACAAAACCAAAAACAGCATACATAATATAGGAATTCCATGAAACACCACTACCACATGTCACATTAAATTGCCTAGAAAAGAACCATACACCAAAAACGCAAATAAATATATAAATAGGATATAAAGCTCTAAGGATATTATGCTTGCCTTCAACAACAAACTACTTAAATCTATTTTCTAAGTGGATTACAGTGTGATCAAATTAATATTGTTTTGGCTAAGAACTCAAAATATTAAAGAAGGCATAAGAATACTTTCCAATTTTTTACTTAATTTGAGATAAGAAAGTTTTACCCTCAAAGTTATTGATATAAAGACGATAGGAACGGAGTGTGAGGAAATTAGCAATCGAGGAGTTTTCTAGGAGATCATAATCAACATCAATAGTTGTTTAAATAGACAATGGAGCGTAGAAGTTGATTGCGTACCAAGACTTCACAAACTAGATACTCATTCCTTTTAAGTTCATACTAGAAGGTGGGATAAAGTTAATCATATAAAGCACCTCAAATTCATTAAACCCAGCTTTCTTTAATATTTCTGGATTTAAATTTAATCTGATTGGAAGGAATGCATTAGAAACGTGATATTTACTCATTTTTTTCTTTAGCTCGATAATAAATTATAGATCACTTCCTTTTTCAGTCAAGTTTTAAACGTAGAAGTCTGGGAATTCATGGAAAAAGAATTTATCATAACCAAAAATGTAGTCAGTCTTTTTGTTAAGAAGGTTTAAATCAAAGAACGTTAAGTTAAATGAATCAATAAGGAGCTTTTCTTTTTTAGTTTTATCATACTCGCACTCAATCTCCTAGTTTTGCTAGAAAAGAAAGTATGGAGACATTATGAAGAATGCTGGATTATATTGCCTGGAGAAAATTTTTTCTTCATTTAAAAGCAAGAAAAAGAAATGCTATATAGTCTAAAGTGGTTTTTGCTCAGACTTAAATTCCATCATAGATTGTAAAATTATTTTAAATATTTGCCCCTTTGGATCTTATGCTTGCCATAAAGTCTAAGAACTGCTTCTTCCTGTAAGATAAATAAATAAATAAAATTTAAATATATGAAAAATTAAATTAAATAAATAAATACTGGTATATCCTTAGTTTCCAACACTACTTAGCAAATACTAAAGGAATTTGATAAAATTAATATTAGTAATAAATTTGTTTTAAGAGAAGAATGCCAAGTCGAGATATTAGAAAGGACAATCTATATCTTGTATTTAAGAGCAATACTTTTGGAGAGTGTAAGTGATGTTGTATGTTGCTTTTGAAATTTTAAACTTTTTCATTTTGATAGTTGGGTTGTTGGAAAAGATGTCATTCATAAAGTCGATTTGATTTAATTCCTCATTCTTAGAAAGGTCTATAGTTTCAATAGTTTTGCTCATTTTAGAGAAGTCTGCTTTAACTAGCTTTTCTTCTTTCAAATCACAATCACTCAAATTCAGCAAAACGAGAGAATTCTATGTTGAGACGAATAAGTCAGTTAAGAATGAGAAGTTTGTTATAAGCTTGTTTTGAGAAATATCAAATTCTTTTAGGTTTTTAGAAATTAAATCGAAATGAATCTGCTCTATTTATGGTTAAGTGATTTGCATTCCAGAAAGATTTAAAAATTCTAACTTAGGAGTAGAAGTAAATATTTGGTTCATGAAATCAAATTTGATAAAGTTGATGCACTCTGATAACTCCAAACGCTTTAAATTTTTAAAGAGGTCTGGAATATTTAATTAATTGATTAAAGTATTATTCAAAGAAGTTTTATTAGCAATAAAGACAGAGAAATCTGGAGAATCAATCATATAATTCAAATCTTTAACATCAGAAAGATTTTAATTTTCTGAAATGTCCAATTCTAATATTTTGGAGCCAACATCTTTGAATCTAAAATATTCTAAACGCTTTTATGATAAATTGATTTTTTAAATGGTAAGCCTTCTAAATTAGGTTGACTGATCTATGATCTAAGGAATAAAATCATAAAGATTATAGTTAGTACAGCCACTAAAATCAAAATCTTTAAGATTGTGGCCAGGACTTGATCCAAAAACACTATCATATTAGTTTGATGTAAAATTCTCACTCATGTTAAATTTTTCAAGTCTCTAACATCTTTCTAAAATATCCTCAAGAAATTCCATAAAATAGATAATTTAGTTTTTGGATATATTTAGCTCTGTGAGCTAAGTAGAAAGATTATAATATTATATTTTTCTGTTTCTTTGATAGTCTATATTACAGTTAGAAATATTTAGCTTTATCAAGTTTTAACATCTTGAAATAACTGAATTAATGAAATCTACGACCAAGAGATTCTCATTGTTTGAGCAATCAAACTCTTCTAGGGTTTGCGATATGTAAGCGAAATAAGTTGAGTCTAATTTTTTATCGCTCAAACCAGTGCTACTAATGTTTAGTTTTCTTAGCTAAACACACTTCTTAAAAAGCCCATTTAATACACTAAGAGTAGGTATACGTTTATTTTTGGAAATATCTAATTCTCTCAAATCAACTCCGACTAAATCAAAGTTTGGAATACTAGTACCATTCATATCCATGTCACTTAATTTAAGTATCTAAATATTTGGAGCAGCTTATATCATTGCATCTATAAATTTAAAAATGTTAGTTTCTGTATTTTTATTTCCTGAAAAATTCATTTCAATAACGCTGTTTAGGTGGAATTAATCTAATGGTGTTTCTGTGATTTTTTTAACGGTCTCTTCCTTTAAATCCATGTTAGACATATCTATTTTAGTTATGTGCTAGCCATTCTAAAAGAAATAAACTAAAAAGTCTAAATTAGGATATTTCTAACCTGTCAGCTTTAACTCTTTAAGAGCAGTAAAATAAAGGTCATAATCAAGAGAGGTGTTATTTGATTTTTCAGGAAGAGCTTAAAGCTATTCTTTAATTTATTTATTATCAATAAATTGAAGGAGTTAGTAGTCTTTATTGACATAAATATTTTGATACTCAACTATCTTTTCAAGAAGAATAGATGTATTAAGTTATCTTTGTTTTTTTGAGTCTTCATTCTTTTCAGGTATGAGCTAATCAAGCTTAGAGAAAAAGGAGTAGAAGAAGAGAGGATTATTGTACTAAGAGTATTTAACATCTGTTGAATTCTCAATCCAATTATCAGCCATCTTTAAATTATTCTTCTTTGCCCATTTTATACTTTTATCTTTTCTTGCTTATTTTTATGATTCTTCTTCCTTTTAAATTTTTTCTTTTTTCTCTTTTTCTTCCCTGATTTTTTTATCTTCCTTGTCTTCCTCTTTTGGCTCTTCTTATTTTTTTTTGTCTTTTTTTTAATCTACTTGTTGATCAGTTTTTTCGTTTTTGGTCTCTTTTTGTTAACGGAATTAAGATAAATTGTATTACTCGAAGACTCCGAAATAGTTAATGTATTAATAGTTAGCCAAATTGGAATATTTCTGCTAAAAATTATATAAGTTCATGTATCTCTCAAGCTTGTTGATCAGTTAATCTTAGAATTCTTCATTAAAGAAATCATCTTCATCAGCTGAAAATACTTCTAAGGACTTTCCTAGCAAATCAAAATTAATTTAATCAACAGCTTTTCCTATTTTATTCTTTTTCAAATTAATCTTTTTAAGTCCTTTAGCTCTTCTAAATATATCATTTAGGAAATAGTAAGTCTTTAGACCAGGATTATTTGAAATGTTGAATTCTTCTAAAGCTGTGCTAATTTCTGTAAAATCTACATTCTTTAATCTATCATCTGTCAACAAACAATCTTCCATTGCTAAAACTTTTAATTTTTAGCATCTTTTAAACATCTTATTTAGCATTCCTTCATATCTGTTGTAGCTTGTATTTCCAGAAAAATGAAATTCTTCTAAGGTTTCTGGAATTGTTTCAAATTAAACTTTATTCAAACTTGCTTCTACAATAGAAGAGTAGCCGATTTTGAGGATTCTTAACTTTTATGCCTTTTCAAATACGTCCTGCAAGAAATTATAATTACCGAATTCATGTCCATATTAAAGATCTAGTATTTCTAAGGTAGGATATACGTTGTCCTTTTATAAGTCTAAAAATCCTTGTGCTTTCAATTTTTGATCTGTTATCTTTAAATCAACAAGCCCAGTACTTAGATTTGATAAAATTAAGTTTAAGTAATTTGGATCTACAAAACGATTACGCTAAACATGCAACTTTTTAAGTTTTTAGAAAGCCTTGAGTTAGCCGAACACAGAATATTTTTCAAACTACTTATCCATTGTTTCTTAAGCTCCAGCAATATAGGCTTCAAGAGATTCAAGTTCTAAGCCTTCAGTGATACCCAAATGCACAATTAAAGATGCTAGATGGATATTTGCATTAAAATTAATATTTAACTCCTTCAATCCAGGAGCAAATTTAATTTATTCAAAAAGTTGTGTGTTTAAATTCATTTAAGTCATGTTTATCTTTTTAAGATTAGGAGCAGCTAAAAAGATATCATTTATATACTTAACATCTGAGCAAACATTAAACCCAATATCTACTTCTTCTAATGTAGGTGAAATCAGAGTGAAGTCTGCTGTTTCTGCTTTGATGGCTGTAAGTTGCATATTTTGAAGTAGAAGTTTCTTTAGTTTTCTGCATTTTCTAAACAAACCATTAAGGAAGCTTAAATCGTCAATGTTTTTATTATGGCAAATGTCAAACTCTTCTAATTCAGCTGAGAGGAGAGAAAAATCGACACCTTTAAGTTTGATGTCATTTAACAAATTTGATTGTAATTTGATTTTCTTAAGTACTTTGCATTCAATAAATACTTAATTCAAAAAGAGGAAAGTTTTATCAGGATCTCTGTTTTCGTTGATTTACAATTCTGTGAGAGTCTCAAAAGTAAAAAAGTTTTTTAGTTCCTTCATAATTATGGAAATAGCTTTTTCATCATTTTCTTTAGCAGTAAAGCTTTCCTTTATGATAAGACCGCACTCTCTAGCCTTTAGTTCAAGCTAAAATTTCTTGTTATTTTCTCTGACATCTTAATAAAGATAACTATTACAAAAAATGTAGTAAATGCTGAACTCTTTAAATTGGGTAAAGCCCATCATATAAGCGTAGCATGTTTAGAGGTAACTTTCCTTTTGAAATTTTATTTTTTCACACAATTTAATCGAAAATCTTTCTTTTAAAAGCTTAAAAGATTTTTAGTTATCTAAATATTTCTAAAATTAGCTTTTTATTTGACCATCTACAACTTAATCAATCAGGGTTTTAATTAAACTATAATTGAGCACATTAATATCATCCTCGTGAAATTACTCATCAAGAATATCAATTAATTATTCTTGTTTTGACTAAAATTAAAGTTTTTGCTATTCTTTTGATTTAAGCAAGATTTCCCAATGCTTAAATAGGATTTTTTCACTTTTATTCCTGTTCACAATTGAGAGGTTCATACCTTGGAAAAATACAATCTAGTTGTACACTTATTTTGGGAAGTACATTTGATTTTTATAGAGTCTTTCAACTTCTAGCATATCATCTTTTGATTTTCCTTTTAGCTCATTTAAGTTAAAAGCGTACGGGGTAAATTCGAAGGCTTTCTTTTAGAGAATATCAATACAAACAAATCTGTGGTGATTGATTTTTAGTTTGTTAACATTGCTTTCCATGTTTAGGAGGATATCTATTTCATCTTTCAAAAAGTAGGAGCGATAAAGATTTAAAAACTTTACCTACTTTTTCTAGATAAGATACTCTAATTCGTGAAGACTTGACTCATCCAAAACTGATGATAAAAACGAGATTTACTCTAATTCAGGAATCAAGAAAATTTGCTTCATCAAATCACTGAAAACCTTAGGTGGAATCTTACCATTGTCTTTGAAGATAATTCCATTAATTTTCTAGCAGTTTAATTAAATTAAGTTGTACAATTAACTAAGAGAAATACCGTTATAGAGGACATCTCCAATGATTATCAATTTGCTATCATTGAATGCGTACTTCGTATATTTTTTATAGATACTTAAGTTTTATTGAATTTCCTGTAGAGTGTTGTCGTACAGTTTATCAATGAATCTTTCTTAGTCTTGCACATCTCCCCAAATCAAATCTTGAGCCAGTGCATTTAATTTTTCTTTCGAATAATCTTTTTAAAACTCTTATTTTTAGTTCAATTCATATTCTATAAACTTGCTATTCTCTTCACACTTAAATAAGTCAATTAATTGCCTATATTTTTATCAAAATATTTTTATTAAGTATGAATAAATTTAGCTTTGAAAAAAAATTTAACAGAAGGTCTTTTATTTTAAAAGGATTTATCAAATAAAATTATCATGTTAAAAAAAATAAAAAAATAAAAAATTTGTAAACGCAAATTTATCTATGCCTGAATGGGCATATGTATAGAAATGTATGGTAAATAATTTGTTTTAATTATTCGTTGGGATTGATTAGAAAAAGTAAATAAGAGCATCTATCACTTATCTTTTTATCTATTTAATTTTTAATTTGAGATAGTTACGCAATTGTCAAATAAATTAATAATAATTCTTAGAAAACCAAATCAGCGTATGTAAGTTAGATTTATTGAATAAAAGTGCTTTTGAAGGCCTCAAATTAAGAAATTAACCTGTAAAAAATAAGGGAAGGCTGTACACTTTATAATTATAGAAGGATAAATTCTTTGTTACAAAAAATAGTTTAGCTTAATAATAAAATGAAAATAAAAGCTAAACATAATTTTTGGCTAATATTTTTAATCAAATTTAAAACTTATCAAAATATTTTTTAGCTATATCCAACAAAGACATTTTCTATCATTTTTTATCTTATAAAAATCATTAACAAATTATTTAATTAACTAATTGATTGATTATTAATTAAATGAGTTATTTATTTATTTTGTTAACTACAAAGTTTATCAAATTTCTAGTTTGTAAATGCATTTTATGAAAGGATAATAAAAAATATGTCAATTTTAAAGTTTGTTTACTCTTTTGTATAGAATTCGATCTAGTTGTTCTCATTTATTTCAATAGTATTTCTTTGTGGTAGAAGAGCAGGAGAGTTGCTATATGCTACAACCTTTGAGGACTTAAGTGAAAAAGCGCCTCTAATTTTTTTTTGCCATAAATTAGGTTCATCAAAAGGATCTTTTAAAAGCTTGATTGTAATAGATTATATATCTTAAAATTTAAACTACTCAATAAGCCAAACGAAATTGAGTTCTTATAACATACGCTGATTTTTAACTCTGTCTGTATCTTCATTAGCATCTTCATCTGAGAGGTAGAATTTGCAGTCTTCTATGTATATTTCTCTCAAACTCTTAATGTTGTTTCTTATAAACTTTTTCATAGCAAAAACATTTACCTAGCATCTAATCAAAGAGAGCTTTTCGTAATAGTTTTTCTGGCCTATAATTTATTCTTAGTCTTCAATACGAACTAAACTAGAAGAGTTTTTCTTCTTTTTTCTGAAGTATGTGAAAGGATTAAACTTTTGATGACCACCAAAAGTATAAAATCCAAAAACTTCTCCTACTTTATGGACAACATCGTAGTCATCTTATTCTTGCATGACTTCAACGAATTCATTGCTTTCGACAAAACTCATTTACTAAGTAGTCTGTCTGCTTTTCTGTCACTCTATTTATTTTTATTGCTAATCTAATTGTTAAAAAGTGCTTATTGCTTTTTAAAAATGGTTAATTGATTGCTATATATTTATTTTATATATCTATCTATTTATTTATTTCAATATCAATTTATTATTGTTTTATGCTAAAAATTTAATTAATACTTAAATCTTATATAAAGATAATCAATTTATTGACTTCATTAGAGCACCTATTTGTAAAATTTATAATCTATTTATTAAATCAGTTCAGTACTGTGTGCTAGAATCCCTTTTTGACAAAACTGAATACTAGAAAGAAATTTTACAATATTTAAAAAAAATATATATTCAACAAATGAAAAGCGGGTTAATAAACTTTCAAAACTTAAGATAGAAAGCAATATATTTATTACTAATATTTTTTTAATTATCTGCTGAAAAAAATTATTTAAATAGGTTTTTATTAACCAAATTTTTTTTAAATTATTGATAGCTTAGCATCATATTCAAAACATATTTATTTATCTTATATTAGTGATAGTTTCAGATGAAATTCATGAATTTATAACGAATTATTTAATAATTATGAAAAGTGTAGCCATTTATTTATAGAGAAGAATTCAAAAAAAAATAAATATTATTTTCCTATTTAAATACACAACAAAATAAATCTGCATCTCTCAAAAATAAATAAGATTTTAATCTTAAAATTTAATAATTTCTTAAATTTGAATTTATTTAAACCTATCTGCTTTATTTATTAGACATTAGAGCTTTAGTCAGAACTTTTGATATATGTTTACTATTAGAAACTTAAAAAAGTTAGTTACTTTTTGTAAAATTTTTTATAAATCTATCTATTATGTAAATTAAGATTTCTCAAAAAATGAAGAAGACGTATGTTTGTATATAACTATGTATTCATTCGTATAGAAAAATTATTAAAACATCTAGAAGCAATTCACGTATTTAATTAAATTACAAAAATACAAAAACATTTGTTTAAATTACTATATTTTTAAAATTTATCTATCATCTAATTTGTATGATTTTTGTGCTAAGACACGCAGAAAGAGCAGATAATTCACCTTTTTAAGATGATTAAAAAGATGTGAAGTTAAATTTTGACCCACATTTAACAGATCTAGGAATTTTACAATCATAACTATGTGCTCTTAGTATTAAAAAGATACTAGAGACATATAATCCTAATGCAAAACAAGTTGTTTATGTTAGTTCTCCTTTTTTAAGATGCGTATAAACAGTGTAATATGTAAATTAATAACTTGGTTTAAACGCAATAGATAATAAGTTATATGTTTAAACTCATGTAGGTAAAATCTTGGTATTTTTTGTATCGATATCATACGAAATCTTAATTTATTTGAATAATAGGAGAAATGCTCAGGAGTACATGGTTCGAAGAGGATATTAATAAAAAACTTACATAAAAAACAGACCAAAGTTTGAGCTAATAAGTTGGACTGAAGATAGAAGAGCCATTTGCTCAAGACGAAAGATTAATTTAATAAGTTTATCCAGAAGATAAACTAGGAGATTTCTATGATAGATTTAAAGTGGCTTATGAGTATTTAATTATTTATCTAAAATATATAATTTGATGAAATACATATAATTTTATCTTCTTGTCCTTTAATAATTAATTAGAGTAATTGTTGAGAAGTTTTTAAATACTTATAATACTGAAGAAACAGTGCTTATAATTGTTACTCATGGATTCGGAGTATAAGTTGTACTAGATAAATTTAATTGCTTTAGTTTCTCTGATATGGTTGACTACTGTAGCATAAATGCCTTTGATTATAGATAAGAATCTCTTCCTAACAAAGAATACCCTTTCATTCCTAAAATTTGTGTAAGGTAGTAACATGATCATGTAAAATAAGCTGATAATGAATTCAGCAAACGAAAGTAATAAATAGCTAAATTTTGATGAAAATGTATAAAAAGATGGATAGTCAAATCATAAAAATAAATGAATTAATTTGCATTTTTAGAAGGAAAAAAAAGAAAGAAAGCATGAATCATTTTAACTAAAAAAGTTACAAAAAGGAACGAAAATTGTATGAATATATAATAAATTTCAATTTTTATTTTTAGATTGATTTAAATAATCTATGTTGCTTAAAAATTAACTTAAGAATTGACTGAAGTATTCAAGAGATTCAAAATCTAGTGAATTAACTTTTGACTGGTTTGTTTTAATTAAAAAAATATAATTAAATAATTATTAAGTATTCAATTTTTTCTAATAAATTACTCTGTTTGTCGAAGAAAGTCCTTAAATACCTCTCTAATTAATTACTTATAGTATAGCTATTATATTAGAACCCTATTTATAACGAAATTTAGTTCACCAATAAATATAAATAGGCAAAAATATTTTTAAAATTATTCAAATTAATTTATAAAAAATAAATAACTTTTTTTGGTTCATTTATATTATATGATTTTATTTATATCTTACTTATTTTTTAGAAACAAAAATTAAGAATATAAAATTAATAAATATTCAATGTTAATTAAATAATAGCAAAAATAAAGTTCTTAATGAATTTAAAACTTCTTATGAGTTTAATATTGATTTCTTTTGATCATTTAATCGATAAATTTTTAAAAAGCTATCGATTATTTATTATAATAGCTAAACTTCTTCTTTCTCTTTTCAATCAAAATTATTAAAATTTATAATGAATATAACATAAAGAAGTTTCTCAATTTGTAATTAGGAATTTTCTTTGTTACCTACAAACGGCTTTTAAATCTAACAGAAATCAATTAATTAATTTGTGATTCTTTTTACTTCACTAAATTAATTTTCATTCATTAAGTTTTATATAATAAGCTAAAGTGCTTTTAATAAATCTTTCTTTTTGTTTATAAATAGATTTATTTTTTAAATATTTTTATTATTTATTCGATTTCCTTAAAAGAGTAAACAAATATTGTAATATTATTATTTTTATAATTTGAATTAATAATATTATTTTTTAAGTATGTTTAAATTTCTTTTATTTAAAAATAAATTAGAAGTGCTTCTGATAAAAATTTGGATTTTTTTACTATTTATTTTTATTAGAGATTTTATGAAAAACATATAAAAATCAATTTTACTTTATCTCTTTTTACAGGCATGGATATTATTGGCATAGATGTGTCAAGATCAACTTCTGAATTAAAGAGATGGTGGTTGTAAGCATTAGATATATTTAATGTTTCTGCAAGTTCGTAAGTTTTACCTGCTATGCCAACTCCTAATTCATGATAAACTTTTTATTTTGAATCCGAGTGAATACTAAATAGCTTCTTTTGCTATTCATCAACTATTAATATTTTTCCTTTGTTTGAATTAAATAAATCTTATAGCTTTTTTTCAGCTTTTGGAATAAACTCCTCCAAATTTAAACAAGTGCTTAGTTATATACCAGTCTATATTTTATGATTGTAAATTAAAAAATAATCTTTAAAATGAAATAATTAATTAATTACCTAAAGAAGAGTTCTTAAATTATTTTGAAACAGCATAGTTTAATCAAATTACTCTGAATTTCTTAAAACAATAGAAGCTAATTGTGAAATAACAAGCATTAGTCCTTCATCGTCTTTTGTAAAATATCCTTTTAGTTTATTAACAGACTAAATAACACCCAGTACATTGATTCCATCTCTATCAAAAATTGGGAATGCTAAAACAGTATTTGTTTTATAATTCATCATTTTATCTATTTCTTTGTTAAACCTTTCATCGTTATATGCATTTAAAATGTTTAAGTGTTAACCACTTGTAAAAACTGCACCAACTATTCCTTGATCAAATGGAACCTTTTTGTATAATAAATATATTTAGTTTATTTACAATTAGAAATATATATTTATCAAATTTTATTCACTTTGATAGTTTTATTTGAACCTTTTGCATGCTTAGTCCACAGCTATTCACTTTCTTATTCGAAAATGAAAACACTTGCTCTATCAGATTCAAGACAATTACATGTTTCTTCAACAATATTTTCTAATGCTTCAGAGAATATTCTACTTTAATTCATAGTAATACTAGCCTTCAAAAGTTTTCTTAATCGGAACACCAAATAAAATAAACTCTTTTATTTATTTAACAAATAAAAATAAATTTATTTTTATTTTTAAAAAATAAATGACTAATACTATAAAAAGCCATTTTAAGTAAATAAGTAAAATAAAAAGTCGACTATTAAATAAAAACTCAAGCTAAAAACCAATAAATTTTATAATAATTTTCCGTTTAATTATTTTTACCTTATGTTCAATCATAAGTTTTTAAATAGAGTCAAATAATGTTATCATTCCTAAGTATTCAAGTTACTTTACTTATTGAATAAACAAATCTTCTTCTAAAATTATTCCAGATAGTGATTGAACAAATTCTTTTTCTAAATAATACTTGTTGATATCTGCATCTGTATATATTTATTAATTTTATTTATAAACATTTTTAATACAAGCAATTAATTAATTAATTATCTTATTTTTTTTATATTTCTTTAAAAATATTTTCCAATTATTTTTTAAGTTTGTTTTTGGGATGATTGTAAAATTAAATTAATTTATTTATTTATTTTTCTTTTAAACTAATTTTTAGCATTTTAATTTACCTAATGATAAGCTAAGTATTGTTTATGGTCTATCATCCACTCCTTCTTTTTTTTTAAGCTTTATTCTTCTAGGAGTATCAGTGTCACCTTTTATTTCATCATTTACCATGAAGCTTCTTCTTGCACTAGGTTTCAGAAAACTGTATTTCTTGCTTAATTTATTAGTACTTTGGACTGAATTGTTATTTGCTAGTGGATAGTTTAAGTTTTAAGTATTTGATGAGTTTAAAACCTAGTAAGGACTATTTTAAGCTAAAGGAGTCTGGTTTTAGGATTTTAATTAATTCTATACAGAAGGAAGCTAATTAGTAGATTAGGATATAGAACTCTAATAATATTTTAAATTATTGTTGTTTTTATTATTATTTATATTTTTTTTCAATTAAAAATAATTACTCTTTAGAAAGGGCGCTTATTTACATTCTCTAGATATGCATTTTACTCTTTTAATTTTCTATTTTCTTCTTATATGTGAGAGAGCATCTCATCTCTTTTTTACTATGCAATTGTTAGATACTTTATAAGATATTAAAGTCTTTCGATCTCTCTATTTTTATATTTGACTATATTTTCTAGATTTTACGCATATCTTACTATATCTATGACTTGCTTATGCAATTCTTTATCTTCGTTTCTATTAATTTTTTATTCATTTTAAAATATTCACCACCATATTGCAATAATTTTAAATAGGTAATTAAATAGATTCTCTAATAATGAATGATTAAAGTTATACTTTTTAAAAATCTTAATAAAAATTATGGAAATACCTAAATTTCATGTTAATAACTTCAGATAGTTATGGCAATTTGCTAATTTAAATATCATCAAACTGTTCAATAGGCTAACTTTGATGTTAATCTTTATAAGATATTTAAGAATTTTATAAATCATGATCAGATTATATTATCCTATCTGTACCATCATCTAAATATTTTGAACTTCCTCCATAAAGATATTTTGATTAATACTACTGGGTAGGGATAGGATTCATTTACACATTTTTTTTCATTTTATGCTCAAGATATATTCTAAACGCTTAATTTTTTAACTCTGTTAGATTGTTAGTTGTTACTAATTTTTGAGTCGAGCCTTTTTTATAATAAACAAGATAGATATTTTGTCTGCTAAATTACTATTGTAAAATTAATAAGAAGCTATTGTTTTTTTATTATAAATAATAATTAAAAATAAATGATCAGTCAATAAGTTAATCAATAATCGTTGTTTTTTTTTAGTGAAAATATGAATTTACTAATCAAATATTTTTTAACCAAGTAATTAAATTTGCATTTAAATTACTAAGATACTGAATAATATTCCTCACTGTAAAACTGAATATAAATAATATCTTATTTATTTTTTCTAAATCCAAAAAGTAAAATGAGGAATCTTATGTAAGTAATCTTTAAATGTTCAAATGATAATATCAAAAAAAAAACTAAATCAAAAGAAAATATTTACATTAAAATTAAAATTTTTAATTTTTGTATTTAAATTTTTAGTAAAGGAGAGAATCAAATTAATAGCATTCTTGGTGAGTTATCTTACTATTATTTAAACCATTTAATACCTAAAATAAAAATACAAAAATAAAATAAGAAGGAATAAGCTAAATCAAGATTGTAATTAAATAATTTACACATAAAAATTTCAAAGTAATTAATTGCTATAAAAGAATAAAAGCAATAAGCATAAAGTTAAAGCTAAAAGGGAGACAAATAATTGTGTTAGTTAAAATATATAAGCATTCATGAAATTTACATTTTATGCTTCTTTTATTCGAGAACCAGATATTTTTCTTTTATGAACGAGTTAGAATAAATTTGTTGAGATAAATAATTAATGAATTAAAATTTTAGCCATTTTATTTTTATGTTAAACAACATGATAAATTTGAAACAATATTTCATTGAGAAAACGTGCCTTATCACATTATTAATTGTAACCTATAAATTGCTAGTTGATAATTTTATTTTTTCTTAAAAGATATTGCTGTAAAAAAGATATTTTGAACAAGCAATAATGAAAGATCAAATAGTGAAGTGAAAAAGAAAGACTAATTGATAGATTCTTCTGTTGGTTATAAATGAAAGACTATAATAAATTTCTTAGTATTAAAGTTACCTGACTAAATTTTGATAGTAAGATTGCTCTTTTTGATACTTGAAGAGTAAATTAGATTTGGGGAAAATACTTAATTAATAAAATTCTTTAAATAAAGCTAATATAAATATAAAGTAAAATTTCTTATTAATTTTTACCATAAAATTTCGTAATTATAAAGATTTAAAATTAGTTTGATTAGAAAGTAAAGAGCAGATTTCTGCGTGATATTTAACTTTTTACAATTAATATGAGATTTAATATTTACTTATATTCTTATTTGAAAAGAAGTAAATAAATAAATAAATACTTTTGCTCAAATAAATTCACTAGACTATCACTTAGAAAAGAGGTAATATTTACTATGAGATTCTGATTAGAAAAATATTAATACAAAATTAATTTTCTCTATTAGTTTGGAAGCTAATAATTCAGTCAGACAGTTAGCCGTAAACGGCTTACTTATGAAAGTTTATTAATACAAATTTATTTGCAAGTTTTTCTAATATCTTGTTTAAAATTACTCAAAATAGATTTTCTGCAGACAGATTTGGAATAATGAAAAATTTAATGTTCATAAATAGATTTAGTATAAATAAAATAGATAGATAAATGAAAATGTTTCAAAATTAAAGGTAAGAAAATAATAAATAAGTAGCTTGTTATTAAAGAATGAATGAAAAGGAATTGCATGTAAACTACCTTACAAATGATTTAAGAAGAAAAACTCTTGGTGCAACAATTTTAATTATTTCTGGGGAATAGTAAATTTTATCATTATTGTTTTGAATATGGAAAAAGCAATAACACCTTTCATTCATTCACTTAATTATTAAATTTAATTGAATTAATTATTCTCAAATAGGGGGGATTTTTTGTAGGAAAAATAAATAGAAACGAATAAAGACAAACAAAGTGGGATTTAATCTTATTTTATTTTATTAAGAGACGAATTAGATAAATTAAGCGAGTAAGTATTTGTTTTGTAGATATTGAAGAGGATTCTTCTGAAAGGCTGTGGCAATATTCCTTGTGAATTCTAGTCTTTCTCAGACTAACCATTTTCTGAAAATTACTGCAAGCTATTGAATTTTGTCTGAGTTTCATATTTTCGATTTGAAGAAAAACTTTTAAAGAAATAATGTACATGGAATGCAACTAATATATTTAAGTAGTATGATGAATTCGAGCCAAGAGCGTTCATATTTAAACAGAATCTTCAAGAAAAGATCAAGCAAGTAAAATATTTTAGGGTTGGCTAGGGAAATTACATTGTTTAATGGGTGGAAGAGGTGGATAGAAGTGCGAGAGAGTTTATAGTAGAGTTATTATTATAAGAAAATTAAAAATAGGAAAACAAGCAGAGGAGTAAGAAAAAATTAGAGTAATTAGAAATTTGAAAAGTAAACAAAAAAAATAATTAGATTTTGTGAGATTTGCTCAGAAATAAAAAAGGAATTAATAGAAGCTCAGAATGTGGGAAGAATCCAGTTAGATTATTCTTATTCTAAATATATTGAAACGAAATTAGTTTATTTTTTATTTATTTAATAAATAGGAGGGCAAATTATAGTGGATTACTAATACCAAAGATGCGAAGATAAGCGTTCGTACAATATTAGGATATGGAGGTAATTTAGAGTATATTTTTCTATTTGCAGAAAGAGAGGAATGCGAGTAAATAAAATAAAAAAAGAGAGAAATAATAATTTAACTAAAATGAAAACTCATACACTCAAACCTTTTATATATATTTATATTTGTTTGTGTATCTATCTATCTAAGCAACCTTTATGACAAAACCAGATTTATAAAAAAAGCGAGAGTAATTCAAGAAAAAAAGAAGACTCATATTAACCAATATAACTAAATAATCTAAAAAAAAATATAAACGAGAAAGAAAAGAAAGAGGAAAAAAAGAAACAAAAAAAAAGTAAAACACTTACCTTCACCTTTTTTTGAAAGCAAAAAAAAGCAGTAAACTCCCAAATCAAAAAAAAAGCAAACAAACAAACTAATTCAAATTATTTTGATTAATCAACAACATCATATTTCGCCTTTATTTTTAGAATGAAATCTACCTCAAACAAGCCATTCATCCCTTAACCAGGGCAGCTTAACGTAGGGTAAAATGGAGTTTCTAACAGCGAGAATGTGTCTTAACCTCAGGTATACATACATATTTAGCTTCCATTTATTTCATTTCACTTTTTTTTTTTCGTTATTTGATAGTTCAGCCAGTGGACACTTAAATTTTCTCTTTACTTTTCGAATTTATTACTTCATCTATTACCTTACTCTACACGGCTGATTATAGTCTTATTAAAAATATTATTTATATGAATAATAAATGTGCATGCTTTTCAATTTTTTAATTCGATTTCTTCTCTTACTTTTTTCAAGATTTATTAACACTAACTTATATTTATTAAAATTAAAATAGCCATAATATACATAAAAGATCCAAGTTATCCAACATACTGCTCCCTCCGAAGGCGGAGCTGAGCCCTCTCCTTCTGCTAACTAGGCCTCTACCCATGCACCCTCATAAGCTACTACTACTTAGCAACCTGATACATTAAGTTAGAACTCTTCATCGCAAGCACAAAATTAGCAATAGCAAGTCCCTACAACCCTTGCTTAAGCTCAAGCAGTATTAGCTGCCACTGCAGCTGCTGCTGGCTAAATTAGTTCACCTGCAATAAATCCTAACCAAGAGCAGACTCATTCTTAGGTAAACTAGTCTCTTGATGAAAAACTTCTAGGTTAAAACGCTGCCGCCGCAGCCGCAATAGGTAATTATTTAAGAGTTTGTATATTTAGCAAATTGAATGTGTTCTGATTTATGCATAAGAGAGCAGAGATATTTTTTCTTCTTCTAGCTTCTTTCATACATACAGCAATGAACCCTTTTCTTCATTCTACTTCTGAGTTAGTTTATTGGTTACTTATTTTTAGTCAAAGATATATTGAAGGAATTGCTATTTCATTCATTTAATTAAAAAATGTGAATGAATCTTACTTTTCTCCTTTATATTTCTTTCAAATAAGAACTTTGCTTACTCTGAGTTACTCATGCTTTTTTTCTTTATTAATCACATTCAACTTGCTTATTTGATTAATTTTTCTTTTACTTTTAAAGTTTGAATGAATAAACACAAATATTTCATAAAACTCTATCTGTCTATTCATTCATTCATCATTGTTATATTAAAGCTTAATTCATATTTTTTACCTAAAATTATCAACTTATAGCTGCTACCATGAATGGACAGATGCAACTAGACCATGCAGCTATCTAATAGCTTATTCAGTAGAGTCTTTTACCCTAATAATAGTAAAACTAGCAAAATTAATAATAGTAACAATAATAGCAGTAATAGCTATAGTAAGCCCAAGCCTAGTAGTAATAATAGCATGCACTTGCAGCAGCAGCCGCAGCTCAGCAATAATAGTTTTTATAAATATAACAGCAATAAGCTCTCCAAGCTCTAAACTTGCAAAATCCAAACATTAGCGAGTAGCAAATGCGCGCTCTTTTGACTGAGCAATTTAATTTATAGTAGCAAACTTAGCAACCTCTTTAATCTAATTTACAAACAGCTAATCACTAATAACTTCTTAATTCTCTCGTTCCTTAGTTGCTCAATAAGCCTAATGGGTTCCCAAATATTATCCCTCCTCTTACTCAACAAGCCTAGCTTTAATAATCGCCTTAAAGCTAAGTGTAAAACCCTACCCAATTACAGCAAGATAGTGCTGATAAAAAAATAAAAGTAAAGTCAGAAAATATTCAAGGCTAGGGCGTCTAACTGAATGGAAATTCCCCACCTCTAGGAGCCAACAGTATACCTTCCCAAAATCTAATAGGAAGCAACCCTTTGAATCCCCTCTCATAATAGAATGGAGCTACAAATGGAGCAAACGGCAATACCAATAACAATAAGGCAACTGTTTGCACACAACCTATAGACAACTGCAATGTAGTATCATCTATTGGAATGGTAATATAATTTACACAAAAAATAAAAAATTAGTTATACTTAGTTACTTTCATTACATATATATAATCTTACTAAACATTATAATTAATAATTTTTTGTTTTTACAATAAAATATAGAGCTAAATAAACTAACCCTAGACAGGTACTTTCAAATTTTAAGATTCTACATAAAAACAAACTAATTAATATCTTAGTTATTTCTTTTGACTATTCTAGCCTTACTCTTCTAATTATAAAAATCTATAAAAAGAAGGAGCGAGCTTGCTAAATAAATAGAAGAAGAGACAAATAATCTTCTATGATAAAATTAAGCAAAATCATAGAAGATTCAAATGTTTCTTCCTTCAAGATTAGAATTACATTCTAATCAAATATTTATCCATTTATTTTTTACAACTGAGAACGATTTGTATTATTGATTGCCTGACTTTATTTCTTTGTATTAAATAGATAAAAGTAAGTGGGAATGGATGCCTTGCACATTTTATATCAAGCAAAATATTGATGATCGCACTATAGTTTGGAGTTTAAAACCCAGTGTTGGTTTTGGCAGTCCAAGATAGGATGTAATAAATTTTTTTATTTTCATTTAAAGAATAAAGCAAACAAACATATTTAAAAAATACAGATGGTTTTTATGAAAAGTTTTACTTTTTACCCACCAATTAATCCAACTTTGAAAATCCAAAAATATATTAATAAATAATTAATTACTCTCAGCTTTCAAAGGGAATAACCTGCTTTATATTTTTATTATTGCACTGACAAGCTAGATTTTTATTTCTAATATATAATAAATGAATCGATGTTTATTTAACTATTTTACAAATATCTGCTGTCAACCATTTTCGCAAAAATGTATTTCAACTCAAATTAATGAAAAATTTGAACTTCATTTTCATATTTATTTCAAACCAATTTTAAAATTAAAAATTCATTTTTTTAACATAGGGATCCTCTCCAAAGACAAACATGACAATATGGATGGAAAGAAATTTCATTTATGATGAAGATATGGGCTGGAATTGGCACAAGAGTTGGATACTTCCTAATCTATGTGTAAAGTTAGAGGTATTTTAAGCATTTAAAATTTTTTTCTCTTTCGTAGCATGTAAAAGTTAGCAAAATAGTTTAAAAAAACTATGTAAGTATATAGAGTTATTATTACCCTGATACTTCTAATATGTTTTTATATTTGATCTGACTTTTCGTTTGATTTTAAACAACATTGATTGTTGACATTACTTATTTTCTAAAGTGTGCTTGCTTGCATTCGACATAAAACTTTTAAAATTTGTATAACAAAAGATTATAGACCCCAAAACTAATGAGATCTTCAATCCTCCAAAAAATACTTTTGCGTAAATCTATGCAGTCAAAGCAGCGACTAAAGATATTTCGAATTTCCACATAGTTGACATAGGCTTGAAAGGCAACGACAAGATTCCTCTTGAAAGTGGAACAGTGACCTTTAACGCCATAAAATTCACCTCAACTTCTTACAACAATGATGTAATTAAGAATTAATTTTGGAAAGTTTAAAAATGAAAATTGAAGGAAACATAACCATAAAACAAGCAATTAACACATAGAGTGAATAGAATGAATTTATGTTTAACAGAACATAAAAATATCTGGAAATGATTTGAATATTTTGGAGTATCTTAAATTTTAAAGCAGTTTAGAGGAAAAAAGAAAAGGTTGTTGTAAGCTGTATTATTAATCTATTTATGATAAAGATTTATTTTGAAGAGTAATAGAGAACTAAAATATAAATAGAAATAAACAAATAGAAATTTTTTCTTATTTCTTAATTGTCTTTTTTCCGCCCCTTTTATTCTTTGATTCATAAGTTTGTAATGAAATCCCTTACTTCTAAATATAATGCTGGGAAATTTTTGAAATCAAAAATGAGATAGTTACAGCAATTTAATCAATTTCAAATAAGAAAAGATATATTCAATTACTCTTTAATATTTCCTTTATTCCTTAAAGATTAAATCTCATCTTTTCCTAACCTCTTTTTTTTAAAATTTACTCAATTTAAAGCAGATGTAAATCTAAAACTTTATTACGCTAATTTCTCCCCATAACTTTCGAATCCTAATTATCTATATAAATTCATTATTCCCCTTTCATTTCATTCTATTCCCACCTTGCATTTAAAAACTATAACCATAACATAATTTAAAAGGTCTTTTTAAATTTATTTTTCCCTCTTCTATTTTTTGATACAATAACTAACATGCCATTCAATACTCAATCCCTCCTACTATCCCATCTATTTGCTTCTCGCTAATAATGAGAATTATATTTAAACAAGCGAAAGAAAATTAAATTTTAAAAATTTTGCTTATTATTGATGAATGAGAGCAAATTTAATTTTTTTATTTCCCCTCTCTCTTCTTATAAATTTTTGATTTGAGTTAAGAAAGACAATAAATAATTTACTCGCTGCTCATAAATAATATAATCTATTCACATAAAATTGGTATATATATTCCTAAGTGTATATCAATTATAATTTCTTTAATTTAATTGTAATTTAAACTTCTATTTCTTTTATTCTTCACTATTTAATCCTTTTTATCCTCCCCACTTTCAAGATTTTCTTTAATAACAAATACATAACCAAATCTCTCTTTGGCGAGTGACCGATTGATTTAAATTTACTAGTTTTTATTTATCAAATCATCATAGCCTATTTATTGAGTCTACTTTTCTATTTCAATTACACAATTTTAAGATTTCATAAGGATTTTCATAGCTTTACCTTTATCATTTTAATCTAAGTAAATTTACTCAACACCAACTAACTAACTTACTTGCTTACATGCATTTAAAAATTAATGAAAAAATGTTTATTACTATCATCATCAATAAAGAAATAACTTTATTGCGAATAATAAATAAAATATTTACTTATCTTTTCTAATTTTTGAATTGTCAGTCATATTTGATATTTACTGACATATTACTAATTAATTATTAATAATTCATATGATTATCTCATTTTCAAAAGTAACCTTTTCTTTATTATTATTCGATAGAATAATAGTAATATATTTTATTATTTTTGTTTACAGCATTCCTTGTACAAAAAAGCTTCATATGATAAATGATAAGCTGTAATTAGGTTATGTCTATGATTATATCATTATTTTTTATTCATCAATCTCATTGCAAATGGGTTATTTCCTTTGGTTATATAACAATCTTCTTCTATTTTAAGATATTTTAACTTTCGTATTTTTTTTATAGAACTATTAATAATTTTCTATCACACATCAATCAATTTATTCATCTTATTATTTAAATAAAATAGGGTAATAAATTTAATTTAGTAGTCGCCATCACTTTGTAAAATGAAAATGATCCTCACCCAAAGGTAATTGAAGCTAAAATTTCCCCTCCTATTTTCGTTGATTCAAGAAAATCAGCTCGTGAAACCCAAACAACAAAGTAAGACGTTAAGGTTAATAGCTTCTATGACTTATTCTTACCTGAAATATTTGACAAGTAACTCGTTAAGAGAAAAAAAACAGAAAAAGAATAGGTTTCCGAAGAAATTAAGAATGATATCACTGGATTTACCAACTATTTTACTGCTCCCAACATCAGAAACAAAGTAATTACATTTTTTAAAATAGCAATTTTTACATTTTTCATAACTAGAAATTAGATAAATTATTTATTTTAAATTTCTAAAATGTATCACAAATTCTTCATTAAAAGTAAAGAAAAGCATAAATAATTTTCAAACATGATTAATAATAAAATAATGTTCAAATACAATCTATACAAACAATCCATGGTTTAATAAATGTATTTTTAAATAAGAATTTTACTTAAAGATTATTTGAAGAATGTTTGTTACATTAAAAGAAGAATAATAATAATATCTTAATAATTATCTTAAAGTAATATTGCTTTTATTATAATTAATTAGGTTAAGCACCCTTTCTTTTTGGCATATAAATTCTCAAAGTGTGTTAAATTGTACTATAACACTGACCAGTACAAGCATAGTAGCACTGAATATATTGTAGAAAGAGTAATAAATAAATAAATCAATTAATTAACAATTTATTTATAATTATTTTGTTATTTAAATGCTTTAATCTTTTTTTTAATTAAGACCCTTGAAATTTTGCAAGATTATGGAAAATCAAAGAATAATGGCTCATCTAAAAACAAGAAATAAACAAACAGCTTTGATAAAGTCAATTAAAATGCTTATATTACACTTGCATTAAATGTCAGCTAACAAAGTAATTTCTACATGAACAAGAAGGTAAAAATAATTTTTTTCTTAAAATTAATTAACCATACAAATATAGCTAGCTATTTAGTTAGCTAATCTCCATCTCTATCTATTTATTATTTCAAAACATTAAATCAAAGTAAATTAAGAAAATAAGTTTGAATTTTTAATTCAACTATTTGATATATATAAACTAACTACCTACTAACTTTGTTAATTAATCTTTTATGAACTAAGATTTTGATTTAATTGAAAAATATAATAGATCTAATATAATATCTTATAAATATTCAATAAAAAATATATAGAAAATTTTGTTAATTTTATTTACAATTTAATAAAGATAGGAGAACTTCTTGGTCCTCTTGATAACTCTATTGTAAATGTTATTTTTGAATAAAACTTTATCCCTGAGAAATATTCACTTGTGAGTGATATTGAAGGCATCAAGAATGAATACATCCGCTGCTATAATAATATCATTCAAAAATCTAATTAAGCTGGTCCTAGAATAGGTAATTAGATATGCTTCTTATCAATTTTGCATAAACTTAATTTATTTACAAAAAAATGAGAATTCATTTAACATTAAATTAACTTCTTTATTTTTTAAATTTTACTAATATATATAAATAATCATTATTAAATAGGATAAGGAGGAAGTAAACTCGAATATGGCCACAAAAAAGTTAAAACAGATGACAATAGTGATGGTTCCTCAGGCTCTGGAGGTGATGACGAATCTAATCAAGTCAGTTCATTAAATCCATCAAACATTTAAGAATAAATTAAACAACAGTAGAATGCCATCTAATAATAAATATTTGGTGGTATTTCATAAGATCCTAATAGCTAATTAAATCTTTAAACCCTTTAACAGCTTGTTTAGAACTAATCTGGTTTAGCTGCTTTAGGAACAAACCCAATGCTTAATCTTACTTTATAAGCTTAACAGTAATAATAATAACAACCATAGCAATAATAGTAATAGTAGTAGGCTGCATAGACTCCTTCTAATGTTCAAGAATAATTAGCTAAACAGTAGTAGTAGCTGCTTGCTGCATAAAAGCTCTCAAATAATACCTCTGTTCATTAAGCTTAATAAGGTGCTAATGTTTCTGCAAGTTCAGCATTTGCTTCCTTAAATAATCCTTTAAGCATATTATAAGCTGCTTAACAAGCACAATAAAAACCAGCATAAGCATAATAATAAAATCCTGTATAATAGACTTAATTACTTTAAGGAGTAGGTGCTTAGAATAACACTCAATAGCAGCTTTAATAGCAAATGCTCCAATAACTTCTTCTTCAAAAAGATCTATAATAGCAACTGATTCAAAACCCTTAACTATAACAAAAAAATAACATAAATATCAGCTCATTAATACAATAATTAGGATATCAGGGCTAATAATAAGGTTAAGTTTAGAACCCTCAATTAGCAGCATCACTTAATGCTGCTCATTAACTACAATAAGTAGCTTCATAGCAATAACCTTTACAATAATAACAAGCTATTTAGTAACAAGTGTTGTAATAAATTTCGACATAATTATAACTAGAAATGAGCAAAATAGCTACATAGATTAGCACTCTAGGATAAACACCTGAGCTTCTACAGTAATTTAATGGTTATCAAAATCAATTTTAACAAATATAATAATAACTTCTGTAATCGTAATAATAATCTTAATAACAAGGTTAACAATAATAAACAATTAATGCTGCTTAATAGTAATAATAGTAGTAATAACAATAGCTTTAGTAACATAGATAGTAACAACAATAGCAGTAAAATCAATAACAATAATAATAGTAGCAATAACTTAAGAATTTCTCTTTACTTCAAAATTCTAATTAAACTCTTAGTTAAGCAGCTGCTTTATCTGGAGTAAACCCTATTCTCTAGTTGTTACAACAATAACAAACCCCTTAGTTACAAAATTAATTAGCTGCTGCTTCTGATAAAGGAGGTTCCTTGCAGTAATAACAATTAGCTTAACTCCTATCAGGTTAGTAAAACGCCTTGTTCTAAAATGCAGCAGCTGCTCAATAATTACAATCATCTCAAGCTTAGCAACACGCTGCACTATAAAACCTTTTAAATCCTGTATCGAATAATTAAAATATCCAATAATTATTATAATAACAGTTTGCTGCTTAACAATAACAGCAATAATAATAATAGATGAATTAACAATCACAACAAGGAAATGCAGCACATCAAATCTTACATTAACAACTTCTTCTCTCCAATCCTTCTTTACTCTAACAATGTAAATAACATTAAATATTTCTCTTCATTTTTTTATAATTTAATTATTCTTAATATAAAAATAGTTCTATTGACTCAAGGAGCTGGACTTTCTTCCTTAGCCAAAACAGAATAGTGAATAATTGAGTGAGCGTGTGAGTGAGAGAGTGAATCAATCAATCAACAGCAAACTTAAATACTAAATAAACAAATATATTTATAAGATAGACTCAAAAATATACTAATTAAATTTATAGATCCCTTCTTAAACTAACTCATTTTTTATATCCATCTAACTCTTATTTGATTGATTGATCGATTCAGAGTTAACAAAAAATAATAAGCTAAGATTATTTTTAAAAATTAATTACCTCCCAATCAAGCAAGTAAACTAAATAAATAAATAAAGATAACTAACGAACATGATTAATTGAATAAATAATAAATATATAATAATAACTCGCTTCTCTTTACAATCTTAATTTACTCAATTTTTTAATTAATAACTCACTTAATTACTTATTTATCATCAAATTAGCTCGAACAACATAGATTTTAGTGAATAAATTTGATTCTTCTTAATAATTGATTAGATAAAAAGATTTAATCTAAGAAAACGGAGTTTTTATTGAAAAAAAACTAAACAATTTTATAATTGAAAGAACGAACTATAAAAAAAGAAATAAAATACATAATAATCATCATATAAATAATGACTAATATTCTAATTGAAAGCTAACTTACTCTTTTCTTATTGACTTTTCTACCTTTCTCTATACCTAACTTCATACGAATATACATACATACAAATAAACGCACTCAATCATCATTTGATATACTGATACATTTTTGATTAAATACAAGGGAATGAATATACATGAATGTATCTTTAACTATTTTAAATTAAAAAAAATATTAATTTTGTAAATTATTATTGTGTTTTCAATTCATAATTTTATATAAAAACGTAGAATTTTTTTAATAATTTACTTCGATTATTTTATACTTTAACTTAATTTGTTTGATAAATAAATACTCTATAGTTTCTCTTACTTTAAATAACAATGATTGCTTTTATTAATAAAGAAAATATTAACGATTGATAAAAAAAATGTTACTGTAAAAAAATCAATAAATAAGTTGAGTTTAAAATGTGTTTGCTTTATTTGAAAGAAGTATAAATTAAATAAATAAAATCCTGATTTTGAAATGTGGAGGGAGGAAGGAAAAATAAATAAATAAATAAAATACAATTTTTAAAGCAGTTTTAATCAGAACGAAGTAAAAAGAAAGGATGTGCAAGGAGTTTACTTTAAATTCAATTTAATTAACTAAATTGAGAAGTGATTTAGACTCTTTATAATTTTGATTAGAAATTAATAAGAAACAATAAGAAAAAGTTAATTTGTTTTTTGCCTTTCAAAATTATTTAGATTACTCTTTCTTGCTCATGGAGAAATCAATTTCTTTTACAATTATTAGCTAATTAAAATTTTCTTTTTTATTTTAGTATTTAAGGATGTCATTAGATTTTACTTGGTTAGTTAGTTATAATGCAAATTTTTATTCGAGTAATTTATTTAAATAAAGCTTAAGCAGTTCAGCATTCAACTGCATTTATTGATTTGAAATGATAGTCTTAAAAAAACTAAATTTCAAACTAAATCGATAAATTTTGATTCAAATAGCCTTGAAAAAACTAAATATTTGACTTACTATTTGCAAGACCTTCTATAAAAACCTTTTTACAATCAAAATAAATTTAATAAATATTTGTTAAAACTTGCATTTTTATATTGATTATACTTCAATTTTTAAGCTGTTTTAAATCTCCACTAATTTTTCTTTTTCATGGCAGATCAGACTTAAAAAATAATATCAACAATTTTGAACAAGTACAAAGAGTTTTAAGAATAAAATTCTACAGACCCTGAAAAGTAATTTTTTATTGGAATAGCAGGTATTCCTGGAGGTGGTAAGAGTACTCTTACTTAAAAAATAGTAAATTAAATAGGCTCTAATGTTTGTTAGATTGTTCCAATGGACGGGTATCATTTGTATTTAAAAGAACTCAGTCCTGAGCAGCTTGCAAGAAGAGGAGCTCCAGATACATTCAATTAAATTAAGTTTAAAAATGATCTTATGAGATTAAAATAAGAAAGAGAAGGGCATTTTCCGTCTTTTGATCACGCAGTCAAAGACCCAATAGAAAATGACATAAAAATTACTAAAAATATGAAAGTAGTTATCGTTGAGGGACTTTATTTGTTCATGAAAGAATGGGATTTAATAAATCTGTTTGACATGAAGATTTTTATTAAATGTAATTAGGATGAGGCGGACTAGAGAGTAGCTAATAGACATTTTTAGGCAGGAATATGCTCAACAATAGAAGCAGCTATTCTCTAAGCTAAAAATAATGACAGAGTTAATGCTAATTATATATTAAATAATAGCTTAATCGACACTGAAACATACATTTTTGATACTTCATCAACATAAAATGAAAATTAATGAATGAATCAAAGGATGAGTGAGTAGCTAAGCTTGTTAAAAAAATAAATAAAAATAAATGTATAAATGACACAATAAAAACAAAAAGTGAAGATTAGTTATTTGTAAAAAAATACACAAAACCAAATCAATTAATTTGTTCGAGTAACAGCTTATATTTTTAAAATAATATAAGAAAGTATTTTCTCACTTTCTTTCTATGTATTTATATATATATATGTATGTATCCATCTATCTGTCTATTCTACATTGAAGATTTGTTTGATTATTAATTTACTTATTTAATTATTAAATAATACACACTAATCTAATTACATAATGAAGCATTAGTAACATTTGTTTATTTGTAAGTAATTTTTTTATATGCATATTTAATATTTGATGTAGAGTAACAATTTATATTGCCTTCATAAGAAATATCTAATTTATTCAAGTTACCTTTAGATTTATTTTAATATTTACTTTTTTATAATTTCATCAATTTGTTTTTAATAGCTTTTTTCTAATTTATGAATTTTCTATTTTTATACATTATTTTTCATCGCTGAAAAATATCTATCTATCTATCTCAAACTAAATAGTTTATTCTAGTTTTATTTCAAGCATCATTATAAATTTAATTCAAGTAAAGCAATAACTTTTTTTAAATTATCCAAAAAAATGCATAATGAACTTATTTAAATTAAATAAATGTTATTATTCAAGTAAATATTCGATTTATGCTACTTAACTTTTTAAAAAAAGAATATAACCAATTTAAAATGAAAAAGCTATTAATAGAAAAGTTTATAAAATTTTAGACCATTAAAATCATATAAAAATAGGATTGTTAGAACTAGTAAATAAATGAAAATCAAAAGAATAATTACAACTATCAAACAAATTTCTTTTAAATGTTGCCATTTTTTAGTAAATAAAAATATATGATTTTTTTAAATTAAATTAAAGTATTAATTAATGATGAAATTAAATGATGTTTTTATTTTATTTTTCTATTTAGTTGCTTCTCTGATATTTTCTTTTTATTAATTTGTGGTAAGTAGAATTAATAAAAGAAGGAATTTAATTAAATTTTTAATTAATTTTTGTATTCACACATTAAACAAAAATAATTATTTCACACATAAATACTAATGAAGAGCTAGGTCAAAAAGGCAAAAAAGCTTTAGAAAAGATGTGAAAATATAAATAAACTCTTTTAAGATGTAGAAATCAAGTATAATTATTGCAATTTAAAAGCTTATGCAAGAAAAATGCTACAGCCAATGCTAAATTAGCAAGTAAATATTATTACACCTTATCATCATCATCTTGCAAATTAATTATTTCTACTATTTAAATTCTATATAAACATTTACTAATACATTTCGTTTTGCAAATCTTAAAAGTAAGAGTTTGTTAAGCAAAAACATCAAAGAGTTTATGGAGCTACTAAAATTATAAATCTTCCTTGGTAAACACAAGAATTATCTAACGAGGATTCTAATTCAGCCAGTTTAGAAAACTCTTTTTCAAACTAGCAAGAATAGCAAATTGATGATACAAAATAAGTAGAGTTTAAATTTTGAAAATACAGCCGTCTTTATTATTCATTTATAAATTTAAATTAGAAAATTAAGAGGGCTTTCAAAAAAAGATTGAATTATTCTCTTAATGAAGTTATTTAAAAGGAAGAGATTCTTCAAAGCTAGAAGCAATAAATGTAATTTAGAATTATTATTAGTCTTGTTCAGATATATATTTTATGTATGCATTATTCAAAGATAAATAGATGAATAATTTGAAGAAGAAGAGGAAGATTTTAAAACAAATCTACTTGAAGAGTGCAGTGGATGTTCTATGAAGCAATCAACCAAAGAAGTTTAATAGAAGGTTACCTTTTATGAAAAGAATGTCAAAAAAGACTTAAAGACACTTCCGAAGCTGTAACTATTAATTTTTTTTGAATAATTTATTAGAAATCATATAATTTTGATATATTGAGTTAAACTACAAACTATACAGCTAACTAAAATAAAAATAAGAAAGATGAGTGCATTAATATCCTTTATTAATATTAAAAAATATTCTATTTAATTTTAGGATTGAAGAGAATCTATTAGTTTAAAGGATTACATCTCTAAATCTTTTAACTTAAGAACTGAAAAAAGCCAGAGGAGAAAGTTAGTAAAGAATATAAAGATATTTAATAGAAGACTACATAGACTACTTAAAGAGAAAATAGGATGAGGATTAAGAAAATAGCTTTGGCATCACTAATAACTAAACAATTGAAAATACAAAATAATAAACTCAATATTAAAGAATTTTACCAGAAATTTTCAAATAGAAAGAAAGCCCTTAAAAATCAAATAAACCATCCACTTCAAATAAAAGTACAAAGAATAAAAAACACTTTATTGATGTTGATAATGAAGATAATCCTTTTTAAGAATATTTTTTATCTAAAATCCCTAAATAGCAATCTTAAAATTCTAAATATAACTCAAACATAAAAAACAAAGAAGCTGATGAAAATCCTTAAGACTTTCATAAAAAAACTAATAAAACTTAGTAAGAAGAAAATTAAAATACAGCCAATAATGACAAAGATGAAACAACTGTCATTTCTCATAAAGCAAGCTATCATCATCATCAACACCAACAATAACAACAATAATAATAACTTTAACAGCAACAATAGTAAAACAATAGTATAGAAATATATGGATTGAATCAAAATAATAGTGATATCTAAAATTAGAAGTTTGAAATTTATAAAAAATAATATGAAAATGATCCTTAATAAAGCTAATAAAAAAGGGTTTTTAATTTTGATCGCATGAATTAAATTTTTTAGCTAAAAAGAGTGATTAATCCAATAAAATTTAACTCAAAAGCTGCGGATGCTGAAAAAAATAAGCAAGAATTGTCATTAATCAATTAAAAATATAAATAAGATGCTAAGTTATACCAGTAAAAGTCTTTGTCTCATAACAGTTCTTAATAAAATTTACTTGTTGGGAGCACAGCAAATAACTCATATATTTCAAATTTAAGTAGAGATCAAATCAAATCCAATAGCAACTCTTACAATTCAAATAGCCAATTTTTATGGTCGAAAAGGAGGGATTTTGTTGATTCAAAAGGAGGAGCTTTTGGATTGCTTAATTAATCAGCATTAAATTTGAATAAATCAAGCATAATTTAAAAGAAATTTAACTTGCCTAAAGAGTTTCCTGTGCCAGACTTTGTCAAAAAAATAAAAAATTTGATAATAGAGGTGGAATAATTAGGAGATAACCCATTAACAGGTGACTAAACAATTGAATTAGCAAATATTCTCTCTCTTATTTCTATGCAAAAAGAAGCAATTAATTGTACTGGAAAAACGGTAACAGATTATTAATTTAATATGCAGAAAGAGCACTTTATAGTCCCTCAAAAATCAAGAGGTAAACAGATATTATAATCTATTTTTCATATTTATGTATTTTATTAATAAAGAAAATCAACTAAATGTAAACTCAAACTCTTCTCCTGTATATGGGTCAATAGCTATGCTCGATAAAATATATTAAATAAATCTTCCTAGTATTTACATTCTTCAAGGACCTGGAAAGGATTTAGACAAAATCAAATGATTGATAGATAGATAGATAAATACCTTTTTAAAGGTTTAACAAAATATTGAAGTTTTTTATTTGAAAAACTCATTAAAAAAAATGTTTTTTACATTTAATTTAAGCCATTTCATTATAAAATTTGATAAAAAAGGATAAAATATATAATGATAAATTATAATTTCTATTTTCATGCATATTTATTTATTTATGGCTTTATTAGTATTATAAATAATTTTTTTTGTTTTTTATACAATACAAAAAAATACAACAGAGAACTTCATACAAAAACTAAGAGGAAGTTAAATAAAGTTATTATATTATTTTCTTTATTTTCTCTTTGCTAATCTTAAACCAATATCAAAATGAAATATAATAAATATTTAATGATAAATAAACAAGATCCATTCATATATTAAATTGATATAATCGCTAGAATAAATACTTTTAAACTTAATTTAATTTAGATGTGGTAAAATTATTGTTAATTTTGATAAAATTTATTTCAGAACTTTTATTTTTCAATCCAAAAGTTTTATTTCAGTTTTAAATAAAAAAAAATGCTTAAATTTTATATTTAAATATTAATTTTAAGAATTTATTTTTGTTAAATAAATAATCGTTGTTGCAATCTAATCTTTACGTGTTAATCCTAAATAAAATATAATGTAAAGTTTATGTTTCATTTTATAAAATTGGAAATATGTACGAACAAATTTGCTTTTTAAATGGATTCAAAAGAATTTATTAATAATAAAATTCTAATAATTTTAATTCATTAAAATAAAATATTCCAAAAATAAATTAAAATAATTAATATCTCTATTTTAGTTAATTAATTCTATGCTTTACTAGAATACCAATTAATGTAGATGAAAATAGAAATTATTATAGTTTAAAACAATTACTTAATTTATTTTTTTATTTATAATAATAAAATACTAATAGGAAATTTATTTGAGTAATTTATAATTTTTTTTAATTTTTAATAAATTAATAATTAAATTCAACTCATGTATTCGTTTTCAAATTCTTGTAAAGTCTAAGGACATGATTGAGGTCTTCCTCTATTAATTTCTTTATCAGAGCAAAGGCACATTAAAAGGGTATCTGCAGCCATACCGTAGATACTCATAAAAACTGAAGAAATGCAGAAGGCAATAACGACAAAAAGCTGTTCAATTAAATAATATAAATTAGAATTTTAATAAAAACATGTTATTAAATCATTTACGAAAGTTGGGACACCAGCTGAGTAAATTTTTTCACTGTAAGTTGTCATATTTGTTATAATCAAATATCCCATCATTGCAGAAAAGAAAGTAATAAAGAATTTACCAAAGAAGACAAAAATTCTACCAATACCTTTTTATTTAAAAAAAAATATGAGTTTATGAAAAGCAAAAAATAAAATAATACCTTAAGTGATACTGAACTATGCAGCATTTCTTGAAATAAGGAAGAATGCATCTTTTGCTGATGTGCAAAAACTATTACCTGCTAAACCAATCATAATATAAGCATTTGTATTGATAAATCTTATAAAGTTTTCGAAGCATTTTAAGCAGCATAAACAGCATTTGATACAGCAATTAGCAGCAGGGTTATTATTTAAATTTTTCTTAGCCTAATTATAGAAAAGCTCAACCAAAAATCTAATCAACATTACTATACTTAAAACCATACTTCCTAAACAGACAGACCCTATTAATTTATATTAAATAAATTCAATTTTTAATTTAACTTATTTGTAATAATCATTAAAAAACAAACAATCAATCACCCATTCAATAAAATCTTCATAATTTGATCATTTTTATTAATTTTTATATTTAAAATTGTTTACCAATATGTAAAGTGAAGGCTCTAACAATAGACTTTGAAACAGGATTATGTAACTAAGCATTAGGTCTATGAGAGAAATACCAAAAAGCTGCACAACTTGCAATGATAAGTTGGCTCATACCAATAAAGAATTCAACATTCCAAAAAAGTCCGAAAAGGTAATAAACAAGTGTTCTTTTAACTCCTACATCCCATTCAACTGATCCAAAGGGAGAGTTTGATTGTTATTTGATTTAACCAGATGAGTAAATGTATAAAGAAATAATAATCCAGAAAACGAAAAAGCCGCAAATCAAGACAAACATGATTACAGGAACAATAAATGATTGCCATACCTATCAATTTCATTTTTGATAAAGATAAAAATGAGGATGAAATAAAAATATTATTTTAGTTACATCTCTAGTAAAGTCTGAGGCAGCTTTCATTATTGCAACAGCTCTTTTAATTTTATTGAAGAAACATATGAAAAGCAAAAGTGAAATAGCTGCTAATACCAAAAGACAATATCCAAGAGCCTCAAGAGCTTGTTAATTTTAGAATTCGCTAGGAACATTTTCGTAACTTTTGTTGTAGGATTTGTACAAACAAAGACATCCTAAAGTAATCAAAAGGATAAAGTAGCCAGCTATCATAGACCATGTAATGAATCCAGCACATGTTCTCATCAATATCAAGAATATGAATCTAATAAAGAAAATAAATATGATAAATAAGTGAATAGAATATTGAGATTCTAATGAGATATCTCTTTTATTTTTCTAGTTAATTAGAGACAAGAAATTTATCAAACTAAAGAAGAAAAATAATCTAAAAATGAATGCAAAAATGTATGTATCTATTGCTTATTTACGAAACACCAAAGGCGATAAATGCTACACCTAGAGAAACAGGCCAAGTTGTTCTAATATCACTCATCCATTCTTCAAGAGAGCCTATATCGACTTAGCTTTTAATAGACTTCTGTAATTCGCTATCAGTAGGAATGCAAACAGTAACAACTATTAAATATTAATAAATAAAATGTTTACTTTTCTCAAATAAATAATGAAAAATGATAAATAAAATAATATTCTTTAAATTACATGAGGTAGAAGGATAGATTTACAACTAATCGCAATTCTTTACTACTTGATTTGTTAAACACTCAACTGATACTGTTCCTTATTTTGGGCACGATTTAATGCAAGCATAAATTTGATTAGATATAGAATTTGATCCTTCCTTACTGAAGAACATATAAGGATAATCTGAAGCGCTGGAATATCCACATTAATTTCCTATAAGAAATAAAATAAACTTAATAAAATAATTCATAATATTTATGAGTTTAAAATAGTGGTACCACTAGAGTCGAAAGGAGTTGCTAATCTTCTGGGATCTCCATTCTTTACAGCTACTCCTGCAATGATGAATAAACCTACCCAGAAAAGAACAAACAATATAAAGAAAAATATATCTCTGCAACCTCTGTCTTCAAGAGGTCCATAAGCAATATTGGGATTTAATGGCTCTCCCTTATATTCTTCCTCTTACTTTTAATTATTTAATAGTTTCTATGACATTTTGTATTTTTAATTTGTGACTATTATTTAATTTGATAAATTTATTCACTTAGAATTAAATTCTGCAAAAGCAGTGAGATGATATCTAATTTATCTATTTAAATTGTGTTTTGGGATTTATCTATAAAATAGTGAAGAGCAAAAAAAAATAAATCTAATAATTAATCAATATTTTTATAATTAACTTCAACTATTTCCATATAATTTTTACTAAAGCAATTTTACTTACATTTTATTGTTTTCATTTTTAAGATACAAAAAATACGATCAACCAATCTCTCTATCTAATTATCTATTAGAATAATCTGATAAGAAAAAAAATATTTATTTTTTATATTTTTTTTGTTCAATAAATTACTCATATCAGATAATACATTAGGTAGGGTATGTCTGATTTATTTATTAGAAAATAAACTTAAACAATTCAAATGAAAAATAATTATGTAGCATTAAATAAATAATCTACATTTTAAATTGCTTATTTTAATTTCATAAATATTAAAACTCACGAGTAAAAAAAGAAACTATTAATTTAAAATCCTCAATTATAAAGAAACATTGTATAATTTCTATTAATTCTAATTAATTCTTATAATTTAAAATTTAAAATGTATACTAAAATCACAAATGATATAGACAAATTCTTAATTATAAGAATTTAAAAGTAACAAAATATTAACTGAGCAGATTTTTAACTTTAATTTTTGACTTTTATAATTTTATAATAAACTATTTTACTCTTTTTTTAAATAAATTTAAATTTATTTATACTCAAAAAACAATAAATTTATAATTTTTTCTTATTTAAATTTTTTTAATTAAAAAATTTTGCATTTTTTCTCAACTAACAAATAAACTATTTTTCACTTGTAGGCATAATTTATTTATCAAAGAAAAATCTAAAAATACATTTAAATTTTAAAAAAATTTATTCTTTTGAAAAAAAATGACATTGTTATAAGAATGAATACATTGCATTTTATTTCAAATTTTAAGTTTTGGGAATTTAAAGCTTTCTAAAAACTAAAAAATAAAGCTTTTTTAAGCTTATTCAGCTTTATTTATTATGTAATTAAGATATATTACTTTTCGCCTTTTGTAAATTAAATAGGTATTTCACTCTAAATGGTTATCTTAATAAATATAAATGCTTTAGATAACATTAAATGCTTTAAAAGGAAACATTGTCTAAATTTGTTTTCATACTATAACTTATATTATAACTAAATTAAAAACCTAAATATTTTAGCAATTAGTGGGTTCTTTTAATTTAAATGACAAATTTCATGGTCAATAATAATCTATTCTCTTAATTAAGTAAATCTTTTTTTATTATTAAATATTATTAGTATTATTTGAGTGCTTTTTATTTCAAGCATCTTTCCAACTACACACTCTAAGTTTATAATTTAAAAAGGAATACACATTTATTGAGTAAGGTTAAAATTTTTAATGTAGCTTATTTTCAAAAGATTTTTAAAAGCAAGCAAAAATCCATTTTTTAAGTTTTTCTTAAGAAAAAAGAATCAATTAATTACCTATCTACTCAAGAAAAGTTACTTATCTTAAGTTGAGATAGATCTAACTTCAAACATAAAAATATACTCAATCATTTATTTGCTGAAAGAAAAAAATTTTTCCTTAAAAAAATAATAAATATTTTTTTTATAATTAAGAATTATGAAATAAAAATATATTTATTAATTATTTTCGAATTTATTTAGAGTTAATTCACGTTAAAAAAAATCTAATAAACTTTAATAGCCAAAAAATATCAAATAAAAATATGTTTGTGAACTATTTTTTAAAAATTTATAATTTATTTTTATTGTTATAGAGATTTGAAGCAATCTTGAAATGAAAGTTAGTTAATTAGTGAGTGATGAGTTAGTTACATTAAATTATATAGTAAAAGCATCATTATACATTAATAGTATATAAGTACTGTAATTAAAAAATATTTTATATTAATAATTAGTAGAATTAAAAGGTGACTGACTAACTAGCTACTGGTTGGTTCTCTCTTATTTTAAGTTGAATTTATATTTTATTTATATTTATATAAGTGTATATAGTGCTTTATAGAAATAGATAGTATATAATTTTTTATTTGTTTTTTGGCTAAACGTGAATAAAATAAATTTGGTTACAAAGCAAAATAGGAATTTAATAATCCTACTAAATTCTTTCTTACGGAAGTATTATTAGATAGTATGATGCTAACTTACTAGCTAATTAACTAACTTAAAGTTTTTTTGTATGTTTATTTAACATTTAAATAGATGGATTTGATATCATTCAATATAATTTATATTTAAAAGTAAGTATTTAGGAACTAATTATTTTTTTATTTATTTATTTAATTTGGTTTCAGCAAATAAATATGCTATTTTTATTAAAACTTTATTATTAACTTGAATAATAAATTTATGTGTTTTCTTTATTAACAAAAATTTTTCAATCGATGAAGAAATCCCAGTGTATGGCTTTAGGATTGTATATCATGTAGTTTGAGATATACCTGTTGAATAGAATCGTTTGCATTGTTTAAATTTGATTGTTTGTGCGTGGCTTGATAAATGTTTTTATTTTCTCATCCCAATAAGGAATATCAACTCTAACATTCTAAAGCGTTTCATGATTTTCTATGACAGTTTATGCAATTTGTGCCAACCCATTTCTTAAATTTATTTAATTATTTGCACTTGGGAAAAACTCAAATCTTTCTAACTTTTTCATCTTTTTTAAATATTAAGCAATCTAAATGCATCCTTCGCCAGTCATACCAATATTATATGCATATAGATACAGCACTCTAAGCTATTCACAAGCAGAAACTCCTTTTATAAGATTGCTGATTCCTTAGTTTTCTATTCTATTATTGCCAAACGAGATTTTTAGCTATTACAAATCTTTGATGCAGCTAAGGGCGTTTCCAATATACTCAGCTCCTTGTGGAGTAATATTATTTTTTTACATGTAGAGATAAACCTCATGAAGAGAAGTGCACTAACCAAAATACTCAGAGAACTGCTAAGCTCCTACTTAGGTAATAACATTGTATGTAATACTAAGTTCAAGATTCCTTAGTTCTTTCAAGAAAGTTAAAGCTCTACCGCATGTTATAATACTATTATCACCAGTGTAATTTTTATACAAATCTATGTTCAAGCTTTTTAGCTTTTTGAGGTGTTAAATACCCTCAAAAAGGCCTTAACCACCCTCAGGCATCATATTATTCTTTTTTAAATAGAGTTTTAAATCGATGAGTCCATGCATATTAGCAAAGGCTTCTCCTAATGCCTTACCTCCTCTAGGTCCTATTCCATTAGAGTCTAAATCAAGTACCATCACTTTTAAGTTTTAAAGATGATATAATCCCTTTCCCAAAGAATATCCTCCTTCCTCTCCAATATTGCATCTTTCTACGTAGATATCTAAGCTTTTAAGTTATTTTAAATTTTACAAAGATCTTCCTAATTCAATCATAGGTTAATCGCCAAGCTCGCTGTGTTATATTTGAAACACTAAGCACTTTAAATTTCTCATATTTGATAATCCTTTTGCAATAGCACTTGCACCATTAGAGCCAACCTTTTTAGAAATTTACAAAATTAGTTAAAAGAGTTAATATTTATAGAAGAATTAATTATAAAAAATATTTAAAACTAATCAATTAATCAATTAATAAATAAATATGTAAATTTAAATTTTTTCTTATTTTTTTTTATTTTCTTATCAGATTTGAGAATAGAAAAAGGTTAAAAAAAAATTTTTTTCTATATTAATTAATAAATTTCAAATTTCCTATTGAAAAAATCAATTTTATACAATTTATTTATTTTCTTTGAATTTTTATGCAAAGAAAGATAAATTCTATATGGATTTAATTAAATAAGTAGAAGTTTTTTCTTATTTTTCAAGTGAAATAAGTGGAGAAAATTATTTGATTTATATTTTAATCTGTTCGTTCAAAATTTAAATAAAAGGATTTTTTAAAAATAATTTAATTTTTATTTGGAGTGATTCAAGCAAGATTAATTATTTATTTATTTATATGATTAATTATAAGTTTTCGTTTTATTTTTTAGAATTTAATAAACTTAAATCTGCTAATTTTGAAAAATAGATTAAGTAAGACCAAAAAATAAGCGAAAAAATAAACAAATTGATTTATTAAATTACCTCATTGTTTTGTAGGTATATTTCAAATATTTTAACTTTTGTAAGGTTGAGCATGCAATTTCCGATAGCCACAGCTCCTTCGTCTCCAACATTGTTATCGCCTATGCCTAAAATTAAATAATTTAAGTCTTTAAGGTTACTTAAACCTTCTCCAATAGCTTTTCCACTTTTGTGATTGATTTGATTTTCGTAAAAGACCAAATGGAGTTTTTAGAGTCTAGTTAGATATTTAAGATTTTTACCAATTAAAACGCCTCCATCTCCTTATATGTTATTGTTAGTCAAACTTAAAACAAGTGATTCTAAGTTTTTAAGATTTTTTAGGTTATTTCCAATAGAGTTAACGCCTTTATTTGAAATTTTATTGTTGCGCACACTCAATATGAGAGAAGTAAGATTAACCATATTTTCTATTGTTTTTCCTAATGCTATTCCTGCTTTTTCAGTGAGGGAGTTTTCATTTAAAATAATTTCCAGCGATTGTAAAGTTGTTAGCTTAGCAATATTTTCTAGGATTTTAATAATTCCATCATCTTCTATTTTGTTACTGAGAGCATGCAAAATGAGGTATTTAATTTAGTTTTTGCGGAGAAATACATTTTTAAGATGAGCTATTCCGGCAGAGTTGATTTAGTTAGATTCCAAGAAAATAGAAAGTTATTTGACATTACGGATATTGCATAAAAAGAGTGAAAGTAAGCGACAACCTTCATCTCCAATCTAATTATTTCCCAAACTCATATTTAAATACTTAATATCTTTGAAATTTACATCTTATAGATCCTAAAACCCTTTACATCCTTCTGCTGTAATTTAATTATCAAAGAATCTTAAATCAAGAACTTAAAGCTAGTCTAAAGTAGCAATACTTCTTAAAATGCTAGCTAAGCCAGCATCTCTAATTCTATTGTAAGAGAAAAATATTCTAAATGTTTGCAAATACTTGCATTTTTCTACATACTTCGAAATACCATAAATTCCTTATTCAGAAATACTATTTCTTCTTAATGATAGAATCAAATGCTTTAGCTAGAGAGGAGGTATCCTTTCTAGAATATTGGAAATCATAAGAGTTCCTTCATCACCTAATCTGCATAAATCAGCCTTAAATTCAAAAGAAGTAATCTAAGTATACCACTCGTTTCCTAGCAAGAAAGAAAAGCTAGGATAATTAGCGTAGTTATATTATGTTGCAGTAGCTTCTTCTTCTTCTACCTCTATTTCCATAGCTTCCGAATCTTCTAACTTTTAATTCAATCCATACCCTTCTTTATCTTATTTACTTTTTTCCTTTTTATTATTGCAATTATAATCTATATTGCGTCTATTATAATTAATATCATCAAGTGACTTTTATTAGCACGTTTAAGGATTACAAAATAAATTTTAGCATAAACTAGTCTCTAGCTCTTCTAACTTAACTAATGATTTATCTTTGTAGCTAATAGCTATATCAGTTTTTTCTCTAAGTTAGCTAATTATGGAGGAAAGGTCGGTATTTTCTGATATCTCTACAATAACTTTTTGCATTCTGTACTAATTAACCATTTCTTTCAAAGACGAATAGGTTAAATTAAAATTCATTGACAAACAAGAATTAAAAAATATGTCTGTGAAGAGAGAAGATATTTTATATTCAATCAACGATTTAATTATCTGCATAATTCTCTGTTCTTTATTTTTTTTCTGAGGATTGAATTTTACTGATGTCAAAAATGCGCTAAGTCTGAGGTAAATTATTGAAAGCTCTTCCATAACTTTTTTTTCTACTTAAAGCAAATCGTTCTGACTAGCGTTGATTTCTCCTGTTAAATCGTTGTGCTTACTTAATTCCTTAATCATAAAAATGTTTTATCTATCTTATTTTTAAAAGCTATTCATTTAATTTTGAGCTTCTAAAATTTTATTTTAACCCAATCTCATTCTTGTGAGCATTTTTTATGAAGAGATATCAGATTTCGTATAACTATACTTTTAAATAGCTTATTCCTCATCAATTTCACTCTAATTAATTAAATTTTATGAGTTATTCTCCTCTTCTTCTAATCCGTCTTATTAGTGATTATCGCTATCATAATCTTCTTCATCCTCATCATCATTTTATTCTAAATCTCCATTTATATTTTACTAAATAATTTCATCATTTTGAGATAATAGCTACTGTATTTCTTCATCTTCTTTCTACAATTTTTTCAAACTCTCGTTGCTTCCATTATTAAATTTCGCTTTTTCCTTTTAATTTTGCTACTTACCCCTTTTTTGAATAATATCAATATGGTTGATTTCTTCAATTTCATCAAATTCCTTTTCTTCATTTTCACAATTGCTATCAACCATCTCTACTTCAATTGTAGAAGAAGTGTAAGAATCAATTTCTTTTCTTTGATCTTATTTAATTTATTATTTTAATGTCGCAGACGCAGAACGAGTCATAATTCTTTAGCTTTAATTTTTAGTTTGCTAAATTATTTTATTTGAAGCTTTCGATTAGCTATTACTAACCTGCTAAGAACACTATATTTATAATAGCTGTTTTGTCTTTGATCTCGTTCTACAATGCTCATTTTACTTGGCATATGGAGAAGAGTCTGAGGAGCAATAATTATTAGTAGAAACAATCGATTTATTTTTAGAATTTAAAAATGATTTCGGATCATATGCTTAATTTAATTTATTAAAATTAAAGCATTAAACCTAAGAAATATTCATACTATTTTTATCATATATAGGAAGAATTTTTGTAAGTTTTTCTCTGCAAATAACTAAGTAATCGCTATTTACTGTAATATGTTGCATAAGCTTATTTCCTAGCAGTTAAAAGCAATCAATCATATCGCTATAAGATTCAAGAATATGATCTTCGTAGAGAATGTTGTTTTAATTCAAACTCCTTTCTGCAATATCTTCCTCAATAGATCTTTCATAACTTTCAAAGAATATTAACAAAACATCTCTATCTTCTGCTACAGCTCCTTTCTTTTTATTTTATTTTATTGATTCTATTTCCTAATTATCAAATAAGCTCTACTACCTCCCATAAGAAGTTTTTGATTCTTCGATTATATCTTCTTCATCTTCAACTTACTTAGTGTTTTACTTAAAAGCTGTTTAGCTAGTTTAGTTATTAATTACATTAGCTTATATTTCGCTAGATAAATATGAATTCACAGATGATAAAAGATCTCTCTTTATATGCAAAATTTGCATTACATTCTTGCTATAGTCTGAGCTTTAAGTTTGAAGTGATAAGAGCTTTTCATAAAAGGATTAAATAACATTCAGCGATTGATCTTCCTAAGAACATTTTTATGAAATTTTAGATTAATGAGACTTTATTTTGGATCTAGAAACTTTCTAAATGTTGTGAGTTGGAGGTGAAATAATTATGTTTGATATATAAGCTACTATAGTGTATTGCTTCTAGTTTGAATAAGCATGATAAATTGAAATATCAGAATTAGAGAATACAAGGCTTGTCGTAATATTCTTCTAAACCTCTGAATAATCGAAATCAGCTTCGAGAATTCCATTCTCGTTATCTGTATTTCCATAATCATCTTCTTTTTCTTCTAAACTAAGCTTTTGCTTTTCCATTTTTTTGCACTGCTCTTCTTTCAGTACTAATTTGTTTACTTAGAATTTGATTTTTTTTTATTTATATGAAATCTCACTTTTTTCTTGAGTTTTTGATAAGCCAAGCAACACAGATTGATTTTTCAATGTATTTTTTCTTTTGGGTGCTTGCTTGATTTTGATATAAGAAAAATTAATAAATAAATATATGTATTATATATATATATATTTATGTATATATGTATGTATGTTAATATATTTCAAACAAAGCAGTAGTAAATTTTTATTAATAATTTTTTTGTTTATCAGTCTTTTTGCTTTTTTTTTTTGATTGAATTTATATTAAAATGAATGAATGAATTTGATAGTTATTAAATTATCAGACTATAGATAATTGTGTTGTTTTTGATAAAAAGAATATTGAAAATTGTTTATCACTATTAAATAGAATTATTCCTAATTACTCAATAATTAATAAATAGTGTTTGTTTGTTTTTCTTCTTATTTTATCAATGAATATTTGCTGACATTTATTGTATAAAATATAGTTGTTTTTTATTTTTTTCTTCTTTTCTAATGTCAAATTATTTAAAAAAAGGTTTGAAACTTAAATAATCATATTGAATCTTGCAATTGAAGTTTGTAATAATAAAAAAAGCAGGCACATAATAATTTATTTAGAAAATACTTATTATTGTTTTTAACAAATTTAAAAAATGATTTGGAATTTAAATTTGTTTGTTTATAAGTTTTTATTCTAAAATTTAACATAAAATAGAAAATTTTCTAATTCTTATTTTTTTATGAATAAAAAATAGCAACCTGTTAAAAATTTAAAATATTTATTTATTTACATTTTATTCTAAATAATTTTTATTTAATCATGCGTAAGATTAGCTACCTGCTGCTTTAAAAATCTATAATTAATAATCTTAAAAAAATTAAATTAAATTTTTCGTTTTAGCATTTTAAATAATTTAAGAGCTGCAAGCTTAATTCTAGAGAAGTTAATGTAAGCAAAACATATATTTTTTATTTCAATTAAGTTTTTAATAAATAAAAAGTTTGGTATTTATTTAATTATTAATTTATTTAAACATTTAACAAATTTTAATTTTTTTAATATTTAATAATTTAGAATAAAAATTTTAAATTAAAAGATTAAAAAATGAATGAAAAAAAAATTATTATTATTAATTATGTACAAGTTATGAAAAATTGAAATTTTCAAGATTCAAAAATTGTATACATTTGCAACAAAAAATCTAGCATTTTAGTGAGTGCTTGCTTATTTTTTTGTTTATTAATTTATTTATTACATACACTATCATTCAATGATTGAAAAAAATAATTATAATTTCTTTCATAATTAATTGAGCTTTGCAAATACTCGTTCGCCTGTCACTTATTTTAAATTAATTTTTCACCAAAAATGGTTAATTTAGAATACATTGATGAATTAATTAATTTTCAAAAACATAATTGTTTTCATTGATTTAATTAATTAATACTTATAAAAAGTAATGTTTTTATTACATTAAAAATAAATTCCCCATAACAAATAAAAAGAAAATAAGAGACAGGTAAATAATTGTGAAAACCTAAATAAGCTGCCAAATTACAAAGATTTTCTAAAAGGAAATTAAATAATTAGCAAGGAATTAAGCGCATCCAACCAATATAAAAAGTTAGCTATATGGCCGAACCCGATGCCCCCAAAGCAGCCTCAGAGCAGCAAAACTAAAACGGAGCTAAAGGAGAAAGTAATGCAGCGGTTAGAGGCCAGTCTAATTCTTAGCATAACAATCATCATTAGGCACATTCGATTGTCACTGTTGGAAATTTTGAAATAGGTATATATCTTTAATCTTGTCTGTTAGATTGATTCATAGATGAAATTATTTGTACTCACAAAAAAACAGCATAATATAAGCAAAATCTTTCAGTGAGTGAGCATAATTTCTCAAAAATTACTTATTAAGTTTAGCTTAACATCAAAATAAAATATATTTAAATTAGGCTAGACTATTGGAAGAGGTACATTTGGAAAAGTCAAGCTTGGCATCCACAAAATTACAAACGAGAAAGTAGAATGCATTTGATTTATATGAAAATAAAATATTAAACAATTTAGCTAATTTAAGATGCAAGAACAAATGCAGATTCAATATAATTTGCAAATTTAATTAGCATTTATGGGATGCAGAATAACATTTTTAAAATTTAGCTGATAAGGGAATATAAAAGTAATTCTATTACATAAAAAATTATTTAGGTTGCTGTAAAAGTGCTCGATAAAGATAAATTGATTGATAGTGCAGATAAAAAAAGACTTTAGAGAGAAATTTCAATATTAAGAAAAATTCGTCATCCAAATATCATTCAACTTTACGAAGTAAAACAACAAAATTAACTTTCTTTAGGAATTATAAAATCAATTTTACTTTCAAAAAGATTATTGAAACTCCTCGTTAACTCTACCTTTTTATGGAATATGCCCCAAACGGCGAACTTTTTGATTATATAGTTAAGCGTACAAGGTAAAATTAATTAATTAATAATCACCTCTCAATTTTTCGTTGATTAAAACCCAAACAATCTATGAATTTTAATATCATCATTAATATTTTCTATTTCATTTATCTATAAATAAAATAATTTAACCTTAGAATTTTATAGTTAAAATTGTTCTATGTGTGATTTATTTATTAACAGTTAAATAAATTCAATTGATTAACATTTTTACTAGAAATATAATCTGTAATATTTATTTATTATTCATAAATAAACAAGGCTCTCAGAAAGATAAGCAAGTAAATTTTTGCAGTAAATTATCAATGGTATAGAGTACATGTCGAAAATTGGGGTTGTGCATAGAGACTTGAAACCTGAAAACTTACTATTAGACCACAATTATAATATAAAAATTGTTGACTTCGGTCTCAGTAATACATATAAAGATAACGAAAAGCTAAAAACTGCTTGCGGGTCTCCATGCTATGCAGCACCTGAGATGGTCGCAGGGAAACCATATAACGGTCTATAGACTGATATTTGGAGCAGTGGAGTTATTCTGTATGCTATGTTGTGTGGCTATTTACCATTCGAAGATTAAAATACTTCTGTTTTGTATAAAAAAATTATGAACCAAGATCCAGTTCTACCAAGTTTTCTTTCTTCAAATTCCAAAGGAATACTTTCTGGAATATTAACAAAAGGTAACTATTATTTATTTGTAATTGAATTATGCAATGTCTACTTGTAAATATATTTAATTAACTTATAAATGAGTAGATATTTGTTAAATAATTATTTGAGAAGCCTTAAAAATAGTATTAAAAAGTTTCATGTAAATAAATATAGATCCTGAGAAGAGATATAATATTCAAGACATAAGATTACATCCATTTTGTAAAGAGAGAGAACCCATTTTATAGGGAATAATTGTAGGAGTGCACGAAATACCTGTTGATTAGAATATTTTAAAATAACTTGAAAAGTATTAAATTAATGTAGAATAAGCAGAAGATATGGTTAAAAGGAATAAACATAATAATATAACTTCAGTTTATAATTTACTTCTCCTCAAATTTATTAGAGAAGGAGGCAAATCAAATGCAGATTTGTAATTAATGAAAAAAGCTAGGTCAGACAATTTGAATGTACTTAAACAACAAAATACCACTCATTTATCTTCTCAGCAGCAAGAATAACGCTAAAAGCCTAACCAAATTGCAAACTAGATTGTAACTCCCATTCTACAAACTGTTTCTACAGCTGCTCCACCTTCTGTTGCAGCTACTCAATCCAACAATACACAGGGGTAGGACAATGTAACCAAATTTACTATTTAGCACAATCAACTTTATCAAATTTTTCAAAACTACGATTCACTAAAGGAAAAAGAAGATATTAAGGAGTTTTCTCCTGCAAAGAATATCTCCTATATAAACCCTGCTCCTTAAGCTAAACCAAGAGAATATTCTCACCAACCAAGAGAAGCAGAATAGTAATAAAACAAAGAAAAGCACCCAAATAAATACCACAGTGCTTCTCCAACTAGAGAACACCACATAGAAGAAAATTAAAACTAATAAAAGCAAAAAACTGTTGAATTAGGAATCAAAGATAACATGGTGCCTGAGTTTGGTAAATTTTAATCAAAGAATTCTCCAAAAAATTAAAATTAATTTAAAAAATAAATAAGTTGACATCACTCACATTCAAAAGGCTAGCTAAGCAGATTAAAAACTTGCCAGTTTGCTTGATAACACTTAAAAGTAAAATGTTTATTTCACAAGAAGAAATTATTCATTTAATAAATTTTAAAAAGATAAAATTTACCTAGATTAGGTAATTAAGGAAACACAAATATTTATCTAAACCCCTTACAGAAAAGAATACCTATTGATAAGCTAAAATAAACTAGCTACATGCTATAGTCTTCATATTAAAAAAAGTAAAATAACTTTGTTGATGCAAATTATATTTCAAATACTCAAGGCAGTGTTCCAAGCCAGTCAAGTAAATTCTAATTAAAAGCTGGATTTTTATTAACAGTTTTAAAATATATTTGTAGAAAAACAATCAATTGCTAAGGTGAACTATTTAAACAACAGCTCTATGTTTGAAGATCCAAAAGATTCTTAAAAATATAAAGTGAATTCATCATTTTAGTATGCAAATGCTTCAAAATATTCTGTTGGAGACGAGTATGAATTTTATTAAATATAAAAATAAAATGTTTATTTGAATTTTAAATTAAAAAGAGAAGATAAACTTATAATGGTCAATTCTGTCTAAACAAATAGTAATTACAACAAAAGTGGACTTTACTAAAACTCCAAGAAAACTGTCCAAGATAGTGCACTTAATACAACCCAAGATTCTCCTAAAAACAAATAAAGCCAAAATGCTAATAATTTATCCATGCTTCTGCAAAGAAATTATTAATTTCCTATAAATGTTGGAAACAAAAACGTAGTCAACTCAAACAACAACTCATAAAATAATTTTAGTAAAACCAGATATTTGTCTGTATAAAGGCAGTAACAGATTTCAAAACCATAAAATGCTACTCCTACCTTAGAAGGTATTTAATTATTTCTTTATTTATTGAATGAATCGAATAATTTTTATTATAATTTATCAAAAAACAATAAAAGAAAAGAAGAATTTTAGAATTAGCTCATACTCAATTCACATGCGTGGAAATTCTACTCAATATAACACTAGAAATAGTAACGATAATGTGCTTAACTTGTCTCTAAATTAAGCGGCTACTTAAAATCAAAGCAAAAGAGCTTCAATAAATTCAATAAAAGTAAATATATATTTATTTTAAAAAAAACTAATTTAACTGAATTAACAAATAAATTCATAGCAACAGCAGCCTATACCACTTTAAGAAAAGTTGATAAACATTAATTTAAACTTTCAAGGAACAAACAATACAAATACTAAAAGACTCAGAAAAAAAATAATTTCAATGCACGATACCTCTTATAATCCTACAAAATAGAATAGCTTTAATGCAGGAAAAATGAATAAAGAAAATTCTGTTGCATCTAACTCAGGATCAAAATAAGAAATAAGAATATTTAACAATATGGAGTTTTTAAGTTATGGATCAGTAAACAACAACCTTAATAATCATTCTTTGGAGCTTGAAATAGAAAACAATTAAAAAAATTTGCAACAAAACTACTAAACTTGTAATGGAACAAGAGGTAATAAAATAGATGTGAATAACTCATTAGTCCTACCCAAAGGTATTCCGAGAGTTCACACAGACGAAAATGATAAAAATAACTAAAACAAAAATGGAAACAATTAAAATAAAATTAATGCAATTTAAATAAATAATAGCAATAATAGTAATGCCATAAGCCAAAGAAGTAAAAAAACAGATTAAAGCAAATCAGAAAATATAAAATTGAATAAAATTTTACCATTTTCTATCTAAACAAATTAAATAGCTAACAACAGCATGGTTGCTGGAAATATAAATAATTTACAAATTTAGTAAAACCTCAATTAAAATTCTTAAGGTGGTGGTTCTTCTTAGTCTAGTGGCAGAGTCCCTTCGTATAAATTCCGTAAAGTAAAACCAAATTAATATGAAGATTAGTTTAATCTTACAGCAAGCAACGAAGTTAATGATTGATAATGCCAAAAATAAATCAAATAAGTAACAAAATAAAAAAAACAAGAACTCTTTCATTAAATTTTGATAACCAAATCAACAATCAAAAACAATTAATTATTAATATAAATAAATAAATAATCAGATAAATTTAAATAAATAAATACAATAAACAATAATAAATTAAAATCAATAAAATTTAATAAATAAATTGATCAAAATTAAAAAATCCGTTTCCTAACTCATTCATTAACCCATCATCTATCAATTCTTTATTGATAATTTAACTAAATAAATAAATAAATATAATTATTCTTTTTCTCATCTTTTTCTATTTTTCCTTTCATCTAATTACTTTAAACCATTAACAACTTTGTAAGATTTAACAAAAGAAATGAAAAACAAACATATTTACTTCACTATTTTTATATAATTAAAAGCTTTCTTATCACTTTAATGCCTATTTAACATGTATCAATAAAATGTTTGTATATACAATCCCGTATTTATTTATATTTGTAAATTAATTAATTAATTACAATATCTTTATTTGTGAATTTTAATTTTGATGATTTTAACGTATTAATTTATTTATTTATTTCTTAAAATCCTAGTTTGCTTATCTATCTATTTAATTTTATAAGTAAAAATTTAAATAAAAATGCGATCTTAATTTGATCCTTAAAAATGCATATTTCTAAAAATATAACACTATTTATTAACTATATTAAATCTCATATAAACAAAACAAAAGAGTTTTCTAAGCTACTCATTTGATTAAATAAGCAATTTATTTCAATAAAATAGTCATGGAAATATTATTATGATGAAGAAATATAAATGTTTAGATCAAATTTTATTATTTTTTCAAGAAGTTCTTTAAGAAATGCGTTTTATAAAAAGTAAGTAATTTAAGTATAAATAATTATTTTATTATATTAATTATTATGTACAAATAATTATTATCATTTTTACTATTTTTTAATTCTTTTTTATTCTTCTTCCATTAAAAATATCTTCTCTAATTGCTCAACAGTAGGAGCAGATCTCACAACAATACCCTTATAAAAAGGCCTTACATAAGTAACTTCGCCTTCAAATTCTCTTTCCTCTGCTTCTTTGAGAGTTTAGGTATTTGGTTAGTTAACAACTGTTGTACTAGTAAGGCAGTTTCCCATAATTATGAGAGGTTTTTATTATTTTAAAAGTTTTAGAAAATCTTTATATATTTTGTTAATTCGAATAGAATTTTATTTATTTATTAATTAATTTATGATTAAGAAATGCCAAATGATTTGATAGATAAATATTTAATAATTCATATAGAAGTTTAAGAATTAATTTAAAAGGTAGAATATTAATTAATTAATTAACAAACATACAATAAATACAATAAACTCAAATCAATGATATAATTAATAAATATTGATTGAATGACTTAATTCACTTTAATATAAATATCAAAATTAATTAATAAAATGATTGAATGAATGAATAAAAGAAAGAAAGAGGAATATTAATTAGTAAAGTAGAATAATTTAAGTTATATAATTTTATTTATTTTTCACATAGTCAAAGAATAGACCTCTATTTCAGAAACATTCCAGTCTGTGTATTATCCAGCTAAAATCTTATCGCTTACTATATTAGAATCAATTTTATATGCATATCCTAGATTGGAACAACTTTTTTCTGGATTATCAAAGCTTTAATTTTATTGAAAAAATATAATTAAAAATATTAACTAAATTGGATGGAATTTTTGAATTACTTTATGATTAAATCTTGCTTGCCATTTAGTGTACTTCCCAAGCAAGGATTTTTAGAGTTTTAATATATAGATATAAATTTCTTTTCTGGTCTAATCTCAAATTTAGTTGGCGGGATGTTTTATGAGTTTTAAGCTGTAAAAATATAACATTTGTCTGTTGTTGAGTACTGATCACTTCTGCAAAAAGCTATTGGTAAATAGTATCCAAAAATATGCTCCCCATTGGCTTTCACAAAAGTTATTGTTGGGCCTTACCCATCACATTTTCTGTGGAATATCTGACTATTTGCTCCGTCTTCTGTCAATCTGTATAGTAATTTAGCCTTTTTAATATTCGGAGGTAAAATTTTAGTACACTAAGGATTTGTTTATAAGCTGTAAGTAAAAATATGGCTATCACTAAATACACTCAATTAATTAACATTTAAGGAAGCCTATTATTCTACTTAGTTATTATTGTGTTAAGCAAAACCTGTGTTAATTTCCTACAATTATTCTTATTGCTATATCAAGATATATTGATTATTACTGTTGTTATTACTATTATTATGAGGAAACGTGGGTGCAAAATTTTATGATTAAGTCTTATAGATTTATTACTACTAAGCTGTGTTGTTGCTACTTGTGTTATTGCTTGTTCTTTCTATGTAAGAAGATTAGACTTATTCCTAATTTTAGAAACTTAGCTAAGTAGGAGTGGGTAAGTTAAACGAATTATCATCAGGGTTATTTTGATATTAGTTGTTTTGATTTATTTGATTAAATTCAAATTCTCCCCTTTAGTTAAATTATTGCTGTTGCATTTAATATTGAGTTCCGTTATTTATTGTATTAAACACTGTTACTTGTTCTTGCTTTTGTTCTTGATTGTTATTGGTAAAATTCTAACTACTAGGAGTGAAACTAAATTAAGAATTTAATACATTATTATCGTTCTATGAGCTGCTTGTTTAATTTTATGAGTTGGAAGATATAAGTTGTTGTTATTAGTTTTATTCTATAGTTTGAGGCATTACTTATAAATATTGTTACTCATAATTTTATTGTTGTTATTATATTTATTATTACTAATTTGTTACTTAATTTTAATTAATAATGGCAATTGGTTGAGCCATTTGTCTCACATCTGGAGATTTCTCAAAAGATGGAGCTTTTTGTAAATTTTAATTTTATGATTAACTTCTACTTATATTTAAATTTTATTAATTCTATTCAAGAATTATGTTTTTATTCTAAGATTCGTTGATTGAAATACTGTTTTTTAATTACTATTCATAACTTTTGTTAGCTTATAAATTATTTAAGCTAGTATTATTGCTTTGTTAAATATTATTTATTCTTTAATCTTCTTAGTTTTAGTATTATTATGATGGATGCTATACTTAATTATTATTATTACCGTTATTAAAGCTTGAAACAATTTATTGATTCAAATTAAATTATTTATCTCCTACTTGATCATGAGAGATGTCATTTTAAATTTAGTTAGAAACATTAAATTATTGAGGGAAATAATTAGTAGGAGGAGATTAAATGTTTGACTAATTTTCTAAATATTGACTGTTTATTTGCTATTTAACTATTGGGCTTAATTGATTTTATTATTTAAACGGTGAAAATGCATCTGGTTCATGCTAATAATTATAAATAGAGGATCTCTAATTTTAAAATAAAGTATCGTTTGTTTTTTCAACCTCATTGATAGACTATTATTATTTTTAAACTAAGCTTCCAGTTAAAATCTACTGCTGCTACCCTTATTAACCATAGCTTTTTTAGAGCTATATTTGCTATTCATAATTTAATTAATTATTGACTTAGTAATTTTGAAATTGTTGACTTCCATTAATTAACATTTACTGTTGATTTGGAATTATAGAAAATTATTGAAGTTAGTTAGTGTTCATTTGTTGTTGTTATTATTATTGTTCTTATTGTTGTTATTGTATTAGTTGCTATTACTAATAAGATGAATGAATGTCTTTTCTTATCAAGTTTTAATCATTGCTTATTGTATTTAAATCCACTAAATATTGCTGATTGTAAGAACCAGATATTTGCTTCTCTTTTTCTTGGCCTAGCTGTTAGAAATAAGAAGTTTAGTCTAAAATTTAACCACTTTAGATTTTTTTTAGTTATTCTTCATTTTGCTATGATGAAACCAAGGGAGATTCGTTTGTATAAACATTCGAAGTTAGTTAAGAAAAAGCAGCAGTTTAACTTGATTATAATAAATTTTATGAAGTAGGTGTTTAGGCTTTTTCAGCTTTGAGAGTAGGCGTTGAATTCTAAGAAGCTTATTAAAGTTACTGCTAACTATTTTAAATCAACTTTAAATCTGAACTTTGTCTGATTTAATGAAGATTTTAATATGATAAAGATTTTTACTGCTAATTAAATTATGTACTTTATAGATTGCTACTTATAGGCACTCCTACAGATGATTAGATTGGAGTATTCTTAAGGTTTGAATTTGAGCTATTTTGTTTAAGTGCCCTCATGTCATGTTAGCTCTTGTAAGTAGCAGATTTAGTTTGAAATTCATTTACATTAATGTACATAGGTGATTCTGACCTATTTCTATTATGGTTGTTATCTTAGATATTACTAAATTATTCAAATTTATCCCTTATCTCGCTAATTGGATTCTATTCAAAATTATTATTTTAAGATGTTGTTTAGTAATTTTCCTCTCCCTTTTAGCTACCTCTGCTTTGATAATTACTATTCTTTTTAGCTTATCCTTTATCCTTAACAAATGGATTATAACCACTACTTCTTTTTGGAGTTATTTAAGATTTATAATTGCCAGAGTATCCCAAGTTACTATTAAATCCCTGCTGTTTATTAAAAGAATTAGGAGTAACACTTCTTCTAGAGTTGTTTTCATTAAAATTTGGGCTTATGTTTGTTTTTATTTCCAAGCCTTTATTGAGTGATTTTTAACTAGGAGCAGGACTTAAAGCAGAGTTTGTAGGTTTTTTAACATTATTATTTTAAACTAGGTCATTTTAAAGGGGTGTCTATTTCTATTTTGGAGTAGCTTAGCTAAGCTGCTTATTGCTTGAAAAATTTAAAGAACTTCTGCTTGGTTTTAATCGCTTTACCATCCTTTCTTTTTAATGAGGTTCTGTACTTAAAGGAGATATTGGTCCTAAATTAAATTAAATAATAATAATTATAAATAATACGAATAATGCTATAAAGATGACAAATTAAATATGCCACAAAAAATCTTAAATATTTAAATATACTTACTTTAAGCTTACGATATTCCCTCAGCTAGTGTATTCATTTTGTTTGCCATTTCTTTCCATTAATACTCTTTAGAAGAACACTTGACATTACTAAGGTAGCTTTTCTAATTTGGGCTCTTTTTTACTGCTTTTGGAGTTGTTTATGCCTAAACTTCTTTCTAAAATAAAGAAAAAATAATATGATGATTAATTTACAATAAAAAATGTACCTATTACATAATAGGAGAGCGAGATCTTGATTAAGTTTTTGCAGTATTTAGAGTTGTATTTATATTTATATTTGTGTTATTATTTGTTGGCTACTTTTTAGCAGATGTTTATTGGGTTTAGATCATAGCTGAAGCTAAGTAGCTCTTTACTTTGCTTTTTCCTAAATTCTAGAGTTCATTTTAAATTTAATGCCTGCTATTCATTTCCACTATTTCTATTGTATCACACTTAAGAACAGGTGTTTTAATTTAAAAGTTCTTTATTGAATTCTTCAACATATTCTGAATGCTAAAAAGATAGATTGTTGTTTCCTGCTAAGCTGATTCCTGTGCTCTATCCAATTCGCTATATTCTTTGATGCAATTTTTTAAAAACTACAAATTTTCTTATTTGCTTTCATAGTCCTAATTTTTATAAAAAAGTATATTTTTAATTAAATAAAAACAAATAATTCGAAATGATATTTTAGTAATTAATTGATGTTTATTTATTTATTTATTTATTCTCCATACTCAATTTATCTTATATAAAATCTTTCTTTCACTTTAATATTAGGTATCCAACTATACTTATTTTCCATTCTAGTTATAAACAAAAATAACTTTGCTACCTTAAAAGATGTGTCATGAAAATTTTATATATGAGACAGAGCTTCTTCTTCTCTTTTTTAGATGATTTGAATCAGTTTGTCAAATTCTTGCTAAATCATGCTCCTGTATTAATTAACTAATTACTATAGCTTATTTTTGTTAAATTGACAGTTTTTTATAGCCTCATCAATCAGAGATACTTTTTCTCTGCAAGAGTTTATAAATATTAAATTATCTTCTCTCAAATGTTAGAGCGCTTATTTGATAGGAACTACATTATGCTTTTTATGTATCTGCGTTTGATACACACATTATACACAACACAATAGTCTTTCTGTATTGCAAAATAAGCTAATTTCTTCACCATGCTCACAACATATATTGGCTTCTATAATCTATGGCTTTAACGTCTTTTTATTCAATGTAAATTATTTTAGTATAAAAAAAATCTTTAAATTAGAAAATGAAATTACTTCAAAAATAGGATTTTCTGATTCATAATTTTCGCTAACTTACTGAGCTGATTATTTGGATAAAGATTTTTTAAGAAACGATGAGTTAGTTTGCTCATTATTACTACCAATTTTATTTTGCTTCAAACTCCTTTTCAAAGGAGATTGTTATAAACTATAATTTTATAATGACTATCCAGCCTAGCTTTAAAGTATTTGCTCTTCATTTCCTATATTAAATAATATTTAAAATAAAATAAAACATTTATTTACTATTTTATCTCAATCTTAATTTACTTTATGGAGGAGAGTTATTTATTACTTAAGACTCCTAAATTTTATTTTCTCTTTAAGGACTGCCCACTATTTATTATATTAAGATAATTAAATCATTTAAATGGATCTTAAAACCTAAAATTGATAAATATTATACATCTATAGAGCTCAGTAATATTGCTAAATTATGTAATTTATTTGCATGATCTACATTCTATTTATTATATAGTTTCGCTTGAAATACTGTTGATAAGATTTATCTTTGACTAATCAGCACAGTTCCAACATATTGAATGATTACACTACAAAAAAAGAGGATTCTAATTTATAATATTACAAAATATACACTAATAGTTGCCGTTAAAGCTGCCAACTGTCTAAGATTAGACAAGATTCTTTTAACTAAAATTTTATTGCAGCGTTAATTTGCTTTGACTCATAACTATTTTAAGAAATACTAATGATAAAAATGGATCAAACCTTCCTTCTAAGTCTTTACTTCTTTGTTAGCAAAATTAATTTTTGTTTATAATTTGATTATATTTGTTTCTGTTGAAAATCTACCAAATCAATAATCAATAAATATATAAAAGCTTAGAAACTATTTAATTCTCTGTCAAAAATTAGGTCTGTCTTTTTTTCTTTTTTATTTAGAAATTTGTTTAATACATTAATTAACCAATAACTAACTTACCATACTTTAAAATATCCATTAAATTTATCAAATTTTTTATTCGTTAAATCTTAACAATTTTCATTTTTATAACTTTTATTATTTACCAATTATTTTTACTATCATTTTTTAGCGAATATACTAATCAATTCATATACAAAGAAGATATATATTTTAATATAAAAAGAAGATATATATTTTAATATAAGGATTTATTTATCTAATTATTTTTCATTTTGAATTTATTTTATCCCAAAAATAATTTTTTGACACCTTTATTGCTGGTCGGTTAATATTATAAATCTAAATTATTAACTAAAAAATTTATTTTAAATGTTTTGAAGCAATAATTATTTTTTGTACAATTCAAGACAGACTTCATTTTTATACTCGTTCACATATCAAGTTTAATAAATATTTTATTTAAAAATTTTATAAAAAATGAAAATATACAAATAAACGTTTATCGATCTTTCATATTAATTTATTTAATAATACAAGTTTTTTATCAACACCATTTAAATAAATAAGTATTTCAAACCATTAATTCGTATAAGAGTTGCTACTGAAGTTAAAGCTTTATTATCTAATTTGAAAGAATGTTAAAAATTTAAATCTTCTTTTCTTAAATTAACAATAAACTGAGAAACTTCTAGTCAAATTAATTTTCATTCTTCAATATCAATTATTTTTTGAATATTATTTGTTACTTTATTATCCTATATCTTCTTCATTATCTTCTTTTTCTACATTTTCATTATTTTAGGAATCTATTTCTTTATTTCCTGATTCATCAGAAGAATCTTTCTAATTATTTAATCAAAATTTTATTTGGATGCATAATATTTTAATTTTTTAGCTAAACGATCTAACTTAACAATAATTGTTTATATTACTAGATCTATTATTTTTTTAATGTCAAATAACATTTGATTAAAATCTTCTATATAATATATATTATTTCATTTAAAGATTAAATATTTTTATCAAAAAATATGTATATGATTTAATGATAGGGTGCTAAACTATATTTTATAAAAATAATAATTTAAAAAAATGCAAAAACAAAAATGAAGAATTTTTAATCAATTTGTTAAAAAATTAAAATTTTTTTACATTTTTAAAACTGAATAATTTTATAAAATAATTTTTTAATTTTTAATTAGTTCTTTCTTTAAAAATAATTAAATTCTTAACAAATATTTTATATAATCCAAAAATCTGTAATAAACATAAAACTTAATATTTGTGATTAAGCATTCAAATTAAAAAATCATAGATCATAGCTTTTATGATATAAATACAATTAATAGATAGTTTATTAATTATTCTAATTTTTTTACATCTAACCCAAGAATTTAATAAATTCTTGCAATTTAATAGCCAATAGAATTAAAAAATTTAAGCGGTCTTTTTATTCTTCTTTTTTACTTCTTTAATTATTTAATTTATTTACAATGAAGAAGTCAATCAATATTGATGAAAATATTTTGAAAATATTATTTTACAAAACCATACCTAACTAATATAAAAATAAAAATAATTAAATATTATGATGCTTGTATTTCAAAAATAAATTTATTTCGTTTATATTGGAATTATTTTTAACTCTATTTTAACAAAATTTGTTTCATTAATATGAAGTTTTACATGATTTTTATAATTAGAAACTACTTTTTAAAAATTTTACAGTTCTTGATAGAAAAGCTCAATGAATGCTCATTTAATATTATTGAAATAATCAAATTTTAAATCTAAGTTTTAAAAATACAAATTATGATGATAATAAAATAACCAATAAAAACCTATCAAAGTATATATTGTTAGTTTGTTAATTACTAATTGTTTTTAGTTTTAAATAAAATAATTTTGAATTGAAAGTAAAAATTCTGATTGTTATAAAAAAAAATATAATATCCTTAAAATAAGTAAGTAAGTAAATAAATAAATAAATAAATAATAATATATTTATGATTTTTATTTTATCTATGCACCAAATTTAGACATTATTTTTTTTAATAATTCTTCTTTTATTCAGTTATTTCATTCTTTTTTATTACTTTTTATACATGCTCTCAAAATAACTATTTCTCATTTTTTAATTAATTAATGTAAATCTTCAGATATAAGTACTTCAGCACATTTTAAGGTAAAAAGTATGAGATGTAATTATTAGCCCTAAAGAGTAATAAATTTTTTTGATCATATTTCACCAAATCAATAGAATTTACAGTAGATTACATACAAATAATTGAATAAAATAAAGTAATAAAATTAATTTTAAATTCTAATTAATTGGATTATACAAAAAATTATATTAGCTACAATGCCTTATTAATTCATACAAAATAAGAATATTTTTTTTCGATAAAATTTATACATTGATTAAATCTTATTTCAGTAAAATCAAATTTTGATTTTATTGTTTAAAAAAGAAATTCTTGTTTGGTTAGGGAGGTTATTTATTAATTAATTAATTTATACTTAAAATTCATATCATCTTACCAAATTTATTAGCATATAGATTACCATATTTTAATTATTTGATCCATATTCTTACGTTATTTAAATAAAAATCATACATAACCAAAAATTAATCTAAAGGAATATTGTTTAAACAGACAAATCTGAATTCTTTTCTCAATATTTCATAATAAAGCAGATTGGATCTTTTTTTAAAAAAGAACACTTGTATTTATTTACATATAAATTATTTATTTAAAAATCTAAAAAAAACTAGAAAACTTAAAAAAGCAACATACATACAAACATGAATACTTAAAATAATTTTAATATTAATAAATTTTCTTATACTTTTGAAGAATTTACTTAGTCATTAGATGAGTTAGAAGACAATGAAAATGTTTGCTTACCTATTTCTCTGGTTAAGAAAAATGTTTAGAATAAACAAAAAATTCCGATTAACCAAGTCTAGCCTTCATAAAATTCGAAATTGACCTCTTAACTAGAAGAAAACTAGGCTAAATAAACATCAAAGATAGCTGCTGAGAAATAGCCTTCAGCTGAAAAAAATCCAAAAATCAATTTAGCAAAATCTGAATTCCAAATGCCATAGATATGCCAAAGTATGTAAGTTGGTATTCAGTTAGAAGACTTTCGCTTTGCAGAATCATTTATTGAACCAAATTAAAAATAAATGCCTGAAAATTCTTTAAAAAAATTGTATGATTTAGAAAAAAATCTAACTTTTGAAGTAAAAACACTTAAAAAAAATTTCTAATTCAATGATAAGTAAGAAAGTACTTTTCCAATCATGATCTCAGTTAGGACTATTAAAGACTCATTTTAATTTAAAGACGACTAAAAAGACTAAGTATTAGTCAAGAACTCAAGACCAAGTATAGACTTAGTTTGCGTGATCAATAATTCAGAATCTATGCATGGAGAAAAAATACTAAATGTAAAAAATACTTTGCTATATTTACTAGAAATGTTGAATTCTAACGACAGATTATCATTAGTATTATCTAATAATAATCCCACTACACTTTTTGACTTAAAATATTTAGATGAAAAGAATAAATAGGATTTAAAAAGAATTATAAATAACATTAGTATTACTTAAAATACTAATATTACCAAAAGCATGATTAAGGCTTTTAATATTTTATAATTTAGATAATCTTAAAATAAAGTAAGCTCAATATTCTTACTTTCAGATGGTGTAGATTCAAGCGCTGAAAAATAAATATAAAATTATATCAGCTCATAGCAATCTTTGTAAAATAAAAATTTCGCTATTCACTCATTCGGGTATGGATTTGATCAAGATGCTGAGATGATCAATAAGATATGCTCATTAAAAAATGGCAACTTTTATTATATTCAAAACATGAATTAGGTAGATTAATATTTTGCTGACGTTCTAGGAGGAACATTAACTGCTGTAGCTCAAGATATTACTATTGAAATATCATTGAATCAATAAGATAAAAATTTTTAAAAATATTTCTCAAACTGCAGAGTCTCTAAAACTTATGGAGAAGCATGGAAATGTATTAAAAAGGACGAAATTTACCAAATTAAAATCAACCATTTGCGTTAAGGAGCTTCTCAAGATTTTATAATGGAATTAACTATTCCAAAATAAAAAGTAAAGATTCTATAAGATTTTGAGAGAAATTTAGAAGTAGTAAAAAGCAAATTAATTGCTATTCCAACTGATGTGTTATAAACATCTAAAATAGTTAAGAAGAGCAACCTTATGATCACTTTATTTTTGTAGAATGAAGTTGTTCCCATAGATCCAGAGATAGACTATACTGTTGAAATCAACTATTTAAGAGTCTAAGCAGCCTAAGCAATCGAAAATGCTATGCGTTTAAGTGAAAATTCATAGCATTAGCAAAGTGAGTTAACTTTAACAAATTTTCTAGGAAAATTGGAAAATTATCACCCCAAAAACTAGAAAAATATTGAAACACTAAAAAAAGAAATTTTAGATTGCATAAAAACTACTTAATCAATAACTTTCAGCAATCAAAGTTAATCAATCTATAATGGTTTTGAAAAAATTTCTAATTATAATTAAAGCACTCAAATAGCTGATTTAGATGACAAAGACTAAATGATTTTTTAGAAATAGGCAATATAAAATTTACAAGCAATCAAAGCAATGCAATTACCTGAGGAATTATTTTTTAGTTTCCAAAACTAATAACCACCAAAGCTAAATTGAATATTATTAGATTAATCAATTAATTTGAATATTTTAATTTAACTAAAATTAGAAAGAATAAAAATTTTGAATTAACTTTTTTCTATATTAATATTTTAAATTATTACTAATTGTATTTTATATAAAGATAATATTTATAAATTTATAATTCTGTAGATATCTATATATATTCATTTTATTATAAGTTAATATTTTTATTTTGGGAAAAGAGTGACTATACAAGTTTATTATTTTCAAATATGATTGTTTGTTTGTTTGTTTGTTTTTTTGTGTGGAAATATTTTTTAAATTAAATAATTAGCAAGTATTTCTTTAGATATTTATATAAAAAAATATATAATTATTAGTAAATTCAATGCTTATGCTTCATTATTATCAAATTTTTTACTATTTCTTTTAAATTTTTTTGAACAATTAAGAGATCGCTATCTTCTATTTTATTTATCCTTTTTTAATATAAAATAAGAGGTCTTTGGTTACTATAATTGTGATTATAAATATATACCTTAAATCTAAGTACAACGAATTCAGATTCTATAGGTGATGACATAGCATAATAAAAAGCTCTATGTACTTATTCGAAAGTTTATTACTCCTAATTTTTAATTCTAAATATATTTTTAATTGAATTGTAAATTTATATACTTCATTGTTAGAGTTAAGTTATTTATTTGTTGGCACTCTTTTAAAGCCAAAATAAGTTACAAAAAACCCTCATCATTTATTTTGTTATCACTTTGTTAAATAAAAAGAGATTAAAAGGTAAGTTTGATTTCTCAAATAAATGTCACCTTATATCTAAACAGTAATATTCAATTATCTTATTTTCTTTTATTCCTTCACAAAGCTCATTTATTCCTAAATTTCCTAAATAATTATCTCTAAAAAATTTAAATTAATTTAACAAAAACATTCAAAAACTAAAGGAAAATTACTGAAAATTTATCTAAAACCCTTTGAGGGTAGATGCTTCTTTAATAAACTTTTTTATGGTTCTCATACCAACTTAATCTATTTAATTGAAGCTATGAAAGCAAAATTAGAAAAAATAACTGGTTTTGCTAAATAATTCACCTTAAATCAATCATTAATTCTTCTAAATTTAATTTTTGTACTCCATTTATAATATTTTTAACATCGTCTTCATCTATGTACATTCCACTAAAGTAAAATAATTTTGTTAAATTTAATAAAATTTAATAATAGCTTTTAAAAATACCTTAAATATAAAAATAAATGCTATAAATTTGAGCAGTTTCCAAGTCCTTCTCCTAAAATTCTTGTACCCTCTTTGCCTATATAGCTCCCACTTATTTACATTTTATTAAAATAAAATGAACCAAAATAAGATTGTAAAATATCTACTTTATGTTAAAAGTTAAAACATTTAATTTAGGGCTCAACTAAAAGCATTTAGCTAACTCACAAATGCTATGTACACCAACTCCATTTCCTCTTTTTAAATAAAAACATTAACTTTTTAATTGCTTAATTAAATTCTTAAATTTTACTGTAAATCTAAATACAAAGAAAGAATGCTTGGACATGATTGTATCACTTTGCTTATGTTTTCTACTCTGCTCTAGAATATCTGTTTATTACTTTTATTTGTTTTCTTAAGAATGGATAGATATTAAATCCAAATTGAATTACCTTAATCCGAGTTTTAAATCTGTAAGGTTTTGAGCTTTCTGTAGATTGTATTGAACTCTTTAAGCTTTTTACTTCAAAATATAAGGCTCCCTTTTTAAATTTATAAAAAAATTAGTTTTAATATTGTTTTAATTTGAGTATTACTTCAAATCTAGGCGAAGAGATTACAGTTAATCTATTTATTTGAATTCAAAAAACATGTCCAACTTTGTAAAGGTTTGAGACTTTGGATCAGCTTTTATGACTCTTTATATGTGCTTTTCCTATCCTACTATCATATCTTCGATTTTACTATCAATATTATTTAGCTTTAAAATCTAACTGGACTAGTAAATAGACATTCCCTTTGCATTAATAATTTTCTACAAACGCTTCTACATCTTTTAAAGAGATGCATTTGGAACTTTTTTACACAATCCTAGCATAGGTAAAATAACATGCTTATTAAACGTTTCATATTATAGATTGAAAACTTATTTTTAAAGATATTCAATGTCGTTCAGTAGTGATTCTTCTACTTCTAAAGTGCTGTTTGTCGTCAACTTAATAAATACCACAGCTAATTTCCTCATATCATACTAAATAAGTTTTATTAAAATTCTTTTTTCTATTTATTACTTTAGTAATTAAAATTTACATTTTGCATGTCTTCAAGAAAATCAACTTTATTTTCAGCATTCTTTTTTTTATATCAAAATAAATGAAATAAAAATTAAATTCAATATTTTTACATTTTTTTGTTATCTTTAGACCTTTTGAATCTAATTGCTATACCTTTCATAATCTTTATAAAATTTTACATGAATTAATGAATTACCTATTATAAAATATTACCATATTTTACTTCATCGCCATGAGATGTTAAGATGATTTTACATAAATCAATTTTATCTAGTAGAACATCTTAAAATTTGTCATGAACTTCTCTCAGTCCATCAAAAAGTTAATAGCAAATCATATAGACTTCCTTTTTACTTAGCTATTTATTAAATTTCTTCCTTGCCTGTAAGTATGTATCAAGAGTATCTATTTTTAAGCAATTTAATTATCGTTAAATAACATTAAAAAATAATTGCTTACTTATTCCTAGCTCTTGGACAAAAAAAATAGATTATAACTCTTCAAAATAATTTATTGATTGTATTTGTAAAACATTTTTAATTTTTTCAAAAGAAGACAAATAATCTTCAATTATCTTATCACTTTTATGGCTAGTTAATGGCTTAGCAATATAATCCTAAATAATTTTGGTGAAAGTTTAAATAATTTTCACGCTAACATATCTTTGTGTTGCAACAGAATATGCTAAATATATCTAACTATAATTGCTATTTCCTATGAAATTAAAAATGAAAATATCTTTTTCTCTCATAAACTAAATGCATTTTTCAAACTATTCTTCATCTATCAAACTGGATTATAGAAGACTTTCTTTTGTTTATTTATTAAACTCATAAAACTGTAAATAATTCTATCTTTCTTACTCATCCATTTAATTGATTATATTATCAAAAAAAATATCTATCTTTACATCAAATTAAAAATTCAATATAAAATAAAGATTTAAAGTTTCAATTTCATGTTTTAGTAATTGACTTAATTACAAACTAATTATTAAATCTACATTTCAAAAGAACACTATATTCTAAAAATAAGGAATTTAATATAAGTATAAGCTATAAAAGCTATATTTAAATTTAATATGTGCTGTATTATTTCAAAAATCTTCACCAAAATATATTTAACATATGAAATTATTTTATCACATTAATCCCCAAAAAAGATTGAAAAATAATATTTTACACACTTATTATATATATTTATTTCATCTTATAGAATATTGCAAACTTTACTTAAATTCATTTAAGATTTAATAAAAAATTGCTTATTGAGAGTTTTTCATATTAAAAATTAAACTTATTTTTAAGTTTGTAAATTATGAAACAAGCTCGTTAGTTATTAAAAATGTATAATACATTTTTTATAAATGTTATTGATTTTATTAAATAATAAAATTATGTCAAAATTATTATGAAATTTGATAAATTTTATCTGTCCTAAAGCTAATCATTAGCTTACCAGAAGAGAGTATTAGAAAAATAGGTAAATTGCTATTTTCATTTTTAAGTTCTATATTTTTCTCAATGATATAGTTAAGGTCAATATATCTCAATTAATTTGATTCAATATCGCAAATAGTTATGTATTTTTGCTAACTACCATTATTATAATACTTTTGCTATAAAATATATTTAGAATCTCTGATATTTACAAAATTTATATTTTGCTATTATTCAAACTTAAAATTAGTTTTAATTTATTTTTTAATTTCAAATCTCATCTTTCTATCAAATTCTATGTAAGAATTTTAGTAAAACATTTAAAGAATATTATTTTAGGCACCTAAATGAATATCAGAAAATTCAATATCAATTTCATATATGTGAGCTGATTTCCAAAGGATAAAGTTTATCAATTTAAATTCATAATTTTTCATACTCAATGAGTAAAAAAATAAAAAAATATTTTTGTAATAATATTTTTGTCTGTGTGGCAACTCTTTGATAAAAATTAAAATATATTCATTTTTTTATTAGTAAAAGTATGATAAAATGTGCTTAGTGTACTCGGTTATGTGAATTGTTTATTCAATTACCATCTATTTAGTAGCATCGTAAATAGCAAAACATTATCCTTTGTTGTTTAGGTAAATCAAAGGTAAAAATATATTGTTATTTTAAGAATCACATTGAAACTGAGAAAAGCTAACTATTTGACTTTAAAGTCTTTTTACCTTCGATTCTTATGGCTAATTTTATAATTCAAGCGAATTCAAAGTAAAATATTGGTCATCCTTTTTTAAATAAATCCATTCTGACTTTTAAAGATTAAGCTAGCATTGTTAAACGTTTTAGATTTGACTCTCATAGCAAAATTATTAATGATTCAGTTTATTATTTTCTAATTTATAAACAAATGCAGTAAATTTATTTTAAAAAATTAGCTGATTAGCATTTTAAAAAATTTCTTTGTAATCAGATTAATCTATTTCTTGTAAAATGTATTAAGCTTATTTCTTACTTTCTTCTTTAAACTAATAAAATGCTAAGCTCTGAATATTCATGTCGGTATAAATAGGGTATGTCAGCAAATTATCGTAAATGATTGGAGGCAGAGTATTAAATATATGACATTCGTGATAAAATTTGAAATTTGTTTCTTTCAACTAGTAAGAGTAAGATAAATTTCTACAACCCTTCTTTTTAAAAATTTTAAATTCATAGTAATGATTGTAGCATGATTCAGATGGAATATATAATTTATCCGAAAAGCTAACTATATTTTAGTTATTTATGAAAAAGCCTAATTCATACTTTGATTTCCATACTATTTCATTAGGTATCCTTAATTATTCTATTTTGAATAAGTTTTGCTCCTTCCAATCCTAAAGAACGTAACCATACTATTTTGCTTGAATCAAAAATGTCCAATTTGAAAACTTTTTTCTTTGTCTTTCTTTAAGTTAAATTGGAACAACCAGAATTTTTTGAACACCAAAATGTTTCAATTCTACTTTCTTTTATTGTAATGATTGACTCTAATAGAAATTAAATATATTGGTTTATCTTAAAATGTCTAAATTGTGCATATTTAGTTAATAAATTATATTTTCAGCAATTACAAATAAAATTATTTTATTGTCATCGTCTTCATTATAGCCGAGTAGATTTCTATTTTTATTTTTGCCAAAGTAGTATTTAAATTCACTTGAAGTTACTGGAAGCAGTCTTAAAAGTAGCGTTTTTGGAAATTTATATTCTAATCTATTTGAAATTACTATCTATTTATTTATATCAATCTTTATAATATATGTCTTATATAAGTAATATATTAGACCAGGCTCTATATAATCTATATGTTAATCATCATAATCTTAATTTGGATATTAGCAATAAATATTTTCTACATTATGCTATAGAATTAAACTCAAATCAAGATTAAAGATATTTAATTCTATTTTAAAATGGGATTTTATGCATAAGAATAGATATTTCCCTCCAACAATTTCTCCATATATAGTAAAATATTAGTTATCCTGCTGCTTATTTGTTTTTTGATAATAATAATAATCATCATCATCAAATAATGAAAAATTAAAAGACGAATCATCATTACAGCAGCTAAGTTTTGGACTTTGTTCTCTTTGTTTTTGTTTGTCTTCCTTAATTTTTCTTTTTTCCTCTTCAAGATAATAACTAATATCAGGATAAGAAACTTTTTAAAATGCTTTTACCGAATAATCTTTAAAGTTTACAATCTATAATATTACATAATCGTCAGCCTTGTCATAAATATACATGCAATCTAACAAATTGATTTATTTATTATCAATATTAATTTCAAGTTTTTCTCTCTAATATAAATAAGTGGGCAAAAACAAAGCATTTCCTTAAAAATTAAAATTTTTTATTTAAATCCTATTTAAAGGAAAAATTTGGTCTTCAATTGATAGTTTTTTAATGTTCATTTCAAAATTTTTACTCATAATAAATTCTTCATATTTTGTTCTATTTAAAAAGCTCATTTTTATTTTTCTTTATTGAATTTTTATTATTTTTTATTAATTTATTATATTATATAATATAATTGCGTTTTACTTTTATTATGTATATAATCTCTTTGTTTATTATTACATCTATTTCTTCAAAAATTTACAGAAGAAAGAATTAATTTATTAAAATAATCTTTTCGCTTAACTTAAATACTCTATTAGTATATCTATTTAATTTATTATAATTTAAAACATATTTACACATGTTAAATTATTTTTTTAAAAGCATTTTTTTATTAAATTTTTGTAAGAATTATTGCATATTGCTATTTTCTGATAAATATTTATGTAGTAGGAAATAAACATTTAGTAGAATAATAAATATTATATTAAAAATTTAAAGAAAATTTAAAATAATACACTTTTTTTGGGTAAAAAAGATACTTAGGGAATGCCTTAATTAATGAGCATTTACAGTATATAATAGTGCTTTAATTATGTTGATTGATTATTAATATATTATATTTAATAGATTCAAATTAAATTCAAATAAAATAATTATTTATCTATTAGGATATTAATTAAAAACCATTTAATTACTTTTTTTAAATAAAAAAATTATAATAGATAATTAGCTATTACTTTTATGTTTCTATTTAATTTAAAGGTTTTATATTCTAAAAATGTTGAAATTTAATAATTGATATCATTTAGAAATATAGAAGATTTATTATATCAGATTTTATCAACTATTTAATTAAAAACGAATTTTTTTTGAGATCTTATATTTTATATAGAAAAAAGAGCAGCTACTTCTATCATAATTTATTAGAACAGTAAAAAGATAATAATTTAATTTATTCTCAAAAAAAAACTTAAATAAGTTTAAGTATGAAGTTAATTAAGAGTAAATTTAACTAAATAAAATAAAAATACTTAAATAATATTCTGAAAGCATTAAAAAATGGATAAAGATAATATTAACATTATTAACTCAATAACTAAACCATAGAAGAAGTTATCAGTTTCAAATAAAACAGAAGCCAAAAAGATTTCTCAACCCTCTACTTTGGCTAAAAAAACTACATCAAACACTTCTAAAAATCTTTCTAACTAAGTCAAGACTTCTCCAGAAGTTCAATAATTGATTTCTTAAGTAATTAAATAAGCATCTTTAAAGCCAAAGTCAGTTGCTGTTTAAAAATAATCTTTAGCCTAAAACCCTATTAAAGCGAAAGCTACATAGCTTAAATCTGCAGTTTCAAAATAACTTACTTCATTTTAAAAATCTGATATCTCTATTCAAAAGGAAGAAAAAATATAAAAGCTAGATACCAAAACTATGCTTCGAGAGTAAGAAATTAAACCTGACTTATAACAAATGATTAAAGATGCTAAAAAACCATCTTATGATTTGGAAAAAGGTTTAACATTTGAAATCAAAACTCTTAACAAGCATTTCTAATTCAATAATGAATAAGATTGCAATATTCCTATCATGGTCTCAGTTAAGACTTAAGATTCTACTAACGATATTTTAGAAGAGTAAAAGGAATAGGTAAAATAAGCAGAATAGTCAAGACCAAGCATAGATTTAGTTTGTGTTATTGATAATTCAGGATCTATGTAAGGAGAAAAGATTTAAAATGTTAAAACAACACTTCTTTAACTACTTGATATGTTAAATTCTAACGATAGATTATCATTAATTCTATTCAATTCTTATCCTACTCTTTTATGTAACTTAAGAAAAGTTGATGATAAGAATACACCAAATATTTAGAAAATTATCAATTCTATAACTGCTGAAGAATACACAGACATCAATAGTGGTATGCTCATGGCTTTTAATATTTTGTAAAAGAGACAATTTTTCAACCCAGTTAGTTCTATTTTCTTGCTTTCTGATGGCCAAGATAATGGAGCTGATGAAAAAATTAAAAAATATATCAATTCAAATCAATCATTGAAAAATGAATGCTTTTCTATTCACTCATTTGGATTTGGTTCTGATCATGATGGCCCCTTAATGAATAGAATTTGCTAATTAAAGGATGGTAACTTTTATTATGTTGAAAAAATTAATCAAGTTGATGAATTCTTTGTAGATGCTCTTGGAGGACTTTTCTCTGTTGTTGCTCAAGAAATCTTAATAGAAATTAACCTAAACAGATAAGATAAAAATTTCTAAAAATATTTCTCAAATTGTAAAGTATCTAAAACATATGGAGATATGTGGAAATGTATCAAATAAGATGAGATCTATCAAATAAAAATTAATTAGCTGTTTTCAGGAGTTTCTAAAGACTTTATTATGGAAATAGTTGTTCCGAAATAAGAAGTAAAGATGTTAGAAGATTTTGAGAGAAATTTAGAGATAGTCAAAGGTTAGCTAACTGCTATTCCAGTCGACATACAATACACAACAAAAATAGTGAAAGATAGCAACCTAATTTTAACTTTGTTTTTGTAAAACGAAACTGTTCCAGTAGATTCAGAAATTAATGATGCTGTAGAATTCAACTATCTTAGAGTTTAAGCAGCTGAGGCTATGGAAGTAGCTATTAGTTATAGTGAAAAGTAGTAATACGAATAAAGCTAAGTTGTATTAAAAAGTATTCTGAGCAAAATAGAGAATTCTCATCCCAAAAACAAATAAAAAATTTTAATTCTTAAAAAAGATCTTCTTGATTGCTAAGAGAGTGCCTAGCCAAGAGTTTATGAGAATGTAGGTAAATATAAAATGTTAAGCAAAAAAGTAGCAAACTCTAAGTAGGCTTCATAAGCTGTGGAAGAATGTGATATGTACTAAAACAATATTTAAAAAGTAATGGTTATGTGTATAAAAAAAAAGAAGATGTGAGCAAATAAATGTCTTTTAAAAATAAAATAATTTAATTAGATATTTTAAATTAAAAATTGATCAAATTATATTAAATTATTATTAATAATTAATACTAATGAATTATATAAAAATTTATTTGTGTATTTTAAAAACATTCAAACTTTAATAAAAAATTAATTTAATTCTTCTAATTATTACAAGACTTTAATTAATTTAAGAATTTCTTAATTTTTATAAAAGAAAATAAATAATTTTGAATATTTTGATAAAATTTAAAATATTTTAATTAAAAATACAATTCAATCACTTTCAATAAATAATCTATAGTTTCACCAGTTAATTAATATTACTTAATAATTACATAAAGTATTTATTTATTTTGATTATTTTATTTGAATAATTATATTAGATAAATATTTATTAAGATTATTGGATCTAATAACCAGTTCATTTTTAGATTAAGATTTTTAAAAATTCAATATTTTACTCAAATTAAAAATTTTAACTGTAAAAAAATTTTTACTCTCAAAATTTGAAAAAATATTTATGAATTTTGATTAATTCTAGTAAGCAGTTTAAAAACAAATACAAAGAAAATAATTAAAATATAGAACAAAAATCTTCATGAGTAATATAATAATCATTTAAAATATCACAAATCATGACATCATCAATGGTTGGTAATATTTCAAATGCAGAAACAGCTACATATAACATTTTTTGAATTATGATGATTGATTATTTTTTATTATTTTAAATCCCTTCTAATTAAATTTCAAATAAAATGATTATTTATCTTTTTATTTATGATATGGATATTAAAAGCCATTTTATTTACTTTATTTTAAAAACTAAAAAATTATAATAGATAGTTGGCTTGATTTTGATGTTTCTATTTAATTTAAAGGCGTTATATTCTAAAGATATTGAAATTTAATAATTTAAATGAAATAGAAGATTTATAAGATTAGATTTTATCAATACTATTAGCTATTTAATTAAAAAGAATGCTTTGATTTGCATCTTATATTTTATATAGAAAAAAGTGTAGCAATTTGTATCATAATTTACTAGTGCAATAGAAAAATAATAACTTAATTGCCTCTCCATCAAAAAAAATTTATTATAGAAAAATAAATCTATAGAATTGTTTAAATATGAAGGCTATTAAGACAATTAAGATGTAATTTAATTTAACTAAATAAAATAAAAATAACTTAAATAATAATCTGAAAGCATAAAAAAATGGATAAAAATAATATTAACACTGTTAACTCAATAACTATACCATAGAAGAAGTAATCAGTTTCAATTAAAACTGAAGCCAAAAAGATTTCTCAACCCTCTACTTTGGCTAAAAAAACTACATCAAGTATTTCTAAAAATCTGTCTAACTAAGTTAAGACTTCTCCACAAGTTCAATTAATATCTCCAGTAATTAAAAAGGCAGTATTATAGCCATAATCAGTTGTTGTTTAAAAACAACCTTTAGCCTAAAATCCTGTTCAAGCCAAAACTATATAACCTAAAACTGTAGTTCCAAAGTCACTTACTTCAATTTAAAAGTCAGATATCTCTATTGAAAAATAAGAAAAAATATAAAAGTTAGATACCAAAACTATGCTTCAAGAGTAAGAAATTAAACCTGACTTATAATAAATGGTTAAAGATGCTAAAAAACCATCTTATGATTTAGAAAAAGGTTTAACATTTGAGATCAAAACTCTTAACAAGCATTTCTAATTCAATAATGAATAAGATTGCAATATTCCTATCATGGTCTCAGTTAAGACTTAAGATTCTACTAACGATATTTTAGAAGAGTAAAAGGAATAGGTAAAATAAGTAGAATAGTCAAGACCAAGCATAGATTTAGTTTGTGTTATTGATAATTCAGGATCTATGTAAGGAGAAAAGATTTAAAATGTTAAGACAACACTTCTTTAACTACTTGATATGTTAAATTCTAACGATAGATTATCATTAATTCTATTCAATTCCTATCCTACTCTTTTATGTAACTTAAGAAAAGTTGATGATGAGAATACACCAAATATTTAGAGTATTATCAATTCTATAACTGCTGATGGAGGCACAGACATCAATAGTGGTATGCTCATGGCTTTTAATATTTTGTAAAAGAGACAATTTTTCAACCCAGTTAGTTCTATTTTCTTGCTTTCTGATGGCCAAGATAATGGAGCTGATGAAAAAATTAAAAAATATATCAATTCAAATCAATCATTGAAAAATGAATGCTTTTCTATTCACTCATTTGGATTTGGTTCTGATCATGATGGCCCCTTAATGAATAGAATTTGCTAATTAAAGGATGGTAACTTCTATTATGTTGAAAAAATTAATCAAGTTGATGAATTCTTTGTAGATGCTCTTGGAGGACTTTTCTCTGTTGTTGCTCAAGAAATCTTAATAGAAATTAACCTAAACAGATAAGATAAAAATTTCTAAAAATATTTCTCAAATTGTAAAGTATCAAAAACATATGGAGATATGTGGAAATGTATCAAATAAGATGAGATCTATCAAATAAAAATTAATTAGCTGTTTTCAGGAGTTTCTAAAGACTTTATAATGGAAATAGTTGTTCCAAAATAAGAAGTAAAGATGTTAGAAGATTTTGAGAGAAATTTAGAGATAGTGAAAGGTTAGCTAACTGCTATTCCAGTTGACATACAATACACAACAAAAATAGTGAAAGATAGCAACCTAATTTTAACTTTGTTTTTGTAAAACGAAACCGTTCCAGTAGATTCAGAAATTAATGATGCTGTAGAATTCAACTATCTTAGAGTTTAAGCAGCTGAAGCTATGGAAGTAGCTATTAACTTTAGTGAAAAGTAGTAATACGACTAAGGATAAGTTGTTTTAAAAAGTATTCTGAGCAAAATAGAAAATTCTCATCCTAAAAATAAAGAAAAAGTATAAATTCTTAAAAAAGATCTTCTTGATTGCTAAGAAAGTGCCAAGCCAAGAGTTTACGAGAATGTAGGTAAATATAAAATGTTAAGCAAAAAAGAAGCAAACTTTAAGTAGGCCTCATAAGCTGTGGAAGAATGTGATATGTACTAAAATAACATTTAAAAAAAAATGGTGATGCATTTAAAGAGTAAGAAAATGTGAGCAATACTATTCATTCAAAATAACATATTTAAATTAGATATTCTAAATTTAAAATGGATAAACTTATATTAAATATAATATAAATACTTTATACTAATTAATTACATAAATACTTATAAGTGTGTTTTTATAACATTCAAGCTTTTATAAATAATTAAATTCTTCTAATTACTTTAGGATATTAATTGATTTAAGAATTTCTTAATTTTTATGATAAAGAATTAATTATTAATTTTTAATATTTTCATAAAATTTAACATATTTTATTTTTAAAATAAATCATTTAATTATTTTCAATAAATAATTTATAGTTTTATCAATTTATTTTAATTAGTACTTATAATTAAAGTATTTATTTATTTATTTTCATTTTTTTTAACAGCCATTTTAGATAAATAAATACTCAGATAAAAGGATTAATGTACTGTACATTCTGATTGATTAAGATTTTTGAAAAATCCATTTTTTACTCAAATTATGATTCTTGATTTATAAAATGAACATTTAGATCTTAAATAATAAATGATAGTTCTCGAAAATGTATGGTATATTATTTATTTGTTAAGTTTATATGAAAAACTTAGAAAAATAAAATTTTCTATAAACTTTTTTGTTATTATTAAAATTGAGATAAATTTTAGATAAGAGGAGCATTATTAATCACAAAAAACTCCACTTATATATTTATTTTGTTTTTGCAAACGATATCATCAAAAAATATTTAGCTTTTTAAATTGATAAATTAAAATTATTTTGTTAATAAAAGCTAAACAAAAATACAAAGCGAAATTAATTGATTTATTTTATAAAAAAATATTTTTTGTAGTTTTTTAAATCTAAAATAAGAATCATAAAAATGTATCAATTTTATTAAATTAGCAAAGTAGTTTTTTTAGATAAAAAACAGAAATTAAATATAAAATATTTTTAAGAGTAATTATTTTTAATAAAAAACATTTTAAAATAACATTTATTTTTGTTATGATGAATTTATTTATTTATTTCAAAATGTAAAAATGATGTGTAAATTAATATTCAATATAATATTTGGTACATATACATATAAAAAAAGAGTAAGTATAAGTAATAAATTAAATGAGTTATTTATCTTTGATTTAAAATAGATTGCACTAAATGCCTCATCTTAATAAGAATAGTATTTTTCTACATAAGGTATAAAAATCAATAAATTTTAAGGTAAAAAGATTAAAATGAAAAAGAAAAACAAATTAAATATTGTAATCAATAAATGCCCCAATAGGATACTAAGTACATAAAGGATTATGTACTATCCTTGAAAATAATCCATTAAATTTAATTAACTGATTGATGATGGAATAAATAAGCCTACAAAATTAATATTATTGAGAAGTATCTTATGGTCATTAAATTTTCAAAAATTAATATTCTTAAAATATCAAATAATAATTGACTATTTAATATAATTAAAATAAAAATTCGATACCAATTTTAAGGATATTAATTAATATAAAAACATTACTACTTTTTAAATTATAAGATTAACAAAATTCCATATTAAGATTTGATAGCAAATAAATAAATAAATGTTAGATAGCTTGTTGTCATACTACTTTTTAAGATAGCTAGATGTATTTGGAACATAAATCACTCTTAACTACAAAAGAGATCCTTAATTCAGGACCTCTTTCGGTGGAGGAATCACTGTTTGTTGTATTTTTTTTATAGCTGTTATTTGCTTCTCAACAGTAATTATTATCTCATTTTTAATTCAAAATAATGTTTTAAAAAACATCATATTCAAATTTTTTACTACCACCTTAAACATCTTAAGCATCATAGGATGATATAAAAGCTTTAGATAAACCTACTCATTGTCATTTATCAATAAGCGATATGCATATTAACAAAAATGTATTTCATTTAAACACACATTAATCTTAAATTATTATAAATAGCTGAACGACTTGTTTTAAAAGAGTAATTATTTAGCATATTAAAGGCTGATATATCTAATTAAAATTTTAAAAATCATATAGCCTAAGTTAGCTTTGTACAATCAACAAGTTACAGTGTTTAACCAGATAGTATATTATTTGATAGCAACTAATTTATGATAGCAATTTAATATGATCAGCCTAATTTTATAAAGAGGCCTTATGTGAATATAACTTTTTAGCAGTCACATTTCCACAGATTTATAAATGGCACCACAGTTAAGAACAAAGTATTGATGTTTAAAGGTCTAATATTTTTTCAATTTTTTAATATTTGAATAACTAATTAGACAAATATAGACCTTGAACCTTGTACAATAGATCACTTTATAGGTCTACCAAGTTATAATTAAAATTGGACTTACACTTTTTAATTAGAAAATCTTTAAGACTTTCTATGCCTAAAGTAAAAAATTGAATATTAATTTTGTTTATTGATTATATGAATATTGTATTTAACCAGAAAAGGAACTACGTTCTAAATTGGGGGGATTTTCGAAAATGAGGATTTTTATTATGTGAAATTCTCTATATCTAAATGCATAAATAATACCTCGAATAATTCTAATAAAGCTTGGAATCCTGTTTGCGAAAGCCATGATGTAGTAGCTGCAAATTAAAATTAAGATTCTAGAATCAGATTTTACATTTCCAATAATTTGCTTAACCCTGAAAGAGCTTAAAATTCAATCAGTTCTTATTTAGATTCAGCTTTATTTAATGTTTAGCAAGGATCAGTAATATTATTTATATTAAATAGAATTATATATATATTATATAAATATATTTTTAATATTATTTATATTTTAGATGTACACAACAGCCAACATGTATATAAATTCATAAACTCTCATTACTGATGAGAGTATATTTCCAATTTCAAATGTAAATACTGTAAATTTAATGCAGTACAAAGTTAGTGAAACTTGGTAGTAATATGCTATTGGAAACTTTGACACTTTTTGTGATATTTATTTTAGGAGAAGCTATTATTCTACAGTAATTCATAAAAGTTATCTTAAACTAGCTCAAGTTATAAGCTATATTGGAGGATTTAGCCAAGTTTTCATATTAATATCGGCCTTTTTAGGTAAAATTGTTTTAGAAATTAATTATTTATTTGTTGATTTATTTCTTTTTAAGTGAGAAAATATAATAGCTATAATTTGTATTTAGAACTAGCAAATAGATTATATGACTTCGATATTCCAAACTTGGAAAATACCAAAGAAAATACTCACAAAACTACTATTTATAATAATAGTGCTATTGATAGCAACATTAACAATAATACTAATGAGAACAATCATTAAAATACTTCCTAACATGTAAGTGTTCCTAAAGAATAAACAAAAATAAATCTATAAAATACTTCTTAAGAAGATAAAAATAATCTCCAATTTCCTCAATTAAATTAAGAAGTATTATTGGACCTAAAAAATTAATAAATTAATCCTTAAATATCATTTCAGTAACTTGATGAAAATCCAAAAAATTTAAAAGATTAACAAACAGGAAAAGAACAGTAAATAACATAATTTGTTCCTCTTGATTAAATTAGGAAAGTTTTAATGGAAAAAGGTATAGGAAAATAGTATTATTAAACTGATTATTTTAGTGAAAATACAGAAAGCGATTAGATTTAATTTTCAAAATAATAAAACAATATAAAAAATATTAATTTAATCTAAAATTAGCTAAAAAACAATAGATTAAAAACTTTTCAAAGTAAAAATAATAATAATAATTTGTTTGTCTAAAATAACAATAATAAATAAAATTAATAAGTGATAAATAATTTTAATTAATCAATAAATTAGAATGAAGATAAACCAAAAGAAAATAGTCCCTAAAAACTTGAAGAAAATAATCCCTAAAAGCTTGAAGAAAATAATCCCTAAAAGCTTGAAGAAAATTTTGAGTCATAAATTGGATAAAAAAATGAGGACTTATCGTTTTAAAGTATTAACTAAGATTTTTAAATGAAAAATAAAACATTTCCATCTAGTAAATTCTAAAGCTATAAAGAGAATACTTAAAATTCTATATTTATTAAAGACCTTTCAAAGATTGACAAAACATAACCAGAAAATAATATATTATCTCAAAGAAGCAATTTTAAATACAGCTATTCCTCTAGGAAAAATTTATTTGAAAGCACTGATAAAAACCCTTAGTTGTAGATAAAAAGGGTTGTTTCATCTTTTGGAGCATCTCCAAATAACAAAAATATGACCAAAATAGTGTAGGAAAAATATGGAGGAGCAGTTGAATAGTTTTTGGAAAATAAATTTAAATCAATAATATCGAGAGAAAATAAAATTTGGGTAGATTTTAAATATTTCATGAATTAATTGACTTGTGGAAAGTTTTTCAATAGCGACCATATAAAATTAATTAATAAAGCAAAAAATTTAGTAAGCGAAGATCTTGATATCTTTAATATTCTAGACAGATAAAAGGAGGTAGAAAAAATGAAAAAATTATTTTTAAATGAAGATTAGCAAGTGCTTTTTAATTTTTTCCCAAAGCCTATTATTTCAATTAAAAGTAATTAAAATTAATTGAGTATGAAAGATTTAAAATAAGAATAAATTGATTTACAAAAAAGTGTAAGTTAAGTTTAAAAGTAATCAAAAAAGCTGAATCTCACGTTTAAACAAACTAGAACTGTAGCTAAGGCCATTATTAAATTTAAAAAAGCTAAAAATTCTAATATTTCAAACTATCTAAAACTATTTAATCATTATTTGAAGCTTTCTTAAGAGCAAAATCAGGAAAGCAAGTAAATACGTTATATTTTTCAAAAAACTTTATTTCAATTTTATTTTTAAAGTAACATTTAAACAGCTATCAATAAAAAATTAATACATCTTCTTGGAGAAGAAATGAGAAATATATTTGAAGTTGCAAAAAAGTATTAAATGAAATTATATTTTATAATATTCATATATTTTTTAAAAAAAGAATGCAGCAAAAGCCTACCGAAATCTAATAAGCTAACTAAAATAACTAGTAGCTTTTACCTTCTTAATATAATTAATAATCAACAAAAATAGAAAATATGTTTAACACAGATTAGCCTTTAAATACCTAAAACCCTCATCAAATTATTTAAAGTAGCAATTTCCCTTAAATTTAGTAATAAAGCTCTAAATTGATTACATTTGACTCACTATTTGCATCCTCAAACAATTTAAAAGACTGTAAATAAATTAATTTGTAAAAATAACTATTTCCACAATAAATAGAAATTTAATTGTAAGAAAACAATCAAATATTTGAGAAAAATCTGAATGAAAAAATGTTAAATGAGGGAAAAAAATGAAACAATATTTTTTTTAAACAAGAAAACAATTGTGGATATTTTAATATTTCAAATAAAAATTAGTTAAATTTATAATAAAATATATTCTATATAACTCTTAACTCAATTGATGTATTTCTAAAGTGATAATTAATCTATCAATAATACCATCTTTTATATCTTTCAGACAAACAAAATTTAAAATTTAAATACAAATAATTATATACTGTATATCCTCATAAATTAATGCTTTTTATTTTTTTTGAAAATTTAAAAAATTTACTCAAAAATCATGAGTATAGATAGCCTATCCAATATTAAAAAGGCATTTAACTCTAGATAAATCATGGTTAATAACTCAAATTTATATAAATCAATTTATTAATTTTAAATCTATAATATTTTTTTTTATAGTATATTTATTATTGCTTAAGTTATGCCAATTAAAATTCAAGTGGCGTCTTTCAAAAATCCAAATATCTATCTATGGATTTTTGGATTCAAAATTTTTAAAATGGATTGGATTTTTTCCTTATTTATCAAAAAAAATATATTTATGATGTTATTAAAGCCAATTTTCATTATAAAGCTTCTTTGATTTAGCATTTTTACCTATTTCTTTTCTTTAGTTTTGCAAAAATAGATAATCAATCAATAAAAATGAAGAATAAATTATTTATTTAAAATATAAAATTAAATAATTGTAAACATATTATTTTTTACCTTCAAAATGAAACAAAAAAATAATGAAGTGTAAGCAAACAAAAACAAAAATATATAGTTATTATTTTAAACACAAATTTTCTTGAATCTAAAATTAGTTTACATTATTTATTTATTAAATAATAATTCATTAAAAACTAATTATAATTATTTTTGAGAACGTAATTATTTTATTTTTAGAATTGAGAAACCAAGAATATTTTAAATTTTAAAGTTTTGCTTTTTTCAACAGATTCCTATATTTCTTTTAAATTTCTTGATGATGAATGCTTTGGCTATTTAAAATAGATTTTATTATTTATGAATTGCTTACTATTCAAAATAAATTTGCATGAATATATTTATAAAAACAATAAGCTTTAATTTTTTAAATCTGTAAAAACAAATTAAATTACATTTTTTAATAAACAATTATTATAAATTAAATAAGTTAAGTATATTTCTTACATTTGTATCCTTCTAATTTTTGAAAAATTAAGAAAGAAAAAATTTGGATTTATTGATTAGAATTAACCTATAAAAAATACATTTCTTTTATTTTTGAAAAAATCTTAAATTAATATTAGAAAAATGTTGGAATTTTGTTTACCTTATTTTATAATGAAGCACTTCGATATATTTGGTGCATAAGTGAGTTTAAGTTATACTAAAGATAATTTATTTAGAACGCCATTTGGAGGTAGTATCACATTCTTTTGCTTCTTCTTTATCATAATCTTATGCTACACAAGTGTAATATCTTCATTATACTTAAAAAATGTTAACTTTTTTGTAAATTTGAAAAGATAGCCGAATTGTTTGCTAAAAGTAATAAGATTAATTGAAAAAAGCATTTATATATTCATTTAAAAACGCTTAATAGCATAAGTAAATTACACAGTATCTACTAACTACAATACTGAGCCATCTACAGTTAATCTTGGAGCACTTACTTAAATGATTGCAATATCATACGATTAAACAAATTTCATTACTCGTCCTATGGTCAATATTACATTATATTCAGGATAAAATCATAGATATCCTAATGGTACATTAGTTCAAAAAAGAGTATATTATTTGATAAGTAAATAAGTAAATTTATAATACTTACTGTTTTTTTTTTGAAAAGAATGCTTTGTATCTCGAACCATGTACTCTCAATCATTTTATCAACCTTCCTAGCTATAACTCAAATTGGACATAAATATTTTATGAATAAAATTTATAAGATTACTTATGCTTATAGTAAACAAACAAACTCAAAATAAAATATAATCTTATAAAATAATATATAAAATAGAAAAAACTAAAGCTATTAAGTTGGAGGTGTTTTTGTCAATACTGATTTTTATTTCTTAAAATTCTCAGTTTCAGCTTGTATAAATTCAACTTCTTAGACTTAAAACCCTTGGAATCCTGTTTGTGAGTAACCTTCTATAATTTAATAAAGCGTAAATTAATACTCGAGAATTAGATTTGTGATTTCAAACAATATATTAAATCCCGAGAAACCAACTGGCTCTATCACCTCTTTTCTAGATTCTAAGATTTTTAATATGCAATTAGGTTAGGTAATTAATTAATTAATTAATTAAAATTAGATGAAAAATATAAAATAAACAAATTGAAAAAAAACAATATTATATTCAAATTTATTCTCATATTTCTTTCTCAAATGTAAAATATACTAATACCCACCCATTATATGTAAATCTAATTTAATTTTGGTATAAAGTAACTAAATATGATACTAAAATCTATTTGTATATAAATTTTAATAAATGAGGTAGGTTTTACGGTATTTAACATAAGATAAAATAATTTAAATAAATATACCAATAGATAAAAATTTTAATTTAATTAATTTAATGAAAACTTTATATTTTGTTACTTTATAAAATTTTAATTACTAAATAAGATGTACACAACAGCAAATATATTCATAAATTAATAAAAAATAACTACAGACGAGAGCGTATTTCCTATTTCAAGCTTACATACAGAAGAACTACTCTAATTTAGATAAAGTGATGTATAATAATAAAATTCAGTAGGAAACTTTCCTGTCTACGCAGATTTTTACATTTAAAGAAGCAATTACTCAACAAATGCTTATAAAAGCTTTTTGAAATTAGACTAGGTGATCAGTTATATTGGTGGTTTTTGCCAAATATTCTTTTTGGTTTCAGCCTTTTTAGGTATGGTTTTTTTATCTGTAAGTGAAAAATTTAATTATTTTTTTAACTTAGTAAGCAAATATAATACTTATATATTTTACAATGAGCTGGCGAATCGTCTATATGATTTTGATATCTAAAAAGATTAAAAAAGCTAATAAAATAAGGGCAGAGCAAATAAAATTAATCCTACATGTGAAAATTTGCATAGTAAAGTAGAAAACTAAAATTTTTTATCTCCAATAAAGGCAATTTAAAGAATAAATAATATTTCAAAAGACAATTATTTGGCAACTACTCCAAGTCATTTAGCTCAAATAAAAAGCTAATCTTAATTTAAAGAGAATAAATTAGTAAAATAAAATGAAAATAACTTCAATTAAAATTAAAATAACTTAACAATATAAAATGTGGATGAGCATATTAAAACTCTAAATGACTCTAATATACCCTTGTATCTTCAAAATATTGATGTACCTGGATTAGTTCAAACATAAAACTCCATTTAAATTAAATGTCATAAAAATATCACATAAGGTGAACAGCTAAAAATACTCAACAAGAATTCTGATTCCCCAAAATGTATGCAAGCAAACCAAAATAAACAGATTTTAATTTCCAATCCTTAATTTAAAACTTAAAAATATATTCAAGATATTAATAAAGAAAAGCTGTAATTAAGGAAAATAAAAACATAGAGTTCCTGCATTAAATTTAATTCAGAAAGTACTCCAGAATAAACTAAAAATTTAGTTAATTAAAGCTTAATAATTTCAAAAAAAACTAATGATCCACACAAATTAAGTAATTCTGCATAAATATTTTTGCAATCATAAATCAAATAAGTCATAGAAAGAAAAAGAAATTTATTGATAGACTTTAAATACTTCATGAATTAATTAACATGTGGTAAATTTTTTAATACTCCTGAAATTAAATTACTAAATAAAGCTTTTAGTTTAGTGAGCTAAGATCTAGATATATTTACAGTTTTGGAAAGATAAAAAGAAATAGATAAATTGAAAAAACTCTTCTTAAACGAAGATTAATTAGCCTTATTTAATTTTTTCCCAAAGCCCGTTATTAAAATAGTTGATGATAATGCTATCTTGAGTCTTTCGTAAATTAAGAAAGAGGAGGAAGAAATAGCACAAAGTGTTAAGATGATACAAAAAAATAAGAAAAATATAAGAACTAAAATAAAAAATTTTGGAATAATAGTAAAGGCTATAATTAGATTTAAGTAAGGAAGAAAAGCTAAAGTTTCTTGTTACTAAAAACTATTCAATCATTATCAGAATCTTTCTGAACAAACAACTGAAGAGTAAAATTAATAATTTTTTATATAAACTTTAAATTAAATATTTTTAATAGTGATTTTTAGTAGAAACTGAACAAAAACTTGATTAACCTTCTTGGAAAAGAAATGAAAGAAATCTTTTAAATGACAGATAAGTAATATGATTTTAATTTCGTATTTTAAATCTTTTATTTTAATTTAAAGAATTTAGTAAAAACGTGAACTATACCAGAAACAATTAAGACCTTAACAAAATAGTTAACCTTGCTAATTAGAACAAACAGTTGAAAAGTTCGTTAATGATATTGAGCCATATCAAAATAATCACTTTTAGTATGATTGTGTCTAAAAATTATAAAATGATAACAACGAATTTGGTTTAAATTAAAACAGCATAGAAAAGTATCCACATAAACTCAACTAGGCAGGATTAATTCTTTTTACAGATAATGAAAACAGCTTTTAATTTTCTTTAAGCTAAAAAAATAACTAATTGTAAATGAATTAATAATAATGATTATTACAAAGAAAATATTAACAATAGAGTGGACTGAAATTATTTTCAAGTTACTGAAACTAATTCATTTTTTTTAAATTTAGATTAATTAAATTATAAATTAGAATCCAATGTTATCAGTTTAAGCATTCAAATCTAAATTAAAGGATAAAATAATGACTGATCATCTCTTTATTCAAAAATAAATTCATTTGTATCAAGAGCTTCGTTTTTTCATATTGATAAAGAATTTATATATAAAGTAAATAATTTATTTATCTTATCCTTTTTAAATAAAGAAAATATGATAATGCTAAAGTTTTATATATCTATGAGCTACTATACAAAATTTAATAAATGTCTTATCAATTTTTCAATTTTACTTAAAGAAAAAATTATAATTCTAAATTAAAAAAATTAACGCAAACTTATAATAGAAAAAAAAAATACTTAAAATAATTAATTAATTTTTCAAATTCATTCATTTTAAGGAGAGTTATTTATTTTTTGTACTTCGTTTTAAAATATATTTGCAATATTATCTTCTTTTCTTTGTTTAGCTTCAATGCTTTCAGACTAATACAAATTTTAAGATTTTAATGGTTCTGGTTTTATACCATCTAAATAACTGGCTTATTCTTATCAGTTAATTTCTGACTAATTTTTGTTTTTAAAAAAAAATTCTGTAATTTTATTTTCTAAATTCATATTTTCAAGTTCCTAATTAAAACATTGTCTTACTTAATTTAATGTATTTATTTCCTAATGGTCCATTATTGTTGTTCCTTATTCTATGGTTTTTGTTGATTTTTTATCTAAATTAAAAATTTGGCCTTGTTATTAGTGAGGTATTATGCTGCTAAGTCCAGTTTATTACTTTTAATTTATTAAATTTATTTTTATATTAAAATTTTACCTTAACAAACTTGCATGAATGGACTATCAAAAATTATATTTGACATATTATTTGATAATTGATTTACGCTGTTTCTGTTAAGCATGAGAGATTGTTAATTAGTACTCTATAATTCTTCAAATTAATATTTTTAATTTTCCTAATTAAAGTCATATTTAGTACTTCTGTTGTCTATTTTTACACTACCTTTTGGTGTGAATATAATATAATTTAGAATATCAAATGAGCTAAATAAAATTTACTTATTGAATATTTCATTTTATTAATTGAATAGCTTATCATGAACTTTAGCTTTTTAGTGAAAAATGCCAACAAGACTACTACTTGATTATAATTGAGAACTTTAAACATTTTCTTTCGAATTTGATAGTTAAGAAGATAAACCAAAAATTTTATCTCTAATTATTCCTCTTTCTTTATCTACTTTTATATTTTACTGAAGTTTTTTAATTTTTTTCCAGTTAAAGAATGTTTTTATGCTAATGTTTTTTTAAATATGTAAAAATTGTTTTAAGCATGAGCATAATTAAGATATTTTTTCTTTAATATTATCAAACTATTTTTTGAAAGTTATCTAAATTTTAGCTTTTATAACTTCAAAAAACATAAAAGCAAGGTAACTATTGTGTATCCCTAGCAGTATAATATAAAATATCTAGGACTAAACAGTATCAGGTTTACTATATAAAAATATATTCATAAGGACTAATATAATTATCACAACTATTGAATTTCTATCTGTTTATTAAAAGTATATCATTTAATAAAGAGTATATTTTACTAATACTACTAAATAAAGTATGAAAACTATAAGTGCTATCACCAATTTGTTTGCTTTTATATAAATAGTTCATATAAATTAAAAATAAATAAATTATTTTAAATTAAAAATTTTAAATTAATTCAGATAAATTCAAAAATATTTACAATTTATTAAATTAACTAAGTAAATTAAAAAAAATAATTGTTTAGTGTATTTAATTTTTTAAATTATCAATTCATTTATATTAATTTAGGTATTTGAAAATTAATTTTTTTATTTATTTTTGTTGAAGTAAAAATAAAATGATTACTGTAAGGATCTCCATAAAAGTTATAGATACAAACGATTACTATTTTCATATAACTTTTTACAAATTCCCAATAAAAATTTTTTGCTTTATAATCTTTATAGAGGAATCCATAAATAAATTAGCCTTATCTTAGCATGGTCTAACTTATCTTTATTTTTATTGAGCTTAAATAAAAGAAAAAAAGGAATAACAAACCCCCAAATTAAAAGACCTGACATTAAAATAAATCCTATAAATTTCTTGTGAATTTGAGTATAACACTTGAAAGAAATATCTGATAAAATATATTTTTATTAATCCATTTCTCTGCATAACATAGCACCTAGTAAGTTTTATATCATATTTGGTTGCATGAATATAAAAAAAAGACCAAACCACTATAAATATATGACTATTTAAAATAAGTAAAAATATTTTAAATCAAAATCATCTTAATTACCACTTTTGCAAATATTGGTTTTTAAGGATTAATAAATTGCAGCATTTATATAGATGTGTTTGCATTTAATTAAAATTTTTATTTTTATTTGTTTTTGTACCTTTTTTATTAATTTTATCAAATCAATCAGCTTTTTTATATATTATTTATAATTTTCCTTTTCCAAAACAAAAAAATTTATTTTAAGAGTGTAAAAATTTGATTTTTTAAATACTTTTAAATTAATTCTTCTTCACAAAAATACAAAATTTTTCATTTTGTAGGATATTTATAACAAAAATTATTACCATTTTTTTGAATTTTATTGTGTTTATAAAAGAAAAATGGTGTTTCAAAATTTAAATTTATTTTACATTCACAGATTTATGTCGATAAAAATAAAATTTGTAATACTTAAAAATAATTAATCATATTTTATAAATAAAGCTTAATATTTTTCCTAAATTCATACATTTGCTTCCAGATCAATTATTTATTTCTCTATCTTTTTCTTGATTTTTAAGTTTATTTGTAATAGCTTCATTTTGTCTTTGTGGTGTTTCTCTGTTTTCTGGATACAATAAGTTTTAAAAATTTAATAAATCTGATTTTACACTATCTAAATCATAAACTTATTAGTCATTTTATGACTAATTTTCATTTTATTAGGAAAATACTTTAATTGTATTTCCGAAATTTAAATTTTCAAATCCTTAACCAAAACTTTGAGATTTTATTCTTCCTTAATCTGCTGTGTGTATTGTCTAATGATCCATTATAATTGTTCCTTGATTTATAATTTTTGTTGATTTTTTATCAAACTTAAAGCTTTTAACTTTTTTATAGCAAGTAAGCACACTGCTTTGTGCAGTTTATTGCTTTCTATATTCAAAAGAGTCTTCGGTTTAAATACCAAAGTAGTTTTTTGGTGTAAATATTTGATTATATATTTAATTATCATCTGTAAAATCCTTATTTTTTAAATGGTCTTTTTCTATGGATTATAAATCATGAGTAGATTTTACTTATTTTATACTTTATTATTTAATACTTTTAACATCTTCTTTTAGGGAACTTAATTATTATAATTCTATATTTATATCATTCGGATTATTAATTTCAATTGGTTATATTTAATCAGATTAATTATTTAAATCTAATGGATCTATATATTAGTTTTAATGGATATATTTTTAATATTGACCAAAATAATCTTGATTTTGAGGAGTAAATATATTGTCTATTTATGGGGTTTCTTGACTCTATACATTACAAAAATCAGACATTAACTTTGATTAATTTATAATTTGCTCTTTTATTTCATCATTTTACTCTAATTTGATCATATCAAATTACTTTTGAGAACAATTCTTTTATTTAAAGTTATTCTTTTAATAAAATTTTATTTTAGTTAATTAATTTACCATTTCTTCATAACTAATATTTTAAAATTCCTTTTTAAAGTAACTTTATGAGGCACAAATTTCTAAATTACAAGGAGGCTTTTGTTTTATTTAATAATTAATTGAATCAATATCAGAATTAGCTACTTAATCTATTTCTATTTATTCTTCCTATTCTTCTTATTTCATTGGTTTTTATTCTGAAAAAATATTATTTGGTTCATTTTTTGATATAATTAAAGGACTTTCCAATAATGCTAAATAATTTTCAATAGTTCTACTCTAATCTATACTACCAATTATCTAATTTTATATTATTTATAATGATTAATTACTTAAATTCTATTACTTCAATTATTAGTTTAAAATTAATTGCGAAGTAAGATTATTCGATAAAGTTATATTTGTTGATTAAGTCACTCTTTTTAAGCTTTTGCTAATAAAGCCTTCCCTTTTAACTAAATTGCTATTATTTAAGTTTAAACTCTATATCACCATTTATTCTTAATTTTAATTGTTTAAAAGAGGTGACAAATTGTTATTGTTGCTATTATTTGATGTGCTTCCAAACTTAACTTAGTTCTCATTTATTTTGTCTATTAAATTAGATATGAGTTAAATTATTTATTTAAATTAAAACTTTACCTTTAGAAATTTATACATATGGACTTCCAAAAAGTATAGTTTAGTTATTGATTGATATTGATATCTGGTTGATGTTATTATTGTTAATCTAGAGAGATTATTAATTTAATGTATCTGATTTGTCTAATTAAATTATATTTTTTTTCTTACTTAATTCAAGATTATTACTGCTATTATCAATTTTTATGTTTTCTGTTAGATTAAGTAAAATATAATTTAGTATTTAAAATCTTTTAAATCAAATTTACGTTGAAAATAAAATTAACTAATTAAATTAATAAAAAAATATTAACCTTATCTAACTTCATTGTCGCTCAATTTAAGAAGAGGACTTTAAATAATACTTTATGAGCTTACTATTTAACTAGATAAACCAAAAATTTTATCTCTTATTATTCCTCTTTGTTTATCCTCTTTTATGTTATGAAGAAGGTTTCTAATTTTTTTCCAGTTTAAGAATGTTGTTAAGTGTATGTTTTTTTAAATTTTAAAAAATGGTTTTAAGCATGAACAATATTAAGATAATTTTTCTTTAATTTTATCAAACTATTTTTTGAAAGTTATCTAAATTTTAGCTTTTATAACTTCAAAAAACATAAAAGTAAGATAACCATTATGTATTCCTAGCAGTATAATATAAAATATGTAGGATTAAACAGTATCAGGTTTGTTATATAAGTTAATATTCATAAGGACTAATATAATTATAACCACCATTGAATTTCTATCTGTTTTTTAGAAGTATATCATTTAATAAGGAGTAAATTTTACTAACACTACTAAATAAAGTATGAAAACTATAAGTGCCATCACCAATTTGTTTGCTTTTAATATAAGATAAATAGATGTGAATATCAAGTTAAATCTTATAAAATAACTAATATTGATTCATATAAAAATTAATAATCACTTACAGCAGTATGGTAAAACAAAAATAAAAAAATATTGTTTTTTATTTTTCATATTTGAAGTTTTTCAATACTTTTTTTATTTATTTTCTTTCAAAAAAAATAAAAAGATAATGTAAAATAAAATAATTACTGTAAGAATCTCCATAAAAATTATAGATGCAAACGATTACTATTTTCATATAACTTTTTACAAACTCCCAATAAAAGTTTTTTGTTTTATAATCTTAATAGAGGAATCCATAAATTAGTCTTAACTTAGCATGATCTAGCTTATCTTTATTTTTATTCAGCTTATATAAAATAAAAAAAGGAATAACAAATCCCCAAATTAAAAGACCTGGCATTAAAATAAATCCTATAAATTTCATGTGAATTGGTGTGTAGCACTTGAAAGAAATATCTGATAAAATATATTTTTAATTATCAATTTCTCTGCATGACATAGCACCTAGTAAGTTTTATATCATATTTGGTTGCATAAATATGAACAAAAAGACCAAACCACTGTAAATATAAGACTTTTCAAAATAAAATTAGTTTATTAAAATAAAAATGAATTTTAAATAATTAATTTACTATATTGTGTCTCATAAATTTAAGTTTTAAAAATATGATGTATATAATTAACATTCCTGCTAAATATAAAAATGGTATGCTTAAACCCCAAAGTATTCTCATAAAAACAATTGGAATATCCTACTAATTTAAATTTATAAGATAACAGTCCAATGTATATATCATATTTTAAACAGGACTACCTTTTAAATAAATAGATAATTAATAATATTTTTTTAAAAGTGAATTACCAACATATTCTGGGAAAAAAGTTAACCATGAAGGAACAGAAACTTTTACTGTGTTAACTAATTGTGAAATTTAAACGTAATTCATCATTGCCTTCATATTCATATTAGTAGTGTCTAGATACGATGATTTACTCACAGGAGCAAATTTAAGTTTTCTTAGATAATAGCCTATAACAATCATTTCACTAATATCCCATGCAATTCTGATATTTATTAGCACATAAACAACCATTCCTAAAGCTATGAATATTGTTGGAACTAAATTAATAGCCTTTAATAGTTTTGAACACTCCTTACAGTCAAAAGATCCATCAGTATAGTATTTTTAATTCCAAAATTTTCCTTAAATATCGCATTACTCACATAGCGGACCTATATGACCTTCTAAGCAATATCCTTACTCCTAAATTCCAACACAGTTAGATAACTTATTTGAACACTCTACAATAGAGTCACTTAGGTTTGTTGATTTCCAATAACCCTGCTTTAATGTCATTTAGTCCCTATAGCAGTGTTCAGCCTAATCTGGACATCTTATGCATTATTAATCTAAATATTTTTCTATGAAAAAGTTTACAATGTATTTGGATTGCAATTTTATAAATATAAGTTTACTTTTATCAGGCTCTATTATGGAGTATGTTTGATCCAAACACTCTTGACAGTAGTAAATACTTCCTTGTAATCTGTAAAGTTCACCTATAATACATTCTCTAAAATCAACAATGAATGTTATGTGGAAAGGACCTTTAAAAAAAATTATAAATTATATTATTTAGAAAAGTAACAAATTGTAAAAAAGTAAAACTGACCTGATTTAATATCACGGCTTTATAGTGTGGGATATGGTACTTTTAGTATTGATTCACTTTCTATGTAAAACATATTTTATGTTTAAGGATTTGCTATTACTTGCATTTATGATATTTAAAATGATTTTGATGTACTATTAAAATTTAAGTAGTCTGTTATATACTATCCAAATATTTTAATATTTGTGTTATTTGTACCTGCTCTGATGTTAAACTGCATAATTTCGCTTTAGATTAATGGAGGATACATGTTTTTTTTTACTAATTCAAGGTCAAAGTAGAGAGGATTATTTTCATCATCCAACAACTAAAACTGGAAGTTGAAATATTGCCCACTTTAAAATCTGTTTACAGAGCAAGTTTAAAGGTTAAGTTTATCATTTTTTACAGAATCTTGCAATCCTTCATTTCCAGTTATATCTAAATAGACTACACTTGACTACAAAATTTTTATATTACTTACATATGAACCATAGTTATTGCTATGAATTGTTGCCTTGTTCATAGTAATTATATTTTAAACAACATTTAGATTTCTTTTCTTATAGAAAAGATCACTGTTTAACTTATTCTTCATCATGTAAATAAAAACAGGTTCAATTTTTAAATACCTTATGCCACCACCTATCATTGCTTGATTATACTAAATAGTTGAATTTTACATAAAGAGATTTGTTGTATCTAAATAAATCGCTCCTCCATTCAGAGTTGCATTATTATTTATAAATATTGAATTTTAAATTAAAGTGAGATTATAGTATGAGTCTGAAATAGACAAGCCCCCTCCATTTAAAGCTGAGCAAAAAGTAAACTGAGTAAAATTAATCAGTAACTATTAAGCCTCAATAACTTAAAGAGCACCTCCATTACATACAGAGCAACTTATATTTTTAAATGTAGTGTAAATAACTTGATAAGAATTACCTCTTAGTTATATTAAAGGAGACTATAAATTTGAGTTGTTTTCAAACGTGCTATTTGATAGAGAAAATGTTCCTTAATATTAGTAGTAAGTATGGAAATTTGATGTATATGAGTTTAAAACCTAAGAAAAGGATACCCTATCTAAGTAACTTACATTTACTTGCTATAATTCAAAATCATATACAGATTAAGATTAAATAATATATAAATGTTACTAGATTTATGCACTACTTAGCTACTTAAAAGTTATATTTATAAAATTGCTATTCTGAATAGATATTTACTTAACATTTTTAAATACAATCAAGTCTTTATTTTCTGTTTATGAAGCTACTATAGTTATTTAATCTATAATTAGGTTATTTATATACACATAATTTACTTTTTCAAAAGTAAACAAGTATGATCCATCATATAAATATATATTTTGAATATAGAAGTTGTTTATGTAAATAGTATCTGAGTTTGAAATATTAAATAGAAGACTTTAACCTTTAAGATCCAAAGATGAGATGGATATATTTTCAAGTATCATACTTTATAAATTACTCAACTAAAATTAAAACTAATTTCCTGTGTTTTTCAAAACCACATTTTCAAAAGTAATGTTTTTAGATGCAGGATTAAATAGTACTAACTGTGCCTAACTAATGTCAAAATCATAATTCCTTACCTATAACAGAGTTAGCTAATTTAAGGAAAACGAGTCTGTAATAATATTCATTAAGGCTCTTTAGTTAGAACCAGAATAAACTACTTATGAATTCAAGCTAATGAGTTAAGGATCATAATAAAACTTTTAAGTTACTTCAATCTATATTTTAAATTTCATAAATAAATTTAAATATTTTATAGAATTACAGTTTTATTCTTAGTTCCCCTCTAAAATAATATTTTTTTGATACGTATATAATAATGTTAAAAATTTGATGGTTAGAATAGGGGAAGAAGTAGGGTTTTTCAATTTTATTAGGTAATTATAGAAGTTTTTTAAAGCTATCACATTAAACTTAATAGTGATAGAGTACTGTGCTCTGACTCCCCCCCCAGATTATATTTAATAAATTATTAAATTTTGAAATATTATTCCTTAAAGTTAATTAAAATTTTTTTGTTTTAGAAACTCAATATTAAAGAATGTTTAAAAAGAAAAATTTATAACAAATATGACTATAAAAACTTAAAGAATTATAAAAGTAAATATTATGAAATATTTATATTACCTAAAAAAGGGTTTATTACATCTGTAAATTCAAGAGGTTGAAAGAGGACTAAAATGACATTAAAGAAGACTAAATTTTATCTAAAGTATTAGCAGAAGGAAGCTCATAATAGCATTTAAGTTAACTTAAGGATGAAGAAGAAGGTGTATTTTAAGATGAGCTATTAAAATTTTAAATGAAAAAATTGTAATTAAAGTAAACTCCGTTTGATATACCTATAACCTAAGTTTAATAATTATTAGTTGTTGGATTAAATATTTAAGTTTTAGTGGCTAGATTTGGAAAGGATTAGTAAAATTTATTGATCAACCCCCAAGTATTAGTTGATGGATTTTGCTTAAAAATAGAAAATGAATCGTATTAAGTTACATAAGGAAATATTTAACCTTAAATATTTAGAATTTCAAATGATTTTAGGGTTTATAATAAGTTGGAATCTCTAATACTCAACTATAACTTTAATGTATCCAAACTATAAGTGTTAATTTAAAAATAAGCTTATACTATTAACTGACTATTTTAAATCTTCATAACTAAATGCTAAGCTTTTGTTGGTGGAGGGATGATTGTTATTAGCTATGGAGTACTTAATTAAATTTTATTATTGTCAGAAGTAACATTATAAGTATAAACCCTTATTTTTGGTATTATTTCACGAACATTAAGGATAAATATTCTGTTATATTAGAAATCAAATAACATTGAGTTTACTGGGTCTGTATTATCAATTTCAATGCTCCTCGCTTAGCTATTCATATAATCGCTTTGTGTTGCAAAATCTAAATAGAATATCATAAACCCAGTTTCTAAATGATGAATTAAAATTGAGTTTATATTATCATAATTAATGAAATTTAAATTTTTTATGCTAGAGTATTACATCAAAAGTTTATCAGCTATTACATCTATTCTGTATATAGATGAGTTCATTAAGAAAACAATAATTTAATTTAAGTTAGAAATTGACACAATTAACTTAACTTTGCTTGTAAATTAAAAATTAAATGATTGAATTTAAGTCAAAGGATTATACGACAACTTTATAAGCTTAAAATAAAAGTTTTCACAAAAAATAAATTTGTCAAAAAAATAAGCATTTTTTATCTCAAAATTAACCTAATAAAGTTATTACAAATTACTAGCGCTTTCACTAAATTAAATTATCTACTGATCAGTAATAACATAAAAAAATGAATTTTAAAAGCTTGTTTAACGTACTAAACTTAAACTCTAAACAAACTTTGCTTGCTGTGTTTAATTTCCAAACTACCATGCATTATTATCAGTGTCTATATAATATAGCATGCTAGTATTTTAACTGTAAAAGTAACTTGGTTATTTTTATTGAACCATACTTAGTGCTATTTTGTCAGTATTAAATGAAAAATCCATCTAATATATTCTATTTTTTTTATAAAAATGATTAATTTATTAAACACATTAAAAATTTTACTATATTAATAAATAATATACACTAAGACATATGCATCTATCAGACACATTAGATTATGCTCTTTAATAAGCATAGCTTTTTTGAGAGGTGGATTATACTAAGAGGTAAAATAATTTGTGTAAGAAAAAGTTCTCACATCAACTGTGAAAATATTAAAAAGTTCAGTTTTATAAATTATCAATTAATAATGCTCTTCATCTAGAAAAACCATATTAACGTTTCCATTTTCAATGTACTATGAATTAAGAATTTATTTAATTAAAACTCCAGTTGAAAGTCGATGCACAGCCAGTCTATAACTTAAAATATTTTTGTACTATTCACTGTATAAATAAATATGGTCCATCTTTTCAAATACTATAAAATTAGTTATTAGAGGATTTTGTGTAGAAATAGATAAAATAAATTATTAAGTCTTTCTATCCATAATCACTAATAATGTATACTAAAAAGAATAACTTTTAGCATTAATATATTTCATTCCAAGGATATTATCAGTGTGATAGCTAAGTTACTATTCATAAGCAAATGTATGAAAATTATAGGTTTGAAGTGAATAAATCATATTAATTAAGACTTTTACATAAAACTTACCATAAACTAGATCAAGGTCAACATATAAATCTATCATGTTTGGTATTGTGTAAGACGTGTAAGTATTTTACTTAATAGGAGGATTAGCACTAGGAATATCACAATAGTAATGCATGAATAAATTTTGATTATTATTTATAGAAATAATTCTTTTATTGATAGGATCATGATAATAAGATACAATTTGATATGGTATTTGTTAATCAGGTGGAATAGAAGCAATACTTGCATTATACTTTGCTTATTCTAAAATATGAGTATTAATTGTATACAAAAGCGTTTAATTTGAATATTGCCATACTGTAAAAATCATATCGCTAGAATAACTTATAATAATATCAACATCTAAATCTAAAAAAGCATTTAAAACATTTTAAGTTGATCCTCCTTGAAATTAACTCATGCCTGTACCATTCATATCCCATCTATAAAAATTATTTGTTGTATCATTACTATAAGAGACAATCCAGTTATTATTTGTATCAATAATGATATCATTTATAGTTGATTAATGAGCTCCTGAATATATTTTTGGTTTGGTCATAGTAGTTGTGTCTATTTGGTGAATATTCTTTTAATAAAATTAAAATTAAGAAAATATTGATTTAGACAATTAATTTAAGCCTTAAATATAAGAGTAGTAAATATTTTTTGTAAATTTTTAATGGTTTTGAATTTTTTAAATTTTGATTATCATTTAGATAATTTGAAAATAAAAAACCTTACATTATTAAAGGCATAAATAGAACGATCATTTTAATTATAATAAATTCCATTAAAGTAAAGTTCATCATCTATGTATGCAAAATAATTAGTTGAGATTCCACCTGAATAAATGTTTCCGTTTTCAAAACCTAAATATAGCTTCATAGTAATGGGATCTATAGCTATACTTGAAATTTTATCAGCAAATGTAAGAAGCATTTAATTATTGTATTGAAAGCCGAATGAAATAACCTTTTAATGTTAAAAAATTAAATACTATACTAAATATTTAAATTATATTACTTGGTTTTGTATTGCTGGAAAAGCTGTATTTTGTACAAAAAAATGCTATTCAGGATTAGAAAGAGGGGCACATAATTTTAAAGGAACTGAAGCAGCAAAAGTATATGTACCATAAATGAAAAGTGTATTATCATACCAATAAAAGTAAGCAATATTATAATCCTGCTGGTAAACCATAAAATTTTTAGTAACCACATCTACACTAATAGCAACTGGTTCATTTATTGAGTATCTTCTAACACCAGAAAAAAGAAAAGGATATATATACAAAATATTATTTGAAACAGTTGAAAAAAAAAGATATTTAATTTCAGGGTAATATTTCGCAAAGCCTAGTACTCCGCTATATGAATTAGTCATCAAAATAGCTTTAGTGGCAAGATTCATAATTATTACTCCGCCTTAATTAGCTCTTATGAAATAGGCATAGTCTATTCCATTATTATTTTCAAGAACTGCATAATAAAAACTATCATTAATGACTGAAGTAAAATTCATCGTAATAAAATTATAAACTTTCAATTACTATGCATTATTGAAGGCAATAAAAGTATTTTTGTACACAAACATATTATTTATTGACAAAGTTTTTAAATCTAAAGATAGAGTAGCATTTATTGTAACACTGAAAGGATTATAATTCCATAAAACTATAGTATTGTCATTATAGAGGCATGCTAATAAGTTAGGTATAACTATAGTCATATCTAATATCTATCTAAAGCAATACTGATCTAATAAAATATTACATGAAGGATGATATTGTTCTATTACTAATCTGTAGTCTGTTACATTTCCTTGATTTTCTAAGATTCTTTCTTCCCATATCTTAAAGCTTCCGTCATTCGAGTAAGTGATAACCCTATCGTAGAGCCTATCAAACAAAATTCCATTCACTGAATCAGTGTGATACTTCATTTTAGTTTTGATATTTTTCTTCTTATCAGTAATCTACATTTAGACTGGATGTTACTTAGGATCTTAAGGAAGCAGATTTAATTATAAAATAGTTAATTCTGAAGAGAGAATAAGTAAATTTTAATTATTAACTACAACTTGATTTACTGGATTTAATTTAGTGAAAAATAAATTATATTAGTAAATTAAAATAATTCCTGTATTATCATCAAATTAATTTATTGACACATTTCCATTAGAAGAAATAAAAACAAAGTAATTATTTGTAATAAATCTATACTAATTATCTGAATTTACTTAAGAAATGTATGAGTATATCTATTAATTTGTATCATAAATATATAAAATCACTTCTGAAATACTACAGCTAAAGAAATAAATAATATTTGGTATTTAAGGGGATGGATTTGCTAATATTTATTAAATAGGATGGCCATGATAAGTTTGAATTTCAGTGCAATTAAAGCTATTATATATAAATAATAAGTAATGATTATCTATTTATATAAGATAGCTTGAATTAGATAGTTGTAGCACTAAGTTAACAGGACTATTAAATGAACACTAATATTAGAAATTGTCTGGTTAATCGATGCTAATCCAAACAACGATCTTTTAGTCCTATCCATAGCTTATAAGCTAATAATTTGGTAAAATTAAAATTCCAGTAATTGATTTTATATGGGCGTTACTAAACAATTTATAGGATGAGCTAATTAATGTAGAAGTAGTTTACTGCTAATATATTGGTTAGTTTACTATTTCAGACATATAAACTACTGCGAAATTATTTAATGTATCAGTATTCTCCATTAAAATAACATAATCCTTTGCTATTTAAGTTAATTTATAATATCCTACTAAGGTGTTAGGCAATAATATTTTAAATAATATTTAATTGTAATTTAAATTCCATATTATCAGTTGTGTTCTACTAACTGATATAAGAATTTCTTAACCTTGAGGGAACTATGCCTGCTAAATTGATGTATTCCCTAGATCATTAATTTTATTTACCCTTAAATTACGCATACCAATAATTCCATCATCATGTCCTATTAATTACCCTATAAGCTAGTAATTTTGATTGTCTAATATGATTATGTTTGAGCTATAATTTCCTCCAACCATACCTTAAACTATTATTTTGCCTTAAGATGATGAAATCAAGCTTAAAAATACATCAAAAAAATTTTAACCTTGCTAATTCATTGTTGGACAAGGTAAGAGAGGTTTGCATGAGCTTGTTTATGAGTCAGAATAGTAAGAAATAGGGCAGATAGATTAACAAGAATTAGATTGAACATCATATGATTAACCAAAGTTGCAATAAGGAAGGCATGTCTGACTATTTTAATCTAACCTGTAACCACTATTACATTAAGAGCATTACAAACTATGGTTGCATATAAAGCAGTTTTAAGGGCAGTTTTAGCCTAAAACTTTAGCTGATTTATACAAAATATTTACTAAAATAAAAGTAATTACTATCAACTACATCTAATCTATTTTTTTACAAATATTTTTGTTATTAATTTATTATTAGTTATTAATTTAAAAAAATGAATATTATTGTAAAAAATCAATTAATAAAAAATATTAAATTTCAAATCAATTAAATAAGAAAAAAATTTTTAATAGAGAGAATAGTTACTCCAAAAATTAACATATAAATAGAAAATAGATTATACCAGAATCACTTTATTAAAACCTTAGATTAACTTTCTTCCTTTATTTTACTTTTCAAATTGTATATTTATTTAGTCTATAAATTTAATTTGATAAATTACAAAAATTTTTTTTGCAAACATTTATTATGTTAATAATAAATTTGAGGGAGGAGCTTAACATTGATTATTTAAAGAAGAAATAATTAGATTGTAAGGCATTAAAAAAATTGTACCCTTTTAAAGTAGTTTTAAATTTAAATAGAATAACAAAAGTTAATAACTAAATAAAATGGTAAAATATTTTAAATTAGAATCCTTATATTTAATAAATATATAAATATTATATTGATTATTTATATTTACTTTTTGAAAATATATTTAAAATATATTGATATTATGATTATCTCTACTGGTTGAATTTCTAAAATGAAACAAAATGTAAAATAATTCAAGAGATTCGCTTGCCTTTAATAAAAAATATCAAATTTAAAGCCAATTAAATATGAAAAAGTTTTTAATAGACATAATAGTTATTCCAAGAACTAGCATATAAATAGAAAATAATTTATATCTAAATCACTTTATTAAAGCTTTTTATTACATTATTAAAATTTTATTACTTATTTAGTTTATAAATTTAATTTGATAAATTGCAAAATTTTTTTTGTGTACATAAATGTTTTTATGTTAATAGTAAATTTGAGGGAGGAGCTTAACATTCATTATTTAAACAAGAAATAATTAGATTTTAAGGAATAAAAAAAAGTTTACCCTTTTAAAGTAGTTTTATGTTAAAATAGAATAACAAAAGTTAATAACTAAATAAAATGGTAAAGTATTTTAAATTAGAATCCTTATATTTATAAATATATAAATATTATATAACTTGTTATATTTATTATTTATATTTACTTTTTGAAAATATATTGATATTATGATTATCTCTACTGGTTGAATTTCTAAAATGAAACAAAATGTAAATATAATAATTCAAGAAACAACTCAATATGATTCTCTTGCATTTAATAAAAAATATCAAATTTAAAGTCAATTACATATGAAGAAGTTTTTAATAGAGAGAATAGTTATTCCAAGAAATAACATATAAATAGAAAATAAATTATATCTAAATCAGTTTATTAAAATTTTAGATTACTTTATTTAATTTTTTACTTATTTAGTTGATAAATTTAATTTGATAAATTGCAAAAATAATGTTTTTATGTTAATAATAAATTTGAGGGAGGAGCTTAACATTCATTATTTAAACAAGAAATAATTAGATTTTAAGGAATAAAATAAAGTTTACCCTTTTAAAGTAGTTTTAAGTTTAAATAGAATAATAAAAGTTAATAACTAAATTAACTTACTAAATATAATGGTAAAATATTTTAAATTAAAATCCGTATAATATTAGTAATATATAAATATTATGTAACTTGTTATATTTATTATTTATATTTATTTTTTGAAAATATATTTGAAAAATATTGATATTATAATTATCTCCACTTCCACTGGTTGAATTTCTTAAGCAAAACAAAATGTAACACAATTCAAGAAACATCTCAAAAACATTCGCTAGCCTAAAATTCTTATCTCAATCAATCAATTATTTATTTCTAAAATTTAGCTTTATATTTACTATTTTTGATTTGTGTACAAAAAAAATAAAATATGTTAGATAAATTATATATTTAAATATTCAAAAATAAATTCAATAAATATTTTTATTTAAATTGTTCTTTATAAATATTATATGTACATCAAAAGAGGACTTTTTTTCTACCTAATAAATAAATGCTTAAAATAAATATCTGTACTATTACAAGAGTTTTTCATCAAAGTTCATATGTTTTTGAGTGAAGAAGGATTGTAGCATAATACTAATTAAAAATTATTTATAGTATACAGTAAATTATAAATTTGGAGGAAAAGTGGAAATAAATTAATATCTAAAAAATACATTAAAGTTTTAAAATTTATTAATAACAATTTATTGAAAAATTTTTTCTAAATAAAATAAAATATTTAAAATAATTATTTTCTTTTAATAAATAATTTTCTTATTTCAAATTCATAAATTTACATTAGATTTTCTTCACTAAATCAAATAAAAATCAAAAATAAATGCTCATTAATTATAAAATTTTCTTTCTTTTAATCTTTAATTTAGTTTTTTTAAATAAGAATAATACTGGCCTTTCTTATATAGAAGCAGGTAGATGAATGAGTAAATGAATCAATAAAAATAATTGAATTTATAAAGAAATATAATATAAGCAATAAGATAGCTATTGAGGTCACTATCATATTAAATTTTATTTATATACATAATTTAGATTACATCTCATTTAATTATATATGATTATGAATATTTTTCTCCATCCCATACCTTCAATTTATATCTCAAAGACCTACAAGCTGGTCCTATATAACCTCTAAGACAACCATATTTGTTAGTTTTATCTTCATCATTACAAGCAATAAAAATAGAAAAGCATTAAATTATTTCAGAAGAGTTTTAATTCTTTCTCCAATATTCATATTTTAGGATAATTTTATTATTTTAGCATATATATGTAGAATCTGAACATTTTTAGCACTCTGTTTTATTAAAATTTTTATTTGTTTATTAATTTGTATTCTATTATGATATATTGTCAAACTAAAACTAGTCTTAAGTAGGATCAGTCAGTGAGAACTACCCAGAAGGACATGAATAGCAGCTATTAATATTATTTCCGTTTATTTAAACTACTAATTCTCATATAAATCTATAACTAAATTAAAAACATAGCTGTACTTTAAAGAGTACTAAGATTGATTGTTAAATATAATGTTTAGGGCATGCTTGATTTTTTATATTTAATTAAATAAAAATTAATTATTTTTTTAATCAAAATCCTAAATTTTTATGATATTATATCAAATTAAATGATATTCAATTCCTCTATATTATTGACGTAGGATAAGAATTCTGCTAAAACTTTAAAAGTATAAAATTTAAAAATGTTGTTTTTTTGAATTATTGTAATTGCAGATTTTTTTTTATAATAGAGAGATTAATATAATATTAAATAAATTTATATAATAGTATTTAATATATATTTATGTATTTTGTATGAAGTTTATAATAATTTAAATAAATTTTAAAATTTTACTTTTTATAAAAATTTTATACCTTGAGTTGATCCTTAAATTTTATATTCTGCTCATTTTGTTTGAGACACCCTATATGTTGTATATCTATGAGCTACTATACAAAATTTAATAAATGTCTTATCACCGTTTCAATTTTATTAAATGAAAAAATTATAATTCTAAATTAAAAAAATTATCACAAACTTATAACAGAAAAAAAAAAATACTTAAATTAATTAATTTTTCATAAATTTCATTCATTTTAAGAGGAGTTATTTATTTTTTGTTCTTCGCTTTAAAATACATTTCCAATAATCTCTTCATTTCTTTGTTTAGCTTAACTGCTTTCAGACTAAGATAAACTTTCAGATTTTAATTGTTCTGGTTTTATGCCATCTAAATCACTGGCTTATTCTTATTAGTTAATTTCTGACTAATTTACGTTTTTAAAAGAAAATTCTGTAATTTTATTTTCTAAATTCATGTTTTCAAGTTCTTAATTAAAACTTTGTATTACTTAATTTAATGTATTTATTTCCTATTAATCCATTATTATTTTTCCTTATTCTATGATTTTTGTTTATTTTTTATCTAAATTAAAACTTTGGCCATATATATAATGAGGCATTATGCTGCTAACTCCAGTTTATTACTTTTAATATTCAAAATTTTCCTCAGCTTAAAAGCTAAAAGAGCTTTTTTGTGTAAATATTTGGTTTTTTGTTTAATTATCAGTAATTATATCCTTGTTATTTAAAAGATCTTTTTATTTCGATTCTAAATCTTCAATATATTTTATTTATTCTATACTTTATTATTTATTACTCTCCTCTTATAGGGAACCTAATTCTTATAATTCTATGTTTATACCATTTGATTTATTGTTTTCAATTGGTTATTTTTATCCAGATTAGCTATTTAAATCTAAATGATCGATTTATTTGAAGTAATTTTAATATTACTTAAAATAATCATGAGATTGTGGAGTAATTTGGTAGTCATTTTATTGAGACTCTTAACTCTCTACATCATAAAAATCAGACATTTATTATTATTAATTTATACTTTATTCATTTATTTCATCATTTTACTCTAATCTGATCATATCAAATTATTTTAGAGAATTATTCTTTTATTTTAAATTTATTTTTTTATCAAAAAATTTATATTTAATTAAGAAATTTACCATATATTCAGAGCTGATACTTTCAACTTCTTTAGAAAATTAATTTTCAATGGTGCTAATCTCTAAAAAGAAAGGTGATTTTGATTTTACTTTGGAATTAATTGAATCAGTTACAGACTCAAAATAATTGGTATCTGCTTTTAGATCTTCATTTTTTGTTTCTTCTTTTTGATCCACCTTTTATTCTAAAAATATATAATTTGTCTCTTTTTGGGGAATCATTAAAGGACTCTCTTAAAAAGGTAACTAGTTTTCAATAGCTTTACTTTAATCTATACATTTAAATATAGAATTTTATAGGAAGTTCTCAGATTTATTATTTAAATCCTTTTGATTTAGCTATTAATTTGATTAATCTATATTTGTAAACAAGCTCACTCTTTTTAAATTTTTAATAATCAAGCTTTCTCTTTTAATGAAATTGATATTACTTGAATTAAAACTTTACATCATTATTTATTCTTAGCTTAAATTTTATAAGTGAGAAGATTAATCTATATTGTAATTTCCAATACTACTAGTCTTAAATTCGCTCTCTATGATTTCGTCTATTAATTTTTTATTTATTAAATTTATTTTTTATATTAAAATTTTACCTTAACAAACTTGTATGAATGGACTATCAAAAGTTATATTTGACATATAATTTGATAATTGATTTATGCTGTTGTTGTTAAGCAAGAGAGATTGTTAATTAGTACTCTATAATTTATCAAATTAATATTTTTAATTTTCCTAATTAAAGTCATATTTAGTACTGCTGTTGTCCATTTTAACACTACCTGTTGGTTTAAATAAAATATAATTTAGAATATCAAATAAGCTAAATAAAATTTACTTATTGAATATTTCAATTTATTTTATTCATTGAATAACTTATCATGAACTTTAGCTTTTTAGCGAAATATGCCAACAAGACTACTACTTGATTAAAAATGAAGACTTTAAAAATTATCTTTCGAATTTGATTGCTATGAAGATAAACCAAAAATTTTATCTCTAATTATTCCTCTTTCTTTATCGACTTTTATGTTTTACTGAAGTTTTTTAATTTTTTTCCAGTTAAAGAATGTTTTTATGCTAATGTTTTTTTAAATATGTAAAAATTGTTTTAAGCATGAGCAATATTAAGATAATTTTTCTTTAATTTTATCAAATTATTTTTTGAAAGTTATCTAAATTTTAGCTTTTATAACTTCAAAAAACATAAAAGCAAGGTAACTATTGTGTATCCCTAACAGTATAATATAAAATATCTAGGACTAAACAGTATCAGGTTTGCTATATAAGAATATATTCATAAGGACTAATATAATTATCACCACCATAGAATTTCTATCTGTTTATTAGAAGTATATCATTTAATAAGGAGTATATTTTACTAACACTACTAAATAAAGTATGAAAACTATAAGTGCTATCACCAATTTGTTTGCTTTTATATAAATAGTTCATTTAAATTAATTATAAAAAGTTAAAAAATTTAAATTAATTCAGATTAATTCAAAAAATATTTACAGTTTATTAAATTAACTAAGTAAATTAAAAAAAAATAATTTTTTAGTGTATTTAATTTTTTAAATTATCAATTCATTTACATTTATTTAGGTATTTGAAAATTAATTTTTTTATTTATTTTTGTTGAAGTAAAAAATAAAATGATTACTGTAAGGATCTCCATAAAAGTTATAGATGCAAACGATTACTATTTTCATATAACTTTTTACAAACTCCCAATAAAAATTTTTTGCTTTATAATCTTAATAGAGGAATCCATAAATTAGCCTTATCTTAGCATGGTCTAACTTATCTTTATTTTTATTAAGCTTAAATAAAATAAAAAAAGGAATAACAAACCCCCAAATTAAAAGACCTGGCATTAAAATAAATCCTATAAACTTCTTGTGAATTTGAGTATAACACTTGAAAGAAATATCTGATAAAATATATTTTTATTAATCGATTTCTCTGCATGACATAGCACCTAGTAAGTTTTATATCATATTTGGTTGCATGAATATAAACAAAAAGACCAAACCACTATAAATATATGACTATTTAAAATAATGATTGCTTAAATAAATAAAAATGAATTTATAAGTAATTTACCTTGTTGTGTCTCATTAATTTTAATTTTACAAATATCATATAAATAATTGACATTCCTGCTAAATACAAAAAGGGTATGCTTAAACCCCAAATTATTCTCATAAAAAGAATAGGAATATTTTACTAATCTACATTTACGAGATAACAATCCAATGTGTATATCATATTTTAAATAGGATTACCTTTTAAATAAATAAATAATTAATAATATTTTTTTTTAAAGTGAATTACCAACATATTCTGGGAAGAAAGTTAACCATGAAGGAAGAGCAACTTTTACTGTGTTAACTAATTGAGAAATTTAAACGTAATTCATCATTGCTTTCATATTCATATTAGTAGTGTCTAGAAACGATGACTTACTCACAGGAGCGAATTTAAGCATTCTTAAATAATAACCTATAACAATCATTTCACTAATATCCCATGCAATTTTGATGCTAATTAGTACATAAACAACCATTCCTAAAGCTATGAATATTGTTTGTACTAAATTCTTTGCCTTTAATAGTTATGAGCATTCCATGCAACCAAGAGACCCATCAGTATAGTATTTTTATTTCCAAAACTTTCCTTAAATATCACATTGCTCACACAGCGGACCTATATGACCTTCTAAGCAATATCCTTATTCCTATGTTCCAACACAGTTAGATAATTTATTTGAACATTCTACGATAGAGTCAGTTAAGTTAGTAGATTTCCAATAACCTTATTTTAATGTCATTTAGTCCCTATAGCAGTACTCAGCCTAATCTGGGCATCTTATACATTATTAATCTAAATATTTATCTATGAAAAATAAATAGTAATTTATTTAAATTTTAATCATATTAATATTTGTTTACTTTAATCTGGTTCTACTATGGAGTATGTTTCCCCCAAGCATTCTTAACAATAGTAAATACTTCCTTATAATCTGTAGAGCTCTCCTCTTATGCATTCTCTAAAATCAACAATGAATGTTATGTGGAAAGGACCTTTAAAAAATTAGCAATTATTTTATTTTTTAGTAGATTTTATCAAAATGAAAACTAACCTGATTTAATGTCACGATTTTATAGTGTGGGATATGGTACTTTTAATACTGATTCACTTTCTATATAGAAAATATTTTAAGTTTTCGGATTTGCTACTATTTACATTTAGGTAATTTAAAATGATTTTGATATAGAATTAAAGTTTGAGTAATCTGTTATAAATTATCCAAATATTTTAATGTCTGAGTGAATTGTATTTACTCTGATGTTGAACTACATAATTTCATTTTAGATTGATGGAGGATATTTGTTTTTTTTTGCTAGTTCAAGATCAAAGTAAAGAGGATTATTTTCATCATCCAATAACTAAAACTGGAAGTTAAAATATTGACCACTCTAAAATCTATTTACAGAGTAAGTTTAAAGGTTATGTTTATCATTTTTTATAGATTCTGGTAATCCATCATTTCCTGTTTATTCTAAATAGACAACGCTTGATTACAAAATTTTTATATTGCTTACATATGAACCATAGTTATTGCTATGAATAGTAGCCTTGTTCATTTAAATCACATTTTAAACTTGATCAAGATTTCGTCTCTATTAAATGAGATTACTATTTAAATTTTTATTCATCATATAAATAAAAACAGGTTCAATCTTCAAATATCTTATTCCACCACCGATCATGGCTTAATTGTGTTAAATTATCGAATTTTGCATAAAAAGATTTGTCTTATCTACGTAAATTGCCCCACCACTTTCATTTGCTATATTATATTCAAATATTGAATTGTAAATTTAGGTATGATTGTAGTAGGAATCTTAAATTGATAGTCCTCCACCGTTTAAAGCATGGCAAAATTTAAATTGAGTAGAATTAAGAAGTAATTATTAAGCCTCGATAACTTAAATAGCAGCTCCGTTACATAATAAGCAACTAATTAATGAAAATGTAGATTACGTCACTTAATAAGAATTACCTCTTAATTATATCAAAGGAGATTATAAATTAGTGTTATTTTCGAATTTACTGTATGATAAGGAAAATGTTCCTTAATATTAATAAAAGGTTTAGAAATTTGATGTATATGAGTTTAATACCTAAGAAAAAGAGATTCCATCTAATAGATTTGCATTAATAAACTCAAGTTGAAAATCATATACTGATTAAGATTAAATAATGTATAAGTTTGGTTATAATTTTGAATTTTCTATCTATTTCTAAGCTAAATTTGTAAATTTGCTGTTCTAAATAAATATCTTTTTAACATTTTTAAATACAATTAAATCATTATTTAATTTTTAAGTAGATTTTATCACTATTTAATCTAAAATTAAGTTATTTATATAGATATTATTTATTTTTTCAAAAGCAAACAAGTATGATCCATTATATATATTTATATTTTTAATATAGAAATTGTTTATGTAAATAGTATCTGAGTTTGAAATGTTAAATAGGATACTCTAACCTTTTAGATCCAAAGTTGAGATGGATATATTTTCGAGTATTATGCTTTGTAAACTATTTAATTAAAACTAAAACTAATTTCCAGTGTTATTTAAAGCTACATTTTCAAATGTAATTATTTTAGAAGCAGGATTAAATTGTACTAATTATGCTTAACTAATGTCAAGATCATAATTCCTTACCTACAACAAGTTAAGTTAATTTTATGAAAATGAATCTGTTATTATATGCATTAAGGCTCTAGTCTAAGAACCAGAATAAACTACTTATGAATTTAAACTAAAGAAGTTGGGATCATAATAAAACTTTTAATTTACTTAAATCTATTTTAAAAATGTTTTTATAAATTCATCAATATTTTTTTAATATTTTAGTTTTAATTAGGAGGTTAAAAATTATTATAAAAAATATTCTAACTTTATTTGCCAAAATTTTATTAAGATTTTTTTAAAAAAATTATTGAAATATTTTTAAATTTATAGCCTAGATTATTAAAAGAATTATTTAAGTTATTATAATTTAAATTACCTAAAAAAGAGTTTGCTGCATCTATAAATTCAAGAGATCGAAAGATAACTAAAATAAATTTAGTTAGGATTAAATTTTATCTAATGTGCTAGCAGAAGAAAGTTCATAATAGCATTTAAGATTACTTATGGATGATGGAGGAGATATATTTTAAGGTGAACTAATTGTATTTTAAATTTAGAAATTGTAATTAAAGTAAACTCCATTAGATATACCAATAACCTAAGTTGAATAATAATTATTGGTAGGATTAAGTATTTAAGTATTAGTAGCTAAATTTGGATAAGATTAGGGAATTTTATTTATCAATTCCCAAGTATTGGTTAATGGATTTTATTTAAAAATAGAAAATTAATCATATTAAGTTATATAAGAATATATTTAACCTTGAACATTTAGATTTTCATATGATTTTAGAGTTTACAATAAATTGTTATCTCTAATACTAAATTATAGTTGCAATGTATCCAAGCTATAAGTGTTAATTTAAAAATATGCTTATACAATTAATTGATTATTTTAAATCTTAACAACTAAATGCTAACCTTTTGTTGGAGGAGGGATAATTGTTATTAGCTATGGAATACTTAATTAAATTTTATTATTTGCAGTAGTAACATTATATGTATATACCCTTATTTTTGGTATTATTTTACGTACATTAAGGACAAATATCCTGTTATATTAGTAATCAAATAGCATTTAGCTTACTGGATCAGTATTATTTACTTGAGCATTTCTGGTTTAGTTATTCATATAGTCACTTTGTGAAACAAAATCTAAATAGAATACCATAATTCCAGTTTCTAATTGATGAATTAAAATTGAATTTACATTATCGTAATTAATAAAATTTAAATTTGCTATGCTAGAGTACTACACCAATAGCTTATCAGTTATTACATCTATTCTGTATATAGATGAATCCATTAATTAAACTATAATTTAATTTAAGTTAGAAATTGACAAAATTTACTTAATTTTATTTGTAAATTGGAAACTAAATGATTAAATTTGTGCCAAAGGATTATAAGATAATTTTATTAGCTTAAAATAAAAGTTTTCACAAAAAATAAAGGTGTTAAAAAAATAAGCATTTTTTATCTCAAAATTAACCTCATATAATTTCTATAGATTACCACCATTTTCTCCAAATTAAATTATCTACTAGTCTGTAATAACATAAAAGAATCCGTTTTAAAAGCGTGTTTATCGTACTAAGCTTAAACTCTAAACAAACTTTGCATGCTGGCTTTAATTTCCAAACTACCATGCATTATTATCAGTGTCTATATAATATAGCATTTTAGAATTTTAACTATAAAAGTAACTTGGCTACTTTTATTCGGCAATGTTTAATGTTATCTTATTAGTGTTAAATGAAAAATCCATTTAAATTATTCTATTTATATTTTTAAAAAAATTAATCTATAAAAATATTTGAAAATTTAAATATATTCATAAATAATTTACTCTAAGAAAAACGAATCTATGTGACACATTAGATTGTGCTCTTTAATAAATATAGATTTTTTTAGTGGTGGAAAATACTTGTAGGTAAAATAATTTGTGTAAGAAAAAGTTCTCACATCAATTGTGTAAATATTTAGAATTAAAGTTTTATAAATTAGTAACTGATAATGCTCTTCATCTAGAAAAACCATATGCACATTTCCGTTTTCAATATATTATGAATTAAGAATTTGTCTAATTAAAACTCCTGTTGAAAGACTATGCACTGCTATCCTATAACTTAAAACATTTTTGTGCCATTCACTGTATAAATAAATATGATCCATCTTTTCAAATACTATAAAATTAGTAATAAGAGGATTTTATGTAGAAATAGATAAAATAAATTATTAAGTCTTTCTATCCATAATCACTAATTATGTATACTAAAAAGAATAACTTTTAGCATTAATATATTTCATTCCAAGGATATTATCAGTGTGATAGCTAAGTTACTTTTCATAAGCAAAAGTAAGAAAATTATAGGTTTGAAGTGAATATATCATATTAATTAACACTTTTACATAAAACTTACCATATACAGGATCGAGATCAACATATAAATCTATCATATTTGGTATTGTGTAAGATGTGTAAGTATTTTGCTTAATAGGAGGATTAGCATCAGGAACATCACAATAGTAATGCATGAATAAATTTTGATTATTATTTATAGAAATAATTCTTTTATTGATTGGATCATGATAATAAGATACTATTTTATATGGTATTTGTTAATCAGGTGGAATAGAAGCAATACTTGCATTATATTTTGCTTATTCTTAAATATGAGTATTTATTATGTACAACAGTGATAAGTTAGAATATTGCCATACTGCAAAAGTCAAATCGCTAGAATAACTTATTATAATATCAGCATCTAAATCTAAAAAAGCATTTAAAACATTATAAGTTTATCCACCTTTAAATTAACTCACACTTGTACCATTCATATCCCATCTATAAAAATTATTTGTTGTATCATTACTATAAGAGACAATCCAGTTGTTCTTTGTATCTATAATAATATCATTGATAGATGATTTATGAGCTCCTGAATAAGTTTTTGGTTTAGTCATAGTTGTTGTGTCTATTTAGTGAATATTCTTATTTTATTTAAAGTGGAAATTAATAATTTTCTTAAAATAAATCTTAAATAAAAATGAATTGTTTACTATAAATATTTATTTATTAATTATAAAATAATTTTAATTTTATTCGAAAAAATTTTTTGTTTTAATTCATATATAAAAAATGATTTTTTAATTTTATATTACTTCTTTTAAAGTTGATAATTTAAAAAAATATTTACACTATTAAAGGCATAAATAGAGCGATCAATTTAATTATAATAAATTCCATTAAATTTAAATGATTTATCCTAGTATGCATAAAAATTTGTAGAAATACCACCTGAATAAATATTTCCGTTGGCAAAACCTAAATATAGCTTTCGAGTGATGGGGTCTATAGCTATACTTGAGATTTTATCAGCAAACGTAAGGAGCATTTAATTGTTGTATTAATAGCTAAAAGAAATAACCTTTTAAGATTAAAAAATTAAATATCAAATTTAAAATAGCTTTATAAATGTCATTTCGCAAATTAAAAATTGCTTTCAAATAATAAAATTTGAATAATTTTTTATTTTTTCAATAGAATTAAATTAAATTAGTTGAGAAAAATTAAGAAATTAGAATTTTTTTATTAAAAGTATAATTTGATTAAAAATTATATATAGGCTGTATCAATTTTGTTTTATACTTTTATTTTGTAATTTTATAATAACTTTTATTTTTTGAAAACAACTTTTAATTTGCGGAAATGCTTATTTTTATATTTTTACTTGATTTTTTATTGCTGGAAAAGCTGTATTTTGTACAAAAAAGTGCTATTCAGGATTAGAAAGCGTTGTACATAATTTTAAAGGAATTGAAGCAGCAAAAGTATAAGAACCATAATTTAAGAGTCTACTACCTGACCAATAAAAGTAAGCAACATTATAGTCTTACTGGTAGACCATAAAGTTTTTAGTAACAACATCTACACTGATAGATACTGGCTTGTTTATTGTGTATCTCATGACGCTGGAAAAGAGGAAAGGATAAATATACAAAATATTATTTGAAATAGTCGAAAAGAAAAGATATTTAATTTCAGGGTAATATTTTGCAAAACCCAAGTTTCCGCTATATGAATTAGTCATAAATATGGTTTTAGTTGCAAGATTCATTATTATGACCTGGCCTGCATTAGCTCTTATAAAATATAAATAGTCTATTCCATTATTATTTTCAAGAACTGCATAATAAAAATTATCATTAATGACTGAAGTGATGCTCATTGTAATGAAGTTATAAACCTTCATTTAATTAGCATTATTAAATGCAATGAAAGTATTTTTATAAATGAACATATTATTTATTTACAAAGTTTGTATATCTAAAGAAAGAGTAGCATTTATTGTAGTATTGAAAGGGTTATAGTTCCATAAAACTATTGTGTTGTCGTTGTATAGGCATGCAAATAAATTAGGTATAACTATAGTCATATCTAAAATCTATCTATAACATTATTAGTCTTGTAAAACATTACATGAAGGATGAAATTGCTCTATTACTAATCTGTAGTCTGTTACATTTCCTTGATTTTCTAAAATTCTTTCTTCCCATATTTTAAAGCTGCCATCAACTGAGTAAGTAATAACCCTATCATAAAGTCTATCAAATAAAATTCCATTTACTGTATCTGTATGGTACTTCATTTTAGTCTTGATGTTTTTCTTCTTATCAGTAATCTGCAGTTTGACAGGTAGTTACTTAGGATCTGAAGGAAGAGGGGTTAATAAAAGAACATCAAATTCTGAAAAGAGGATAAGTAAATTTTAATTATTAGCTACTACTTAATTTACTGGATTTAATTATGTGAAATATAAATCATATGTGTAAATTAAAATTAATCCAGTATTATCATCAAATTAATTTATCGATACTTTTCCTTAAGAAGAAATAAAAACAAAGAAATTATTTGTTATAAATCTATACTAATTATCTATATTAGTTTAAGAAACGTAAGAGTATGTCTATTCATTTATATCATAAATATATAAAATGATTTCTGAGCTACTACAGCTAAAGAAATAAATCACATTTAATATGCTAGGAGTAGTTTCTGTTAATATTTATTAAATAGGATTACCATGAAATGTTTCAATTTCTGTGCAATTAAAACTGTTATAAATATAGAATGAGTAATCACTATCTGTTTATATAATATAGTTTATATTAGTTAGTTACAATACTTAGTCAACAGGACTACTGAATGAACATTGACTTTAATATTTGTTTGGTTAATTTATGCTACTCCAAATGACTATCTCTTAGTCTTATCCGTAACTAATTAGCTAATAATTTGGTAAAATTAATATTCCAGTGATTGATTTGATATGGGCATCTTTGAAGAGTTTATAGGAGGAGGAACTAATTAAAGTAGTAGTTTATTACTTCTAGTATATTGGTTAGCTTACTATATCAGACATATAAACTACAGCGAAATTATTTAATATATCAGTATCCTGCATTAAAATAACGTAATCCTTTGTTATTTAAGTTAATTTATAGTAGCCTACTAAGGTCTTAGGAAACGATATTTTAAATAAGATCTAATTGTAATTTAAATTCCATATAATAAGTTAGGTTCTACTTACTGATATTAGTATTTCTTCGCCTTGAGGAAAGTATGCCTGTTAAATGGAAATATTTCCTAGATCGCTTATTTTATATACTCTTAAATTGTGCATTCCAATTACCCCATCATCATGTCCTGTTAATTGTCCTACATGCTCATAATTTTGATTATCTAATATGATTATTTTTGAGCTATAATTACCTCCAACCATACCTTAAAGTAATATTTACCCAGAAGCAGTTGAAATCATTTTTAAAAACTCATCAAAGAAATTTTAACCTTACTAATTCATTGTTGGACAAGGTAACATAGGTTTGCATAAGTTAGTTTATGAGTCAGAATAGTAAGTACTAGGACATATAGATTAGCAAGAATTTGATTACGCATCAAATGATTAACCAAAGATGCATTAAGGAACACATTCTAGATTATTTTGATCTAATATATAGCCGCTTTTGCACTCAGAACATTACATATTAGAATTGCATTAAATGCAATTTTAGGGGCAATCATAGCCTGATACTTAGCCTTGTTTATATAAAATGAATGCTAAAATAAAACCTATTGTAAAGGACATTTAATTTATTTTTTTCTTCAATAATTTTTTTGACTTCTTATTAATCTTTTGATATTAAGAACATAAAAATTTTAATAAATAAAAACAATATCAAATTCAGTATCAAATTAAGTTTTTTATAGAGATGAATAGTTTGTTATTCAAAAAACAACATACATAAAACAGAGTACTTATTTCTATATCTAGTTATTAAAGTCTTAGATTAATTTTCTTCTTTTTTTATTTAAATTCCTATTTATTAATTATTATTAATTTTTTCTTCTAAATTTATAAATGTTATTATATTTAAAAATTTTTATTTGCACGCATTAATATTATTGCTTTATGACAAATTTGAAAGACCTAACTGCTACAAATTAGAAAATTAATCAATTTTAAAAACAAAAGATAGCTATTTTAATTTATTTTTAAACTTGTCTAGAAAAATAATAGTTAATAAAAAATATAACTTATTTTTTATTATGCAATAGCATTTTAAAATCTTAATTACCACTTTTGCAAATATTTGCGTTTAAAGATTAATAAATTGCAGCATTTATATATGTGTGTTTGCATTTAATTAAAATTTTTACTTTTATTTGTTTTCTACCTGTTTATTAATTTTATCAGAATCAATCAGCTTTTTTTAAATATTGTTATTTTTCTTTTCCAAAACAAACAAAATTTATTTTAAGAGTTTAAAAATTTGATTTTTTAAATACTTTTAAATGAATTCTTCTTAACAAAAATACAAAGTTTTTCATTTTTTGGAGTATTTATTATAATAAATTATTATCATTTATAGAATTTTATTGTGTTTTTAATATAAAAAATGATGTAATAAAATTTAAATTTATTTTACAATCACAGATTTATGTTGATAAAAAATCAAATTATATATATAGGTATAGTACCCGAGGGTACTGCCTTTTTTAAGGCTATACACTGAAATTTTAGATATTACTTTTTGATTTTCCTTGATTTGTTTTTAGTGAAAGTTTTTTTAAAAAAAAATCAAATTTTAAATAATTAAAAATAATTAATAATATTTTATAAATCAAACTTAATATTTTTCATAAATTTATTGTTCGTTTTCAGATCAATTATTTATTTCATTATTTTTTTCTTAATTTTTAAGTTCATTTGCAATAGTTTCGTTTTATCTTTGTGGTGTTTCTCTGTTTTCTGGCTATGACAAGTTTTTAAAATTTAATAATCTGATTAACACTATCTTAATCACAAACTTAATAATCATTTTATTGTCTAATTTTCATTTTTTTAAGAAAATTCTAAAAATTTATATGAAGAAAAAACTAAAAAAAACAGATTTTAATGTATCATCTTTCATCTTAAACCAAAAATTTTTATTTAAATGCAATAATCAATAATTAAATGAAATAAACTATTTAAGTTTCTAAAGTATAAGTAAAATATTTTAATAGAGTTAAATAATTTTAAAAAAGATTAATGATCTTTTTAAGTTAGGAAATTATGCAAAAAATGCTTACAATCATAAATTAGATAGGTTATAGAAAAAAAATAATGAATATGTATAACATTTTTATAAAATAAACATTATTCAGTTCTATTGATATTATATTACTTATTTAAGATTTTATTTTATTGAGTTAAGATCTTAAAAATAAATTTCTCTACCCTGAAAAGATAAAACGGAAATAAGTTGTTAAAAAAACTTTTCTTTAACAAATATCAATAAGACTTATTTAATTTTTTCAAAAAACTGTAATCAAAATAGTTGATGATTATTCTCTCTTCAGTTTGAAATTAATTAACAAAGAAAAATAATACAACAATTTTAAAATAGTACTAAAAACTAGAAAAATAATAACAAAAAAAATAAAATTGAAATACTGAAAAATAAATCATATTTTATTAATCAAATTCAATAATTTTTTCCTAAATTCATTCATTTTCTGATGAGTTATTTATTTTTTTATCACTTTCTTGATTTTTAAGTTCATTTGTAATATTTTTATCTTTTTTTTGTAGTGTTTCATTGTTTTGTGGCTAAGATAAGCTTTCAAAGTTTAGTAAATCTGATTTAATACGATCCTTATAATTAATTTATTCTTATTAGTCATTTAATGATTAATTTTCATTTTTTTAAGAAAATTCTAGAATTGTATTTCCCAAATTTAAATTTTCAAATCCTTAACCAAAACTTTGAGATTTCTATCTTCCTTAATCTGCTGTATATATTGTCTAATGATCCATAATAAGTGTTCCTGGATTTTTAATTTTTGTTGATTTTTTATCAAACTTTAAGCTTTGAACTTTTTTATAGTTAATAATCACACTGCTTTGTTCGGTTTACTGCTTTCGATATTCAAAAGAACCTTCGGTTTAAATACCAAAATAGTTTTTTGGTGTAAATATTTGATTTTATATTTTATTATCATCTATAAAATCCATATTTTTTAAATGGTCTTTTTCTTTGGATTATAAATCATAAGCAGATTTTATTTATTTTATACTTTTTTATTTAATACTTTTAAAATCTTCTTTTAGGGAACTTAATTCATATAATTCTATATTTAATTTATTTAGCTTATTAGTTTAATTTGGTTATATTTTATCAGATTAATTATTTAAATCTAATGGATCTATATGTTAGTTTTAATAGAAATAATTTTAATATTGGCCATCATAATCTTGATATTGAGGAGTATATAAATTGTCTATTTATGGGGTTTCTTGGCTATATAAATTACAAAAATCAGGCATTAACTTTGATTAATTTATACTTTACTCTTTTATTTCATCATTTTACTCTAATTTGATCATATCAAATTACTTTTCAGAACAATTCTTTTATTTAAAAGTTATTTTTTAATAAAATTTTATTATAGTTAATTAATTTACCATCTCTTCATAGCTAATATTTTCAAATTCCTTTTTAAAGTAACTTTCTTAGGCACAAATTTCTATATTAAAAGGAGACTTTTATTTTATTTAAGAATTATTTGAATCTGAAGCAGAGTCAATAATATCAGAATTAACTCCTTTATCTATTTCTTTTTATTCTTCTTATCTATTTTGTTTTTATTCTGAAAAAACATAATTTGGTTCATTTTTTGGTATCATCAAAGGGCTTTCCAATAAAAACAAATAGTTTTCGATAGTTCTACTCTAATCTATATTACTAATTATCTTATTTTAGAGTAATTATAATGATTAATTATTTAAATTTTATTAGTGTAACTATTAATTTAAAATTAATTGTGAAGTAAGATTATTCGATAAAGTTATATTTGTTGATTAAGTCACTCTTTTTAAGCTTTTGCTAATCAAGCCTTCCCTTTTAACTAAATTGCTATTATTTAAATTTAAACTCTACATCACCGTTTATTCATAAATTTAATTGTTTAAAGGAGGTGGCAAATTATTATTGTTGCTATTATTTGATGTACTTCTAAACTTAACTTAGCTCTCGTTTATTTCATCTATTAAATTAGGTAGATGTGAAAATATTTATTTAAAGTAAAATTTTACCTTTAGAAAAAAGAATAGTTTAGTTATTGATTGATATTGATATCTTGTTGATGTTATTATTGTTAATCTAGTGAGATTATTAGTTTGATGTATCTGATTTGTCTAATTAAATTATATCTTTTTTCTTACTTAATTCAAGATTATTATTGCTATTATCAATCTTTATGCTTTCTATTAGATTAAGTAAAATTTAATTTGGAATATAAAATCTGTAAAATCGAATTTACTTATGGATTCTTGCATTTTATTTTATTCATTTAATAATTTATCATGAAATTTACTTTTAGCATATACTATTTTTATAAAAATTAATTAATTTATAAAATAAAAAAAACTATTAACCTTAACCTACTAGCTTGTCGCTCGATTTAAGAAGAGGACTTTAAATAATGCTTTGTGAGCTAACTAGTTAACAAGATGAACCAAACAGTTTATCTCTTATTATTCCTCTTTGTTTATCCATTTTTATGTTATGAAGAAGAAGATTTTTAATTTTTTTCCAGTTTAAGAATGTCGTTAAGTGAACGTTTTTTTAAATTCTTAAATATGGTTTTAAGCATGAACAATATTAAGATAATTTTTCTTTAATTTTATCAAACTATTTTTTGAAAGTAATCTGAATTTTAGCTTTTATAACTTCATAAAACATAAATGCAAGATAACCATTGTGTATTCCTAGCAGTATAATATAAAATATCTAGGATTAAACAATATCAGGTTTATTATATAAGAAAATATTCATAAGAACTAATATAATTATCACCACTATTGAATTTCTATCTGTTTATTAGAAATATATCATTTAATAAGGAGTAAATTTTACTAACGCTACTAAATAAAGTATGAAAACTATAAGTGCCATCACCAATTTGTTAGCTTTTAATATAAAATAGAAATATATGAATTTCTTTAATAAACTAGCTAATATTGATTCATATAAAAATTAATGATCACTTAAACCAGTACTTTAAAACAGAATAAAAAAATATTTTCTTTTCTTTTTCGTATTTGAGATTTTTTAATTTTTTTTTTTTTTTTCTTTGAAATAAAAAATAAAAGATAATGTGAAATAAAATTATTACTATAAGGATCTCCATAAAAGCTATAGATGCAAACAATTATTATTTTCATCTAACTTTTTACAAACTCCCAATAAAATTTTTTTGTTTTATAATCTTAGTAGAGAAATCCATAAGTTAGCCTTATCTTAGCATCATCTAGCTTATCTTTATTTTTATTCAGCTTAAATAAAATAAAAAAAGGAATAACAAACCCCCAAATTAAAAGACCTGGCATTAAAATAAATCCAATAAACTTCTTGTGAATTGGAGTGTAGCACTTGAAAGAAATGTCTAATAAAATATATTTTTAATTATCAATTTCTCTGCATGACATAGCACCTAGTAAGTTTTATATCATATTTGGTTGCATAAATATAAACAGAAAGACCAAACCACTATAAATATAGGACTTTTCAAAATAAAATTAATTTAAAAAAATAAAAATGATTTTTAAATAATTTACTATATTGTGCCTCATAAATTTAAGTTTTACAAATATTATGTATATAATTGACATTCCTGCTAAATATAAAAATGGTATACTTAAACCCCAAAGTATTCTCATAAAAACAATTGGAATATCCTACTAATTTACATTTATAAGATAACAGTCCAATGTGTATATCATATTTTAAACAGGACTACCTTTTAAATAAATAAATACATAAGTAATAATGATTTTTTTAAAGTGAATTACCAACATAATCAGGGAAAAAAGTTAACCATGAAGGAAGAGCAACTTTTACTGTGTTAACTAATTATGAAATTTAAACATAATTCATCATTGCTTTCATATTCATATTAGTAGTGTCTAGATACGATGACTTACTCACAGGAGCAAATTTAAGTTTTCTTAAATAATAGCCTATAACAATCATTTCACTAATATCCCATGCAATTCTGATACTTATTAGTACATAAACAACCATTCCTAAAGCTATGAATATTGTTGGAACTAAATTAATAGCCTTTAATAGTTATGAACACTCCTTACAGTCAAAAGATCCATCAGTATAGTATTTTTAATTCCAAAACTTGCTTTAAATATCGCATTGCTCACACAACGGACCTATATGACCTTCTAAGCAATATCCTTACTCCTAAGTTCCAACACAGTTAGATAACTTATTTGAACACTCTACAATAGAGTCAGTTAAGTTTGTTGATTTCCAATAACCCTGTTTTAATGTCATTTAGTTCCTGTAACAGTGCTCAGCCTAATCTGGACACTTTATGCATTATTGATCTAAATATTTTTCTATGAAAAAGTTTACAATTTATTTAGATAGAAATTTTATAAATATTTATTTACATTTATCAGGCTCTACTATGGAGTATGTTTGATCCAAGCATTCTTGACAGTAGTAAATGCTTCCTTGTAATCTGTAAAGTTCACCTATTATACATTCTCTAAAATCAACAATGAATGTTATGTGGAATGGACCTTTAAAAGAAAATAATAAATTTTTTTTTAAAAAATGAACTAATTGAAAAAAATAAAACTAACCTGATTTAATTTCACGGTTTTATAGCGTGGGATATGGTACTTTGAGAACTGATTCACTTTCTATGTAAAATATATTTTATGTTTAAGGATTCGCTACTACTTGCATTAATGATATTTAAAATGATTTCGATGAACTATTAAAGCTTAAGTAGTCTGTTATATACTATCCAAATAGTTTAATATTTGTGTTATTGGTATTTGCTTTGATATTAAACTGCAAAATTTCACTTTAGATTGATGGAGGATACATATTTTTTTTTACTAATTCAAGATCAAAGTAGAGAGGATTATTTTCATCATCCAACAGCTAAAACTGGAAGTTGAAATATTAACCGCTCTAAAATCTGTTTACAGAGCAAGTTTAAAGGTTAAGTTTATCTTTTTTTACAGAATCTGGTAATCCATCACTACCAGTTACATCTAAATATACTACACTTGATTACAAAATTTTTATATTGCTTACATATGAACCATAATTATTGCTATGAATTGTAGCCTTGTTCATTGTAATAACATTTTAAACAGCATTAAGATTTCTTTTCTTTTAGAAAAGATCGCTGTTTAAATTATTCTTAATCATGTAAATAAAAACAGGTTCAATTTTTAAATATCTTATGCCACCACCTATCATAGCTTGATTATATTAAATAGTTGAATTTTGCATAAATAGATTAGTTGCATCTAAATATATAGCTCCTCCGTTCAGAGTTGCATTGTTATTTATAAATATTGAATTATAAATTTCAGTGAGGTTGTAGTATGAGTCTGAGATAGACAAGCCCCCTCCATTTAAAGCCGAGCAAAGAGTAAACCGAGTAAAATTAATAAGTAATTATTAAGTCTCAATCACTTAAAGAGCACCTCCATTGCATGCCAAGCAACTTATATTTTTAAATGTAGAGTAAATAACTTGATAAGAATTACCTCTTAGTTATATTAAAGGAGTCTATAAATTTGAGCTGTTTTCAAATGTGCTATTTGATAGAGAAAATGTTCCTTAATATTAGTAGTAGGTTTGGAAATTAGATGTATATGAGTTTAAAACCTAAGTAAAAGACACTCCATCTAAATAACTTACATTTATAAGCTACAATTCAAAATCATATACAGATTAAGATTAAATAATATATAAATTCTACTACATTTATACATTATTTAGCTATTTGAAAGTTAAATTTGTAAAATTGCTATTCTGAATAGATATCTATTTAACGTTTTTAAAAACAATCAAGTCGTTATTTGCTGTTTAAGAAGCTACTATAATTATTTAATCTATAATTAGGTTATTTATGTACACATAATTTACTTTTTCAAAAGCTAACAAGCATGATCCATCATATAAATATATATTTTGAATATAGAAGTTATTTATGTAAATAGTATCTGAGTTTGAAATATTAAATAGAAGACTTTAACCTTTAAGATCCAAAGATGAGATGGATATATTTTCAAGTATCATGCTTTGCAAATTATTCAACTAAAACTAAAACTAATTTCCTGTGTTTTTAAAAACCACATTTTCAAAAGTAATAATTTTAGAAGCAGGATTAAATAATACTAACTATGCCTAACTAATGTCAAGATCATAATTCCTTACCTATAACAGAGTTAGCTAATTTAAGGAAAACGAGTCTGTAATAATATTCATTAAGGCTCTTGAGTTAGAACCAGAATAAACTACTTATGAATTCAAATTAATGAGTTAAGGATCATAATAAAACTTTTAAGTTACTTCAATCTATATTTTAAATTTCATAAATAAATTTAACAATTCTAAAAATTGTGGCTTTATTAACAGTTTTCCCTCTAAAATAATTTTTTTTTTATACATATATAATAATATTAAAAATAGAAGGATTAGAGAGGGTTAGGTAGGGGATTAGTGCTTTTTAATTTATATTGTGTAAAAATAAAAGACTACAACAATAAACTTATAAGTGATAAATTATTATACTCTGACTCCCTCTCTCAGATTAAATTAATAAATTATTAAATTTTTTAAATTATTTCTTAAAGCTAAATTAAATTTTTTTGTTTTAGAAAATCAATATTTCAGAATTTTTAAAATGAAAAATTCATAACAAAAATGATTTTTAAAACTTAATGAATTATGAAAGTGGGAATCATAAAATAGTTTAATTACCTAAAAAAGGGTTTATTTTATCTATAAATTCAAGAGATTGAAAGAAGACTAAAATTATATTAATGAAGACTAAATTTTATCTAAAGTATTAGCAGAAGGAAGCTCATAATAGCATTTAAGTTAGCTTAAGGATGACGAAAAAGGTTCATTTTAAGATGAGCTATTAAAATTTTAAATGAAAAAGTTGTAATTAAAGTAAACTCCGTTTGATATACCTATAACCTAAGTTGAATAATAATTAGTTTTTGGATTAAATATTTAAGTATTAGCGGCTAGATTTGGAAATGATTAGTAAAGTTTATTGATCAACCCCCAAGTATTTGTTGATGGATTTTACTGAAAAATAGAAAATGAATCGTATTAAGTTACATAAGCAAATATTTAACCATTAATATTTAAAATTTCAAATGATTTTAGGGTTTATAATAAGTTGGAATCTCTAATACTCAACTATAACTATAATTTATCCAAGCTATAAGTATTAATTTAAAAATAAGCTTATACTATTAACTGACTATTTTAAATCTTCATAACTAAATGCTAAGCTTTTGTTGGTGGAGGGATTATTGTAATTAGCTATGGAGTACTTAATTAAATTGAATTATTTGAGGTAGTAACATTATATGTATAAACCCTTATTTTTGGTATAATCTCACGAACGTTAAGGACAAATATTCTGTTATATTAGTAATCAAATAGCATTGAGTTTACTGGGTCTGTATTCTAAATTTGAAGGCTCCTCGCTTAACTATTCATATAATCGTTTTTTATTGCAAAATCTAAATAGAATATCATAAATCCAGTTTCTAAATGATGAATTAAAATTGAGTTTATATTATCATAACTAATGATATTTAAATTTGCTATGCTAGAGTACTATATCAAAAGCTTATCAGCTATTACATCTATTCTGAATATAGATGAGTTCATTAAGAAAACAATAATTTAATTTAAGTTAGAAATTGAAACAATTTACTTAACTTTGCTTGTAAATTGAAAATTAAATGATTGAATTTAAGTCAATGGATTATATGACAACTTTTTTAGCTTAAAATAAAAGTCTTCACAAAAAATAAATTTGTCAAGAAAATAAGCATTTTTTATCTCAAAATTAACCTAATAAAGTTATTACAAATTACTAGCAATTTCACCAAATTAAATTATCTACTGATCAGTAATAATATAAAAGAATCCATTTTAAAAGCGCGTTTAACGTACTAAACTTAAACTCTAAACAAATTTTGCTTGCTGTGTTAAATTTCCAAACTGCCATGCATTATTATCAGTGTCTATATAATATAGCATGCTAGAATTTTAGCTGTAAAAGTAACTCGGTTATTTTTATTAAACCATACTTAGTTCTATTTTATCAGTATTAAATGAAAAATCCATCTAATATATTCTATTTGTTAATAAAAATGATTAATTTATTAAACAAATTAAAAATTAAAAAAAATAAAATATATTAATAAATAATATACTCTAAGTAATATGCATCTATGTGACACATTAGATTATGTTCTTTAATAAATATAGCTTTTTTGAGAGGTGGATTATACAGGTAGGTAAAATAATTTGTGTAAGAAAAAGTTCTCACATCAACTGTGAAAATATTAAGAAGCTCAGATTTATAAATGAGCAACTGATAACGTTCTTCATCTAGAAAAACAATATTAACGTTTCCATTTTCAATGTACTATGAATTAAGAATTTATTTAATTAAAACTCCTGTTGAAAGACTATGTACAGCCAGTCTATAACTTAAAACATTTTTCTAACCTTCACTATATAAATAAATATGATCCATCTTTTCAAATACTATAAAATTAGTAATAAGAGGATTTTGTGTAGAAATAGATAAAATAAATTATTAAGTCATTCTATCCATTATCACTAACAATGTATACTAAAAAGAATAACTTTTTGCATTAATATATTTCATTCCAATAATATTATCAGTGTGATAGCTAATTTACTATTCATAAGCAAAAGTATGAAAATTGTAGGTATGAAGTGAATAAACCATATTAATTAAGACTTTTACATAAAACTTACCATAAACTGGATCGAGGTCAACATATAAATCTACCATGTTTGGTATTCTGTAAGAAGTGTAAGTATTTTATTTAATAGGTGGAATGGCACTTGGAGCATCACAATAGTAATGCATGAATAAATTTTGATTATTATTTATAGAAATAATTCTTTTATTGATAGGATCATGATAATAAGATACTATTTTATATGGTATTTGTTAATCAGGTGGAATAGAAGCTATATTTGCATTATACTTCTCTTATTCTAAAATATGGGTATTAATTATATACAACAGTGTTTAATTTGTATATTACCATACTGCAAAAGTCATATCGCTTGAATAACTTATTATAATATCAGCATCTAAATCTAAAAAAGCATTTAAAACGTTTTAAGTTTATCCACCTTTAAATTAACTCACATTTGTACCATTCATATCCCATCTATAAAAATTATTTGTTGTATCATTACTATAAGAGACAATCCAGTCATTATTTTTATCAATAATGATATCATTTATGGTTGATTTATGAGCTCCTGAATATATTTTTGGTTTGGTCATAGTAGTTGTGTCTATTTGGTGAATATTCTTTTAATAAAATTAAAATTAAAAAAATCTTGATTTTGACAATTAATTATAGTCTTGAAAAAAAGAGTGGTAAATATTTTATGTATATTTTTAATGGTTATGAATTTTTTAAAAAATTTTTTATATTTTAGATAATGTTAAAATAAAAAACCTTACATTATTAAAGGCATAAATAGATCGATCATTTTAATAATAATAAATTCCATTAAAGTAATTTTCATCATCTATGTATGCATAATAATTAGTAGAGATTCCACCTGAATAAATATTTCCATTTTCAAAACCTAAATATAGCTTTTTAGTAATGGGATCTATAGCCATACTTGAAATTTTATCGGCAAATGTAAGAAGCATTTAATTATTGTATTGATAACTGAAAGAAATAACCTTTTATTATTAAAAAAGTAAATATCAAACAAAATATTTAAATTAAATTACTTAGTTTTGTATTGCTGGAAAAGCTGTATTTTGTACAAAAAAATGCTATTCAGGATTAGAAAGAGGGGCACTTAATTTTTAAGGAACTGAAGCAGCAAATGTATAAGTACCATAAATGTAAAGTGTACTATCTATCCAAAAAAAGTAAGCAACATTATAATCCTGCTAGTAGACCATAAAATTTTTAGTTACTACATCTACACTAATTGCAACTGGCTTATTTATCAAGTATCTTCTAACACCTGAAAAAAGAAAAGGATATATATACAAAATATTATTTGAAACAGTTGAAAAAAAAAGATATTTAATTTCAGGGTAATATTTTGCAAATCCCAGGTTTCCACTATACGAATTAGTCATCAAAATAGCTTTAGTAGCAAGATTCATAATTATTACTCGGCCTTAATTAGCTCTTATGAAATAGGCATAGTCTATTCCATTATTATTTTCAAGAACTGCATAATAAAAACTATCATTAATGACTGAAGTAAAGTTCATCGTAATAAAATTATAAACTTTCAATTACTATGCATTATTGAAGGCAATAAAAGTATTTTTATACCCAAACATATTATTTATTGACAAAGTTTTTAAGTCTAAAGATAGAGTTGCATTTAATGTAACTTTGAAAGGATTATAATTCCATAAAACTATAGTATTATCATTATAGAGGCATGCTAATAGATTAGGTATAACTATAGTCATATCTAATATCTATCTATAGCAAAACTAATCTACTAAAATATTACATGAAGGATGAAATTGTTCTATTACTAATCTGTAGTCTGTTACATTTCCTTAGTTTTCTAAGACCCTTTCTTCCCATATCTTAAAGCTTCCATCAATAGAGTAAGTGATAACCCTATCATAGAGTCTATCAAACAAAATTCCATTTACTGCATCAGTGTGATACTTCATTTTAGTTTTAATATTTTTCTTCTTATCAGTAATCTACATTTGGACTGGAAGTTACTTAGGATCTTAAGGAAGCGGGATTAATTAAAGAATAGTTAACTCTGAAGAGAGAATAAGTAAATTTTAATTATTAACCGCAACTTGATTTACTGGATTTAATTATTTGAAAAATAAATTATATTAGTAAATTAAAATAATTCCTGTATTATCATCAAATTAATTTACTGATACATTTCCATTAGAAGAAATAAAAACAAAGTAATTATTTGTAATAAATCTATATTAATTATCTGAATTTACTTAAGAAATGTATGAGTATATCTATTAATTTGTATCATAAATATATAAAATCACTTCTGAAATACTACAGCTAAAGAAATAAATAATATTTGACATTTAAGGAGATGGATTTGCAAATATTTACTAAATAGGATTACCATGATACGTTTGAATTTCATTGCAATTAAAGCTGTTATATATAAATAATGAGTAATCATTATCTATTTATATAAGATAACTTGAATTAGATAGTTGTAGCACTAAGTTAACAGGACTATTAAATGAACACTAATATTAGAAATTGTCTGGCTAATCGATGCTATACCAAACAATGATCCTTTTGTCCTATCCATAGCTTATAAGCTAATAATTTGGTAAAATTAATATTCCAGTAATTGATTTTATATGGGCATTACTAAACAATTTATAGGAAGAGCTAATTAATGTAGAAGTAGTTTATTACTAATATATTGGTTATTTTACTATTTCAGACATATAAACAACTGCAAAATTATTTAATGTATCAGTATTCTACATTAAAATAACATAATCCTTTGTTATTTAAGTTAATTTATAAAAACCTATTAATGTTTTAGGCAATAATATTTTAAATAATATTTAATTGTAATTTAAATTCCATATTATTAGTTATGTTCTACTAACTGATATAAGAATTTCTTAACCTTAAGGGAACTTTGCCTGCTAAATTGATATATTCCCGAGATCATAAATTTTATTTACTCTTAAATTATACATTCCAATAACTCCATCATCATGTCCTATTAATTATCCTACAGGCTATTAATTTTGATTGTCTAATATGATTATTTTTGAGCTATAATCTCCTCCAACCATACCTTAAACTATTATTTTGCCTGAAGATGATGAAATCATGCTTAAAAACACATCAAAAAAACTTTAACCTTACTAATTCATTGTTGGGCAAGGTAAGAGAGGCTTGCATATGCTTGTTTATGAGTCAGAATAGTAAGAGTTAGGGCAGATAGATTAACAAGAATTTGATTGAACATCATATGATTAACCAAAATTGCAATAAGGAAGGCATGTATGACTATTTTAATCTAACCTGTAACCACTATTACATTAAGAGCATTATAAACTATTATTGCATTTAAAGCAGTTTTCAGGACAGTTTTTGCCTAAAACTTTAGCTGATTTATACAAAATATTCACTATAATAAAACTAATTACTATCAACTACAACTACATCTAATCTATTTTTTTACAAATATTGTTGTTAATTTTTTATTAGCTATTGATTTTTAAAATATAAAGATTATTGTAAAAAATCAATTAACAAAATCTAATAAAATATGAAAAATTTTTTAATAGAAAGAATAGTTACTCCAAAAACTAACATATAAACAGAAAATAGATTATATCAAAATCGATTTATTAAAATCTAAGATTAACTTTCATCCTTTATTTTACTTTATTCAAATTTTGTTTTTATTTAGGTTATAAATTTAATTTGATAAATATGTTAATTTGCAAAAAGTTTTTTTTGAGAACATTCATGTTAAAATGTTAATCATAAATTTGAGGAGCCCAACATTTATTATTTAAACAAGAAATAATTAGATTTTAAGGCATAAAAAAAGTTTACCATTATTTTTAAAGTAGTTTTAAATTTAAATAGAATAACAAAAGTTAATAACTAAATTAAATTACTAATTATAATGGTAAAATATTTTAAATTAAAATCCTAATATTTATAAATATTTAAATATTACGAAACTTGTTATATTTATTATTTTATTTACTTTTTGAAAATAAATATGAAATCTATTGATATTGAGATTATTTCTACTGGTTGAATTTCTAAAATGAAATAAAATGCATCATAATTAAAGAAACCACTCAATAAAATCCTCTTGCCTTTAATAAAAACTTTCAAATTTAAACCAATTAAATATGAAAAAGTTTTTAATAGAACGATTAATTACTCTAAAAACTAACATATAGACAGAAAATAGATTATATCAAAATCACTTAATTAAAACCTTAGATTAACTTTCTTCCTTTATTTTATTTTATTAAAATTTTGTATTTATTAATTTTATAAATTTAATTTGATAAATATGATAATTTGCAAAAGTTATTTTAAAAAACATTAATACATTAATGTTTTTAATGTTAACAGAGTTGATGACTTCCGGGATATTTTGTCACAATATCGATATGGAAAATCGTACTCATATTTTTAAAATTATTTTTATTTTAAATACCTTTAAATATCCATATACATAATTTCATTTATCAGTATATTTCAATTTATTTTTTTTTTAATGATATTAAATTACAAAATTAAGATTTTATTTTATGGAGTAAGATCTTAAAAATTTCAGTACACTGAAAAGATAAAAATGAAATATATAATTTAAAAAACTTTTCTTAAACAAACAAGAATAAAATTTATTTAATTTTTTCAAATAGTTGACGATTATCCTCTCTTCAATTTGTAGTTAATTAAGAAATAAAAATAAAAATAACAGATAAGTTTTAAAATAGTACAAAAAATTAGAAAAGTATAAACACAAAACAAAATTTCCAAAATCTACTAGAGCTACTCATTAAATATCAAAAGCTATAGAACAAATTAGTGAAGGGTAAATAAAGATTTTGTGGCTAAACACTGTAAATTAATTATTTCTTCTTGATATTTTTAATAAAAATTTAATGAAAGTTGATGAATTCTTGTGGAAAAAATTAAAGGTATCTTTAAATTGGCAATAATCAATTTCTGTTTTTTCTCTCTATCTTTATTATACTTAAAAACTAAATTTATTTTAAACATACTAATATTTTTAAAAGAAAATATTATATTACTAAATTTAAGTTTATTATTTATTTGTGCATTTAAATTGATAAAAAAATAAAACTTGCAATACTCAAAAATAATTAATCATGTATAAAAAATAAAACTTAATATTTTTTCCTAAATTCACTCATTTTCAGATAAACTATTTATTTCATTATCTTTTTCTTCATTTTTAAATTCATTTGTAATACTTTCATTTTTTTTTTTTGGTGTTTCTCTGTGTTCTGGCTAAGGCAAGCTTTCAAAGTTTAATAAATCTGATTTAACACTATCTTAATAATTAATTTATTCTTATTAGTCATTTTATAACTAATTTTCATTTTTTTCAGTATATTCTATAATTGTATTTCCGATATTTAAATTTTCAAATCCTTAGCCAAAACTTTGAGATTTGATTCTTCCTTAATCTGTTGTGTGTATTGTCTAATGATCCATAATAATTGTTCCTGGATTTATAATTTTATTTGATTTTTTATCAAACTTAAAACTTTGAACTTTTTTATAGTTAGTAAGCACACTGCTTTATGCAGTTTATTGCTTTCGGTATTCAAAAGAGTCCTCTGTTTAACTACCAAAGTAGTTTTTTGGTGTAAATATTTGATTTTATATTTAATTATCTTCTATAAAGTTCATATTTTTTAAATGGTCTTTTTCTCTAGATTATAAATCATTAGCAGATTTTATTTATTTTTTACTTTATTATTTAATACTTTTAACAACTTCTTTTAGGGAATTTAATTCTTATAATTCAATATTGACATCATTTAGCTTATTGGTTTCAATCGGTTATATTTAATCAGATTAATTAATTAAATTTAATGGATCTATTTATTAGTTTTAATAGAAATAATTTTAATATTGACCATAATAATCTTGATATTGAGGAGTATATAAATTGTCTATTTGTGGGGTTTATTGACTCTATTCATTACAAACATCAGACATTTACTTTGATTAATTTATACTTTGCTCTTTTATTTCATCATTTTACTCTTATTTGATCATATCAAATTACTTTTGAGAATGATTCTTTATTTTTTAGTTATATTTTAATAAAATTTTATTTTATTTAATTTATTTACCATGTCTTCATAGCTAATATTTTCAAATTCCTTTTTAAAGTAACTTTCTTAGGCACTAATTTCTAAATTACAAGGAGACTTTTATTTAATTTAAGAATTATTTGAATCTGAAGCAGAGTCAATAATATCAGAATTAGCTACTTGATCTATTTCTTTTTATTCTTCCTATTCTTTTTATTTATTTTGTTTTTGTTCTGAAAAAATATTATTTGGTTCATTTTTTGGTATCATCAAAGGGCTCTCTTATAAAAATAAATAGTTTTCAATAGTTCTAGTCTAATCAATACTACTTATTATCTAATTTTATAGTAATTATAATGATTAATTATTTAAATTCTATTACTACAGTTATTAATTTAATATTAATTGCGAGGTAAGATTATTCGATAAAGTTATATTTGTTGATTAAGTCACTCTTTTTAAGCTTTTGCTAATCAAGCCTTCCCTTTTAACTAAATTGCTATTATTTAAATTTAAACTCTATATCACCATTTATTCGTAACTTTAATTATTTAAAAGAGGTGACAAATTGTTATTGTTGCTATTATTTGATGTACTTCCAAACTTAACTTAGCTCTCGTTTATTTCGTCTATTAAATTAGATATGAGTTAAAATATTAATTTGATATTAAATTTTACCTTTAGAAATTTATACATAAGGACTTCCAAAAAGAATAGTTTAGTTATTGATTGATATTGATATCTGATTGATGTTATTATTATTAATCTAGAGAGATTATTAATTTGATGTATCTGATTTGTCTAATTAAATTGTTTCTTTTTTTTTACTTAATTCAAGATTATTACTGCTATTATCAATCTTTATGTTTTCTTTTAGATTAAGTAAAATATAATTTACTATATAAAATGTGCTAAATAAAATTTACGTATGGATTCTTGCATATTATTTTATTCATTAAATAATTTATCATTAAATTTACTTTTAGTATATTCTGTTAAATGAAAAAAAATTAATTTAATAAATAAATAAAAAAATATTAACCTTATCCAACAAGTTTCTCACTTGATTTAATAAGAGGACTTTAAATATTACTTTGTGAGCTTACTATTTAAGAAGATAAACCAAAAATTTTATCTCTTATTATTCCTCTTTCTTTATCTACTTTTATGTTATGAAGAAGGTTTTTAATTTTTTTCCAGTTTAAGAATGTTTTTAAGCGAATGTTTTTTTAAATTTTTAAATATGGTTTTAAGCATGAACAATATTAAGATAATTTTTCTTTAATTTTATCAAACTATTTTTTGAAAGTAATCTGAATTTTAGCTTTTATAACTTCAAAAAACATAAAAGCAAGATAACCATTATGTATTCCTAGCAGTATAATATAAAATATTTAAGATTATACAGTATCAGGCTTGTTATATAAGAAAATATTCATAAGAACTAATATAATTATCACCACCATTGAATTTCTATCTGTTTATTAGAAGTATATCATTTAATAAGGAGTAAATTTTACTAACACTACTATATAAAGTATGAAAACTATAAGTGCTATCACCAATTTGTTTGCTTTTCATATTAAATAAAAAGATGTAAATTATTATCAAGTTAAATCTTTTTAATTAATTAATATTGATTGATATAAAAACTAATAATCATTTACAGCAATAAAGAAAAACTCAAATCAAAAAAACTATTGTTTTTTCTATTTCATATGAGAAATTTTTCAATATTTTTTTTTTATTTACTTTATTTGAAATAAAAAATAATATGAAATAAAATGTTTACTGTAAGGATCTCCATAAAAGTTATAGATGCAAACAATTACTATTTTCATATAACTTTTTACAAACTCCCAATAAAAGTTTTTTGTTTTATAATCCTAATATAGGAATCCATAAATTAGTCTTATCTTAGCATCATCTAGCTTATCTTTATTTTTATTCAGCTTAAATAAAATAAAAAAAGGAATAACAAAACCCCAAATTAAAAGACCTGGCATTAAAATAAATCCAATAAACTTCTTGTGAATTGGAGTGTAGCACTTGAAAGAAATATCTGATAAAATATATTTTTAATTATCAATTTCTCTGCATGACATAGCACCAAGTAAGTTTTATATCATATTTGGTTGCATAAATATGAACAAAAAGACCAAACCACTGTAAATATAAGACTTTTCAAAATAAAATTAGTTTAAAAAAATAAAAATGAATCTAATTAATTAATTAATTTACTAGATTGTGTCTCATAAATTTAAGCTTTACAAATATTATGTATATAATTGACATTCCTGCTAAATATAAAAATGGTATGCTTAAACCCCAAAGTATTCTCATAAAAACAATTGGAATATCCTACTAATTTACATTTACAAGATAACAGTCCAATGTGTATATCATATTTTAAACAGGATTACCTTTTAAATAAATAAATAATTAATAATATTTTTTTTAGAAGTGAATTACCAACATATTCAGGGAAAAAAGTTAACCATGAAGGAAGAGCAACTTTTACTGTGTTAACTAATTGTGAAATTTAAACGTAATTCATCATTGCTTTCATATTCATATTAGTAGTGTCTAGAAATGATGATTTACTCACAGGAGCAAATTTAAGTTTTCTTAAATAATAGCCTATAACAATCATTTCACTAATATCCCATGCAATTCTGATACTTATTAGTACATAAACAACCATTCCTAAAGCTATGAATATTGTTGGAACTAAATTAATAGCCATTAATAATTTTGAACACTCCTTACAGTCAAAAGATCCATCAGTATAGTATTTTTAATTCCAAAACTTTCCTTAAATATCACATTGCTCGCACAGCGGACCGATATGACCTTCTAAGCAATATCCTTACTCCTAAGTTCCAACACAGTTAGATAACTTATTTGAACACTCTACAATAGAGTCAGTTAAGTTTGTCGATTTCCAATAACCCTGTTTTAATGTCATTTAGTTCCTATAGCAGTGCTCAGCCTAATCTGGACACCTTATGCATTATTGATCTAAATATTTTTCTATGAAAAAGTTTACAATTTATTTAGATTGCAATATTTTGTTTACCTTTATCAGGCTCTACTATAGAGTATGTTTAATCCAAACATTCTTGACAGTAATAAATACTTCCTTGTAATCTGTAAAGTTCACCTATTATACATTCTCTAAAATCAACAATGAATGTTATGTGGAAAGGACCTATAAAAAAATATATATTATTTTATTTAGAAAAGAAACAAATTAAAAAAAAGTAAAACTAACCTGATTTAATGTCACGACTTTATAGTGAGGGATTTGGTACTTTGAGTATTGATTCACTTTCTATGTAAAACATATTTTATGTTTAAGGATTTGCTATTAATTGCATTAAAGAAATTTAAAATGATTTTGATGAGCTATTAAAGTTTAAGTAGTCTGTTATATACTATCCAAATAGTTTAATATTTGTATTATTTGTATCTGCTCTGATGTTAAACTGCATAATTTCGCTTTAGATTGATGGAGGATACTTATTTTTTTTTACTAATTCAAGATCAAAGTAGAGAGGATTATTTTCATCATCCAACAACTAAAACTGAAAGTTGAAATATTAACCACTCTAAAATCTGTTTACAGAGCAAGTTTAAAGGTTAAGTTTATCATTTTTTACAGAATCTGGTAATCCATCATTTCCAGTTATATCTAAATATACTACACTTGAATACAAAATTTTTATGTTGCTTACATATGAACCATAGTTATTGCTATGAATTGTAGCCTTGTTCATTATAATAGAATTTTAAACAACTTTAAGATTTCTATTCTGATTTAAGAGATCACTGTTTAAATGATTCTTCATCATGTAAATAAAAACAGGCTCAATTTTTAAATATCTAATGCCTCCACCTATCATAGCTTGATTTTATTAAATAGTTGAATTTTGCATAAATAGATTTGTTGTATCTAAATATATAGCTCCTCCGTTCAGAGTTGCATTGTTATTTATAAATATTGAATTATAAATTTCAGTGAGGTTATAGTATGAGTCTGAGATAGACAAGCCCCCTCCATTTAAAGCTGAGCAAAAAGTAAACTGAGTAAAATTAATCAGTAACTATTAAGCCTCAATAACTTAAAGAGCACCTCCATTACATGCCAAGCAACTTATATTTTTAAATGTAGAGTAAATAACTTGATAAGAATTACCTCTTAGTTATATTAAAGGAGTCTATAAATTTGAGCTGTTTTCAAATGTGCTATTTGATAGAGAAAATGTTCCTTAATATTAGTAGTAGGTTTGGAAATTTGATGTATATGAGTTTAAAACCTAAGTAAACGACACTCCATCTAAATAACTTACATTTATAAGCTACAATTCAAAATCATATACAGATTAAGATTAAATAATATATAAATTCTACTACATTTATACATTATTTAGCTACTTGAAAGTTAAATTTGTAAAATTGCTATTCTGAATAGATATCTATTTAACGTTTTTAAAAACAATCAAGTCGTTATTTGCTGTTTAAGAAGCTACTATAATTATTTAATCTAAAATTAGGTTATTTATGTACACATAATTTACTTTTTCAAAAGCTAGCAAGTATGATCCATCATATAAATATATATTTTGAATATAGAAATTGTTTATGTAAATAGTATCTGAGTTTGAAATATTAAATAGAAGACTTTAACCTTTAAGATCCAAAGATGAGATGGATATATTTTCAAGTATCATACTTTATAAATTACTCAACTAAAATTAAAACTAATTTCCTGTGTTTTTAAAAACCACATTTTCAAAAGTAATAATTTTAGAAGCAGGATTAAATAATACTAACTTTGCCTAACTAATGTCAAGATCATAATTCCTTACCTATAACAGAGTTAGCTAATTTAAGGAAAACGAGTCTGTAATAATATTCATTAAGGCTCTTGAGTTAGAACCAGAATAAACTACTTATGAATTCAAATTAATGAGTTAAGGATCATAATAAAACTTTTAAGTTACTTCAATCTATATTTTAAATTTCATAAATAAATTTATCAATTTTATAAAATTGCAATTCTATTAGCAGTTCTCTACTAAAATTATTTTTTTTGATAACAATACTATATGTTAAAATGGAAGATTTAGGATAGGGGGATCTGTAGGGGATTTCAGCTTTATTAGGTAATTATAGAGGTTTTTTAATTTATATTGTCTAAAAATTATATTATTTTAAAATTTAGATTAAATATTTTAGCCAATTCAAATAAAAATATTAAAAATATATATTAATTTTTTAGGGGAGAGGGGGATAATCTGATGTAAATATATGAAGATTTGTGGTACTTATAAAATAAAACTCATTAAACTTAAAAGTGATAAGAGTACTATGTTCTGAAGCCCACCCTCCAAGAATAAATTTAATAAATTATTTAATTTTTAAAATTATTCCTTAAAGTTAATTTAAGTTATTTTTGTTTTAAAAACACAATATGACTTTAAAAAATTAAATAATTATGAAAGTAAGTATAATGAAATATTTAAATTACCTAAAAAAGGGTTTATTACATCTGTAAATTCAACAATTTGAAAGAGGACTAAAATGACATTAATGAAGACTAAATTTTATCTAAAGTATTAGCAGAAGGAAGCTCATAATAGCATTTAAGCTAACTTAAGGATGATGAAGAAGGTGTGTTTTAAGTTTAGCTATTAAAATTTTAAATGAAAAAATTATAATTAAAGTAAACTCCGTTTGATATTCCTATAACCTAAGTTGAATAATAATTAGTTGTTGGATTAAATATTTAAGTATTAGCGGCTAGATTTGGAAATGATTAGTAAAGTTTATTGATCAACCCCCAAGTATTTGTTGATGGATTTTACTGAAAAATAGAAAATGAATCGTATTAAGTTACATAAGGAAATATTTAACCTTAAACATTTAGAATTTCAAATGATTTTAGGGTTTATAATAAGTTGGAATCTCTAATACTCAACTATAACTATAATTTATCCAAGCTATAAGTATTAATTTAAAAATAAGCTTATACTATTAACTGACTATTTTAAATCTTCATAACTAAATGCTAAGCTTTTGTTGGTGGAGGGATGATTGTAATTAGCTGTGGAGTACTTAATTAAATTACATTATTTACAGTAGTAACATTATATGTATAAACCCTTATTTTTGGTATTACTTTACGAACGTTAAGGACAAATATTCTGTTATATTAGTAATCAAATAACATTGAATATACTGGGTCTGTATTTTAAATTTGAAGGCTCCTCGCTTAGCTATTCATATAGTCACTTTGTGTTGCAAAATCTAAATAGAATATCATAAATCCAGTTTCTAAATGATGAATTAAAATTGAGTTTATATTATCATAATTAATGATATTTAAATTTGCTATGCTAGAGTACTACATCAAAAGCTTATCAGCTATTACATCTATTCTATATATAGACGAATTAATTAAGAAAACAATAATTTAATTTAAGTTAGAAATTGACACAATTTACTTAACTTTGCTTGTAAATTAAAAATTAAATGATTGAATTTAAATCAATGGATTATATGACAACTTTATTAGCTTAAAATAAAAGTCTTCACAAAAAATAAATTTGTCAAGAAAATAAGCATTTTTTATCTCAAAATTGACCTAATAAAGTTATTACAAATTACTAGCAATTTCACCAAATTAAATTATCTACTGATCAGTAATAATATAAAAGAATCCATTTTAAAAGCGCGTTTAACGTACTAAACTTAAACTCTAAACAAACTTTCCTTGCTGGCCTTAATTTCCAAACTACCATGCATTATTATCAGTATCTATATAATATAACATACTAGAATTTTAGCTGTAAAAGTAACTTGGTTATTTTTATTAAACCATACTTAGTTCTATTTTATCAGTATTAAATGAAAAATCCATTTAATAAATTCTATTTTTTTATAAAAATGATTAATGTATTAAAAATGTTAAAACATATTTTAAATAAACTTTATTAATAAATAATATACTCTAAGTAATATGCATCTATGTGACACATTAGATTATGTTCTTTAATAAACATAGCTTTTTTGAGAGGTGGATTATACTTGTAGGTAAAATAATTTGTGTAAGAAAAAGTTCTCACATCAACTGTGAAAATATTAAGAATTAAAGATTTATAAATGAGCAACTGATAATGCTCTTCATCTAGAAAAACCATATTAACGTTTCCATTTTCAATGTACTATGAATTAAGAATTTATTTAATTAAAACTCCTGTTGAAAGTCGATGTACAGCTAGTCTATAACTTAAAACATTTTTGTACCATTCACTATATAAATAAATATGATCCATCTTTTCAAATACTATAAAATTAGTAATAAGAGGATTTTATGTAGAAATAGATAAAATAAATTATTAAGTCATTCTATCCATTATCACTAATAATGTATACTAAAAAGAATAACTTTTAGTATTAATATATTTCATTCCAAGGATATTATCAGTGTGATAGCTAAGTTACTACTCATAAGCAAAAGTATGAAAATTATAGGTTTGAAGTGAATAAATCATATTAATTAAGACTTTTACATAAAACTTACCATAAACTGGATCGAGGTCAACATATAAATCTATCATGTTTGGTATTGTGTAAGTTGTGTAGGTATTTTGTTTAATGGGAGGATTTGCATTTGGAGCATCACAATAGTAATGCATGAATAAATTTTGATTATTATTTATAGATATAATTCTTTTATTGATAGGATCGTGATAATAAGATACTATTTTATATGGTATTTGTTAATCAGGTGGAATAGAAGCAATACTTGCATTATACTTTGCTTATTCTAAAATATGAGTATTAATTATATACAACAGAGTTTAATTTGAATATTGCCATACTGCAAAAGTCATATCGCTTGAATAACTTATTATAATATCAACATCTAAATCTAAAAAAGCTCTTAAAATATTTTAAGTCTATCCACCTTTAAATTAACTTACATTTGTACTATTCATATTCCATCTATAAAAATTATTTGTTGTATCATTACTATAAGAGACAATCCAGTTATTATTAATATCAATAATGATATCATTTATAGTTGATTTATGAGCTCCTGAATATATTTTTGGTTTGGTCATAGTAGTTGTGTCTATTTGGTGAATATTCTTTTTTATAAAATTAAAATAAAGAAATCTTTATTTTGACAAATCTAAAATTATTTTGAATTTGAATTTAAGATGGTAAATATTTTTGCAAATTTTTTATAATGGTAAGAATTTTTTAAAAAAATTTTTTATCTTTTAGATAATGTTAAAATAAAAAACCTTACATTATTAAAGGCATAAATAGAGCGATTATTTTAATTATAATAAATTCCATTAAAGTAATATGCTGAATCTATGTATGCATAATAATTAGTAGAGATTCCACCTGAATAAATATTTCCATTTTCAAAACCTAAATATAGCTTTTTAGTAATGGGATCTATAGCCATACTTGAAATTTTATCAGCAAATGTAAGAAGCATTTAATTATTGTATTGATAACTGAAAGAAATAACCTTTTATTATTAAAAAAGTAAATATCAAACAAAATATTTAAATTAAATTACTTAGTTTTGTATTGCTGGAAAAGCTGTATTTTGTACAAAAAAATGCTATTCAGGATTAGAAAGAGGGGCACTTAATTTTTAAGGAACTGAAGCAGAAAAAGTATATGTACCATAAATGTAAAGCGAAGTACCAACCCAATAAAAGTAAGCAATATTATAATCTTACTGGTAGACCATAAAATTTTTAGTAACTACATCAACACTAATAGCAACTGGTTTATTTATCGAGTATCTTTTAACACCAGAAAAAAGAAAAGGGTATATATACAAAATATTATTTGAAACAGTTGAAAAAAAAAGATATTTAATTTCAGAGTAATATTTTGCAAATCCCAGGTTTCCACTATACGAATTAGTCATCAAAATAGCTTTAGTAGCAAGATTCATAATTATTACTCGGCCTTAATTAGCTCTTATAAAATAGGCATAGTCTATTCCATTATTATTTTCAAGAACTGCATAATAAAAACTATCATTAATGACTGAAGTAAAGTTCATCGTAATAAAGTTATAAACTTTCAATTACTATGCATTATTGAAGGCAATAAAAGTATTTTTGTATACATACATATTATTTATTGACAAAGTTTTTAAGTCTAAAGATAGAGTTGCATTTAATGTAACTTTGAAAGGATTATAATTCCATAAAACTATAGTATTATCATTATAGAGGCATGCTAATAGATTAGGTATAACTATAGTCATATCTAATATCTATCTATAGCAAAACTAATCTACTAAAATATTACATGAAGGATGAAATTGTTCTATTACTAATCTGTAGTCTGTTACATTTCCTTAGTTTTCTAAGACCCTTTCTTCCCATATCTTAAAGCTTCCATCAATAGAGTAAGTGATAACCCTATCATAGAGTCTATCAAACAAAATTCCATTCACTGCGTCAGTGTGATACTTCATTTTAGTTTTAATATTTTTCTTCTTATCAGTAATCTACATTTGGACTGGAAGTTACTTAGGATCTTAAGGAAGATGAGTTAATTAAAGAATAGTTAATTCTGAAGAGAGAATAAGTAAATTTTAATTATTAACTGCAACTTGATTTACTGGATTTAATTATTTGAAAAATAAATTATATTAGTAAATTAAAATAATTCCTGTATTATCATCAAATTAATTTACTGATACATTTCCATTAGAAGAAATAAAAACAAAGTAATTATTTGTAATAAATCTATACTAATTATCTGAATTTACTTAAGAAATGTATGAGTATATCTATTAATTTGTATCATAAATATATAAAATCACTTCTGAAATACTACAGCTAAAGAAATAAATAATATTTGACATTTAAGGGGATGGATTTGCTAATATTTACTAAATAGGATTACCATGATACGTTTCAATTTCATTGCAATTAAAGCTGTTATATATAAATAATGAGTAATCATTATCTATTTATATAAGATAGCTTGAATTAGATAGTTGTAGCACTAAGTTAACAGGACTATTAAATGAACACTAATATTAGAAATTGTCTGGTTAATTGATGCTAATCCAAACAACTATCTTTTAGTCCTATCCATAGCTTATAAGCTAATAATTTGGTAAAATTAATATTCCAGTAATTGATTTTATATGGGCATTACTAAACAATTTATAGGAAGAGCTAATTAATGTAGAAGTAGTTTACTGCTAATATATAGGCAAATTTACTATTTCAGACATATAAACTACTGCAAAATTATTTAATGTATCAGTATTTTCCATTAAAATAACATAATCCTTTGTTATTTAAACTAATTTATAATAGCCTATTAATGATTTAGGTAATAATATTTTAAATAATATTTAATTGTAATTTAAATTCCATATTATTAGTTATGTTCTACTAACTGATATAAGAATTTCTTAACCTTGAGGGAACTATGCCTGCTAAATTGATGTATTCCCTAGATCATTAATTTTATTTACTCTTAAATTATACATTCCAATAACTCCATCATCATGTCCTATTAATTATCCTACAGGCTAGTAATTTTGATTGTCTAATATGATTATTTTTGAGCTATAATTTCCTCCAACCATTCCTTAAACTATTATTTTACCTGAAGATGATGAAATCATGCTTAAAAACACATCAAAAAAACTTTAACCTTACTAATTCATTGTTGGGCAAGGTAAGAGAGGCTTGCATAGGCTTGTTTATGAGTCAGAATAGTAAGAGTTAGGGCAGATAGATTAACAAGAATTTGATTGAACATCATATGATTAACCAAAGTTACAATAAGGAAGGCATGTATGATTATTTTAATCTAATCTGTAACCACTGTTGCATTAAGAGCATTATAAACTATTGTTGCATTAAAAGCAGTTTTAAGGGCAGTTTTAGCATAAAACTTTAGTTGATTTATACAAAATATTTACTAAAATAAAAGTAATTACTATCAACTACAACTACATCTAATCTAATTTTTTACAAATATTGTTGTCAACTTATTATTAGCTTTTGATTTTTAAAAAATGTATATTTTGGTAAAAAATTAATTAATTAAAAATATCAATTTTAAGCTAATTAAATATGAAAAAGTTTTTATTAAATATGAAAAAATTTTTATTGAGAGAATATTTACTCCAAAAACTATAAACAGAAAATAGATTACATGTGAATCAATTTATTAAAACCTTAGATTAACTTTCTTCCTTTTTTTTCACTTCAGTTAAATTCTTTTACTCCTATTCCTATTATAAATTTAATTTGATAAATAAAAAAATATACTAACTTGTTAAAGGTTTTTTTTGCACACATTAATTTTTTTTATGTTAATGATAATTCTGAGGAGTCTAACATTTATTATTTAAACAAAAAATAATTAGATTTAAGGTACAAAAAATAATTTATCCTTTTAAAGTAGTTTTAAATTAAAATAGAAGAAAAAAGTAAATAATTAATTTAACTTACTAAATACAAAGGTAAAATATTTTAAATTAAAATCCTAATATTTATAAAAATATAAATATTACCTAACTTGTTATATTTGAAATTTAAAGATATTTTTTGATAATATACTTGAAATATATTTAAATTATGATTATCTCTACTGGTTGAATTTCTAAAATGAAACAAAATGTAACATAATTCAAGAAACCACTCAATTACAAATTATTGCCTAAAATTCTTATCTTAATAAATTATTTATTTCTAAAATTTAGCTATATATTTGTTATGTTTGTTTTGTGTGTAAAAAATATAAAGTATGTAAGATAAATTATATATTAAAATTGTAATATTCAAAAATAAATCTAATACATTATTATTTATTTTGTATTTTGGATTTAAATAATTCTGTAAAGATAAATTATTTGTAAATATTATATGCACATCAAAAGAGGACTTTTTTTCAACCTTAAATTTCCATAATATTTCTAAAATTTTTCATCAAAGTCTTATGTTTGTTTTTGATTGAACAAAGGAAGAAGTTTTGCAGCGTAATATTAATAAAAAATAATATAAGAGGAAAAGATGCATCGTAGAAAATCTTTTCATCATCTTGTAATTCTATAATGGCTCTGTCTAAAATAGGCGAACTGGTAATAATCTTAGACAAGTCTTAATTACCTTAAATGTGTTTCCATAATTGATCCTTGGTAATACTTTTATCCTTAGCAAGCTTAGATACTATTTTGAAGATAGCCTTTTTCTATTCATCAGTAATTTTAATTGAAGCAATTATTTATTAGCTGAAAACCTTATCAACATCATCATCGTCATCGATTCTTATTTTCTTCATTTGATTTTTGATTTCTCTTTTATCTTG